GATGGATTGAGTTCACGTACCTGGGAGGAACAATAAGCCTGCTCGGAAGAGGTAAAGCACCGCATTGGGAAGGCAATAGGAGCATTCCAAGCACTCAAGAAAATCTGGGCATCAAAAGATATACACTGCTCAACAAAGGTAGAACTGTACAAAGTCCTGATATGGTGCAGAAACATGGACATTAAAGAAGGTCGATGAAAATAGACTTCACACTTTTGAGATGGCATGCCTCAGGAGAATCATGGGTGTGACCAGATTTGACAGGCTAAGGAACACACACATACGAACACAACTGAATATGGAAGAAACCATCATCGACAGGGTTGCCACAAAAAGACTGAGATACTTTGGACATATCAACCGAATGAATTCAAAAAGATACCCCCACATCCTTCTCAACGGAAATGTACATGGCAAACACCCAAGGGGAAGACCAGCTAAGAGATGGACAGACTGCATCAAGGCGGACTGCAAAAACAGACAAGTTGACTCCCTGACTAAAGCCACTAGGCTAACAGAAGACAGGAAGATGTGGCAAGCCATAGTGAAACAGAAGCCATCATACATCCCAGTGATGGTGTGGACGGCTTAAGTCGAGTAAGTCAAGCATGCACAATATCCGGGTCTTTGAAAATATTAATGACTGAATTGCAGTTACTCGAGTCCCCGAAGTCATTGGTTCAGCCTTATATCGTTGCATAGTTGAATTAGGTTTATTTTATTCTATAAATTCTATACGTCAGCGTTTCCACAGAGAAGTTTTGTTATATTATAATTAATTTTGCATGGAATAATGTCAGTTTTGCGAAACCAAAACATCAAAAACAGCTTTATTATATTTGTTATTATGAAATAACACTTTAAAGTCAATAAAGACGCTAATTTTTTTCCTCGCTCGCCGAACACCCAAACAGGATGATTTAAATTTCTAAATACCTGCAGGTTTCAAATTCAAGGTCATATTTTCAGCAATTTGGCGAGGTGCCCCATACGGTCATATCCGGGCATCTTGCATGCATCCCGAATATATACTTTAAATATCATTCATATTCATTCATTTCATTTGCTCGTAACATTTAGAAACAGGATAATTCTAGGAAACGAGATGCCTGAATATCCTTGTATGGCCGGTGTATTTATTTATTATATAATTTTATTATTCATGTATTCGGCAGCGTGGAGACCGCATACGTAATTCATTTGCATGACGGTGTTGATAACAAAATAACACATTTTTACCATGTCAAGATTTTTTTTTTTTTGCTTGCTCGCTCGCACAATTTGGAAACAAAATATGTGCCCTTACGTGCATGGCACTCGACGAGTGCCTGAGTGATGTAACATGAATCTTCTTGTGAATTCAACAATGGGGTGACGCAAAACTTTGTATTTTTTAAAAAGGGTGCCGTGAATAATTTTTTGTTAAAGGTTAACGTTGTGCTAATAGACCGACAACCGATGAGAACGACAGTGCATTGATTCAAGACCGAACTTTTATTTAAAAAATGTATACGTGATTAATTGATAAAAAGGAAGAAACTGAGTCGTTTTCTTGGAGTATAGCTTGTACACGACATATTGAAATTCTGATTTCAATGATGATGATATCATTTTCTGCCTACATCAATACAAAATTATTGTGTAGTATTTTTACATTTCTTTTCAAATCGTTTTAACGAAGTGTAGGCAATATACATCTGAGATATATTTTGTTTCCCTCAATCAGACCCAGTTATTAATTTTTTTTCTTCAAAAGTGAGGAAAATGAAACGTTTCCTGATCAAAATGACATTTATTTCAATTTCCCCATTGAAAGCTCTGTTTTTGTCATAGGCCCATGATCATAGGACAGTCGCCCCTTCAGAATACATCACATCTTCTCTTTACAGCAGCAACAGTAAGGTTAATAGGCCTATTAATATGAATTAGCTCTCCCTCCCACCTTTTCAAGTCTCCCCTCTCCCTGTCTCTCTCTCTAACTCTCACGACGCCCCCCCCCCATTATATGGAAACGTTGTATCTTCCGCTCAATCTGACTTGCGTGCATAGAGCAAAATAAGCATTTTTCCATGAAAAAGTGAAGTTTTCTAAAATATGCGTTTCTTTCCAGCATTGGGGCGCCCGGAAGTCACCGTCGGGTAACATTTCATAAAGTATAATATAAAAAGACCATATGCAAATTTTCTGTACTTTTGTCGGAAAAAATACATTTATCCAGCACAATGTCGTCTCTTTTTGCGTTGGAGAAGAGCAAATAGCGAGTTTCAATCACACTTTGGCCGCTTTCGCAATCCCTCACTCGTTTCACTGTGGTCAAGCGACTTTGGGGCAAGCGGTTAATGAAAATACTAATCGTTAGCTTTCTTCTGGTATTAAACTTGTTTTGATTGATTGTATAATTTTGTCGGAATAAAGGAAACAAAAAGGCTCGACCAATAACTTATCAGTGTCTGAATTGACCTTTTGACCTTGAATTCCCTGATGCAAGCGCACTAATGACGTCATCTTCGCTAAATCGGCGTCTTTTATCGTAAAATGCGACACTTTCACAATGTTTATACATCTTTTTTTTTAACTATTAGTAAGATTTAACATAAATTTTCTGATATCACTGAAATTTGGGGTGTTATTTAATGAGTAATTTTAAAATAAGAGCCATTTTACCGTTTTAAAGTACCATTCAAGTCGCAGGGTAGAAAGATACATTTTCCAACCGCGCCAAATTTAATTTACGTTCCGACATTCTGTTGGGTTCGTGTTGTTAAGAATCCACTGCTTTCTGCTCCAACAAACGTCCACATGCGGAGTCGTTTATCAACTAAATTATTCAAATTTATGGATGCTTCCTAGCTTCCCAGGTGTTTGTGTTGCTGTTGAAGCATTTCATTCACCTGCTATCATTCTTTGTACTCCAATTGCCAGAACGCAAATTTCATTTTGGTTTTATAGTTTCATCGGAGTCGTTTATCAACTATAATGTATTCAAATTTATGAATGCTTCCTCCTCAGGTGTTTGTGGTGTTGATGCATTTCATTCAGCTGTTATTATTCTTTGTACTCCAACTGTTAGAATACAAAATGCATTTTGGTTTTATAGTTTCATGCAATAAGTAAGTCAATAAAAGAGTATGTTCTGCACAATAAAAACAATGTGTGTCCCTATTGTACAATGCAATGTGTCCCCTCATTTTGTAACAGTTAATTTACCCATTCACATAATGGAACTACCTGCCCGATGAAGCCAGTGGCCTGTGACCCCTGAGCATTCAACACCGTGTGGGAGGCAGTTTGTGGTCAACTTCCTTTATGAGACAAAATACAAGCAAACGTTTCCATATGCTCTTCCTCAAAACCTCGCTTCCTCTTTTATTTTCTCCTCTGGCAGAAAAAAGTGGCACTGAAACAAGAAGATGGTAACCATAATTTTACATCTTTGTTTTTGCTCAAGGGGGGGGGGGGGGGTAGTAAAAACAAATATTGCTCACTAACCCCCCCCCCCCCCCCCGCTCAAAGCCGCTAATATGATATTTTCTCAAGAATTGCCCCCCCCCCCCCCTCGCCTCCGGCTGGATCCGCCCCTGCTCTCCCTTACCTCTTTCTCTTTCGTCTCTCTATTAAGACCAGCATTGGAAACGCCCCAATTTAAAAAAAAAATGAAAATAATGGAAGCTCTTATTACCAATCATGTGAAAGAATATGTTTTGACTAATACAAGTCATGATGATAAAAAATTTGCCGGGAAACCGCCTACACTAATTGATATATTTGGTAAATTAGTTTATCTATTTGTCTGTGAGAGATAGATAAACTAATTTACGTGTCCCGCACGTGTACGTATAGTCCCATATACATCTTTCTGTGTACAGTGCTTGTAACTTTACGAAGACTGGGCCAAACATACTGCCCCGATTGACTCATTTTCGCTCGCGTGAACATTGCCAGCACAAACCACTGACCTCTACCTCCTGGACAGATCATCGCCCATTCCCATTCACTATACGTTACGTACCAAAAGGCTGTATATTGTCTGACCGTTCATGAATATTCATGTTTTTGCTAAACTCGGCAAAATGGGTATACGTACGAGCAATGACGAACTTGCAACCTATTTTGATCAATTACGGTGGGGGAATTACGATGAGGTTCCAATGAAAGAGCTAGTGATAACGTAAGTCGGGGTGGATGTGCTTTTCGTTTAAACAAAAAATGCATTTTTAACGATTTTTGTTGGTACATAGGCTAACATGTATGGCTGCTGACTCTGACGATAGGGGGCGTTGTGAAATGAGACTACTGAACGGAGCTATATGTTTCTTATCATTTGGATGATTCCAGAACCTTGCAGTACACACCAATACTTATATGCTAGATGATCAACCTTTTCTGATCGATTCCACAACGTTTCTTTCACATGCAATGCAATCGCATGGCCATAACTGGTCTTTATCTTTAAGAATGTGACGTACACAATTATACAACATAAATAAGCTTTTCTCATGGATCTTTCTGTCAAGTTTTATAACTATTATAATGTTAGAAAGCGCTAGCTAGCTGCTTGTAATATAATATTATAATTTCGTTATTTTTTTAAATTATAATGTTGTTTATGTTGCAATTTCATTTCACTCTTTGCATTCATGCTACATTGAACTTGAATATTATTATAAATATTATTATTACTATTATTATTATCATTTTATTATCATCATTATTATTATCATCATTATTATTATCATTTGGCCATTGATCACTTAAAGCTGATTATCAGTATTATTGTAATGTTTTTGTTATGTCGCATGATATTACCAACAACAAAAAACAGTCCTAAAATACAAAGAATAGTAACATTTTCCATTGAAAGCGAATGTAATGCATTCAGTCAGTGTGGTCATCCTGCACGGCATTGTCCTCCTCATGCATATGCATAACTAGCTAGCAAAGCGAATGTCACGTGACAAGAACCTCGAGCAACTGCACACGGCCCGCCATCTTTCTTTCTGAACGGTGCACACGACACGAGCAATATTTTGGATCCGTGCGAAAATTTAGGATAAAGTTTTGCAGTTTGTAAACTTTCAAAACATCAGTGCACGTGGGACTCAAGCTCCACTACTTTGGAGGTGGCCAGTAGACGTTTAGGACCGTAATTTAGTAAGTAACATTGAAAAATATCTAAAATATTGCTTCGCTTTGTTCCATAGATCTAGCGATACGTCGACGATCATGCGTATGCGCCCGATTTTACAGCGCTTTGGCCATTGCATTGAATTGCAGTGCTTTTATCGCAATGAAAGGGGCCGGTTTGTTTGTGCGGATGTGTGAATGACGTTACACCGTGTGCGGGGGGCCACTGGCGCTAGCGCGGCATGCTGCATGCGGACCTACCTGAGCTGAACTTAAGTATCCTCCTCAATTTCGCCGAGTTGCCGTCATCCTCCTGTTCAAAATATTATCTTCTTTGATCACAATACTAGTTTACTTACTAACCTTGATTTATGCAATTATACACACAGTTAGGCTTGTATTTATTTTTGTTTGGGTTTCGTTATTTTTAATCTGCAAACAGTGCAATTGCAAAGTAAAAAACCATCATTAAACTTGTAAAGTCTAAAGATTATGTAGAGGTCTAACAAGTTAGTGCCTAATTTAGTTTATTGTAATTTAAATTAGAACATTGCCAATTTAATGAATCAAAGGCTTTTATTGTTTAAAAAGCCGAGAATTTTAGACATGTCAGAGAGTTTTGCTCTAGAGTCTCTAGTAGTAGGGTGTCTGAACGATTTTTCAATTTTCAATTTGGGATCGTTTTTCACCATTTTTGTTTGATATTTGAATAAAAAATGTTATCAGAATAATACATTTCAAATTTCAAGTCTCACCGATGTTTCTATCAAAAGTTACAGCCCCTCCAACACGCTGGTATATTCATATCATTTTGGTCAAAATCGACGAAAAAGACGTCCACGCAGAGTGATGTTGTTTTGCTAAATTTAGCCAAACAGCTGTATCGCGCGATATGCAAGCGTATGCATATCGTACGCATGCTGCTAAGCCAATCCGCGACTTGCAGCTTGAGCTACGCTGTCTCCGCGACATGTGCGATTGACTAGTATGGTTGGCGTTCGTCGCACAATAAACCCGGAAGTGAATGCACGTTATAGTCAATGGCAATATCGCGGAGACAACGCACGTTGTCTCCGCGATATTGCCATTGACTATAACGTGTATTCACTTCCGGGTTTATCGAGGGAATTGCCAACCATAATTTCAGTCACTATAATTTGGGGTTTCGTTCGTGCGCGGAGATGTTACGCGATGTAACCATGGTTTGGACTGAGCGGAGCGCACGCCTCCTAATTAGCTGATCCACCAAATAGCGAGAAGGGTATTTTTAAACTGTTATCAGTTGTGATCCCTGGGGGCTAGCGAAAATATAATCACATAGAATTGTTCCTTAGGACTGGGACTACTTATCGATCGGGGCGTCATATCTCAAAAGTGACAAACCTGAGAGTTAGCCAGGACACAATGTTTAAATTGCTGTTTTGACCAAGATATTTTTAGAATTTCGGGGGCTACGCCCCTTTGGAAATATTGGAATTCACCTGCTCTTTCATATGACACCTCATTCATTGATTATCACCTTCAGGATCACAACTGATAAAGGTTTGAATCTCGATTTGAAAAAAAAAAATTGACTTTTTTTGCATGGTCGCGCAATGCACGTAGGCTGCATAGGGATGCGTGTAATCTCTATGGGAAGAATTTTAGCACACAACATCGGGTGCGCGATCAGACACCCTAGACTCTAGATCTAGACTCTAGACCTTTGCTTTGGGTGAAAAGGAAAAGTTCAAATTAGAATAAAATGGGCGCTTGTGTACTTTTGTATCCATTTTTGAGGCATCACTCTGGCGTGAAGACCTTTATTTAAACAATCAATGAAGATTAGATCTAACATCATTTTTTTGTATGTTTTAGTTGGGTATCTCCACGCCGGAGTTATGGGTCAAAATGGAAATAGTCACTAGCACCATGAAAAGTGTTCAATACTAAGAATGATCTAGTAATCTGCTAGTCTTGTAAACTGCACCAAAGGAGACTCGTGTGCAATTTTTAAATATTTTTAATCAGAACTGTTCCAAACCGCATGATCACTGGAGGGGAAAAGCATGTCACTCGTGTCACACTCACAGTATCCTGCTTAACGTATTTGCCGGCGTAAAGGCCGCAGTATTTTTGGAAGAGAAAATATCAAAAAGTCGGGGTGCGGCCTTTACGCCGAAAGAGTAAAAATCGCAAGTCAAAACAGCACGTCCATTATTTGTGGGCAACTTCATACAAAGGGGAGCTAGGGGGCTGGGAGTTGCCAACAAAACCAACGCACCTTCAGAGATTCACAGTGCGCAATTTTACCGGGACTCAAAACGTTTTTTGCCAACACAAAGCTAGATCGGCTGCTGGCAAAATAAACGTAACTACGATCGAGAACATCGTCGGTGTTCTCAACTTTTCAGTAAGATAATTCTGAATTATAATTGAGACTATATAATTTATTAAAGCGACAAACTAACCTCGGTAGATCTCTAATAACAATACAAAAGCTTGTTTATTTTCTCCATTTGACGGTACGATAGGGGTAAGACCGGATAACATTATAAAAAAGATGCATTCTTCCACCCTGCGCGATATCCATGGCCACAGCTTGGATATGGCAGGATTATATTAGTGCCGACTCACTGCATGCAAGCTAAAGATGGCCATTCAGGTTTCTGTATGCATGCGAAGCGCCCTCTAGTGTCCCATAAATGTGCTAATCTGCCTGCAATACAGTACAAGCTTAAAAATCAATAAAGATTCGCTAAATTACGATCACTTTTTAGGTAAACTTCCTGTAAATTTATAAAATAATTTATAATTTTGGTATTAGTTTGTAGGAAAAATAGAGTTCTACGGGAAAATTACAATTATTTTCTTTGGTCCATTTTTTTTCCCCCCTTTTTTTTCCCTACAAAATGTCAAAGTTGGGGGTGCGGCCTTATCGCCGGCAAATACGGTAGCTAATAGCCATAGTTTTAGATATAATTATAGAAGTCATTTGTTGTTTTATTTAACAAAAAGGAGAAAGAAATGATGAACGCTTCTAAATGGAAAACCTGGATTTGATTTTAGTTTGTCACCTTCCACAAATCTCTTTTCCCATCAACTTTTGAATTATAATGTGAAATAAAATCTAAAATGTTTGATAAGAAAGCCTTGGAAGCTTTTAGCAGCTCTCCATTTTTTTTGTAATCTACACTCTATCTGTTTAATATGGTGGATTTGTGAATTTATTTAGACATGAAGTTCAAATGGATGACCTGCATGTACATATTTCCAGTAGCTTTGAGAATTCATTTTGTGGAGAAAATGGACATTTATGAAATCTATGAAATCTTTAGTACAAAACAAATAGAGCATAGTTGATAGAGGAAATACACCTGCAAAGGTATTACAGACATTAAATTTTACAGATTGAATTTTCCCTTTAAAACTAGTGTAATGGGCCTGGTTCTCTCATTTGTATATCATTTTATTGAAATCTTGATTGCGTTTTTTTGCGCTGAATTTTGAAGGGATTACAAATTTATCTTTTTTTCAGTATTTTTTAATATTAAAGTTATTTAAGTTCAAGGAAATTGATAAAGGAAAAAAAAAGGTTCTTCCTCACAGTGTACCCAAATGGTATCATGTTTCTATATTTTTGAGAAATGTTACATTTAGATGCAACTTGTGGGATTTTCATGAGCTTTACTATCTTACATGTACCTCATATTGTCTTTTACAGAATGGCATCTTTAGATAGAGGTAAACCGGCCCATACAGTTATCCTCGTTATGCCGATGCTCTATATCTTTATGTTGTGCTGTATACATGTATGGCATGCTGAAGCACAGCTTGGGCAAGGACTCGCCGATGCCGACACCATCCAACAAGCTCTTTGCAATGACCTGAACAGCACTGTATCCAACTCCTGGGCCGGAGATTGCATGTCAGAACTCTTTGAAAAGTATGGAGAGGATGGCAAGTTAGAGTACAATGGCTTTAGACAACTCCTGGAGAATATGGGCCTTGGTGCTGTCAGAGATGGCCTGAAGAAGCCCTCAAATCAAGAAGGAAATGTTTCACAGCCTGGTTCTGACGTGAATTCCACCGCTGGTGCAAGAGCGAAGAGGAAAACTCATAACAATGAACATGTCGATCATCACAATACTTCGCTAGAACACACATCCAAGGTAGGAATACATTGTAGATTGAAATAACTTCACATTTATCCATTTTTAGCATTGTCAACAAGATTTATTTTACTGAACCCAGGGAATATGAAGAAAAGTAAACCATTAAAATAGAAATATTTCAAATGACTATGTATACGACTTCTGTGCAAATATCTTACACAGACATGTCTAAAAATTTCTCTTAGGTTTGGAAATAACACACCCCTGTTACACAATGTTGCCTGTTTGATGTTTCACAGAGAACATGAAATGATCTCTCAAAGATTCCAAGAGGGACACAGACATAGTTGATATGTAGGCCAACATACAGTTCCCACTTGAGGCATTGAAACATAAATGTTCAGTCCTTGTATTTCAAAGAATCGATATGAAACGTGTAGTACATGGATCTGTATATTGTTCAACTTGTTTAAATAACTGTTCAAATATTTGTTTTTATGTGTTAAAACAAATCTTGGTCTTTTTAAAGGGAAAAGCACAAAGAAAATCTAGAAGAGAGTTGAGAGAAATGTACAGTTGCTATACATACACTGTATATATTTTTTTCTCCCGACATTGTACAATATTATGCAAATTGATTTAGAGACTCCAAATTTATGTATGATATACAAGTTCCTGGAAAATGGAAAGACCATATTCAAGTAGAGCAGAATCATGTGAAATGTAGAGCTCATATATATGGCTTTTGAATTTATCGAAAAGAGCAGTCAGAACTTAACATAAATAAATAGAGGCCTAGCATTTTCTTTATTCATTGTAGGTGTATCCATCCATGTACATGTACATGTCAATGTATGACAAACATACTGTACAATTGCTGACATAAACTGATCTCACTATGAACATGACAGACAAAGAAAGCGGACAAAATATACAGTTCCTCAGGTAGACAAAGGAACATCCCTTCACTGCTATTATGTAAAAAGGTGAATGCATGTGACACCTGTTCTACACATTTTTACATAATAGCAGTGAAGGGATGTTCCTTTGTCTACCTGAGGAACTGTATATTTTGTCCGCTTTCTTTGTCACTAATGTTCATAGTGTGTACATGTTCATGTACATGTTAATGTATGACAAACATACTGTACAATTGCTGACATAAACTGATCTATGAAAATGCCTTTGATACCCCTTAAAAAAAACATAATCAGAAATGCTACACGGCAAAAAAAGAAGGGGAAAGAAAGCCTCACACAATTTTGATAAGTGATTTGTCAAATATGTGTAGCAGTTGTCAAGAAATTGAAACAATTGATTGAAAACGATTAGAACAACAATCGAAAAGAGTTGAGGTAAATCTTTGTCTGTGGGTAGTCAAGGTCATAGGACAGACACTGTATGGAGGTAATCCAAAACAGGTGGTCCCTGAATATGAGCCCCATCCAGAGACAAATATGCAGAATAAATTATGGAACAGTGGGTATGGTTCTACTTGTTTACCTTGTGTTGTGACACACTTTTTTTGTTTTGTATGCAGTTCATAGAAAATGTCGATAGAGGGAATGATGAAAGCAATACCTGCTGCAATGCACTGGATAGTGTGGTTGTAATGGTCACCATACTGCATTTCAATTTGTCTTTAAATGATATATTGTGGCTGCCAGATTAATGAAAGTATTAGACAGGAGCTGACGTAGGTATACTGGTAGCTGTTTAAAGCTCAAAATAGATGTGAAAAATATGAGAAAAAATATCTTTGGCTTATATAAAAAATTTATAAATCTACTGACTAATTATAATGTACTTAATTGCAATGCTGATGATGCTGATGCGTAATTTTGTTGAGTCATCTGATTAGTTGCTTCCATCAAAGAATTATCTGTAATAATGCAATATAATTGATTAAAAAAATACACCTGTGTGCCCCTGAAGCCTGTAATTTCAATTATCTACAATAACGTTGTACGTGTAAATATGGAGGCTATACTTCTGGAGTGGGATTTTTAATTTGTTTGAGGCCCGTAACAGGTGTTTAAAATAATATTAGAATGATTAGTAAAAAGTGGTACACCTGTATAAATGCAGCTCACTGAAGCTTAAATTAATTACCGGTATCATGGGAAGTGGTCTAAGAGTGCTTTTAGTAGGCTAAATAATATTTTGAAATACATATTGGTACACCGGTTTTCTAACGGTTTCAAATTTATGGATGTTTCTTTCCTGGGGACCTAGTGAGAAGGTATTCCACTAACCTTTTATTAATAAATGAACTACATGTATAGTACTTGGAATCATTTTGCATACATTATTTGTTGCTATGTCAGACAATTAGCCACTGGCACACTGTCAAGAACAACTTTTGTTTAAAACGTATGCATACAATTTGAATATATTGGAAACTGGTCTATTGTGTTTGTAATTTTGAATGTATCATTACATCATGGCTCTTTCCTTTGTAATGGTTTCACACTAACCTACTTTAGAGGAAGTTCAGACTAAAATTTATAGGGACTGTATGCATGAGCCCCCTGTTAACATTTTGGATTTAGGGGGTCAGAAGTAAAAATTTAGGGCCCCATTTATCAAGGGTGTCTGAATTATGTAGTATTTACTCTTGAGTCTTGAACTATGTTTCTTTTTACATGTTGCATCCTCATTTAGGAAAGTCCGTTACTGAAATATGAGTTTTCATGCTTTTTATTGGGAGGTAGGGGGAGGGGGTTGATGGAAGTGGGGGTAATAGGGGTGGATGTCTTTACCGGGAGCTTTGCTTTCAAGTTTACTGCTTCATACAAGAAGCATCCCGGTAAAATATTCATTGTATGGTTCATGATAAAAGCCTGTGTATGAGTCATTTCTATTATTTCATCTTATTCTTATTAATATTTAATACCAAAGAATGAACATGAATACTGGTATGTGCAGGAGTCATGAATAGGAAGAGTAAATGAAATGAATGATCTTTCTGAATAATTTCCTCTGATTTTTTTCTTTCTTTTCCAGTGCCTGTCCTCTGATGAAATCCTTGACACTTTTAAGGTTGTCCCATCTGAAGGCATCGTACCATTACAGTTCCTCCAGCTATGCCCCATTTTACTCCAGCAGTTGGACAGTCATGCCTGCATCGTGTATGACGTCCATCTACCAGATGATGGGCACAACCACACAGACGAGCCTTCAGAAACCCCTTTTCAAGAACCGTCCAAGATACATCCAGGGCAACGTAAGTAAATTGCCTTTTAAAAAAAGCTTTGGCGCAAAATATAACCATTTTACTTGTACATATAAGTCCCTGGAAAGTGGTAGTAAAACAGAAGCTGACACATAACAAAAGGGCTATTTCCGCTTGTCTATGTGTGTGAGATTTTTTTTTTTTCTCTTTTCCTCTATGTGTATGAGATAGATAAATGTGAAGTGCATTACACTCATGTCATATTGTTTTTGTTATAGCTATTTTTAGGGTGGTGACCACTACAAATGAAAGCGGCTTTATAATGTTTTCATGTGATGTGTACAACGGAACATGGAGACTGCTTAAAAATCATAAGAACACCCAATGCACTCGGTACTCGAGTACATGCCCAGGCTTACAGGCGGATACTCAAGTACTCATGGAATTGTATTCATGGAATTGTCGCAGCCTTAATAATGAGGGGCCTCCAAATTCAAAGATGATTTGATGGATTATATAATAATTCAGGTCAATGAGCACACGAACAATGTTTTGTTCAGCATTCCCAAAGTCCCATCATTACTCAGGCAGAACCAATGAGTAAAAGGGGCTAAACCCTAATATATATGAACAATACATGGCTTTTCTGCTCTAGCGCTTCTGCTCTCATAGAAACTGGGTTGTACTGAATCTGACGTACATGTATGAAGATAAATTACTTTAAAAATGTGCATAGTGGTGGTTGGAGAGTGTCGGGCATAGTGCAACAAGGTTTCATCAAGAGCAGGGCTAACATGATCCACTCCACCTAAGGACAGTCTAGAACTTCAGAGTTTGTCATATATAACACATCAGACATCACAAAATATCATTGCTTGCAGATTCAGTTTCTTTAAAAAAGACTGATTCACTTGATCTTTCCCATTTTTTTTCCATATTTTTCTATTTTCTGTCTATGCTGTCTCCTTTGTTCGTGCTCCGAAGCCCTTTTCATTGCCAATTCTCCTTGCATGTGCATCAAATTTTAATACTTAGATTAATGAAAGAAAAAAAGAATTCTAGTGACCTCTTCCAAATGTACATGACCCAATTAACTAGCCTTCTCTTCCTGTATAACTATTTGTAAACTCATAAAAATGAAAAAAATATGCCATCAGAGCAAAAAGTGCATGAATATTGATTACCTATAGACCTTGTTCGCTTCCGAATATGTTTGATTAATGAACAATACTGTGACTTGATTAACAAAAATTCACTTTAATTATCTGAATTGGCCTTGCATGGGATAGACAGCCGCCCACAAGTGGACTGTGCAATTCTCATTTTAATTAGCAGGATCTCAAGGTGAATTTCCCCCACATTCTTTCATTTTTTGCTTGTTATGTTATTCAATTTGAATGTACAAAATAGAAGTCTTTCCTGTCAAGGAAATGAAGGACGAAGATTGTTAAAACAAAACACATTTTGTGTTTTTACAATAGCTGTATTTGTATCATACCTTTACATCACAAAGTTCAGCATTAAGGCGGGACTGCACTATCTGTTTGTGTAGCTACTAGCCCTCTATATAGCAAACAATGCCTAAGCGGTGACCGTTGGTCCCCCACGGTCCCATTTTTCTTATGTTAATTGAGAGCTGATTTGATGAATTAACCGCCTGCCTGTGACCATGCAGGGAGGTCTAATCCACCCTGGCCAAACTAGTGTAGATAGGCTTTAAGGCTTTAATGAATGACAACTGTTCATACATGAGCTCTGCGTTATAAGATATAAAAATGTGAAGCGAATTTGAAAACTTACGTCATTATATTGAAAGAAACACACTGTGGTTTACAACATCACAAGTGAATATGGCTTTAGAATCTTAGTTTGCTCTGGAGAAGTGTTAATCCCGGTACACACACACTCCACGATTCCATTTTGGAAGACTTTGTGATAAGTTGCACTGGTCATATGTTGTGGATTCTGTATTTACACCACATATTGTCTGTTTAGAGCCTGAAGGGTGTTAAATCTGTGTTAAAGTATTTCATGAGTTAAAGATAAAGACCAGTTATGGACATGCGATTGCATTGTGAAAGAAACGTTGTGGAGTCGATCATAAAAGGTTGATCATCTAGCATCTAGCATTTGCAAGGTTCTGGAATCATCAAAATGATAAGAAATTTGGCCCATTCTTCGTAAAGTTACAAGCACTATACACAGAAAGATGTATATGGGACAACCCTATATCTCTCACAGACCATGAGAGAAACAAATTTACCAAATATATGAATTAGTAGGCGGTTTCCCGGCAAATTTTTTATCATCATGTATTAGTCAAAACATATTCTTTCACATGATTGGTAATGAGAGCTTCCATTTCATTTTTTGAAATTGGGGCGTTTCCAATACTGGTCTTTACCTGTAATGCCCTTCTGTCTGCATGATAGTAACAGTGTAAGTAGTTTTGTAGAACTCAAAAGTATTTTCCTTTTGCTGCAGGGCTTAATTACCTTGTAACTGTTCTAAAGTTTCTACAGACAATTTCTTAAAGATTTTTTAAAGTTTATTTTGGCCTTTGTGATACATTCTAGTCTTGGGGCAGGTACTTTAATGAAATTAACCTTAAAAAAAGAATAATCTTGTATTTTAAAGCAAATTTTGGATGTACACTGTAGCCCAAGGCTTGAAATTAATACTATAGCCAGTAGTAGGTTAAACTGAAAATACATCTTCAATTTCTCCTGGAGGTGTGTAGACGGTATGGTCATTATTGACATTATTCATGTATATGCCCTGTATATTTACACACCAGCATTTTCTTATATTTTCCAACTGTTTTTATAACCTACAGCTAGCATGTATAGAGATTCATTAACCAGCTTCTCCATGTAAGGCATTATCATTGAATGACTGATCTTGACTCGATCTGAAAGTGGCAATTACATAAATGAACAAAAAGATTAACTCTTTGCTCTCCCCTCCCTCCATATCTTTGACAGTATGGGGCTACGCCATCGGAGCAGTGACCATGATCAGCGTTGCCTCAATAACCTGTATCATGATGGTGCCATGTATTCAGCGCTTCCCTCTTGCGTACGGTCGGCTGCTTTCCTTTCTGGTTGCCATGGCAGTGGGCACGCTTAGTGGTGACTCTGTCCTCCATCTTCTACCTCATGTAAGTTAGACAATACCCATTATAAAACCTTCACCGGAAAGACCAGTAGGAAAGCAGGTACATGTAGTTGTCTTAGTCACGAAAGTGAGAGCCCATTATGTTTCTACCATTGATGGCCTGTGTCGAGGAATACTAATTGCATTTCAGCATTATTACCATGAACAAGTTTATTGGTAATTTGCAAGGAAACGATTATTAATTCATTTGCTCACGTCACGCTTGTTTGCCATCACAATAACCTTTTTGAATGATTTATTATTCCTACGTTATACCTGCAGTACCCATAAACCTGACTAATTTCATTGATACAATTTTAGTTATGAGAGATAAAGTTAAAGGTTCTATTGCATAATTTAGGGCTATGACGTAAATACCATCTACAGAATAGTTGACTGCAAAACAAGGAAATACAATATATTGATTGGAATATTTTGTCTAAGAATAGTTTGTAGCTAATCATGGCAAACTTTCTTTATTGTGCTTCCCAAGTGCAAAAAGTTACTTGAAGAGAAAATTTTCTTATTAAACCTGCTAAACTATAATTTTTATGCTTTTAAATTTTACAACTTTTAAAGTAGTTTAATTTTCAAAGATAGATATGCACAATTCAACTACCTTCTTTAAATTATTGAAAATATTAATTGTACAGTATACATTCAGAAACCTTTGAAAATGGCGGAATCACAGGGGAAAAAATGCAGGTAAATTGTATTATTTTGGCAATTAAATGGAAGTAGATATTAACAAGTTTTTTTATTAATGAGTAATTAAATCTTTCTCTTCTATTCACTGATATTTCTGCACTGTTCTTGGATCAGTGCTTGCAATTTGTCGACCTACTATTTACATGTATGTTGGCCTGTCAGTCTGAAAAGAAATACCGGAAGGCAATTAATTAAATACTCACCTTTTGAGTGAAGGTAGGTACAGTATACCAAGAGGAGGTTCATAAGAAGAATTAAGACTCACTTACGTGTGCCCCGATAAACTTGAATTTTTCTGTGTGTTTCTTAAAGACTGGCAAGTGCGCTTGAAAAAAAGTAGTTGCATGCAACAAAGTTCCCACGCATACTTGTGTATGTGTGTTATGATCGAGGTACGAGTACGCTTAAAAAAACCTATGATAATCAAAGCACAGCAGTTTGCTGCTGCATATGTGAACAAACCTTAACAGTGATTCATTCATTTTTTTGTTGCATTCAGGCCTTTGGGATACATGGGCACGAGGAGGACCCATCGACCATGCATACAGCACACCCCCATGAAACCCTGGATCCAGAGCCAGAGACCAGCAAGCATGTGGTGGTGTGGCGAGGGTGCGTGGTACTCCTGGGTATCTTCAGCTTCTTCATCTTCGAGCAGACCATGCGCATGTGCCAAAAGAGGCCCAAGAAAAGGCTTGTGAGTATTACATACTTTGACCATTTATCCAAAATACTCTACTATACAATACTGTAAAGTCATTTCTATAGCGCTCTTACAAACTAACTGTTGTTTCACAGCGCTTTACGTGAAAATTATCAAAGAAGTTATTGGTCATGGTCAAAGAGGAGAGTTTTGAGACATTTTTGGAATCTATCTATCACCTCTTTATCTTCTTGTTATCCTTTAGAGAGTCAGAAGGGCTGGTATGAGCCCTTCTGGCTCTCAACAAACAATATGTTACCTGGGGGGTGTTTCACAAAGATCCAAAGTCGAACTTAACTCTAAGTTGGACTTAAATATTATGGATAGCCATTTGTAGCCTTAAAATAAAATATGTTCAAAGCGAAAATTCAAGTATTTTAGACTTTTTATAAATTCCAGATCAAGAACATGAAATCTCCTTGACAATAGAAAATTATGATTGATTTGAATCAACATTTTATACCGCTTAAAAAAACTTTACAAAACATTTTCAAAGATGCTAACGGCTTTCCATATTTTTTAAGTCCAACTTAGAGATAAGTTCAACTTAGGATCTTTGTGAAACACCCCCCTGAAGTTCAAATAGACGTAAATATTACATCAAACATCTATTCAGTGAAACCTGTTTATAAGAACTGCTCTAGGGAAACATGAAAAGTGGTCTTTATAGGCAGGTTCCTCTAGTACAGATTTCAATGAGAAAGCATATTTAATGGATATTAAAAATGGTTTTTCTATACTGATGGTCCCTAAAGTGGGTTTGACTGCATTTCGGTACATGCAACTAGCAACTATCTACTGAGTATAGATCATTTAAGATACATTGAGCCATGCGTAAACCTATGTCATATGACCTTTTTACTCTACCTCCATGCGGTATCAACACCTTGTCTTGCTAAACAAATATTGATTTTGTTACTTTAACTGCCATACGGCATTTATCTATTTACTTTTGTCCAATACTTCAGTCCATAGATCTTTGTCAAAAGCAAACAAAACCATATTTTCTTTTCATAATTTTGACACAGTAATTCAGTAATGCATTTTAAAACCCACTTCGGGTGATTATATGAGGCTTGCATACGTGTGGACTGTAGACCTGTATGTTACATAACTATTATCTGAACTGTGAGCACAAGAGAAATGCAGTTCAAAATTTTCGTCACATCTCGTGTGCATTTATAACGCCCCCATCAAGCCCCCATCATTCAATCGCCTAATATGATAGTTCACATCGTGTTCTAGAAATCGAGTTTGAATAGGAACAAGAAGTTAAATATTTGTTTATACTACTTTTCCCCCCAGGAATTCATCTTTTTAGTTGTTTGAAAGGGATTATAGAATGGAAGAAATAAAAGGGTTTGCACTCTGCACGATTCAATGAAGAAGAAAAAAAAACTGTCTCAAGCATATTTCCAGTTTTCTAGCTTGTTCAACCTCTTTTTTTTTTTTTTATAGTTCTTCCAGTTTCCCAAAAGTGACTAAAGTGCATCATAAGTTAATCATTTTGAAATTCTATTTGAATTATAAAGTATATATATATATATATATATATATATATATATATATATATACAGAAAATTCTGTCCCAAGGAGAGGAGCCATCCGCTCCTCCTTGGGACAGAATTTTCTGTATGATGGAGATTAACAGCTTCCTTTGTTCTGTACTTTATCTCAGAAAAAAAGCTGCTCTGTTGTGCACCTATTTTTAAAGTTTTGGTTGCGAAAAAAAGAAAAAAAATGATTTACAACACCTACCAAAAATTATATGAATGTTGTGCACCTATTTTCAAAGTAGCCACCCCTGGTGTATGTTCGGTTGCAAAAAAAAGAAGAAATGATTTACAACATCTACTAAATTATGTAAAGTGACCTACGGGGGTTTAAACAAAACATTATGATATGCTATCTAGCACTTCTCTTATCATTAACAAGAAAACATGCACCTTGATCTTTTCCCAAAAAGATGATTAACAACATTTACCCAAATTATGTGACTTGATTTATGGGGGTGTAAATGAAACATGATCTAGCGCTTCTCTTCTCATTAAAAAGAAAGCTCACGTAATTCAGAAGTGATTTTACTTGAAGGGTTAAGGAACTTGGGTCATTAATTACCATAAAAATTGTTTATTGTTACATATCAGAAGCAAACAAAGATATAACCCTCATTCAGCTGTCATTCATTCTTGAAGACTTGATTATAAATGTAAGGGATAAGTGAATGTACATTATAGTATGTAGAAAAAGCATCAAGTTCATTCTCATCATTGGTTGTCTTTTCTATAGTTATGTCTCTATTTTTTGTTTTGGATGATTTTGTTTAGGAATGATGAAATGAAATATTTCAGATACAATTAGAATGACAATATAGAAATAGGAAGATGAACTGAGTAGGATACAATAGGAGCATCATGATTTATTATATTCAAATCTATTTAATTTTTACAACAATGAATATACATCTACATTAGTAGGAATTGCTTGCTGCTGTCAAAAATGACAGAACAGTGATGATCAGAATGACAGTGAAAATACAAAGAAAAATAGAATTAATTGATTTAGATAACAATACTAACGCTTTGATACCCAATTTCATTTGTGACATTCAAATTTGTATTCCACAACAATGAAAGTATATTAAAGTACATATGAAAGCATTAAGCATTCATTAAAAGATATGTGACACAAACGTGGACACTTGTTCTGGTGTCAACAATAGGCCTAGTCAACAATCACAATATGATTGTGGTTATAATGACAGTATGAATACAAAGAGAAATAGAAATGAATCAAGTAAGATGCAATAGGAACATTATGATCCTAATTTATATTTTTCATTATCGATTATTTTTTCTTCTCCCCCTGTGAACAATGAATGTATATTGAAGTACCAATAGAAACATCAAGTAAAAGATACGTAACAAACTGCTGTCAACAATGACAATAATATTATGATTAGAATGACAGTATGAAATTCAAAGAGGAATGAAACAAGAAAGATACAATAGGAACATAATGATACTCATTACAATTGTGGAAGGAGCCAACAAATGACAATAAAGAAGACTTGAGTTCATTGGCAGTGTCATGTAATTGAGTTTGAACATGAAGTCTATGTTGACATAGAATGATAGTTGAGTGTTTTAATATGGTTTCCCAAATTGTGGTTTCCTATTCTATGTTTTTTTTGTGTACATGTTGTTCATATCATTTGTTTGTTCATGGTTAATAACGTGGTTTATGGGGTCAGGTCACACGCTGGTTTATTTTTCTCTACACGACAAGATATGGATTCTACAGTATGTCAAGGATCTTATTCTCTGCAAAGCGGGAAGTGAACTTTTCAATGTCTTGTCATTGAGCTTTTAAATAGCAGTGGCAAAGAAAGTCCAAAGTCTGTATGCATGGAAACAAGATAGAAAATTAAATTTGACAGTGGACTATTTAAAAAAAATATATTCCACAATTCTTTTTGCTTTATTAAAAATATACAGTACATGTATGCGGTCAAACAAATTTCCTTTCTATTACTTTTTGCCCTTCAGTTGTGTAAAATGTATATTGACGGAGGACTTAGGTCATTAGGAATTTTGTAAAACTCAATAGAGTTTGATCATGTTTTTGTCATAAAATGTCTTATTCTTATGTGCATTATGAATAGAGTGGACTTGACATTACATTCTTTGCTTGGTGTCTGGAGTTAGATTTCAGGAGTCTGTGACATGTTTTAGACTTTGTGACATTTTGTGGTTTTCTTGTTACTCGGCTCCTGAAACTAGTGTTAAGCCCTGCATTAACACCACATGGTCACTATTAAAAATCAAAATTTAACACAATGATTTAGTTGAATTTTGATACCCCCCCCCCCCCCCCAATGTATGGCATATGCTTTTGTTGGCTGTGTCTGTAACCCATAATTTATTTCAATTGTCACTTGACAGGGGATTTATCTTGTATTTCCTGCAATCTAAAAAAAACAAAAAAATTAAGGCTACGTGACTAATTTTACTTAGATATGTACATGTAATTTAGTGGTAGTATCAATATATTGCTAAATATGATGTGAAATACTCTCTTTGTATTGATTAAGCAGTTACCTGAACTTCCATATCAAGTTGTCAACATTTTGTTGCTTTATCAATCTGATTTTGAAATCAAATATAAAGCAATTGTCACTTACATTATATAATCCCTTGGTTCATTTGAACCTCTGAATATATTTTTACAAGTGATGATATTAATCCAGCTTCACAATAAATGCCTTATACATTTTTGTGTACATTTCAGCTACCGGTATGTCAAAGTAGATATCATGATATTCACTTTTTATGCCTCCACCCACGGTAGGAAGGGCTGGAGGCATTGTTTTTTTAACATGTTTCATGTTGCCTCTAAGCTATGAAATCAGAGGTAATTTGAAACTGAAATTCATAATATATTCATAGGAACTGTTCAAATTAATTCGGTTCTTTGGGTACAAAAGTAACAAGATACTAACTTCCACATTGTGTATGTGTGCAAGGCTCAGATCAAGGGTACACTTAGATTGAACACTGGAAAATTGTTCAATTATCCAAAACCATGAGACCCAGAAACAAATTAGCATTTTTATATTACAAAGTATCATTTGGGGAAGCTCAAAACAAGGTTTCAGCTTCATTGAGTTCAAATTAAAGATTTTAGAGCAATTTTATGATGAAAAAAGGCCTATTTTCAGCACTTTTAATGTTACATTCAAAACATGCACTAATTGGTTACCAGATTTTTACTAATTGGATGCAAAACTTATGATTTATTTTCATCTTGATGTAGAAGCTATGTAATAATTAACATTTCTGTTGAGTTAATTCCTAGTATTTTACTTTCTTATTCTATTTACATGTGATACAATTTTTGTGATATGTACATAACTTTGGTGTCCTGCAAATTTCAAACCTTACTAACTGAAGAATGGTGTATAAATAATTGATTTATTTACAAGCTTGCAATGTTATAAAGTTTAGTTTCAGTTTATCTTTGATTTCCAATCAGATCATCTCATTCTGGGTCATGGTTTTAAAAATATTTAGATGTCTGTAAATGGAAAATGTTTGGTGTCCTGCAGTTATGTACATACCAGTGCACCAGAATCTATACAAAAACATATTGTATACTTTCAAAATGACAATGTAATGGTGTATATAGGTGAATGAAGAGCACTGATAACATTGGATTCCGCATTTTAACTTGTATGTGTTATTTAATCAACAATGAATGTGGACACCGAGTTATGTACGTGACAGTTTTGTACGTATTCCATGTTTTGTTTTTCCAATAAGACCACCTATATTTAGTTATTTGTCATGGTAAGGTAGTAAAAAATGTATAAGACATACACACATCTGATTTGGTGAGAAGAATATTACAAAATATTGCAGTTTGAACTTTTTCATGTCATGTACATAACTAAGACACCATTATGAAAAGACACAGAGTTATGTACGTTACGACCAATCAAAAATTTGAAATAATTATCATAAATAAATTTATTTATTCCATACAGCATGAATTGCACCCTTCTGCATTTTCATTTAAACAAACAATTATTGAATTTAAGGAACAAGAAGTTATTATTTGAATGTAAAACTACTTACTTTTGGTGTCCACAGTTATGTACGATTAAGTACAAAAATCTTACATTTCAGTCTTGTAATAGTAGTTTACAAACTATTTACACATTGCAAATTATGTTTCATTCAGGAAACACATCATTCCTTCAATTGAAGTCGTTATCAGACTAATGCAAAACCTTATCTGACAATGAGGCAAAGAGAAAGCATGTAGAGAATAAGATGTACTGTACATAACTTGGTGTCCACATTTGTTTTGGCCATATTCTAATAACTAAATTGAAAAAAGTTGATATGGCAATGGTTTTAAGTTTTGTTTACAGAATGTTTTAACATCTAATGTACTTTGTCAGAAAAAGTAAAATTATAAGGGAAATATCAGCATGAAGTGGACAGTGGACACCGAGTTATGTACGTAACATTTCTGATGATGTGATATTTAGCTACTGATTGTTAACGGCAATTTGCTAAGGTCTGATTTTTTAGCTATATGTTGCATAAGGTTTGCAGATTACAAAAATAATGTTGCCACAGTCTATAATTGACTTTTAAAATTCACCTCATATGTAACACTTTTGTGCCCTTGCACATATTAGATTCTATGCTATTTCACTCAAGGATACCCAGTCTTTGAATTACCGTAATATTTCTCTTACAATTTGTTTATTACCTGGTGTTTTTCCTCCCACTTAAAAATGCTAACTTAAGATAACACTTGTTGAGGAGCCGCCAAGTCAGCAGGAGCTTAGTTGCCATAGTAACCACAGCGATGAGGCAAGTTATCAGGCCACGCCCACTTGAAGATGCACCATTGGCTCTTGAGTGTTGCACCATGTTGTGTCTAGATCACCTTTTCTGTGACTTGCTGCGTGCCACTTGATGTTTTGTATACATGTAGCTTTCTAACCACCCACTTCCCTCTAAAATCTTTGGTGTGCACACTAATGGCATGAACTGTTCTCCAGTTTTCAATTTTCCGCATTTCATGTTTGAATTAATTTAAGTACTTGTTATTAACTTTTTAAAACTAACCTTCTGACCACAAATTTTATTCTGCTCTAATGAAACCAGCATACTTTCTCTTATTGCGCTATGATACTGTTGCTTGAAAAAAAATATCCACATAAGCATGGACAGTGAATTAGTTTGCATGTGTTCTTGTTTCATGTTTGAAATGGATTTAATCCCGTAGTTTTTAACTCCTAACAAATTCACCATGCATGATTTTAGATTGTTCTAATGAAATCAGCACATCTTCCTTGATTGTGTTATGATATTAATTACTAAAACATTTTGCACTTTCTTTTGTAGTTATTATCACTGCATGTGTCATGTTTGTCTTTTAATATCTTGTACTTGAGCTATAGTTGTCATTGTGATACTTTTTGCACATAAATGTAATTTCATCTCCTACAGTTGCTGCTTTCATAATCCTAATGCCATTTTCCTGCACAGTGTATATTAAGCAGTGTTACATTGTTTTTGGATGTTGAATGCATGCATGCTTTTGTGGGCATGTTAGTAATGTTCTGATGGACATAGCTAAACTCTACACCATTTAACCTCTCCTGTGCTACTTATTGTTTCAACGAGTGTCCGAAATGAAATTTATAGTTTAATTATGACTTAAATGCCTTTTTCATCATTTCATTGGGTTTGAAACATTGTTCCATTTGGACAAAATGCTGCAATGAGCCTGCCTAATTATTGTTTCAATTTAAAAACAAATTTGCCAATTCCCGTTTAAATAAATTGTTAACTTTGGATTATTATTTTCTTCAATTTTTTTTTTTTTTTTTTTTTTTGGGGGGGGGGTTGGGGGGTTGGGGGGGGGGGGTCTATTCTTTTCTCAAAGAATGCTTTATTTGTTCGTAAAAGTAGTGCAGTTTTTGTTAAAAGTTCGGATTTGATGGGAAACGGTCAACAATTCATAATTGTGATATACTTTGACCTACCGGTAGTTTAAAATACTGAATAGAAATTTTCTGAATAACATGGTAAGTGTGATGCATGATTGCTCTGTGACATATGTTGCTATATTAGTAAGTTACCTTTTCAACAATGTTTATTTCAGTGATAGTGTCCTGAATATAAACAATCCTTGCTCAATATAAAGAAGAAAGCCTGCGCCTAAATCTCTCTCCCTTATCCTTTTATGAAAACGAACCATCAGTAAATTACCTTTAAAAAAAAAATCAGAATTCAGAGAAATGTTTCGATGAGAGCATCATGAAAAGAAACAATCTTTGCTCGATCTTGCTCGAAGGAAACCGTTCCCCTTGCACCTGCATCCCTCTCCCCTCCGTCCAAGTGCTGCAATATTCACTTACCTAGAGATCAAATTGTAGACACAAATTAGTCATAGCAATAAAATGGTAGACTTTGCTTATCAAATCTGAATTGCAACTATAGTTGTCATATGCTGGTATTAAAGAAATGAATGATCAATATTTATTTTCTTTCTCTGGCATGATTTAGTTTGAAATAGGGGGGGGGGGCAGTGATTATTTATTGTGGTTTGTAGACAACTCTTGAGTGCTACAGATAGGCAGGAGGCATGATGGTTTAGTGTTAGAGCATGCAGTGGTCTCGTAACCGGGAAATCCCAGGTTCGAAACCAAGTCCATGTGCTTTATCAGGTCCCTTGGAGAGGAAGCCTTCAGTCCCCTGGTTGCTTACTTATAAGATGCTTTGTTAACAGTAGGGTAAAAACAAACAAACAAGAACTATAGAGTACCGAAGCTGTGACGTCATAAAAATCTATTTTTAGAATTTCTCAATTTTTTCTTCATATTCCGAAAGAACATCAAAAATAATGTCCTAATGTCGAAAACCAATTAAATATGTTAAAGTGACTCGGTAACATTGTTGAAGGTTAATAAAAAAATTGCTTAATTTTTGTATAAAATGTTACTTACTATATTCCTTCTACTATACTAACCCTCTGACATGCAAAAAATCCTGAACAAATTCTCAAACCACAAAGATATCTATGGTTTTCTTTGAAGGCGTCGATGTGAGGCACCCTCTAACAGTGATTAACAGTAAATTCTCCCAACCATTTTTGAATTTTCCCAACCGTTTTTCCATGAGAAAAATACATAAAACACGCTATAAAAATCTGTCAACACTTAACTGTCTGGAATGGAATGTAGAGCCATTTTATTGCTTTGTGAAGATTTACATTCACCTAAAATGTAATTAAATTGTCCTTGTCTTGATGCTGAACAGGCTTTGACAAGTAGCAGAATAGAAGTAGAATAATATAGTTGGGAGAATTAAGGAATCGATCAGATCATTTTTCCCAATTTGTACCATGAATAATGATCCGTATTCACTCAAACTTTCAGATTATCTTTAATTGTACATCTAGCATTGAAGTCACTACCTTAGCACCACTATCTCTCATCTGAACAATGTTACAAAGTCCCTTTAAGTATTGGCTGAGATATGACCATCTGAATAAATATACTCCCCATAGGAACTCAGTGTTATATGCTCTGGCTCCTAATGGTTAGGAGCCAGAGCATATAACACTGAGTTCCCATAGGACATATATTCAATAAGATGGTCATATCTCAGCCAATACTTAACATATTTAATTGGATTTCGACATTAGCACATTATTTTTGATGTTCTTTCGGAATATGAAGAAAAAATTGAGAAATTCTAAAAATAGATTTTTGATGACGTCACACTTCACCACTCTATAGCTTCATTTGTCCAACATTTCCATAGGACCAATACTGATGAAAACATTTTAACATGCCATGTACGAATGCGCTTTGTTTCTGCTTTGGTATTGTATATTTTGGAACATGAACCCATCTTTAGAAAGGGAAATATTTCCCAGATGTACGGTATAGCTTTATTGAAAAATTGGCACTGCTGTTATGATTCAATTTGCTGTCAATCAATATTGTTTACTTAATAACACAAAACAGATACAGGATGGAGGGCTAAACATACAACCATGAAAGATAATTAAAATTCTTGTGTGTTTTAGAAGCTGCAGGTATTCAAAGTTCAAAGTTCATTTTATTTCCATTTCTCGTATAAAAATACATTTAACAATACATTATACATAAAAGCAAATATATAAATATAAATAATACAAAGAATATGGAGGAGCCAGCAGAGGCCATTGGCCTTTCAAAGGCTGGGCTCCAATGTCCTCAGATAATAATACAAAGTACAGAGAAAAGAAACAATGGGTAGTAAATATTGCATATCATCTGTTGAAAGATGATACACTAGCTGTACCATCACTCATAACTTGATTCTGAGTAAGATTGGTGACTGTTTAAATTTTTTTGTATCCATTATCCAGCGCAGCCGAATATATTTTGTATAAAAGCTGTGCTATATAAATTTATTATTATTATTATTATGATTATTATTATGATCAATTTCATTATAAACTGCTCAATTTATAAATGTAGCTACCCTAATTACTCATGAGCACATTAATTTATTATATAATATATAATAATTTGATTGTAGTGACCACATTGTTATTTATATATATTTATGTATCACTCAGACTCTACAGCTACTTTGATGTTATTCAAGGTACTTTTACTATTGTTAGGTATTTTTTTGTATTTTTATTTTCATTTGAAATCCGACCATAAGTTCTGGTTGCAACAAAGAAATAATGATAATGATAAAAACCTCATCCTTATTGAAGATTCCTGGAAGAGTTTAGAGATGATTGATATTGTAATTGTTAGTCAGGGTTATGGGATGATGTACCCGGCATTTGCTCTGGCGACACATTATCCATACATGCCAACTGTTCAGATTAAAGAGGAACATTCCTCTTTTTGGGAGAAGATAATTATCATTTTAATGCAAGTGTTCCTCTTCCTGTACAAATTTGTCTGTAGTATTGAATAGGAGAGTTAGGATTGTTCCTCTTTTTTTTTTAAATAGCATAATTTGTATTGTAAAGATTTCTGATTTTCAAATGTTGGCATGTATGATTATCTGGAAATGATCAAATAAATATGTAGGTTTAGAATTAGGTTTAGGTTTAGTATTGAAGTTAGGGAGCGTATTGGGTCCAAGGTGGAAGTTGAGAATTCAATGTAAGAAACTGACGGGGGGGGGGGGGGGGGGGGGGGCATTTGTCACAAGTGTCGTACAGCTGTTCACGGATGTGGTGAAAATTTTCTTGTTGTTTCTAGGTAATCTGACACTTAATCCACAATTAAGTTTTATTCTAATTCAATTCAATTTAATAAAGATTTATTTAAACATGACTCAGTCACAGGCTAAATTGTACATATTTTTACAGTGCATGTAAAATACAATACGAATTGCAACAATAAGAAAACATGTCAAATTGAATGTAAAAGATACATAAATGAGAAATTTGGAATAATAATAGAAATTATATATCACAACTACATATTCTTAAATTTTTATGGTCGCAGCTACAATTGTACGGCCGTACGGCGCTATTTGAAATTTATCAGCATTTACCGGGAGCACCGGTAAATTTTTATATTCAATTTTTCTCGAAAGCAGAAGTGTTTTAGGGGCTAAATTTTCTAGTGCTTATATTACATCCACAGGCGCATCCAAATATATCAAAATTGAAAAGAATCACCACCATCCAATTTTCAAAAATTCCCAAAACTTTGTATTACCTTTAATGTTGTTTGTATGAATTTTTCCATTCCCCATATTTTTTCTGGCCTTCAAACCATCAACCACAGTGTCAACAGCCAACCTCCTAATGCTAGGTGTCACGCTAATCTACCATGACTAATTTGTTAATTGCAAACAGAAGCAATTGGTCGTAGCTAACTAGCTATTCTTGTACGGCTGTAGGAGCTATTTGAAATTGATCAAAATTTACCGGGAGCACCGGTAAATTTTTATATTCAATTTTTCTCAAGAGCAGAAGTGTTTTAGGGGTTAAATTTTCTTGTGCTTATAATACATCCACAGGGGCATCCAAAAAAATCAAAATGGTAAAGAATCACTATCCACCCAATTTTCAAAATTTCTCTTTAACTTTGTATTACCTTTAATGGTGTAGAATTTCTTTAAAAAGTTATTGATTTCAGGATGATCAATATATGGTTTAAAATAGCTTTCATGTACTTTTTTTAACTGTTTATTGTTTTGATAAGTTTATGTGTGAATAACTTGTAACGAATATACAGGTGAGAGGTTTTTCCCTTGTGATTTATATATTCATGCAAGTTGCACTCACTTTGATTAGGTTCCGATGATATATTTGAGAATATTTGATTAAGTTCAGATTTTTTTTGTAAGTCAAGAATGTTTTTAATAAGTATATAGTTATGTAGGTGGGTTTTTTGTAAATGTCTTGCGAATGTTATAATCTTTCAATTTGCACACACATACATACAATAACATAAGTTTCAAACATTTATTTGAGAACATTCTTGTGTTTGAGTATAGGGTCACACAGTAGGAATTTTGGCATCAAGTGTTGAAGACTATTTAAAGAGTGGCACAGAAACAATAGGACAATGTGGAATTAGTTCACATTATTTATATAGAAATAGAATAGAAATAGAAATTGTAGAGTGAATGTGCAACGTGATGCTTCAATGCCCCCAATGTAAGCTAGTGCCTGTGTCATCTCTTGTGAAAAATTGCTACCGTAAATCTCTGTGTGTAAGGCGCACCCCTATTTTGGGGGTAAAAAAAAAAAAAAAAAAAAAAAAAAAAAAAAAAAAAAAAAAAAAAAAAAAAAAAAAAAAAAAAAAATCGTTTTTTGTTTTGTTGTTGTTGTTGTTTTGTTGCCGAAAACCCACGCGGGGAAGGACCTTCATTTTACATCGAGGTGCAGTAGAAGTTGTGAACTTGTCACAAATAATAGTAACAACAGTCTAAGGCTTCATGATACCAAGTGTCCCACACCAGCCTCATCACATCACCTGGCAGAAGCACTGTGTTCTATGCCAAACATCAATAGTCATGCATGATATGAATAGCATCCTCTATCTTTCTAATAATGGAGTACCTAGGATAGAACCTTGTGGTACACCATTTGTTATAGAAAACATAGAAAACATAGGAGACATTGCCAGGCATAGCGCCATAAATCCAAAAAAAAAAAAAAAAAAAAAAATTCTGTACCTGTGTATAAGACGTACCCCCGAATTTCAAATTTTTTCGGCGCAAAAAAGTGCGCCTCATACACGGAGATTTACGGTATGTTGTATTTGTGTACACCTGCATGAAAGCACCCTAATGTTGAATGAGGGAATGAGTGTACTTAGACATGTATGAGTAAACAAGAGTTTCCATGTCATGTAATCTGTTCCATATTACCTTGTTGTGCTCATGAAAGACAGATACTGGTTTGGCTTGCCCTTTGATGTCTGGTATTTATTATCTACTTTCTAACACTGACCTTGGCCTGTTTTATATACACCGTGCCACAGTTGATTCAAGTCGGTGGCAACTCGCCTTGTGTTTAATTTCAATTCCAATTCCAAATACATGACACTGTATTCATGTTCGTGTGTACAGTGACTATATATTCAATAATGATGTGTACTCGTCCATGACCTAGCATCGCTTAGCCATTTTATGAATGAACCTGCATTCAATCAGCAGATGTACGAGATTTATTGTGTTATTACCAACGCTCCTTCTCTCCCCTTTCCTTTTCTTCTCTGCAAGTCAGTCTTTTCTATTTGTATTTGTTATTGTTGTTGTATCTAAGTTAAGGCACGTCAAGCTACTTTGCTTATTTCTGTAGCCCTCCTGCATCTAATGTATGTTAATTATGCATTCAATATATTTGTTTAAATTCGTTCATTATCTGTATAAAATTATATACACTTAAAATATTGTATCAAACCATATTATGTTCATGAAAATGTATGATGAAAAAAGAAAAAAAAAGATGCAGAAACCAATAAATCAAATCAAATCAAATCAAATATAACTCTGAAATTGATTACATTTTGATTGCAACCCTGTATTGAATTTGGCCCTGGGTGATCATATGTTCTTATTTATTGTTTCTTTGGGTAAAAATCTCTGTTCGTATGATAACATTTTTCCTTTTTTTAATGTTTATAATATATATTTTGTTTGTAGGAATCAAAGCAATCTCTCTCTGAAGAGGAAAACCAAAATGCGCTGGGAAGTCAAGAGATAGGGGAAAAGTTATGTAACCATAGCGACACGGCTCATGAACTCATTCCCATGATGCATCAGGGAGGGACAGATGAAGGTAAGTCTTTGGGGTGATTGAGAAGGACAATCAGGGAAAAAATTAATATTCATTTTTCGGGGGCTACTTTTCAACCTTGCCTGCATGAAAATAACATTCTAAACAATTTTTTGCATTGAACTCTATGCAAATTTAAGGGGGCTCTTTTATGATTTTCGGGGGCTCTTTTGGGCATTTCGCCCTGAGCCCCCGTGTATTTTCTCCACTGAGGACAATGACTAGAATGTTGTACATTTAATGACATGGCTCATGAACTTGTCACAACAGAAAATATGTATTACCTTTTGGGGAAAGTTTATAGTTGAAAAGTATGGAAGGAAGCGATTAATGCATAACAACTAGCACATTCATATTCTGGAAGTTTCCTCAAACTATAAAATAACCCTTTATACAGTACTTTCATGCTGATTTAACTCATATTTGAGGACTTCAATCTTTAATAAAAGAAGTGATGCATTCATTAACGGGTTCATAACTCTTTGATATCAGTTTGCTCAATCACAACAGATTGTGTGCCATTGAACATAATAGCGATTGTATTTCTGGTATTTTATTGTAACCTTTGATTGGATGTGAATTACATTTTCTGTTGAAACCAGGGGTGTTTGCTCAAGTAAGCTACCAGTCAATTATTAGGGTAATTGAGGATACAAGTTATGTGGTTGGATGATTATTACTTATCATTGCTGTTTAAAGGCGTGTTGTGAAATGAATGACTTTAGGGAACATAATGATTGTATCTATTCTGATAAATGAATACTTTCGATGAAGAAAAAAAATTACCAGAGAATTACTATTTCTTCCTTCTTCTTACACTCTGCTTTGTCCCCCCCCCCCCCCCCCCTCAGCTAAAGTGGTTAATGAGCGTTACTCTGGTGTCTTCAGTTTCAAGCACAAATCATCAGTTATACCACACACAGAGCTCACGGACAAAGAGAAAATAGATGAAGAGAGGGAAGAGAAGAAAAGCCAATCTAGTCTCGATCTGAGCATGAAAAAGGACCAGGAGACAAGCTATGGAGGCGTGTCGACAAGTATATGCAAGGATCCAAGCCTCTTTAGTGTTTCTACTCCAAAGAAGGTGCGTGAATCCGATGGGATTTCGTCTTCTCAGGATCCCAACGATGGTCTGCAGGACCATGAACGCGCCTACCGCCCACACAGTAATAGTGATGGCCATCACCATCACCATGGACACAGTCACCATGGACACAGCCACGCCCCTGGAGGGAAGATGGGCATCTCTGCGATTGCTTGGATGGTTGTGATGGGTGATGGGGTGCACAACTTCACGGATGGGCTCATCGTTGGGGCGGCCTTTGCGGACAGCTTGGCAGGCGGTCTGAGTACAGCTATTGCGGTCATGTGCCATGAAATACCCCATGAACTTGGTAAGAATTCTTCCTCCGCTCAAAGTTCAGCCTTCATAATGGAATTCAACAAAGCACTTAATCAGGCATCATTCTCATTGACAGATATATGGGTCATATTTTCTCCTTCTGTTTTACTTTAGTTTACACTTGCAAAATTTCATTTCATACTTTTTGCTGTTATATTGTCTCATCCCAAGTCCATTATAGTCTGCCTGTGGAAGAACTTAATGGCTTTCCTATGTATTTCTATTAGGCCATTTTTAACCATTGTATTATATGTCACCCATTTATCTACTTTTAAACTTTTACCTTTGGATTTTCTGTCTTTCTCTCTGTGTCTGTATGTGTCTCTCTCCCTCTCTTCCTGCCGACCGTCTATTTTATTTTTTTAACTCTGACCTATTATAACCCTGTCTGTCTGTCCGTCTCTATGTCTATGTATCTGTTTCTATCTCTGTCTCCGTCTTTCTGTCTCTGCTGTCTGTCTCTGTCTGTCTGTCTCTGTCTGTCTGTCTGTCTCTGTTTCTCTCTCTATCTCTCTCTGTCCCTCTCTCTCTCTTTCTCTCTGTCCCTCTCTCTCTCTCTCTCTCTCTCCCTTCTTCTCTTTCTCCCCCTCTCTCCATAATAACCCATTCAACCATTCACCCACCTCTCCTGCTATATCCATCCACATCCAGGTGACTTTGCTGTGATGCTACGAGGCGGCATGAGCATCAAGCAAGCGTTGGCATTCCAAGCAGTCTCGTCCATCTTGGCCTACATGGGCATGGCTATAGGCCTCAGTATAGGACACCTCAGCTCCGTTAGTCTATGGGTCTTTGCATTAGCTGCAGGAGCGTTCCTTTACATAGCACTTACAGATTTGGTAAGCCATGTTCATTCTACATTTGAATGTGTAAATTGGTAATTCTACTCACATTTAGATTTATCCTTTCATTTCATTATTAAAAATGGATACCAAGGACAAACATAATTTTTGTTTCAAAAGAAAAGTAGCTGAGTTTATATTCATTAGAGAACTAAAAATAAATCCTAAGTTACCTTGTTGACTTAGTTTTATCCATTCATTTCATTTCATTATTACAAATAGATACCGAGAACAAATGCAATTTTTTTTTTGTCAAATGAAAAAAAGCTGGGATTATATGTTCATCAAAGAACTAAAAATAAAGCCCAAGTTGCCTAGTGTGTTCAGCTCACTGTAAGTAATTAAAGTCTGATTTGGAGACACGACACTGTTACCAATCAACTGCAATGAAAAGGAATGAACAGTATACAAATCAAATGAGAAGAGAAGCTGACCTTGACATATATCTGTCTATCTCCAAACAATGGTTTCATATCCTGGAAAGGACATAATACATGTACGTGTACCAGATTTTAAGGGAAAGTCCACCCAAATGGTATCACTCGTTCTCCGATTAATCAATGTAAATTTTGAAATTCTGAATATAATGTTATCGTTTTCAATGACGTCATATTTATTTGATTATTACTGAGTTTTTACTGTTTTCATCAACTTGTTTGATGGATAGTAATTTGTAGTTCCAACCATGACATGAACATTTTAAATGCTTTAAGAAATTAACATTTGTTTCTTCAATATTACTTGAAACCAAGAGGTAACCTTCAAAGGATTCTTTTACACCTGCTGTGGTTCACTGTCATAAAAAAAAAGAACATTTTCTGGCAAAAACAAAAAAGGGTAAATATAGTGCCCTTCACATTAATATGTACCTCATAGCACACTAGCAATTGAGAATACATGTACTTCTGAACCTCTGCAGTGCATAGTTCCTATTGTTTTTCATTCTCACCTGCCATTTAATTACATGCAAAAGTAGTATTCATTTTGTTGTGCCGTTTTTATTTTTATTTTATGGCATCATTTGTGAATGAAGACCAATTTAGATGCTTAATCTTTTTTTTTTCTTCTCTCTTTCTCTCTATCCAGTTCCCTGAGATGGTAGAAAGCATGAACGTCACCACCGACAATAAGTCCTGCCATCTCTTGCTTCAAGTCCTTGGGGCCCTGTTTGGGGTCGGCACCATGCTCATTATCGCGCTCTACGAAGAACTCCTCATAGAGGCACTTGCTTAATACCAAAGAAAGATCGATTCTTTGAGAAATTCAGTAGTCATGGCTATTCAAATGTGTTGTACCGTTTGCACTGTGTTTTCTCTCTCTATCTTTTAGTGTAAAGGGTTGGAGTGGGTGCCATACTCATCCAACACTGATGATATAAAGGTATTAACAAATATCTGCATTCAGGCCTGTGGAAGCTACAGAAATTTCCATTGAGTTCTAAGAAAAGAAAAAGAAAGATAGGTGGCAGACTTTGAACCCATACTTCTGTATAAATATAAGCTGAATATTACTTTTGAAAAGGTTTTGCTCACATGAATGTCATGAACTTTGTGAATTGCAGTAGGGTCACGAATAGGACAACACCTTATAATATAATAAGCAGGCGATACGCATATAGAATTGGTATTGTCAGTAGCTTTGGCAAATTACCCAAATACATCCACCCAAAGCAATGTTTATTTGCACACATATTGGATTGTACAGTGATGAATTTTCTATATTTTTCTGCACCTGGTTGTTGTTTTAAATGCTACTGTGATAAGCAGCTTGCCACAAAATTAAAGCTAATCTCGAGCTCTGTTATTGGAATCGTATCTTGAGAAAAAATGGCTATGATTTATTCTGGATTGTTTATCCTGCAGTAGATTGGTTGTTTGAACCAGTGACTGGGTGAAAAAAATTTAAAAAATGCACAAAAACTTTAATACTGGGGATCATCTTTGATAAAAACCACAATTCCCATTTGCACAGCACATGGTATCGAGTCTATTTACATGGATTTCCTTATCTTTCTATGCTCATAACTCAGCCAGCATACATTTTCTACCAAACTTGTTTGGCACATGCTAATTATTTGTAATCTTGAACAATCAGTGTGAGTTTCGCTGGATTCTGTGAGAATTTATTTTCTACATTTACCAGAACTCAAGTTTATCTTTAAATCAGGGAACAAGTAATAAAATTGATTGATCCACGTATATAGCCTCATTAAAAAGGCATGCTTGTAAATTGGCATTGTACCATCCTGTCTGGTCTCAATCTCTTACTTTTGGATAGGAACAGATGTATATGAATTGCTTTCCAAAGGAGTTGTGAATCAATAGCAACTCTTGCTAAAATGGGATCCTTGAATATAGAGACATACATGTAAACCATGTTATTTGTCTAGGCCCATAGAGCTACAGAGATCAATTCCTGCTCATGGAGAAATAGTGTACAATGATTACATGGTGCCAAGTTTAACTTCTGTATTGATATTGGAAGAGAAACTGAGAACTTTACTTGTGCAATATTGTGTAAATTGTTGATACCATAATCTTTGCCTCATAATAGTAAACCTATTGTTGAAGTATTTGAATGCTTGCTTCTTTAAAGCATAGTTCTTAAAGCATTATTGTTATACTCCTGTTTGGTGAGGGTTTTGGGGGTAAAGAATAATGAGGGAAGCTGCTTGTACATGGCGTGGAAAAGATTAGACTTTTGCATTGTCGGTCAAATGAACATACGTTTATAAAGGCCAATCATACATAGAAAATGGCATGAGTACATGTATGTTGAGCATTTTAAATGAAATATTAAAGGGGTCAAAGGCAGTGGTATGTCAATAAAATATTGTGGTCTTGAAATCAAAACTATAATTGTTTCAAGGTGATGGAGTAACCGATAAGTGAGTATTGTAACTTCATAACTCATTGGAATTCAATGTATATGTTTATTGCCTTTTGGCCCAATGCCAGCTCGTTTAAGTTCCTCCCAATCATATTTAATAAACATTCTGATCTGCTGTTATCTATTTTCCATAATACAACTTGGGTATATAGAATAAACAGGTTCAGGCAAACAGTGATAGATTGATACGTTAATAGATAAACTGGTTATAGCCAGTTAAATGATAAACTGGTTATAGCCAGTTAAATGGAGGTAGACGAGCTGGCATATCACCAGTTTGCAATAAATCTGTGTTTGTTCCGAGCCTTTGAATAGAAGGTACCAGGTACCTGTTGCATTGCACCAGTTGTCAATAAACCTGTACCTAATTGATGAAGCAGGTTTATTCTATTAAGCTTATATATCATGGATAGAAATAAAACCTTTGAGTAGAATGTGAATTCACCAAGTATTTAACAACATCTTGCCCAGATACCTCAAATGAAATGGACGAAAACCTCAAACTTGATTGAGACAATGTCAATCATGAGCCTAGCTATTATTGTAGTAGCATTTAGGCTATTATTATTTTTTTATTCTGAATTTATTACTGTGCCGTATGTGCCAACCCGAAACCGCATTGAACATTTTGCAATCGTGTGTGTGTGTGTGCGCGTTTCTGTTGACTTTAAATGGAAATGCTTATATTGCTTAATTACTTAATACATTTAGAGATTTGTCTGCTTCTAGGATCCAAAGTGCCAAGAAAAGTTACCTATTATAACAACTGCAGAAAAACAGTTCAGCTAATGATCGAATATGTGATATGTTCTCTCTTTCTTGTTGTTGAGATATTTGTATAGCTCATTGTCCAATGTGTCATGAACTGTTCTGAAATCAAAGAGTGTTCTATGATGACTGTTTGTTCACCGATCACGAGAGTACCTATTATGTTGTTCCATTCAATTGGTCTTCCTATACATCTCAATAGGAACTAGTTTGTTTCATTTCTTGACATGTCAACTCAAGCAGCATTTCTTAGCGCCTTGAGGACCTTGCAAGGTCGATAAGTGCGCTATATAAAAATCCAATATTATTATTATTATTATAAATTGACTATGCTTAGATTGGGAAGTGGACATTGAGACCATTACAAAGGCAAGTGCTATTGATAGAAACAAATCTTTTTTTGACAGAATGGTTTTCGCAAGTGTTGATGTTGTGTCTAAACAAATGGTAGTTTATTGGGGTGGTGTTGTAACTTTTTCACAAACCTTTTATCACCTTTATCAGTGTTATAAATTTCTTTTTTTATTGTAAGACAAATAACCAAGAATCAGTCTATTTGTATCAAGTGTTTAGAGTAGTTTTGCCAGTTTACTGGGGTGGATTCATATGCTTTCTACACAGTATTCATAGTGAGATATACATTTCTAATTATGGATGAAAGTACAAAAGTCAAAAGTTAGTCATTTGAAATTTGTGATTTCTTTGGTTCTTGAATGGCTCAAATCTCGGACATATTGTGGATTTAAACTAAAATTCTTGAATTATTCTAGTTTGCATTTTAGGGATGGCCCTCTCACAGAAATATTTCAAATATTTTGGACGTTTTCTGTCACTATAGATATTTACTTTTTATGACAGATTTATTTATCTATACAGATGATAGGATTGATACCAAAGCTTTGATAATGTATGTTAAGAGCCAGAAGGTTGTTGACTCTTTGTTAAAGTGTATGAGTTGATGCCCTTCGGGCTCAAAACAGACAAACTATAACAGTTGTTTGATGGGGTTATAACAACAATTATCTGGTTTCATGTGCTATGTTAATATATATATACATGTACAGTCTAACCTGCTGTAGCCAGAGATACCACCTGTCTATAAAGACCACTTTGTACTTGAGTGGTCTAAGTATACAGAATCCAATGCACATGCACATTACTTGTGACCTAATGGCTATTAGGTGATGGTAACAAAAAATAGCTGCAGCAGACTAAATACACATGTATAATCGATATGTATATACACTTAAGGATAGTACATGTATTTTCGCTTTTTCTGAATGTATTTTACCAAGTTTGTTACTAAAAAATAGTGTTATTTTGTTCTTTGAAAATTCTTACGTCACACATTTAAATTTGGCGTGTAACTTGTTTCTTGTCAATAATTGTAGTTGTACCATTTAATACCACAAGGTAAAGGTACTGATTAAAAATCCTTGTAAGGAGTTATATTGGCTTAATCTGCATGTATAAATACATACCTGCCAACTACTACGATTTTGGTGTAATTATTATGATTTTTTGTTTTAAATTACGCCTTACGATTTTGTATCACAAAATAACGATTTTTTTTTTATTTACTTATTTTTTTAATTTTTTTTTTTTGTGCCCGTTCACCTGGCACTGTCCAGGCCGACGCTTAACCGTGCCCGGGAGAGAGCACCGACATGGTACCATGGGTAAAAATGTTTCACAGCTCAATCACTGTCAACTCAACACTCAGAAACTGTGACCAAATGTCCAGATTTGTGTTTGGACTCGGAGAAAAATTATTCTGTCCTCTTTGGTTTAAAATCAGCATTGTTTACTATTATTATTTTTATTAGATCAGCGCGTTCAACTGCAACTCAAAGTAAAATCGTGTGAGTTTTCGATGACGGGCCTGGTATATCATACTTCTACTTCTACCGTAGTATGGTGGTGTAAAATAAAAAAATGTATTTGAGTATTTGCATGTAAGCCTGGGAGTGTACTCGAGTACCTCATTACACGCTTATGCACAGCCCTTTATTTTTCTCCTCCGGGTTCTATTTCATCAGGGGAATTTGAGCTTTTAGTCCTTGTTTTGGTTTGTTTTTTGTGGGGGAGGGGGTTGCATAAGTGTTGAAAAATGAGTTTAAAAGTGAAGGAAAAGGGCATTCCTACATGTTGAAAATACCAAAGGCTCCCTACCGTGGGAGGGGGGACAGCCCTCTCCAAAACCCAACCCCTGCTTGGTCGCTTCGCTCCTTCGTTCTGTCGCTCCGCTCCGTCGCAGTCCCCGTAAAAAATGATTACTATTTTTAGTCTTCAAAGGTTGGCAGGTATGTAAATAAATTTCTTATAATGGATTTTTTGATATTGTAAATGAATGTACCAAGCTTGTAAAATGCAGAGGAAAAGACATTGGTATGTAAGAAGTAATACACCCCCTATATTTGCAATACTATTATGTAATTATCATTTAATTTCTTCTGTACTCACTTCTTGATTTTTTTCTATTTCCATATATATAAAAACTGAGTATTATTATTATTATTATTATTATTATTATATGTCCAATTGCCCAATCTCATTTATATAATTCAGAATTTACAATGAGAAAAAAAAGCATTCAGTTTTAATGAATTTCACCAGGACTAGTGTGTGTGATCATTCGTGAACATGTGTGCCAAAATGTGTGAAGAATTCATATGGTGTGTGATGATGAATTGAACATTTCAGTCCATTTAATTTCAATCCATTTAAAATCACTTAAAACCAAAGAATATCTCGTGACATTGGGATGATTTTCTCCTTAATTTACACCATGTTACTCATAAAGAAAATTATATTTGGGCGGATTAGTAATACACCGTCTGATTCTTCTGAATAAAGTGGTAGTTTTCATTTCGACACATTACAACACCTCGAGGCTCAAGATAGAGTTTGGAAATACCATTCATAAAGTTCTGATAGGCCATTTAAATCTTGAAGCACATTCTTATCACTAAACCGTTTGTTTGACTAAGTGTATACTTTTTTTTGTGCTAAATGATCACAATTTCTTTATTTTTTCCTCCTATTTTATTATTCTCTGTATTCTTTTTGTCTCGCCTGCGTAGCAAAAAGCAAGACATAGGCGCCGCTTTTCCGGTGACGGCGACGGCGGCGGCGGCGGCGACAACGGCATCAACATCAAAAACTTAACCTAAGGTTAAGTTTTTGAATTTTTGATATAATTTTTAAAGTATAAGTTCTTAGTCAATGAAACTTTGACTATAGGGTAATCAAGTATCCCCAATCATGTGAGTAGAATTTCAGATCACAAAGTCAAGGTCAAAGGTCATTTCAGGTCAACGGACTTGGACTATGTTGTAGCATCATCATCGAAAACAACCTAAGGTTAAGTTTTTGAATTTTTGATATAATTTTGAAAGTATAAGTTCTTAGTCAAAGAAACTTGGACTATAGGGTTATCAAGTCTCCCCAATCATGTGAGTAGAATTTCAGGTCACTAAGGTTAGGTCAAAGGTCATTTAAGGTCAACAAACTTAGACTTTGTTGTGGCATCAACATCAAGATTTTCAAAATGCTTCTTCTTCGTTATTTTTCAACCGATTTTGATTCTGATTGTTTCATATGATAGGGCTAGGAGGGGGATTTAAAATTTCTACACAGAATCGTGAAATTCATTATCTATGCTAATTTATGCAAATTTATTCAAAACCACAAAAAAGGCTTCTTCTTCATTTCTCTACTGATTTTGATTTGGTTTGCTTTATATCGTAGAGCTAACTTTGGTTCACTAAACTTCTACACAGAATTTTGAAATTGTTCTCCATTAATTAATTATGGTAATTTATGCAATTTATTCCAAAAATAACAAAAATTGCTTCTTTTCCCTCATTTCTTGACCGATTTTGATTTGGTTTGCCTTATCTGGTAGAGCTAAATTTGGAACACTAAACTTCTACACAGAATTGTGAGACTTTGTTCCATTGATTATTTATGGTACTTTATGCAAATGAAATGAAATTATGTCCCTTCTAGGGCATCAAATTTTTATTTTTTGACCAGTTCAAAAGTGTACCACATAAAATTTACGATATTTGTTGTTGCGAGATGGGGATGAGCGCTACGTCATTGACGTTCTGGTTTATCATATTGAATTGCGTTATGCAGGCGAGACCGCCGAGAGCGTTTCCCTTGTTTTATTTTTTATTACATGAGTCACAAATGACAAAATATTGTCGTCATGAAGTCAATGTGATACTGAGATATATGATATGTTATATTTGATATCCAGAGGTTCATTTTATTTACTACATGTGTAAAAATGCAACTGGACATTTGTCTCAATATCCCTTACATGTACATTGTGTATGTCATTTTAATGCTAATGTTACAGGTCCCTTTTTTATTCTCTTTTATTTAGTATATTATTTTTGTCTTAAAATCAACTTTCCAATTGATCATGAGGCTATTAATACCTTGTATAATTTCTTTTGTCATGGTTTTTTAAAAACGGAGATTCATATTGCTAAAATGTTTTTCTGTCATTGGTTCAACAAAAATACTACGAGATAATTGTGTTGACTTCTCGCACTCATGCACTCTAAGGCCACGCATTATGCTGTATAGTTATAGCAAAGAACACTATTTTATTTTTTTTTCTTTTGCTCTTTCTGATACAAGAGGCTTTGATGGAAATCAGTATATATGTTTGTATTGTCAAATCAGTTATGTTCAGTATGATATTGCTGTATGAAATCTCACAAACATAGGACATGTATATATACATTGTATAAAGTCTGAATATACTGCCTTGAATGGAAAGATAAATATTCTGCAATAAAGAAAGGCTTTACCTTACAACTGACTTCACTTCATTCATCTTTGTATGTCTGATTTTTATTACAGTACCGGTATGCACTGTTTGTACCACGACAAGCACAGAAAATCTATGTGACATAAATATATTACAATTTAAAAGTGTCCTTTGCTAGGCCCCCCCCCCTGAACAAAAATCAGCCCTTTCCATGGCAAAATGTGTGTTGAAGTGGCTTTTAATTTTCTTTTTCTGTCCATATTTTTTTTCTACATCTGTTTGGCAACTGTATAAATAATTAACTAGAATTACTTTTTTTCCAGAAAATGTTAGTCAAAGTTTGTTTTCTATTATATTACTGTCTGTGATACTTTGGACTCGTCTAGCATTGGATAATTTGAACAATTTCTTATCAGTATCTCATAAACATACATCTTTTCTCTCCTATTCATTTCAGTCATTTCCTCCAGCCTTGCTCACATATTTCACAGTAAACTGCCTTTTAAAGGTACCGGTACTTTGTTCAATTTGCAGCCAACATCCAATTCTGTGGAACTTTGCAGGAATTATGAATATTTCATGTATGTCCTATCTGTGAAATTTAAACGTTAGCAGTGTCCTAGTATTCAAATTATGCAATGGAACTCGTTTACTTGCTAGACTTCACTGTCAGATACTGTTGAGTGACTGACTGACTGAATTTTTTCTTTGGTAATAAAATACATAAAATGAGCCTTAAAAGGTACATGAGCATTTGTTTACATCAATAACCCACTTCTTGTAATGGCCAAAATTAAACTGATTGAATCTCTGCGCAGCACAAAATGTACACCATTCTGAACAAGGGTCTGAAAATCAGACTTTTTACTACAAGGATTGCAATCTAAAGTAGATTTGACAACTAAAGGTTGTTATTTTCCCACAAAAAGACATTTTCAAGCCTTTTCATTTTGAGGGAAGAACTAAAATTAGTATTATCTTTCAAATACCAGTGGAATTTAACCTTTTCATTTTTTCAGCCTGCAAAAGATGCAGCAAATAAAAAAAATCCATTTCACATTTCACATTTCACATGCAAAAGATGCAGCATATAAAAAATTCCATTTCACATGTAAATAAATGGCAAATGGGTTTTTGAAAGAAAAATGTAGTCGTTCACAAAAAAACCTCAAGCGAATTCGCATAATCTGTGCATTTTAGGATACAGAAATGGGATAGTGCATTACTCTGAGTAATTTCAAGTTGCCCTGGCAGATTTGTTTGTGGTGGTTTAGTGCATCACAGGTGACAAGTCTTGACCTTTTGTCAAGCTTTACTTCAGTGTCGTTCAGCTTTCATCATCAGCACACTTATACCCACCATCATTAATGAGATATCTCATGTTTTTGAAAAACAAAAAGGCCAGGCAGACGTTTTGGAGGTGGTTTAAAAAAGAAAGAAATATGACAATCCTGACCTTTTTTGTCTGGCCCTGACAAAGTTTTGCCCACGTTACGCTTCCCCTTTCATCATCAGCACACTTATACCCACCCTCATCAATGAGATATCTCGTGATAAGGCGTTAAAAAAAAAAGATGTGCAGTATTGCCCTTTGCGACCGGCCCAAAAATCTTGAAATCTACACTGAGTTTTTGGTTTTTTTTAAACCGATTTTTTAGGAAAAAAAGTTTAATTAATAAAAAAATATGTATTAAAGCATTCAAAACTGAGAAATATCAGCCAAATGTTTTTGCACCTAAACTTAAAGGGCAATACAAAATCCTTTTTTTTAGGCCTTATGAAAAACAAAAACCAGGCAGATTTTTTTGAGGTGGTTTCATGCATCAAATTAGCCTCAACCTTTTCTTTCCAGGCCCTGACTAAATTTTGCCCACTTCACATTTTATTTTTCCCCACGTCACATTTTATTTTTCCCCACGACACACTTAGCCTCTAGTGTCATTCACTATAATCAGCACACTTATCCACTCTTATTAATCAGATATCCCATAATAATAATCAACAAAAGGCCAACAAAATTTTTTCTGTGATATCTGAAGGCATATATTCACCAGGTATATCTACAAAAAACATCATCATCAATATGTAACATTATATTACAATATGTACACTGACAAAATATCTGACATAAAATTGTGTTAAGAACACGGTGTTCAACATCATAAAACCATACCATCACATTAAGAGCGGGAAAAAAAAAAGCACAAAGTTGATAGTCTCGAAGCAGATCGAGGTTGAAGGGATTTCACGACTTCAAATCATATAACCTAAGACAAATACACTGCATGAATTAGTCAAGCAATCTGTGTGATTGCATACATACCTACACACCTAGGGAAATACAATTACAACACTAACATGTAGATTATAGATACACAGTCAAGAAACTGACATTATATTAAGGCCTACATTTGAGAGACTAATTACATTCTTTATATAATTCTTTCTAATTTCTTTATTTAAGGAGACCAATCACCCCAAAATGTATGCTCTGAATATTTGGGGTTTCATTCTGGTATAATATATTCAAAATATCATCTTCACATACTATTCTGTAAACAAAATAAAAAATGAAGGTTTAAATACAATCTCTTAAATGTGAAAGCGACTTGTGGGCGGACATTTTTATTAGGTTGTATCTGCATGCGTACAAAAGTTATTGTTTGAGCCGACTTCTATACAGGCCTCAATATGAACTTCACCCCTCTTCAGCTGACCAGAGCCAGAAGGGCATTATACGAGTTAATGCCAGAAGGACGTTTTCATCAAACATAACAAAAGGTACAGATATACAGTATATCCATTTTGAAATATCTTATAAAATAAAACTTCTGTCACACTTGATTGAAAGAAAGAAATGAAGAAAGAGTCGAAACAGACGGAGGAGGGCATTGAATTCAGCAACTGTGCAACATATCAGATGTTTTTCAAAACAGGCTTCATGTTATGAAATTTGTAACTGCAACTTTTGTTTCTCTTCCAAGCGCATTCATGTTTGCAAGACATTCCTCTTCTATTATTTTGGTAAAAGTGTTGAGTATAAATAAACCTGCATCATAATATTGACCATATCCTTGAGTGTCACCTTCGCCACCCAACGTAACTAGACTACAAGCAAACAATTTCGGTAGCACCAAAACATGGCCCCGTATTTCCAAAATAACTGATCCACATTCCCATAAATTATGAAAACACTACACCCTTTTGATTTTCAATCACTGGTACCTGCAGATTTTCTCACAACAAAACGTTAGGGGACACCTCAGGAAAAGAAAAGAAAAGCGTTAAAGTTATTTTCAATCTATCCATGCATGACCTCTTCCAAGGCGGCTATCCATTTTCATCCTTCACATTTTATTGTGTTTATATTGTAAGGAAAGTGTGAAAAGAAAACCTGGTGTGAAAATTGAATATCAATAAAACCACAATAAAGAATTTCAGACTTCTATGGCCCTTGCATGTATAGTTTGAACTTTTCAAAAAGTTAGAGCTAAAACCAATTATAATCTGGCGTGAAATTCTTTTAGTATTTTGTGGATGGGATATTTCATCTAGGACTGAATAATTATGTTTTTATAATCTTTAGATTGACCATGACCTTAATTTGAAAAAAATCTAATTGAATGGATATGAAGTGCCGTAAATTCCAACCTTGAAATTCTACATGAAAAGAGCAGTGTGATACTTAATGTGTAATCTAAACTGAACTGAAATTTTAGCATTAGTGCTGTAAAATTCTGACAAGGAAATTTATGAAATTAGAATACATTTGAAACATTTCATCTATAGGACACCAAATCATTTACCTATCAATGCATGTGGCAAACTGGTCATAATCATAGTACACAAGTATGAAACATGATTATTTCAACTATACATCAAAATTGCAATTGCCAAGAATCTTAGGCACACTTTTATAGCAATATATGTCAGTAAACAATAAACTATAGCATCTACCTTCAATGTGCTCTAATATACTTTCAGTTTGTGATCTACAACATACAGTATATCTCCATGCCTATCCAATGTACATTAGAGTGACACAAGGCTGTAGAAGCTCCTTGTAGAAGCTGTTTATAAAGGCCACGTGTCAATAGTGACTACTTACAATATATTTTCCTTGTAGAACCTGACCAATTGCAATATCTTCTTCTCGTAGAACCTGTCTAGAAAAGTCACCTGTCAATAGTGACCACTGGCAATATCTTCTCTTTGTAGAACCTGTCTATAAAGGCCACATTTATACAGTAACTACTTACTCAGTTTCCCCTGGTTGGCATTATTGATTATATTTGTTTGGTAAGTAAAATATATCTAATTTGTAAAAAAAACTAGATGGAATTTTGACTGCGCACAGTCGAAAATGATGCCTCCGCCATAGAGCAATTTAAACAAGTTTGGAGTTTAAATCTCCAGTGGTTCTTGAGATATCATGATAACAATCTCAATGTATGGAATTTCATAAGTTGACCTCTGTGACCCTTGACCTTTGACCTACGTGCTCCAAAATCTAATCAGATTGTCTTCCTATGGTGATACACACTATCATTAAGTTTGAAGTTTAAATCTCCAGTGGTTCTTGAGATATTATGATATGGTGATACATACTATCATTAAGTTTGAAGTGAAAATTCTCCAGTGGTTCTTGAGATATCGCGATAACGATCTCAATGTATGGAATTTCATAAGTTGACCTCTGTGACCCTTGACCTTTGACCTACGTGCTCCAAAATCTAATCAGATTGTCTTCCTATGGTGATACACAGTATCATTAAGTTTGAAGTTTAAATCTCCCGTGGTTCTTGAGATATTATGATAACAATCTCAATGTATGGAATTTCATAAGTTGACCTCTGTGACCCTTGACCTTTGACCTACGTGCTCCAAAATCTAATCAGATCGTCTTCCTATGGTGATACATACTATCCTTAAGTTTGAAGTTTTTACATCTCCAGTGGTTCTTGAGATATCATGATAACAATCTCAATGTATGGAATTTCATAAGTTGACCTCTATGACCCTTGACCTTTGACCTACGTGCTCCAAAATGTAATCAGATTGTTTTCCTATAGTGATACACACTATCACTAAGTTTGAAGTTTAAATCTCCAGTGGTTCTTGAGATATCATGATAACAATCTCAATGTATGGAATTTCATAAGTTGACCTCTGTGACCCTTGACCTTTGACATACGTGCTCCAAAATCTAATCAGATCGTCTTCCTATGGTGATAAATACTATTCCCGAGTCTTAAGTTTAAATCTTAAATGGTTCTTGAGATATTGTGATAACGGTCAAACGGGACGGACGTACGGACGGACAACCCGAAAACATGATGCCTCCGGCACCACCTTCGGTGGCGGAGGCATAAAAATAACCAAGGAAGAACATATGATACAAGGATAGAGAATTGCAGAGAATGAAAGAAGAGAATTGTCATAGAAAGGAAAAGAGAGAGGAGAAGAAAAGATAAAGGGCAGGTTTGAGTGACAGATGGGTACACAGATACATGGAAAAGAAGAAGAAGACCATTAGAGAAGAACAAAGATGACAAAGAAAGCAATATGAATAGAAAACTTAAGAACATCAGGGAAAGATAAACCAGAAGCACAGGCTATATGATCATATAAAATCTACACCACTTAATAAATTGCACAAATTGTTTTTTCTCTTCAATCACTGCAGAATCGAACAAACTCAAATTTGATCTTGCTAGCTCGATTGTTGTTGGGTACTACTGCTACCAGCACTGCTCTGCTGTCTAAACTGTCTGAGTCCCTGTAGAAAGACCTTCTTGGTCTGATCCATCATCTGATGGTAGAGCTTCAGGTCTTCTTCTTTGGCCTTGAGGGTGCTGTGGAGAGCGGTCTTCAGGGCGTCATTCTCATCCACTTGGATCGCGAGTCTGTGGAGAAGCAGGGAGACAGGAGAAGAGATTGTCAGCAAAAAAATGTATGAAGAGTTTAATTCCAAAAGGAGCTTAATCTGTTTTTTTTAATTGAGAGAAAAAAAAATTGTTTACCAGATTTTGTACAGGGGTCTATAGAAAAGTGATATTAGAAGGTGCATTTTTTTCATAATTGCTCCCAAAATTTAGGTAAATACTTTAGTTGAAAAACGTAGTAAACAATATTAGATATCAATAACTCAATTTTTTATCAAAAAGTGGATTTAGCTCCTTTTGGAATTAAACTCGTTATATACAGACAGAGAGTAATATGTAGAGGAATGACAAGAGGGCTTAGGGGATATAAACAGAGTTATAGATTGATGAAAGAAAAGTAAAGAAATAGAAATAGAGATAGATAGAGAAAAAAAGAAAGTGAGATGAGGCAAACATCAATAAACAAACATGTAACAGAGAGAGAGAGAGAGAGAGAGAGTGGGAGAGAGAGAGAGAGAGAGAGAGAGAGGGGAGACTTATAGGAGATAGTGTAGTCAGTAGTCAGAGTAAGAAAATACAACAACTACATGTATAAGAGAAACATTCTTTTCTTTCAATACAATTCAATTCAACTCATACAAAAATAGTGTTGATATAAGAACAATTTATCTTCCAAAATCAAATTTATTCTGCCATACACTCATTATTATATTGTACCTATCCAAAGATGACCAGTTCAATATCATCATAATGACTTGACCCACTTCATATGTGAAAGATAACTCACCTCTGCTGCAATGAATCCACAGAGTCTTGTGAAATCGGGATGCCATCCCTGAGTAACTCCTCAACCCCTAGCAATCCTGTTGAAGACTTATTAGAGATGAGTGCTGAAGATGATTTTCCACCTGCATAACAAGATCAGTTGAAATACATTATAGTTAAAAACATTAACCACAGATGCAAACAGAAACACTACTTGAAAAAAAACTAGCAAGAGTCCACAAGAGGAGTCTAAATAGGGCGATTTGCTAAATATGTCATTGATTTCTGCAGTAATGTCTTATTACATCCGTAATATGTATCAGGCAATGCCTACACGGCAGGGTAAAATTTCTAATTTATGAGCAATATGTTCATCCAAACAATAAATTACAAAAAAGAGTCAAATTAGCAATTAACAGCTCCATGCAAATACATTCTCTTTAAAAATCACGAAGAAGGAGATAGAGAATATATCATTCTGAAAGTTCGTTATCAAATAACCATTTATGATGATCGTGAAGAGTGAGAGTTAATGACAAAAAAGATTCAATGACATATACAACAAGCATTCATGTGAAAAGAAATTGAATTAAATCGCATTTCAATACCTTTTCCACTCTCCATTTTGGCTCTACCAAGTTGTTTTTCTAGCCAAACATTCTTCTGTTTGAGCTCATGGAGGCTGTTCTGGGAGTCGGCTGCTTTTGTGGAGGTCTCTTCGAATCTGAAGAATATAGGACACAAACGTATGCATATATATGCGTAAATTAACTCAATCTTAAAAGTTTGTTAATTGATACTATGATTACTACAGTGAATCCTGTCTATAAAGACCTCCCAGGGGAGAGGAGACAAGAAAAGTGGTCTTTATAGGGAGGTGGTCTTTATAGGGAGGTGGTCTTTAAGTACAGGTTCCTTTAGTACATGTTTCAATGAGAAACCATTTTCAAGGGAAACAAAAAATATGGTCTTTGTAGACAGGTGGTCACTAAAGCAGGTTTGACTGTATAATGGATAATTTAAACTAAAACATATAAACAAAGAAAAACAAAATCATTCAACATTTAGTTTGTGAGTCAAGGAAATAAGTCGACATGCAAAACAAGCACATGAAATTCAATTTCAATTTATATGAAGTGCATTATTCTGCAAAGAGAGCTGAGATACATCAGAGAAAGGACATCCATCGTTCTCCCCAAAGATAAACACACATTACCAAAACAAAACAATGTGGCACCTACAACTACTACTCCCTGAAGTGAATCTCTGTCTTTGTTTTCTACTGTTTGACAAAAGACTAACATACATATTTATATCATGTTTGCAATACTTCTAACATTATTTCCTGACCTTTTCTGTAGAACAGCGACCAGTTCGAGAAGTTTTTCCCTCTCTACATCTGCTGCTTGGCTGAGTGACTGAAGCTCCTGGCACTGTAGCTTCAGAGAGTCTATCGCTTCATGAGAATATGATGATGCTACACTCCTGTGAGATGTACCGTGAAATGTACCGGAAATTACAATTTGATCTCTTAATTCATTATAAATTTACAGTAATTACAGTCCTTTTTTTATCAATGGTTCATCATCATGGGTATGTTTCAAATTAGGTTCAAAATATTGATAGTCTTTGGGGGAAGGGGGTACAACCAGTACATGCCCCCTTATTAATTGCCCCCTCAAGTACATGACAAAACAGTGCCTCCTTAATTGAGTAATTTTTTCAGAATTGCCCCCCCTTAAGTACATGACAAAACAGTGACTCCTTAATTTAGAATTTTTTTCAGAATTGCCCCCCCCCCCCCCCCTCATGATCCTGGACCTGCTCCCACAAAGTACATGGTGAACCATCTATTTGATGAAAAGCAGTCAAAAGCATAAGCTCAGGTAAATACTGATAACCAGGGGCCATGGTTACTTCTCTAAATGGCAAATAGGGACACCCTACATTGCATAGAAATCAATTCACTTTTTTGGCTCTTCAAGCAGGTGTATATTGAAGCCAATCTTGATATTGTATTTGTACATAAAAATATTAACATTTGTTTTCCTTTCTCTTTATAATGAATAGAGGAAAAAGTACTAAGAAAAATACAAAGCACTGTTATAAAATTACAACAGAAATTCCTTTTGCTCTAATTATCTTCAAATATTTACACAAGGCTATTTTGAACAGACATTGGCATGATGGAAATGAGAGAGGTTGGGAGGCAGGGGCTTACCCCGTGCTTGCAGGGCGGATGGAGCGTAAAGGAGACCCTCTGGGAGGTAGATCTGTGTCTCCAGTACTCTGCCTTGATCCGCTACGATTGCTCAGCTGGGACAATGTGCGTGCTCCTTGTCTGCAATAACAAACCATCCACAGCAGATATATTACAATGCCAGACTGACTTCATTCTGATTTCGGTTCAACACAAGATGTACACTTTCAAACAGTAACTGCTTCCCTATGAGAACCACTCATACAAACAGATAGGATTTCCAAACGACGGTGCATTATTTCAAAGACAACACAACCATATAAACTCTCAAACATAAAGGTAAAAGATGTGCAGTCAAACCTAGTTCAGTGCCACCTGAAAAGAAAGACCACCTATTTATAAAGATATATTTCTGTTTCTATTGAAGATTTGTTTTTTTCTCATTAAAACATATACTAAAGAAACATGTATATAAAGCCTACCTGCCTACAAAGACTGCTCTTCTTTTCACCTTTGAGAGATACAGGTGTCAATGTTTTGGAGTGGGTTTATAGAGTAACACACAAGAAGTCATCATAAATCTTTCCTATTAAACGAATCCTCTTTGACAGGGAGCACTAATAACTTGATGGCCATTCGGTATCAACAATTCAACAGGGATTTTTCATCTACCAAAAAGCCTTTTTTTATATTACAATAAAGTCTTGAGGATATTCCTCACCTTGAAGGAGGAGGCACTGGTGAAGTGTTGCTGAGGACACGGGTCCTCCTACCGCTGGATGAGGGGGGTCTGTTGATGGGCGTGGCCGCTGGGTTGAGGACAAACCCCTGGCTAGACGGAGGTCTGTTTTCAAGGCTGAAACCCTGATGAGATGGGGGTCTATCAAGACCATTCATTTGCTGCTTCTATAGAAATATTAAAAATGATGGATTGTAAAAGAAGAGTGTGAATGGATTTTGCCATGGTAACAGCTAATGTGGGATAGCCTAATTGTCTAGAGAAAAACTGAACTTGTCAAGTGCTCTTCTTGCTACTTATACATCCAGGGAATAAGAACCCTCAGAACTGTACTAGCAATGTTTTTATATAAACTTATCATAAAAAGTACCAACCACAGACAAGCACATACTGGACTACAGATAAAACCAGCGTCTACAAAAATACTTGTCAAACAAATGTAAGACATTATCCTGAATCATTCTGATTATTGTAGCTTCACTAGGGAAGTTCTTACTATTTGGTGGCTAAATCCAACACAGCAGATTGTACGGCTTACTAGAAAGACACTTCTTTTTAAAAGATTATCATCACTACGATATCAGACCTTAACCCTCAAAATGGCCATCCATCTTCTTCAATACTTTAATAATGCACTTACCTGTCTTCTCATCTCAATAATCTCCTCCTCCAAAGCCTTGACCTTCTTCTCCTTCTCCATGACGATGATGCGGAGCTGTTCCATGGCATTGGCTTCCCTCTGTGCATGCTGGTGTAGGCTGTGGTTGTCACGTACCCGCTGCTCAACGCTCTGCTGGTCCTTGTTATTTAACTCATCCAACGACTGCTTCAGCTGGCTCTGTTGTTTCTATAAATCCAAAAATGGGATCATGGATACCATGTTTATTATTTCTTTCATTCCATTTAATAATAAGTATTTTTACTGTAACGTGATTTATCTGATGATCATTTTATTTTACACCTTTGTTTTCTCACCTTGTCAGGTCACAAATAGATTAATTGGAACTTGATTTAATATCTCCTTTAAAAGAGGAAATTCTAGTAACTGGATTTCGTGGTGACGAATGACATTTATTTAAAACAAAAGTCGGATCATTTATTCACACCACTAATTCTAATATATATATATATCTGCTGGAATGGCATACAATAATAAAATTAAAAGATAAGATGAGATAAAATGCTTACAAAAGCAAAGATGTTAAAAATTGCATCAGATGACTTTAATAGTTGTTCATCTACAGGATTTGCTATTTTGCGATTAAGATTTCTTGTCCTTTAATGGATATGGTCATTCATCTATATGAGATGAAAGCAAAAGAATCTACAGCTATGATAAACTTACCAGTAGGGCCTCAATAAGTTCATCATCATGTTTGCCTTTATCCATGCATCTAGCGACCTGTTGCTTGAGCCCCTTTATTTCTTCTGAGAGAACCCTGTTACGAGCCTTGCAGGCATCCATCTTGTTCTTCAACCGGGCATGGTCTTGTTCTAGGGCTTTCAGCTCATTACTCACTCTCTGCAAGGAAAACAAACAATTGTTACAACATCAACTACAAAAAGAACAACCACAAGGTTTCCCCATCAACCGACAGGCTACTTCTAGCTGTCATTGATGACTTAAGTAAATACACATAATCAAAAGCATAGAAGTCATTTGAGTTATTATAATCAAAGTAGAATACCTATGAAACATATTAACTGTAACCCTTTAATAAAAATCTATGAGTAAGTAACAAGCATTTAATATCTAAGTATCTAATATCAGCCACATGGTATGTCATATAATTACGTTGATTTAAAGGAAATACTCATTGAACATTATTAAGGTAAACTAATCATCGTAAGCTAATAATTCCTTGTTCCTATATTTATTACTTTTGTCATTTATTGTATCACCAACTCCACTTTTCTAGTCATCGTTATGTCATCCATATTCATCAGTAATGCTTTAACCCTGCCAGCACCATTCCTCTGTCCCCAATCTGGGAAGATGCCAAATTTCTTGTAGAAGATTGCAGAAGATGGAGAAATTTGTTGCTGCACAATGTTCCATATGGGATAGGAGGGACTAGGTCTACGGATGTACAATTATAATACTCCAAATTCATACATTCAATATGCATTCTCCCTGAAGAATAATGACATGTTCTCCCCTTTATTTTGATTTCATTGCATTCATCCTGGATATATGATGACTTCTTCCATGACCTTACTCAGTTACTCAACTAGAATTTTAAGGTTCTTACTTCTTTAGCTTCTCTCTTTTCTTTCTCCAGTTGCCTGACCCTGTTTCTTTGCTTCTCATCGATGGAAGGTTTGCTGGTCCTCTGTACCGGTGCAGAGAGAGCGTCCCCTGTGATATCCATGGTCATGAACTGATCCTCGAGGCTCATTTCTGTACCTGGTCTCATACCCTGCACCTGGTTAGCTTGAGATTTTAGCCTCTCCACCTAGAAGCCAATCACAAGAATTATGGTAAAATGTTTTGCAAAAGCTTTTAACACATAATACAAACTGTCCTTCGGGAAAAGACGAACACTTGATGCAAATAATGAAATACACCTGAGTAGCGTGACAAGTCCAGTAGCACAATAAGCCATATCCAGAACACAAGGTAGAATTTGAAAATGGATTGTTTCATTGCACAGGAGCAAAGCTGTATTACAATCAGCTTCACCTTCCATGCCTTGCTATGCTTACCTTTGTTTGAAGCAAGAGTATCTGCTGAGCCCTTCCCTTCCATCCGCTGGGCTGGTTGAGCAGAGATTGGATGTTGACATTGTCTCCTATCTCACTGCTCAGGACCCTGTGGCATACTTTGAGCTCCTGTTTTAGGCTGGCTATCTGAGTACGCCATTCACCCATCTTAGCATTGGCCTGGCTAAGTTTATCTTGGCCTGCCTTCAGCTCGGCCTGTACTGCAGCAGCCTGTGACAATACAATAATACCATTAAGAAAATGATGGAAGTTTCTCTAGAAATTGTAATAGGATGTGTTAAGCCCTTATGCCTTTAAATACCGTAATTAACGTTGTATAAACCGCCCTCGTGTATTAACCGCACCCCTCTTTTTCGCCCTAAAAAAAAAAAAAAAAGAAGAATTGCTGACTTTTTTTTTTGCCGACTTAAAAAACAGTAGAGGACCTAGGATAGAACCTTGTGGTACGCCGTGTAATAGAAGAAAAATTGGAGGAATTATTATTATCAACTACATATAGAAATCTATCAGAAAGATTACTTTCAAACCAAGATGACAAACAAATTTGAGTGTTGTTCTAGTTTCAAAATGGAGAGTCAACACACCGATTACTGAGCTGGGAGACATTGCCAGGCATAGCGCCAGGTGGAGGGGCATAAATCGAAACTTTATACTGTGTATAAACCGCACCCCCGACTTTGAATTTTTTTTCGGCGGCAAAAAGGTGCGGTTAATACACCGTTAATTACGGTAAGCATTTCTTTAATTTTTCCTCATTCAGACTTGTCAATGTGGAATGCCTGGGGTCAAGTGTATATGCTGTGTACAAGTTTCTGAAACAGCTTTTGGAAAGCGTGTCTTCAAAATCATATTCATAGCATTTCTCAAACATCAAAATTTGGAGTTGGTTCTACAATTACCATGTGTAACTATTTTCTTCTTTGGATGATTTGAAATCCTAAAAGGGTGCACTGTATACAATTGATACACTGTTTTACAATCTACTATTAGAAAGAGAGACTGCATGATTAAAAATTCATATTACCTGCTCTTCTGTAGGACTTGGGGGTCTCGGTCTGCTTGTGCCTGCACCACGACTGATCTAAAATGAGAAGAAAAAATGAACTAAACAATTTAAAGAAAACAAAATAAATTGAGTTAAAAAAAAAATTGGAACACAGTTATTGAAGAGAAATTCAACAAAAACAAGAATTCTATTCTCTTAAAATCTGAGAAGGCAAAATAGTATGGTGGTAAGAGGAAGAACAAAGAGGTATGAAATGCGTTATTTGGAGTGAATTTATGAATCAACAATCTACTTTTAACACAATGACACTTCTGTCAAATCGATTGGTTTCACGATACTTCAAGCTATTTAAGCAGATAAGTCATAGCTAAAGTGGTATTCTTTCTACTACGAGATACATTTTAGTACGCAGAGGTTTAATAACACACTGACCTCTACCTCTAAATCTCTGACTTTGCGGGTGAGTTGTCTATTCTTGGACTTCTCACTCTCCAGTTCAGCTGTCAGCTCCCTAGATTTCTTGGAGAGCTCCACAATCCTTGTTGCAGCATTCTCATTGGCAACCCCACCTCCTAAAGAATGTAAAAAAAAAAGAGTTTGATTTGGCATATATAGTGAACAATTCAATAAAAGGAAATTGAATGACATAACATTTTAGACTAATATATATATGGTCTAACAAGGGGAGAGAAGAAGAAGGAAGAAAAGGAGGAGGATGAAGAAGGAGGAGGAGGAGGAGGAGGAGGAGGAGAAGAAGAAGAAGAAGAAGTAGAAGAAAAGAATGAGGAGGGAGAAGAAGAAGGCGAAGTAGAAGAAAAGGAGGAGGAGGAAGAGGAGAAGGAAGAAGAGGAGGAGGAGGAAGAGGAGGAGGAAGAGGAGGAGGAGGAGGAGAAGGAGAAGGAGGAGGAGTAGGGAGGGAGAGGAGGGAGAGGAGGAGGAAGAGGGAGAGGAGGAGGAGGGAGAGGAGGAGGAGGAGGAGGAAGAGGGAGAGGAGGAGGAGGGAGAGGAGGAGGTGGAAGATAGAGAGGAGAAGCAGGAGGAGGAGAAAATGAAGAATAGGTTGAGAAAAATCAAATGATGCTATACCTCCTAGAGCGAGTCTGTCCTGCTCTCTCTGTTTTTTTAGTTTCCTAATTTCATAGTCCCTTTCACTGAGAAGTTTATACAGCCGTCCAGTCTCATCTTTCAACTCCTGTTGGTCAAAAAAAAAAAAAAAAATATTTAACATGCATAATACTAGAATGATTTACTTTTACATCTACCTACAGTAAAGCAGCTTGTAAAGTGAATATGGTTTACTCAATCATAGATTTTTACATAAATAAGTCATTACATGTCCCCTTTAAATAGTTTAATATATAAACCCAATTTCATAATCGATTGAAGACTAGGCCAAATATATCCCACAATTGAACCCATTTGATAAAAGAAAGTGAAAAGTTTCCCACAACACAATATTTGTTTCTTCTTAAATTTACATAAAGTAAACAATCTATCACAAAATTTGAACAAGTACACAGAGTATCATTTTATACTTACCCTAATGTTATCAGATAACTCCTCATTTATATGTTCCTGGTACATTGCATTCTTTGTGACTGGGTCACTCAGCTGTAAATATAAAAACAAAAAGTATTACAAAAAACCTGTCTGTATTTAAAATGTGTCTGAATTTATCATCTCATTGTCACAAATTCAAATGTTTCATCCTGAAACATTATTGAAGTACACATTTCAGAATTAATGTTGACATGAAATATAACATTAAAAAAATCCAGCAAAATTTTAAATTTTTTTAATTTTTTTTTTTACATGATTTATAAATTCACTATAATGGTGTCCACCTGTTACCAGTACCAATTCAATTTCCAGTCTGTAAGATGAAAATCATAGCATCAAGCTAGGTGTTGGTTCTTAAATAATTTCAGTGTTTTTCTGCCATACACATGCAGTAACCTACCACAACAAAAATAATAACAAATAAATAAATACATTTTCATAAAACTTTAAAAAATCCAGAAAGCCTTTAACTCCATACACACCTTTAGGCCTAGATCATCCTGTACTCCAAATCCATTCATCTGACTATCACCACCTTGGACCTCTTCTGACTTGGAGCCGGAACCATCCTTCTTGGCTGTCTTGCCTTCTTGCCTCTGTTTCATTCGCATCAGCTTCTTCTGCTGCTGTTCCTGTAGAACTTGGAACTGATGCCGGAGAGTTGCATCTCCTTCATCCATGATGCTTTCTGTAGGACTCCTAGAGATGTATTTACCACATATCCTTTAAAATGATAAGATCATGTAAACATCAAGAATATAAAGGCATTTTTTTAATCAGTAGACTTTGTATTTTGATCAATTTGATGTCATTTGGAATCTAATTGAACAAAATACAATTAACATGGTACCACAATAGCAAAGGGTTTAGTGTAAAAAGGAGCGCGCTTTGAGTGTCGCTGAATCATGACCAGAAATGCAAGTAACGATCCGGTGTATGGAAAGGGCTGATTTTGTGTTGCCAATTGATGCAGACTTTACGACAATCGTGATTATTAAAGTGTATATTGTCAAATGTTGGAAGGTTACTGAATTGATCGGTAACGCCCTAGACCTAACTGCCTAAGTCTAAACACACCCATTTTTACACTAATCGCAAATAATCATTCAAGTTGTACTAAACTGTCTAAAGACAAAGTCAGCATCAAATCAGAGTCGGATCTCGACAGCGTTTACAATTAGTGAATTACATCACTCATCACACAATAAATGACAACTCACAGGGGTAGACCTAGATAGATCTAGAAATCTATGGTTAATATGGGTGCCAATTATTAGGGCAAGGTGCATATCAATCACGTATTTTATATCATCACCTAGCCCTTTAATAATCTAGGTGTACTCGTGTAGTGGGCTAGGCTGTGCATGGTGGTTGGCCCTGGCCCTGGAGCTGGCGTGCGGTAAAGTGGCAGGGCTAGAGCAGCATCACCAACAACTAGTAGCTCATTCCGCCCGAACGGCCGGGGGCGATTACGGCTGATGGACAGGGTATGCAGCTAGCGCTAGCAGCTTCGTTCTTTAAACAAATTATTGAACAAATTTATAATGCTTAATCATATACAAGGCTTAGACTAATAGGCACAATTATGATCAAGAAATTATTCACTATCTTTAGTAAATTTACCCTTAAAAAATCAAAGAATTACCTGTTTAATGTCGTTACTAATGGGAAGTTTACCTTCACAACAGAGACGAACCCCAAAAATTTGTTATTCATTCAGGTTTCTTTTTGAATAAAGAGAAAATATATCTATTCTAAATTTAAATGGTTACATTTACTGATTTAAAATATATCAAAAATTAACTGAAAATTATTTTAGAGACAAATTACATGCAATATATATCATAAATATATATTCAACATTTTAAAAATCAGTTTACATGGTTGAAAGGTCAAAGGTTACGTAAAATTCCTGTAACTTTGACTCGAGACGGACGATCTTCGACCTTGAAAGGTAAAAATATCTTCTATTATTCTAATGTTTAAGAACGGGCGATTTACTTTATTCATGTCATTCAATCATTTTCAACATTTTTGTCATTATGTAAGTTTTATTAAAGTTTATATCATTGATGCTATTATTACGAAAAAGATCTATGAAATACGTTTGCATGTGTGTTGCACGGTAACGAAATTGGACTCGATCGGCACCGGGCAGGTATGGCTGAATTGGGGCATCTTGATCCCCGGAGCTCCTGGGGCTACGCTGGATCACACATAGGGTCTATGCCTAGCTGCATTACTACTATTATCCTGGCTGTGTATTAAAAGCTGTGCTATTGATCCTCAACATTTCAAATACCGCTGTACAAAAGTCAACTGATTTCACTTTAGTGACTATTGATGACACCTAAATAGCAGTAAAATACAAGTTTTTCAACTTACCGATGTTAGGCACATTCATGGGGCACTAGAGGGCGCTTTGCGCGCGTACGAAAATCTGAATGGCCTTGCTGCGGTGGGTTGGCAATAATCAGCCCAAAACTTGGATATGGGAGGGTGGAAGGATATATCTTTTTTATAATGTTATCTGGTCTTACCCTTAACCATCCTATGTTTAATCTATGTAGAAATAACATGCGAGTACGATAAGAGAAACATCGGGCCCATTACTGATGCAACTTTTAAAATATTAGCCTAGAAATGACCACCAAAGGGAAAAAATTGACATTTTTTCCCGACAAATCTTCATAAAATCTGATTTATAAACAAGTCACATCTAGGTACACTAATACAAATACGATTTTCTGAAAATTCAGGTATTATTTTTTAAGTTTCTTTCAAGTATATTTCTGCGCATCGCAGCGCCAATGTTCTTCACTGCTTCAAAATCACCCTTGAAATTTTTTTTTGCAACGAATTTGTTACGAGGTCCGCGAGTGTTCCCCGTTCCTTGCGTGTTGAAAGTTTGGTAATACATAGTTTACATTGACTCGCGCACGAAAAAATGGTCGAAAACAAAATGTCAAATGAAGAAATAAACAAGCTTTTGTATAGTTATAAGAGTTCTACCGAGGTTTCTTTGTCGATTTAATTTATTATATAGTCTCAATTAGAATTCAGAATTATCTCACTGAAAAGTTAAGAAACCGACGATGTTCTCGATCGTAGTTATTTTCATTTTGCCAGCAGCCGATCTAGCGTTGTTTGGGCAAAAAGCTAGGCCGCTGCCTTCCCATCGCAAACCTTTCCGAGTCCCGCTAAAATGGCGCGCTGCGGAGCTCCGAAGCTGCGTTGGTATCGCTGCAAACTCTCAGCCGGCTAGCTCCCCAAGATGGACCATTCGCGGTATGGCGAGATTGTGTGTGTGAGGTACGATTTTGGATTTGAGAACGCACATAATGCAACCGTGCGCGTCATATTCAGCTGTCGAATGTCTACGACCAATTTTACATGTACGATTTTTAGTACAGATACTTGGTCAGTTTTCTTCTTATATCTTTGGTTTTACAACATTTAAAAATATAATTTCTTCAAATTTGCTCCTGACTCGGTTCAGACTAATTGTGTGATGTGTTTTCAAGTCAATTTTTTGAATATATTTTTTTGCATGAATTTGCCTACCGATGTTGGAAAGAATTATTTAGATATTCAAATGGTAAGTTTAGACAGGGCTGTCAACCCTCCCGCAATTGGAGGTAGTCTCACGCCATCACGCTCATTCTCCCGCCGCCGCCCCAAAAGCTTGTAGCAGGAGACTCCTGCCACCACGCCTTCCTCCCGCTCTCCCGCCAACGATGTAGAATCTCCTGGTTTATGAAAAAACCTTCCGCCCCCCAAAAAAATTAGTGCTCCCCCCGCTTATTCGCTGGCTGGCTTATTCGGCGCTATCTCCCTCCAAGCAGTTTCCCAAAGTTGACAGCCCTGGTTTAGATCTACTGTCGACCTTGCCTATTAGTATCATCCACATCGTATTCATTGTGTACATTTGTGTGCATTGTGTGTATTGACTATTCATAGGTGCAATTGCTACCTTTTAGTTTTACTCCGTAATTTACACCTACATTAAAGTTAAACACCATGACTTGTGCAGGCTGAAGGATTCTTGTTTCTACTCCTGCGACACACTTTGAAATTGGTCAAGAAGACAGATATTAGATCTATAGCAGATGTAGGTCTACGTCTACGTCTATGCTGGTACTCGTCAAAAGCCTTTTCAGCAAATAAACCAGGATATTGTGGTGTGGTGTCTCTCATAGTGGTCACGATTGATTAGTGCATTGTGCATATATTATACAAGTTGTGCGAGTATTTAAACAGTTCCTCCTATGATTTAGGCACTGATGGCTCAATGGTCCAATAATCAATGACATAAATTGAATATCTTCTGTTTCCAGACTACTGTATCTGGACTTGAACAAAATTGAAGTAAACCTAAAGAAGAAGAGGAAGAAGGGATGGCAGATTCTGATGTCACTACTTTGGTAAGTGCAAAACACTGGAACACGATTTACTTCATAATATTTTTGTATCTAATACTTCATCACTGACACTTCATAGGACATAGGTTTTACAGGTTTCTTCAGCATTTAAAGATCAATGCTATCAATATCACATAAGTAAAGGAGGAATTCATGAAATAATGATGGACAGATCAAACTTCAAATGAAGAAAAAAGGGAATTGAGTCAATTGTCTTGTCAATTGTATATTCTTGCCTTTTCTTTTAGATATAATTTGTCTAAATACTTATTTCTAATGATATTTATGATTGTGTTTTGCTTTCAGGCTGCACTCAACTTCTACTGCCAAGAGAAGTTATATCGCCATGTGCAGCGAGTGGCACTAGAGGCAATCAAGAAGTATGGCAGCGACCCTGTTCTTATGTTTTTCAAGGGCTATGGCCTCATACTGGAAGGTAAGTTTTATTGCAAGAGTGAAAACAACTCCTACATTTTGCTCTTTATTGAAAACTGCAATCAAAATTGCATTTTTTCTTTAGAAATATTTTCTAGTGTACAATATCATGCTGAAAACCATAAACATACAATCAGTTTGAAAAAATGCCAAATAAATTTGACCTGTATTCAAATCCAAAGAATGATATGATTGTTGGATATGATATCAAGCTTTCAAGACTATTCTGAAAAATAAGAATAAAAACAAAAAACAAAGCCCCTGTTTAACTGAAATCAAATTTGTTGAATATGATTTGATTTTGTAATACTCACATATTCCATAGACCCCTGTCCAAGTTTGTCCCGGGTTGATTAGTATTCAACTGGTTAAAAAAAAAACAATCGTGTGTAGAATTCAAACAAGGAAACAATTATTTTAATACGATAGCATCTATCAACTGCAGGTTCTTTTGCAAAATATATCTTTAGTTGTTTTTTAAAATTCAATTCATGGGAACCCCTTTTGCATTCATCACATATCAGAAAAACAAATGACTGATTGCTTGTGTGTATTCAATCATGCCAGATCGGCTGAGTGAAGGTATGAGAGAGTTGGAATCCATCCGTGACAAGCCAGAAGTCACCTTGTGCACCACCATGGCTCTCATGTATGCTCACAAGAAGTCCAAGAATGTCGGTAAGTTATGGTCTATTAATAGTGCTGCAGTGTTTAAGATAATGATGTCTTTAATAAAGGGATATGTGCTGTAATCTTATTCATGAAGAAAAAAATCATGTTGTTTTGCTAATTTCTGGTGTACTTTACATATTCCATAAGTCTTCAGTAATACTGCCAAGCAGATTTCAAACCGATTGATTTCTGACCATTCATTGTACTATATTCTTCTGATTAGTCTATTTGATAGTCTTGATGTGACTGGGGTATTAGACACAAGTCGGCATTTATACTACAGTGTACTGTAAAAAAGAATGTCCTATGATTAATATATTTATTAACAACATGAAACTTTTTATATCTAAACCATCAGAAAAATGGCACTTAGTTTCCTATTTTTACAATTTAATTTCATGAATAGTAAACAAAATATGTCTTATGATTAATATTTTGTATTGTTTAACAGCTTGAAACATTTTGGATCTGAACCATCTGCAAAAATTTGCGCATAGTTTCCTACATATGAAAGTTTGTAGCCTGAGTATCCTCCTTCCAGGCATAGAATTATAGCTAGTCATGTCTCCCATTCCTGGTGTGTATGATGTGTATGTTCTGACCCGTCATGGAAGTACGAACTCTTCTTATACTAGCTTGATGATTATCCTTTTTATACTTGACCTCTTTTATCCAATATTATGTCACCCTAAATATGTCAACTGTTCTTGATTGCAGATAGGGAGGCAGTTCAGGAGCTAGATGCCAAGATGAAAGAAGACAGAAAGAAAGCATCTGACAAGGTAATTTATGTTTACCTTTTGAAAATTAGATTTACCCAAATGATTTTAACATAAAAACTATAGTATTCGGTTAGGTTCAGTCTTGAAAGAAATGCAATATCTTATAGTTTGCTTTCCAAGTAGCATACAAAGTATAGTACATGTTCCTGTTTTGTGTCTTACATTTGAAACTAGTAACTGAAGCTAACTGTATCATATGTCATTATTTGTTGTTTATTTAGTCATATTATGATGCCACATTGGCACTCCTCAAATCCCTGAGAAGTTTTCCATTTGATATATTGTACCTTTTTTTCTTGCTTTCAGGCTGTGTATTTTGCCGCTCTGTTTCTGTGGCATACCGGTCGTCATGACAAAGCCAGGGAGTATGTGGATAGGTCAATCAAGATGGCTGGAGGATCATCACTTGAGGTAAATATACTTGCTCATTTGTAAAGAGTATTATATTATCTGTTTGGAGCCAAAAGGGCATTAATTGTGTGTTAAAAGTATATGATGTAGTGCCCTCGTGGCTTCAAACAGAAAACATCTCATCATTCAGCATCTGTTTTTCTCACGGTGTGTGGTTGGTCGTTTCATTTCCCTTATGGCTATTCTCCAAGCTTTCCGGTCTACCTCATCCGCCTTGGCGGGGCCGGATTCTCTCACATCTTCTTTTAGCATCTCCTTCCAGGTTTTGCAGACACAATTATGAATATTTATGTGGCATACTTGTCTCCAGGACAACAAATAGGTGTACATTGCATTAGTCACTTGAGGCAAATTTTGAGTATCTATCTTGCTTATTTGTGAATAGCTTTATATAATATCCTTGGTAACATACAATATTCATAACTTATACAAACGTACAGGTAAAATATCAAGAGCAAGTGATACCTCTCTGTCATGAGAAGAAAAAAGATTACCTCATTGAGCTTTCATACAATCCTTGTCTTTTTATGAAAGTAATGCAACAAAATTTGCATAGATTCAGATAAACCATGCAATTGATTGAAATCGATGATGCATTCATAGCCCATCTGTACTAGTTTACAGGAGGGATTAGACCACCCTGCAAGGTCACTGATAGGTGGTTATCTCATCAAATCAGCTCTCACTTAACATAAGAAAAAGAGGATCATGGGGGACCAATGGTCACCAATTAGGCATTGTTTGTTATATAGAGGGCGCAAGTAGCTGTAAGTAGTGCAGTGGGGCATTAAATCATGATGGATTTGTCGATATTTTCTCTCCTATCTACCAGGGTTCAACGCTTAGAGGTTGGATTGATCTCACCTCGGGCAGGGACAACTATCTCAAGAAGGCTGGAAAATTCTTTGAGGAAGTGCTCAGGTGTGTATTTCTTGTCTCTATATACCCATAGATGATATCTAAGAGTGTTACTATAAAAAAAAGTGATTTATTTTTATTTTGGTATTCTTATAGAGCATTACAGTTTTAAACTGCTCCATCAAGCTCTTTGATATTGATAATGCTGAATTCATGTGATTAAATATTCTTATACATTGAAAGTCTGTTATCATGTTCAGGTACTGCTTCTAACAATTGCAGAAATAATGCTAAAAAGAAAACCATCTCAAGAACAGAAAAAAGAAGAAAAGAACAAGGAAACTCAAGTACTTTCTGAGGGAGTCTGAATTTAAAAAGTCTTCCTTATCCAACACAAGTTATTGTTGCATTTTTGCATTTTTCTCCATTTTAGCGAAAATATGTGGTTATAATTTTCTAAAGAACAGTATTAGTCAACTTGTCAAATCATGGGTTAAAACTAGTTCAATACACCATATTCACTTCTCCCTCTCTCTCCCTCTCTCTCTCTCTCTCTCTCTTTCTCTCCCTAACAGTGCCACCCCCAAGGCTATCGATGCTCTCATTGGCAAGTCCCGTTACATGAGCATGAGACACAACTACACCGGAGCGTTGGACCTCATCAACCAGGCTGTAGTCTCCTATCCAGGATTCATGCCGGCGCTCATGGAGAAGATGAGATTGCAGCTTGCGCTACAGGACTGGGAACAGACCGTCGAGTCTGCACAAAGGTACCCTAAATATATTTGAAAAGCTCTCCCCATCTTCCACTTCCTTCTATTTCACTTGATTCTTAAAGACCATATCCGAACTGAAAAATGAAATGGATGAATTATATATCAAAAGAAAGTTGATAAGCCATATATTACCATAATATCAATTATATGCTATTTTAGTGTCTGTCAGAGTAGTATCAGCTCTCTGAAAACTCAAAATCTAGAGCTTTGAAAATGTTCGACCTAAAAACATGCTATCGACTTGATGACATTATCTTATGTGGTGTATGCATATTCACAATGACTTTGCAAATTTGACCCCTATTGATCCTTAATTTGGAGGGGTGCCGAAAATGAGGTTTTAATTTACTTTTGTGCAATAATCAAAGTGTAAATATCTTTTATATTTGTATTCTACATTCATTTAGATTTCCATTTATATCAAGTTGTATTTTCATTGGATAGGGTCTTTCATTGTTTTTGCAGCATTGAAGATGTTTAAGAAATATTTGAAATCTATTTCATGTCAAGTATTCATGTTGATTCAAGTTATTTGTATAATTTTGTCCAATCTTTTTTGCTGTTGATTTTTTTTCTCCTGTTCAGAGCTCTAGTCCAAGAACCTAATTGCATAGAAGCACTTCGACTGATTATCCTTCAAATACTCTGCAGAGAGGGAAATTATGAAGAGGTAATATATCACATCTGTAATGTAACGTTATAGTTCTGTGATTACTTAATCAATGGTTATCATCGATGATGAGAATGTGTTTGAGAGAGAAAGAGAGAGAGAGAAGGAGGAGGGGGTGAGAGAGTTTTGAAATGGTGTGACACAACTATGTTAATTTATTTAAACTTGGTGTAAAAGTTCTATAAAATAACCTATGCAAATACAACAATCTCTCAGAGATTTGGGCTTTTATTGATCAATTCAATGGAATTGTTGTTTGAAATTGCAAAATATAATGGACCAAGCATCTATAACAAATTTTGACGTAATTATGTTATATTTTGTGAAATGTTCTGAAAGTTGACTATTCTGTTCATATTTCATGTTCTCCTCACAGGCTGCAGCAAGGATTGGAGAGCTGATTCAACTCATTGACCGATTTGAACCCAAGAATGCACACATCTACTGCCATCTCTCCAAGACATTCAGTCGAGTGGTAAGTGTACCTTTCCCAGTGTAATGAAGTAGTTTTAATGATATCATTGATAATCTTTAAATATTTATAAGATATCAAATTGTGGTTTCTAGTGGTTTAGGATGCATTATTTTCTTTTGAAGTAAAGAACTACATTCTTAACTTTGTGTAAGATACTAAGTACAGATGTGAAATTCCAACAGATGATGCACTGTAACCCTGATATATGTTTGTGATAGACTGTATATTCCTGACAAAGAAGGCGAAAAACACAGCTTTGATCATGAAATTGAAAATTAAGATAGTTCTCTATGTATCTTGACATTTTTAAAAGCAACAATGACCATAAATCCACCCAACTTAAACCCAAAGATATCCTGTTCTTTGTTTCTTGTTGCCATGCAGTGCTCTCGCAATCAGCAGATCCTTCTTCAGACCCTGACCATGGTGGAGAGGGCCATCGGTCTGGACGGTAACAACTCAGACTTCCACAACGAGAGTGGTTATCAGCAGATGATGCAGGGCAAGAACAGGGATGCAGTCAAGGCATACCGTATGGCCATGAAGCTGGACGAGACAAGTGTTGTTGCACTCACAGGTTTGTTTGTTTATTTTTTTTTAAATTTGTCTGTTTGTTTTAAAATGAGTGCCAAGAAAGCTATTGAATGCATGAAGCTAACCTCCAGGTGGTTGTGGTGTGCAGTCCTATCTGAGGGACCCTGATGTACAGGTCAAAACTTGGACAGTCTATTTACAAGAGTTGTACTTTATCCACTAAGCAATTACTCCTCCAAAGGAATTTTCTCTTTTACAAATTGGGATATAAATCTGCTATTCGTTTAAAATTAATATGACTCCTTTATACAATAATACACATGAGTGAGGGCGTATGGACTCTTTCAAAGTTTCCGATGGTGGATAATTACGCGTTAACATTATGATGAGATTAATATTGATGGGCTGTTGAGAAATTATCACTTGATCACATGCTGATGCAGTTGATCATTATATGAAACAAGGCTCCACTCTTTTTGAGGAAACAAATTCTCACTAACAGTAGTTTCATAATTTCCTGATATGGAAAATGGCATACATTATAATAAAAAGGAAGTTTGACTTTTTGTTTCTTTCCAGGTATTATCCGGTTCCAGTTGGAAGATGGTCAGTTAGATGATGCAGAACAACAGCTAGACTTTCTGGGAGAGATTCAAGAGACCATTGGCAAATCATCGGTAAGCCAAGTAGATTAAAATCTATCAAATCATAATACATTCATAGCAGTGCCTGTTAGAAGTGGCATCTCAGCTTAGTTAATTTTGTTAATTATGTATTCAAGACTTTAATCAAAGCCACATGTACCTATTAAGTTCTTTTGAATATTCATGTAAATGATTGTATATTTGTAATTTTAATTTGTTCATATCTTAACTTACCTCAATCACATTTGCTCCATTTTATGCGTAGTCATTTTCAATGTATTTGTAATCTCTTTTGGTCCCTTATTAGATGTTATATACATATATATATTCTATATGCATTATATTCCCTGCAATGTTTGTGCTACAAATGATATTGTAAGAAATCAACATATTTTATCCCTTGATATTAACAATGACAAGAGAATGTATTATTTATTTCACAGGACATCCTATTCCTGCGAGCCATGCTGTCCAGGAAGCGTAACAAGCCTGCAGACGAGACGGTCAACCTCCTCAATGAAGCCAGCACTGTCCACTTCCAATCCCTCAAGGGTCTGCCCCTTGGAGCCGACTACTTCACTCTCATGAATCCAGATTTCTTGGTGGACATGGTCAAAGAATATCTCCTCTTTGCTCCTACTGAGGTGAGAAATTCGATAAGAAGAGATCTAGGGGGTGTTTCATAAAGACTAAGATCGACTTTAAGTTTGACTTAATATGATAATATGACAAGGCCGTTCATGCCACTGTTTGCTCTCACCATTGGTCTCTCAAGGGATGTACAAATCATGGTCACAAATCTACAAAATTTACAATTTTTGATACCTAAATACCTAAAATACCTAAAGATCATAATGGTGAGAGCAAACAGTGGCATGAACGGCCTGCCATAGTTAAGTCCAACTTAAAGTCAATCTTAGTCTTTGTGAAACACTCCCCAGGTTTGTTCAGAATGGGAGAGTTGATAACAATATTCATGATGGGGATCGTTTTCATAGTGATAACATTTTAACACAGTCATCATCATATGATGATGAGCACTTGTGATACAATCAATCATCGTGTATTGATCAGATGAATCCAGTTTTCTTGGTGGACATTGTCAAAGAGAACCTGCTCTTTGCTCCTACTGAGGTGAGAGCATATACTAACAAGTCAAGGTGGGACACAGTTGATTGGTCCTTCAGTTAACCTGTATAATATCAGCAACACTCTGGTCATATGCAGCTATGGGAAGAGTCAGGATGATCATACATACATACATACATACAATTGTCTTTTATATAGCGCAACATCCAACGAATTGCTCGAAGCGCTTTACAGAAATAATGACATAGTAAACACAAGATAATACATGTATAAAAGAGTAATTATAATAACAAACAAAAATATTAGAATTACAATTTACTTATTGAAGAGGTACGTTTTTAGTTTTTTCTGTGATAGTTAACCTTTGGATTGATGGGAGGGTTTCTTGTTATTCAGTTTAAAAGAAATATCAGAAATTACATACTAAGAATCTCGGTCTACGATTGGACAAAAGTAAATCATGTGATGAAAGATAGTTTCGCCCATCACCTTAACCAATGGTAATTATTTGCTTACTATTGTTGGAGAGTATATGTACTGTACATTTTTATTTCTTTTATTACCCTCTTTCCATTTTCCTCACCTTTCTCTCTATTCCCTTCAGCCTCAAGGAGCCGGTCAACCTGCAGACCCAGCCCTGGCGAGATGCAACGCGGTCCTAGATCCGATCTGTAAGGCAGTACCTGGTCTACTGGAGGGGTTCTACCTCCAGGCCAGGGTCAAGTTCTTGTTGGGCCAAGTGGAGCAGGCCCAGACTAGCCTGCAGCACTGTTTGGACCACAACCCAGAATATGCTGATGCGCACTTGCTCATGGCACAGGTAAAGATGAGAGATGTCACAGAATAATGGGAAACGTATAGTCAAACCTTCTTTAGTGACCACCTGTCTACAAAGACCACATTTTTGTTTCCCTTGAAAATGGTTTCTCATTGAAACATGTACTAAAGGAGCTTGAAAGACCATTTTGTATGTATACCTTGGGTGGTCGCTATAGACAGGTTTGAATGTACAATCCAAAGTACTGTGTCTTATTTGTTACAAGTGCTTTACCAGAGTCAGTTGATCTGCTAGTAAATGAGATATAGATGTATGTTGGAGGGCTCAATATTTTTTTTAAATATTTTTTTAAATATAAATTTCCTTCCATGAAATAGACTTGATAGTCATTTTTCAATGAGGACATTTTAAAACTTTCAAGTGCCAATGAGATGTGAGCAATTCATCAGATATATTGAATTTTTATTCAAAATGTTACTTTAAAGGGCAGAGAACTGGAGATGCAAATTCAGTGCTCTATTATTTCACGGCAATGGTAATTTTACAAACCTTTTATAAAAATTAGCCATAATGCCTTATCCTGTCTTTTTATAGAAGCTTATATAAGTGCCAATGCCGGTGCAGTTGTATAGATCCCGTAAGAATTGTATGACTTTAACCATTCTTGTTTTGTTTTTTTGTAATTTTAGATATACCTTCATCTTGGAAACTACCAGAAGTCATCTCAGTCCTTGGAAATGGGTCTCAGCTACAACTTTGAGGTAAGCCTAGATTGAAAATTAGATCTGAGATATGTTCATGTTCTCTGATCATTTCAATGTTTACAGAATATTTAGGTTATGATTAATGTTTATTAGTAAACAATGTGGTTATAATATATGCACTACAATGTAATACCGCAGTCAAGTAATGATAATCATAATAATAACATCAACTACAATTGCAACATCAACAACAACAGCAATAATAATTCATTCTTTTTTTAGTACGTTTGAGATCCATACGCCATATCATTGTGCTTACAATTCACATTGCTTACAATCACTAAAATGAAGCTTGAACTAATCTTAACATATTTGACTATTTTGTTCTATCTTGTAGGTGCGTGAGATGCCTCTGTATCACCTGATCAAGGCTCGTACCCAGAAGAAGATGGGAGAGATGGAGGAGTGTTGTAAGACTCTCCAGGCTGCCATGGCTCTACCTGGGATCAAAAAGAGAGGTAAGCTGATCACCATTAAATTAATCCTTATCTCTTTAACTGCTGCAGACTAAAACCCACACTACCACATTGTTCAGAGTATATGTTCTCTATAACATTGTATGTGTCATAAAAATTAACTGTGTCTGTCCACAGTTTGTCCCATTAGTTGACCAAAGCCAGCAGAGACTTGTGAGAGCACTATTCGAGAATGTATGATAGCTGCCAAAAACAAAAAGAAACAAGTCAATGAAACAAAAAAGGCACTGTTTGATATTTATGGTACTTACCAAAACTAAAGGGGGAAATCAATTTGTGATGATAAAATGGGCATGCTGCACTGATTAAGCCCTCGAGATATAGCAGACAAGAGATTTGAGCATTTCAGTTTATTCATAAAGGCCTATGATATTGGCTCGTTATCCGACAGGTCAGCTGGTGATGGAATATATCAAAGTTCTTGCCTTTAAATTATTTACCTACTTTGACATGACAGAGGTATGAACAAAGATGTGGAATTAGTGAATCATCTAGATTTTATGGTGTATGATATTACAGTAGAACCCATTGTCATGTAAAAGTCATGTCATTGTGTATCTTTATGAACAGCTGTATCTGCTTCAAGGAGAGTGAAGGGTGGACCTATATCAATGACAGACAGGGTCTCTGTCTTCTTGGAGCTGGCAGATGCATACCGGCAGACTGGTGCAGAGGTAAAATCCATGGATTTTTTTTCCCCCCTTCCACAGTTTTCCTTATTTATAAACAAAAAATTGACAAGTTCGATCGTATACATCCACAAATAATATACAAATGGTCAACAAATCATATCCATAAATAATGACTGAACAATGATCACTGGAATTTATTTGTTTGTTTATAATGTGTAAATATCATACCAAGATATTGAAATAGATTTGAGACAACACTTGATTTGCCAAGAATCTGACTAAGCTTTAGTTTTGCATAAAATTTACGGATGTAAATGAAAATATAATAAGATGAAATATTCTCATATTATTTGAAAATTACAATAGATAGGTTCATAATTGGCACATATCCGTATCAACAGACATTCAAAGCTCCTTAAAAATATCTCATTACCCAAGATTTAGCCAAGCTGCAATGTAAGGGTAAATCTGTACTACACGTTGGTTGACATAGCATGTGTAGATTGATGTCAGGGCTGAGGACAGTAGAATTCAAACCATTTGAATCATAGTCTAGTGAAACATCTACCAGACCTACATGCATTGCGCAGAGATGCCAACCAGTAAGATTAAATCGTATTTAGTACGATAATAAGAGTGAAATACGATCCTAAAATCTTAAAATACGATTTTTCATTTATTTATTTTAAAAAATATAAAAATATAAAAATATTTTTTTTTAATATTTTTTTTTAAAAATATTTAAAAACCCATAAAAACAGCGGAATCGCATAGAAATATGTACAAGTAAACCCCCGCAACCCCAACAAAAAGTTTGCTTTGCAATTTTCTCATTAAATTTTTATGAAAGAGCAAACATTTTCTGAAATTTTACTGGCCCGGGGCCGTCTGGCCAGTGGTAGTGTCAAGTTTCCGTGAAAATCTGATTTTTCTCTCCAAAATCTGATTTTTTTTTAGGATACTCAGTCTGTTTTCTTGTGTCAAGAAGTTGGCATCTCTGATTGCGTTTGACCTTTTGGTTTCCTTACCATTCTGAATTACAGCATGAAGCAGCCAAAGTGATGCAGGATGCCATCAATGAGTTCAGCAGGACATCGGAAGAGATACGGGTGACCATTGCCAATGCTGACCTCTCCCTTGCTAGAGGAGATGTAGAACAGGCTCTGTCCATGCTAAGGAACATCTCACCAGAACAAAGGTGTGTTGTCATTCACTCTTTTTACTCACTTGAAGAAGAACACCGTATGAGCTATGAATACTTGTGCATCAGTGCCTTGATCCAGACAAAACTGATTACTATGATTCAATATGCTAAGTGTAGGTATCAGCTCTTAAAGACCTACATACAACATTCCAACAAGGACATGACACAATCACACCATCAGAGTATAAAAGTTAAATTGTACAATAGTGAAGCAAAGTCGCAAGTGGATTTGATATTTATTTCATGTCTATGTACTTTTGAATTTTTTCCTTCATTATTTATTACCTGTGTAAGAATGTGTGTCAGCATGTCTGAACTTACTGTGCAAAGAGCTTCAAATATGATCCTCTACAAATGCTTTTGTGATACATGGGGCAGTTTGTGATGTAAGAAAAGAATTAGCATTGAAATTAAGATTTGAATTCTGATATGTCAGATTGTTAATATACATGTATGTTAACGCAAAAAGCATGAGATAAAAGGATTGCACTATATTTGGGGAAGATAGATAGCAAACACTGGTCAAGAATTAGAAGATAAAGCAACCCTCTGTCTCTTTATTTTTGTTTCCAGTTATTTTGTGAAAGCCAGAGAGAAGATGGCCGAGATTTATCTGCACCATCGAAAGGACAAGAAACTCTATGCAAGCTGCTACAGGTAAATCCCAAGTTAATATCAAGCCTTCGAACAGTTTCAAACCTATCTACCTGCAATGCACATTCATCACAATTAATTCCTAATTTCCTATCACAGTCTAGGACATAACTTTATACTGCTTCATCTTCCAAATTGGCATCTTGGAGGTGTATATGTGAATCACAAGTAACATGTTTCATTGTTGAAATATATTGATAGATCTGCTATTTCATATTCATTTTCTTGCCCCCTACATGACTAGGAATAGAATGAGTTTTAATCCATTCTAGAAGTGATTTTACTTTTAGTTTAAGTTTCTTCCTCTAAAAACTTATAACTCTTTTAAGTCTTATAACTCTGATTCAGTCTTTTCCATATATAAAATTGATATTGTTTCGATTCTTTGTTCTTGATACTAGCCAAGATAATTACATAGATATAGTTATCTATGTACTAGGATATATGTTTGATAACTTTTGATAACTTTGATCTAATTTAGTGGAAATTTATGATTAATTGGCAGAGAGTTGGCAGAGAAGTATCCCAGCTCTCAGACAGCCCTGTTGCTGGGTGATGCATACATGTGCATCCAGGAGCCTGAGAAGGCCATTGAAATCTATGAGAAAGCACTCAAGAAGAACCCTAGAGACAGTGCTCTGGCCAGCAAGATCGGTCAAGCAATGGTCAAGACACATCAGTATGGAAGGGTAAGAATACATGTTTGAATTTCTTAGCCTCCTAGGCTTTCAATTTTGAGTAAGGTTTTTGAGGGTTTTGTCCAATACTGAATGATTTTTGAAGATTGTAGTTCATCCAGTATCATAGACATGAAAGCAAATTATAAATTAAATACTGGAAGTAACTTTTTTGTTTGATTCTTATTTATTTTGGTGTTCATCTATAGGATGGTTAGGTTTGTGTATGCCATAGAAATTAACCTGGTGATACACAGCTTAAGGGTTAGACCCAATTATAAATTTGTTATAACTTCATCCATCCAACATTTTGTGGCTAATTATCATGTTCGATAAAACAATGACTTTGCTTAAATATCTGTCAACAGAACAGTCTCTAAGAAGCTTTTGATCAAGTGGCCACAACGCATAATATGAATATTTATGATTGTCACATTGGAAAAGTTGCCCTCTCATATTTCTAGTCTGCTAAGACAGTTGCAAAGTGTTATGTGGATTCATATTAACGTTGTTGAATTATATTTAATTATGTTAAATTATTTTCGTTCAATGTACTTACCTTATTAGGCGCCTTGAGCATCTCTTGGGGTGGATATGTGCACATTATAAATGTTGTTATTATTATTTTATTATTATATCTGATTCACAAATGAATAATCTGTTTACCAGCACATGGAGCAGGTATTGACACACCAGACTGACAGTGAAGATTTATCTGTTCTATTCTTTTTATTAGGCAATCAATTACTACGAGGCAGCCCTAAAGACAGGAGGTCAATCCTTCTTGAGGCATGACCTGGGTGAGCTGTTGCTCAAGCTGAGACATTATGAGAAGGCTGAGAAGACACTTAGGATCGCTCTAGAACATGAACAATGTAAGTCATAACAAGACGGATCTGCAACACATGCTGCGGTGACAATTTTGCCTCCTTATCAAATTTGTTCCTGTGATGCAACCATGGACAAAATACTACATCTTATCCTCACCCGAAACTTAATCACAACATTAACCCTTACTGTCTAAAATTTGGAGAAAAAAAAAGCATTGTCAGTTAAAGGCAAAATAAGACTACCATATTAAGAATACTTTTTGGTATGATGCTTCATTTTGATATCTTGAATATATGACTTATCATTTAGCAAGGGTGTTTTAAGTTGCATATTTCTTTTTTCCTGTCGAATATCCATAGCATGAGTTCAAACATGTTGACTTTGGTGTTAACAGCTACTGAAAGTAATACTGGGAGGAGAGGGCCATTGGTTATAGTGATTAAGTTTACTCCTTCCTCCCCCCCCCCCCCCCCCCCCCTCCAAAGTACCAGTGATGCCAGATATAAATATGTTCTATTGTAGAGGTGTTGTAGTCGAGTGGATACGTCGCCGGACTGTCGATCACAAGGTCCGCGGTTCGAGTCCCGCTGCCACACTAATGTCCTTTGGCCAGACATTGATCTACATTTGCCACACTCCACCAAGGTGAAGTAAATGGGTACCTGGTAGGAATTTATTCCTTGAAATGCAAGAGCGCCGTATGGCAGCCGTGCTAAAGCCAGGATAATAATCGGGAGCGCCAGGAGGGTCAAATCTGACTGACATAAGCGCTATACAAGAACCCACTAGTATTATTATTATTATTTTCTTCATCTTTGAGCAGCAAATGAGCTGACGGTGTTGATGGATGATGCTAAGCTACTAGTCTTACTGGCTAAGGTTCATAGGAAAGGAAACAAGTTAGAGGATTCCATGCTAGCTCTCACCAAGGCAAGGGACATGCAAGCAAGGTAAAGCATGCTATAGCATGATGATAATGATGATGATGATAATGATGATGATAATGATGATGATGATGATGATGAGGAGGATGAGGAGATGATGATGATGATGATGATGAGGATGATGATGATGAGGAGGAGGATGATTGTGATGATGATGATGATGATGATTTTAATGATGATGATGATGATGATGATGATGATGATGATGATGGCGATGATGATGATGATGATGAGGTTGAGAATAGTGATGATGATGATGATGATGATGATAAAGATGATGATTAGGATGATAATGAGGATAAGGATGATAATGATGATGATGGTGATGAAGATGATGATGAGTATGGTTCTTGGACAACTTTCTCTTGGACCATCCTCCTCTGACAGTTTCCCATTTCCAATAACAGTCACTCTTTTTATCTGCAAAATTAGCCCCATCTTGTAAAGAGTTGTGACTAGTACAAATTGATCTTGATCTTACCTAAGTCTGATACCGATCTCAAGTTCTAATATAAGAAATAAATTATTATATTTTTCCAGTTGATTACGAGGCATGTTAGAGGACGAAGATTTTAGGGGTTTGATAATAATGACAGAATTTTAACAGAGCTCTGCTCTCCATGCTTGTAATAGCATTTAGGACAAGGCCAAAGACAATATTGATGTAACAGCTGTCTTTTCATTCTGCTATTACATATCCATATTGTTGTCTGTTACATATTCCTATTTTGTTTTTTCTGTAGGGTTCTCAAGAGAGTACAAGTTGAACAACCTGATGCTGTGACAGCTCAGAAGACATTGGCCACAAGGTAAGGATAAGCACTTCAGACATGGTACTAAATAAACATGAATTCAGTTAGTCAATACCAAACATATTGTGTTCTATTGCAACATATCTTTCAAATATTGATCATTGGATTGACATTTCATTGTAATTCAGAAATGAAGACTGTCATATAAACCCCCATGGGCATTTACAAGTAGAAAGAAAATCAAAATCATGATCATTTTCAAAACTTTATAAATTCTTTCATAAGTGTTCTCCAGTCAGGACACCAAGGTTATGCTAGAACTTGTAAAACTTTACCATTCAGATTTATGCCTATGTTGTAGTCATGATTCTCTTAATATCTCTTTGAATCTGTATTCAGCATCTGTTCCCAAATGGCAGAGCAGTGTAGCACTCAGCGAGCCTTTGACAAGGCCATCAAGTTTTACAAGGAAGCCTTGGTGTACTCCAGTCAAGACACCAAGGTGATGCTAGAACTAGCCAGACTTTACCTGGCAAAGTCGGAGTTGGACTCGTGCCAACATCAGCTGGTCCAGCTGCTTCAGATAGACAATGATAATGACTCGGCTCTTGTGGTAAGTGGATGTGCTTTATTTTGATATTCTTATTTTTGTTGGGGGGGGGGGGGATAAGATTGTGATCAGTGCTTATTTGTTGAGATTGCAGATGGATTTATTGGCAATGGCTATGACTATTGATTCTGTCTTCTGAAGGGATGTCAATGATATTTTTGGTAGAATAGGGATGAAGGTCATGATGGGGATGATAGTGATAAATGCAAAGTTAATATTATAATTTGCTTCGCGAGTTTCAAAAAATATTAAAGATGATCAGAAATTTACATGTTACTTTTAACAATGTCAGAGTGAAAATTATGCCTTCATATTTCCAAAAAACTTCTTTACTTGCTAAGCTCAGAGAGATACAAAAATAATAATTTCTGTTCAAGAAATTATTGTACCTGTATTTATCTTTGTTTAAGGAGCAGTCTTGGCTGTAGAAGCCAAACACATGTGGTTAAAAAGTGCATGATACTTAAATTTAAGTCTATAGTTTTAGCAGCAAGAATGTTTTAAATGTTATGAGACTATTGATAAAATGCTAATTATTTTTTGTTCAGATGATGGCGGATCTGATGTTCAGGAAAGGAGAGTATGACCAAGCCATGTTCCATTTCCAGCAGTTATTGGAGAGATCCCCTGGTAAGAATCTGACTCATAAATCCCCTCACAATAGACTGGATTACTAGCATATTCAGATTTATAAATGTTTCTTTCCTTGGTCTCTAGTGACGATGTTTGCCATTAACCTGTTACTAATGAGTGAACTACAATACTTGAAATCCAGTCGGCATACAATATATGTTGCTATGTTGGACAGGCCTCAGGCAAGCTTACAGATTGTCAACACAACCTTTCTTTGCACAATATGCATAGAATATGAATATGTTAGTAAACCGGGCTATTACTGTAGTAACAAGATTGTAAGAAGCTAGGATTGGTAACTTGTAGTGGACACATTGCCTCTGAGGCCTTTGCATCATAATATTGCAAGTATTATTGATATCAGTAAGCGGTTGAACTCTCGATATTCTGTGATCATTGAAACATCAGTTTACTTTTATCTCTTAAAGCGTTTATTACTGTGAGGGCCGTATATGAACGTGTTCTGCCATCAATAATAACAAAATACAAAGGAAAACAATATGTAATCTAGGTTTCCACAAGGGATTTTGCTTTTGTTTCTTCTGCCATAGTTGACTAAAGAAGTAGTAAACATAACAGCAACATAAAAAAAGGTACCCTGCTATCATTATCTTTGACCCCCCCCCCCCAAAAAAAAAAAAAAGTGGACCAAAGTTTTAGCCTTGGGGTACTCCTCATGCATTAAACGAACATATGTTTATTACTGTAAATATCTGTGTATCAGACGCAACTGTGTATATGACGCACCCCTATATTTAAAGACAAAAAAAAAAAAAAAAAACTCTCTTCCCTTCAAATTAGGAACGTAGGTTAACTTCAAATAGTAGATGGTATTCTTTAGTCGCATTATGTTATTTATGTTGAGACACAGAGATGGACGAAATCCACTAAAAAGTAGCATTTTGGGGACTCAAAATATCCTGTACTTGTCTATAAGATGCAACCCCGACTTTCGAATTATTACGGCGGAAAAAAAGTGCGTCTTATACATAGAGATATACGGTGAAGTAAGATTCTAAGACAGCTGATGAATTGCACTGTAGGATTCCAAAAATTCAACTCCCGGGATTTTTTTATCCTCTCCTTCCTTCAGACCACTATGAAGCCTTGGCCAGACTGGTTGATTTGATGAGAAGAGCAGGCAGACTAGAGGAAGTATCCCACTTCTTGGACCAAGCGCAGAAAGCCTCACCTCGAGCTCCCCTGGACCCTGGCTTCAACTACTGCAAGGGACTCCAAGAATGGTAAGGTCATAGCCGTTAACATTAAGGGCTTTTAGATTTGCGCAACAAGACCATGGACGGCAATGTGTGACATCCTTTTAAGGTACTGGCAGTGCCCGGCAGTGCCTTAAAAGGACCTCACATTGCCTTAGAAGGATGTCACATGTAGCAGTCCACGTTCTCTTCGTGCAAATCTAAATGTCCCTAATACTAGAGAGGGCTGGACACTGCCTGTGGCCTGTTAGGAAATGAGTTTCCAAAATCCATGATGACCCCCAATTTTTGATTTGACAAATATTTGATTAAGAGGTGAAGCACCACCATTTCCTTCTTGGCAATATCCAAAAGCTCGTCTTTAAACAAAAAAATCTGGGGTTGGGGGGGGGGGGGGTATCTGATATCAAAATCTGTCACCGTGACCTTCATTTTGCTGGGTAAGGGCCATTATAGCCATTAGAGTTCTTGGTCTTTAAAAGTGTTTTTTGGGGGAGGAATCAATTGGAAGTCATCCCATCACTTGTGAATGTATGGTGTCCTATTTCGTATGGTAGATGTTGCAATTGATGTCAAATCTTAGTTTAGTAGTGATCGATTCAGATCAATCCCAACTCTTTATAAGACAAAGTCCAGGTTCTTGATCATGTACATGGTGGTGATCAATGAAGAAATCACTTCCATAATATAACTTATTCTGCTTAAGATATTTACCATACCCTTTTTTATATTATCTTGACCATAATATGTAAATTTGTAATGTGCTAGCTTCAAATTTATATGTTTTATTTCGCTGGCACGGATAAATTCGCAACGCGATGATGCCAAGATTACTTCAAATTCTTATGTTTCATTTGACCTGTCCAGGTACATTGGTAATCCGAACCTGGCCCTGAAGCACTTCAACATGGCGCGGAAAGACAGTGACTGGGGACAGAAGGCCATCTCTAACATGATAGAGATCTGTATCAATCCTGACAATGAAACCATCGGAGGAGAAACTTTTGAGAGCGGAGACCTTGATCAAGCGTGAGTATACCCTAGGAAAAGATTTTTCCAAAAAATTATTGTTTTGATTTTTTTAAAAGATGTCCTTGATTAAGTCTGTTTCTCTTATGGCATTGCACAGCACCCCCTCAGTGTACATATTGCACATTACATATTCCCATTATGCACATGTACATGGAGCTACTGTGACTCAATTTTCTGTAATATGTTCTTGGAGAAAAGGACACTGCTAGATATATCTTGCCAGATGTGTGATCTATGGAATATACAATACAAAATATTATTCTGTTCTTGTGCATGAAATATACAGGCTCACTTGTGCTACCTCTATTGAAATTTGTTCTTGTTTTATAAAGGGAACAATATATATAAATTATGATCGTTTTATTTCATTCTTCTGCTCTCTTCAGATCTATAAACGAGAAAGCAGACTCTGAACAAGTAGCAGCAAAGACGGCAGAAAAACTTATCAAGGTAAGTAGGTCAGGGCCTCGTCTTACTAAGAGTTGTTATCAATGTACATAAGAGATAGGAGATTGCAAACTTGCGATTGATTGGAGGACCTGTGATTGATTTGGATCAAACATTACTCTTTGTAAGACGGGGCCCAGATATACAAAAGTCTGTGTTTATCTTTCTTTACAATTCTTTCATATCTCTTTCTGTAAGTTTTATGTTTTACTTCTTAAAGCTTTCAAAACTTTTTCAAGAAATCTGATTAGCAAGTCCATGACATGAACCTTTAAAAAACCCTGTCGGAATTGAAAAATGAAATAGATGAATTATATATCGATCGAAAGCTTACAAGCCATAGATTAGAATAATATCAATATGTTATATGCTATTTTAGTGTCTGTCAGAGGAGTAACAATTCTCAGAAAACTTAAAAAATTTAAAGCTTTGAAAATAATAATAATAATAATAATAATAATCTTTTAAAGTCCACTCCAACTTTTATTAAGTTAAACCGAAAATGGAAAGTCTTTTTGCTCAATTGATCGTGAGCCCGGCAGCCACTGAGCAGCGCCAGATCGACATTGCTCTATCCCTTATTGTTGAACGCCAAACAAGGTAGCAGGGGTTGTCCACGTAAAAACCAACTATCAACTTGATGACACCATCTTAGATGGAGTAGGCATATTCACATTGTCTTTGCATAAATTAAGCATGGCTTATTGCCTCGGCTATATAGGTGAGCCGACCGGGTCTATGTGTTATGTTGTTACCCTAAATGTGGCATATATGACCCCTGTTGACCTGTAATGTGAAAGGGTGTAGAAAATGAGGTTTTAATTAGATTTTGTGCAATACTGAAAGGGAAAATATATTTTATTCCTTTATATTGGTATTCTACGTTCATTCAGTTTACCATTGATATAAAGTTGTATTTTCATCGGATAGGGTCTTTAGGATAGTAGCTTATAAAATATAGAATGTAAAGTAAATCCTTCTCTTTATGAAATACAGGAATTGAAACCAAGTGAAGGAAGTGATACTCATCTCATCCAGGAGATCTACGTTCTCATGGCAACCAAGTCTAAGGCTAATATCGAGAAGGCTCTGTCAGCATTCATGGAGCTGGTCTCCAATTCCGAGGTAGGCACAAGTGACCCAAGTTTAATGCGATTTTTCTAGTTGACTGCATATTGACCCAGTTGAAGAAAATGTAGTCAATGTGTAGCTACTTTGTTTTTCTGTCATATGCCATGTTTTAAGATGATATGTTTCTCCAGTTTTTGTATTTTAAATCTGTCATTTGACTCCCCCCCCCCCCCCCTTCTCCTTTATACTACATTCTTGTTGAATCTCTACACAATGAATTATAAACACATGTAGTAGGTTGAACATTTTTATAAAATAATAGTATTTTACAGTATTTCCACATTTGTGTGACTCGTGCAATCTCTGCATTAGTGGCCTTATACCATGTACACTTCTCCTCTGCATATGACTATGTTCATAGCCAAATTATTTCACAGCTGTTTAGGAGTAAAGATATCGTTTTATTTATCGATCATGATGAATTTGTGCATACCATAAGGTAGTTAAATTGCTCAGTTTCTTCTTAAAGGCAGGATATTCTTCTGACACTACTTCAGATTTATGTATACTGCCATCTGCTGCTCACAAAGTCCCGATGTGTCGACAGTCATGTCCCACAATGCATCACCAACTGCATGACGTGATGGTACTTGGGTACAGGAACGTGAATCGCTCTATGTACGCCTTCACCAAAAGATGGCGCAATCAGAAATGCATTCCAGCAGTGGTAGCGATGTTGGCACCCTGCCTTTAAATCAAACTGTTTTGATAACAACTTTTGGATGATCTATATCATTTGATCTCTTTTTCATTTTTGTAGAGGGAGAATGTTCCAGCTCTACTAGGTGTAGCTACTGCTTACATGATGCTCAAGCAAACACCGAGAGCTAGAAACCAACTCAAGCGTATCGCCAAGATGGAATGGAACCCTGTGGTGAGTGCATTAGTCATGTCACTATCATATTAACCCTGTAACTACTGGAACTGGGTGTTCCCTGTATTAAAGATAAAGACCAGATCGTCATGCATTGTGAAAGAAACGTTGTGGAATCGATCAGAAAAGGTTGATCATCTAGCATATAGTATTGGTGTGTACTGCAAGGTTCTGGAATCATCAAAATGATAAGAAATTTGGCCCAGTCTTCGTAAAGTTACAAGAACTGTACACAGAAAGATGTATATGGGACTACGCACATGTGCCCGACACGTGCGTTTATCTCTCACACACCAATAGATAAACTAATTTACCAAATATATCAATTAGTAGGCGGTTTCCCGGCAAATTTGTTATCATCATGTATTAGTAAAAACATATTCTTTCACATGATTGGTAATAAGAGCTTCCATTTCATTTTTTGAAATTGGGGAGTTTCCAATACTGGTCTTTACCTTTAAGCATATTTGAAGCATTGAATTCAGTAGTCAAATGGTTAAGATGAGAAGTTTCAAAAAGCGACATCAACGAAATGGATGTCTAGGCCAATATTGATATATTTACTGATCATAACTTCTGGAAGATATGTTGAAAAATAGTGAATGCCTCATGAAATATTACACTACTCTGACCCACATGAGATGTATGACTATTAAGAGTTCAAATATTCAATATATGGGTCTACAAATTATATCTAGATAAAGGAAATAGCTTGAGAACTGTAACTTGGTTGATACAAACCAATATGTGGAGGTTTCATCATGTTTTGGCATGGTTTTCGATTCAATTTATTTATTTTTCTTCTTTCAATTTTTCGTATTTAAAATGATGGTACATTTTTACATATTCACATATTAATATACATATCGATCTATTTGCTCAATACAATACATTAAAAAAACATGAAATTGAAAGGGAAGGAGGGCCGACTAAAAATCAGAGCCTTTTTTACATAAGAGGCTGCCACCGGTTTCGATCTTTTACGGAAACGTTGATATTGGTATGTTTATAAAAAAAAAGGCTGAACTGCTCCCGCTGGCTATGTAAGATTTCCACTGATTTTTTTCCTTCTAATATGTAATATGCATTAGAGGTAGATGCTTTTAAACTCAGAATCATAAAGTTTGTGGTTTGGATATTTATGTACCGTCTATGTTCCTCACCTTTAACAGGATTCCGAGGAGTTTGAGAAGAGCTGGCTTCTACTCGGTGATGTCTACATCAACTCTGGCAAGTTTGACATGGCTAATGAACTGCTCAAGAAATGCCTCAAACACAACATGGTAATTTATGGAAACATCATTCTTCAATTCACTTGTTATTATTATAATACATTCTTTCCCCCCTTCGTTAAAGGTAAAGACCAGTATTGGAAACGCCCCAATTTCAAAAAATGAAATGGAAGCTCTTATTACCAATCATTTGAAAGAATATGTTTTGACTAATACATGATGATAAAAAATTTGCAGGAAACGGCCTACTAATTGATATATTTGTTAAATTAGTTTATCTATTGGCCTGTGAGAGATAAACGCACGTGTTGCGCACTTGTGCGTAGTCCCATATACATCTTACTGGGCCAAATTTCTTATCATTTTGATGATTCCAGAACCTTGCAGATGCTAGATGCTAGATGATCAACCTTTTCTGATCGTTTCCACAACGTTTCTTTCACAATGCAACCGCATGACCATAACTGGTCTTTGTCTTTGAGCTTATGCCTCTCTTTTCAATTCCTTATTTGTTCTTGGAAGGGTTACTTATGATAATTTTAGTTTACTATTTTATTTGATTTATCTGCGGAAATGGTTTAGAATGCACGTCATTTCCTCTTGTTAGGAATTGAATTATAGAGTGAGTCATACCGTAAACTCACACAAACCTATGAACTGAAGTGTCATAAACACATATAATGAGTTTATTGTTTAAAAATCACAATCTTTATTTGAATGTTGTTTAAATCTTTGAATAATCACTTTCCACAACAAAAGTGTAAGTTCAAACTACTTCATACACATTTTTATTATCATTATTTGTGATATGTATGCCTACTATTGTTATGTTGCTAAATCCTTCCACTCATTTTTATGCAATGTAGTCTTGCTGCAAGGCTTATGAGTATCTTGGTTTCATCATGGAGAAAGAGCAGTCCTACCAAGATGCAGCGAACAGCTATGAGAAAGCTTGGAAGTTTGGAAACCAGAATAACCCTAATATAGGTAGGTACATATGATGCTAGATTCTCTTTACTTCAAATATTACATGCCACTGTTGCGAGGGTCACCAATCTCTTATTTCCTTTCTGTGTGGTCAGTTAAATTCATGACCTGTACAATTAAACCTGTGTATGACAGGCAAATTGCTTTACAAAGGCAGTGGGACCATTCAATAACCTCTGTATAAGTAGATTGTCAAAACAATGAAATACAGAAAGAGAAGACAGGATATTTCTATTGCTTTATGGAGTTCGATTCCAAAGGAACCTCCTTTTATGAGGATTTCAACTAAATTATAGCCTGCTCATTCCAAAAGACCGGTATCTATGTGTTATACCCATCTATTGTTACCTTGTGCAATGTGCATAATTTAAAGCCAGATATGGTTATTTTCAGAGTAGTACCCGGAGTAAGAAGACAAAAAAGGATAGCTACATCCCTTCCAATGTCTAAGATTGTTCCAATGCCCACTGTATTTCATTTTCTATATTGTCTGTTTGTCATTTTCTATATTGTCTGTTTGTCATTCTCTATATTGTCTATTTGTCATTTTCTGTATTGTCTGTTTGATATTTCTATATTGTCTGTTTGTCATTTCCAGGTTACAAGCTGGCATTCAACTACATGAAAGCCAAGCGCTTTGTGGATGCCATTGACATCTGTCACAAGGTGCTGGCTGTTCATCCGGACTACCCTAGGATGCGCAAGGACATTCTAGACAAGGCTAGGGCCAGTATAAGGGCTTAATATCTGGTCTAAGACCAGGTCTCATATGGGAGCTTTTATTTTCAAGGACATTCTGGACAAGGCTAGGTCCAGTATAAGGGCTTAAGATCTGGACCAAGACTGGGTCTCATATGGGAGCTTTTATTTTCTAAGGACATTCTAGACAAGGCTAGGTCCAGTATAAAGGCTTAAGATCTGGACCAAGACTGGGTCTCATATGGGAGCTTTGATTTTCAAGGAAATTCTAGACAAGGCTAGGTCCAGTATAAGGGCTTAAGATCTGGAACAAGACTGGGTCTCATATGGGAGCTTTGATTTTCAAGGACATTCTAGACAAGGCTAGGTCCAGTATAAGGGCTTAAGATCTGGACCAAGACCAGGTCTCATATACGAGCTTTGATTTTCAAGGACATTCTAGACAAGGCTAGGTCCAGTATAAGGGCTTAGCGTTGGACCAAGACTAAATTTTGTTTGAGATTATCCCACGTTTGAGACAAGCTTTATCTTTCAAGGAGATTCTGAAGAAGAATAGGTCCAAGCATTTGGACTAAGAACAAGGGAGCGTGTAACAACTTATAACTATCGGGTAGATTTGGGGCAAGGGTAACTTGTCTTCTAAGGCTCATGTACATTTTTGGTAGCAAAAAGAAAAATTTGAAAGAAACATGTTAAATATAGTCTCATGTTGTTCTCCTTGTATAACAAAATATATGTACGAGATCGTTTGGTATTCTCACTGTCCATGATTTCCTGTGAACTGTAGGATCCTTCCACCCCAATGGCTCCCTGCACATCAATCTAGGCACTTCTCTTGGAGACAGCATGTGTGTGTGTAGACTGTAGTACACACAGTACTTACACGAGTAGTGCAGGCTGCCATTGTAAGAATTTACTTTCTCACATATGTTTAATATTTCACTTGGGGAGGAAAAAGATCCACAGCAGCATTGTAGTGCTGGTATCTTCCTATTCATCATCTAAAATCAAAGAAATCTGTCATAATTTTTTTTTGAGGGCCTACCAAAATTGTTCATCAGCTTCGAGGTCATTGTAGACCATAGATATTTCTAGTACAAGGGCCTAGACCAAGATCACTTCTCATATAAGAGCTTGATATATTTTGCAAAGATATTTTGGATAAGGTTTGATCGAGATGTGACATATGAGCTTTTACTATGAACAAGATTATGAACAATAGATGATTTCATGCATAAGCCTACATTTGTGGCAGGACTGACAATTTGGTGAAGTCTAGGTCCAGTGTACAAGCTTAGACCAAGTTCTAGAATAATATTGAATGAAAATTAATTAGGTCTAGTACGTAAGCAATAATCAGGGGGTAGATCCACCTTAAGACCATGTATGCTAACGGACACAGATTTTTTTACATCAGAAAAAGTGTATGAATGAATCTTGTTTACCTAAATGCTTACAAAATATGCCATTTTATAATTTGTTTTAGTGTTGCCTCAAGTTTGCATGTTATGTGTGATCATGTAATTCAAATACCCTCTTTAATTGAGGCATTCTTTTTGTTAAAGGCACTTAAATTGTTTTCAGAGGTAGAAAATATATCTTTTTTATTTTCCTATCCTGCAACCATCTTAACCATACAGCTGATGATCAGTAAAAGAGTACAGTTTTCAAGATTGGGAATCAAGAGTGGGCATGAATTTTCATATATCTATGCTGGATATATGAATCATTTGTCACAACTTTAGGTGATTTTCACTTATTTTGATGTATGTTCAGAACTTCTTTCTAAATAAGTCAATCAATTTTTTTTTAAAGTGTATATTAGTGTATGATAAATAATCTGTGTGTTATATTCGCTTCTTTCACCTTGAATTGTTGACAATTCTAATCAATTGAAGACTTTTTCTTTTCAATACTAAGATTATAATTAATTGCAAAGATATATTGTATAGTGAAATAAATTGTATATATAGATATTTAAATACGAGTCATTTGCTATTCCTGTTCAGTTACATTTTGAAAATGATATTTTCATTTATTCCGGGTCTTATGGGAAGCATAAGTGAAGACAGAAAGATCTGGGCTTCATCATAATGTCAGAGAGAGAGGGGGATGGATAGAAGAATCAAGAAAGAGAGAGAGGCGATAGAGAACAAAGCTCTCCAGAGAAGATAATAGAGAGGGTACAAATCGAGAAAGAGAAAGAGAAGAAATAAAGAAGGAGAGGGAAGATGAATTAAGAGAGAGGGAAGAGACGGAGAGTCGTATTGTGTTTTCTTCATTGTTTACAGTTTTAGAAACAAAATTGTTATAGCAGGAAATAGGAACATTGCCACGTTAAAAAACTTTAATGATGAACATTTATTCAAATGTTTGGAAGTTCCTCTTTAGATGACAATTTTGATTCATTTCTTTGAAGCATCCTCATGGAGGTAATTCCTCTTGCATAGATTTGTCATTGTCATGTCGGGCTATCATTGATTAAATGTTCATGATGTCAGTACCATTTTCTACTTTACAGAAGTCTGATTAGTTTTAAGTTTAGTGAATTCATATCAATTTCAAGCCCTTGATGGCTTATTTATTTTTTAGTGATAAAATAACTCTTTTAGGCCTGGAAATGAAAAAAACAAGCACAAAAGGGTGAATTTCATACATTAATTGATGCAGGGCAGGACAAACATTCTGGCTTGTATTACCTAATAACACGTTATGTATGCAATTCGCATTCTGACTATAAAAATACAATAATTCGTAACAGGTGAATCAAAAAATTTGTTTCAAGGTACTTAACACAGACTCGGGCATTAAATTTGATTATATTTGATTATACGAAAATGACATTATTTTCACTACAAAAATTGAGTCTATGAGCATCCGCACTGACACACGACCCAGCTGCCGTTGATGAACGCGCATCCTACCCGGAATCATGTGGATTAAAGCTTTTCAACGGTCGACATAATCAACAGCTGATTGACTCCTGCACGTGTATAAGATGACACAACATTCTTTGATTTAAGAAATACTGGATTTTTTCCATCGGATATCATAATTTTGTTTTCGATTTAAAAATTCATTTATACTCCATTATGAATAAAATGTATGTGCGAATAAAGTAGTATGCATGGCTGGTAATTGCATTATTTTGAACCAAGCATATGCTTGTACTCTTAAGTCACAATCTCTGTTATCAGGATAAAGATTATTATTTTCATTTTATCCTTCTTCTTCTTCTTCTCCTTCTCTTTATTCTCCTTTTCCTTCATCTCCTTCTCCTCCTTCTTCTCCTTCTTCTCCTACTTCTCGTTCTTCTTCTTCTTCTTTTTCTTCTTCTTTTTCTTCTTCCTTTTCTTCTTCTTCTTCTTTATTTTTTTCTTAATCTTAATAATAATGATAATATTGATTATTATCATTATTATTATTATTATAAGAAAGAAATAGAAATCAAATGACGCAAAATCCGCTTGTACCACGATTTTAAAAAGGTCACTTTATATACTCAAACTACAATACGGTATAAAATTATAAGCTACACGTACAATGCAAATTGGAATGGAAATTCCCCATTCGTTTAGAAAACAAAGGGAATCATGAAGGAATAAGATTAACATTTATTCAAAAGAGAAACTAGCTCGTCGCAAAGTAAGTTCGAACACTTTGTACAGAATGTCTGTACAGAACGTTTATATCGAATTATATCAAGTTACAACAATCTTCCTCACGCAAACCTTAAAATCCACTCGACAATTCTGGATTAACGCATTTAACGCCCCCGCCTGATAGCGGATTACTCTATAATCCAACTCGTGTCATGAAAATATGCAGCTTAACGGCAAGAGTTTTATCACTTAAACGGACATACGCTAATCGGGAATTAATTAATGCTCTAGATGCCAAACCTTAAGTTATGGTCAAGCAACTGATTGCAATAATAGTGTAAAATGTCTAGAGGATTTCTTTATCGTCTTGGGATTATTCAATTCTTTCTTCGGACTATAATCTACCAATTCTTTGTTTCCTAATACTCCGTGTAAGATTTTCAAAATGAAAACTGGTAACAATATAACAAAAGATAAACATATTCATAATGAGGGCAAATCCTTTGGATATTTCTCAGATCGTTGCAGTGTGTTTGCTGATACCGTTTTAATTCTGCTCAAACCATGGCCCATGGGTAACCCTATAAGAGAAGATAAAACAACTTTAATGAAAGAAATATATTTAGAATGACGATTCTCTAATTGCTCCAACATAAAATATATCTAGGGGGTGTGGTACTAAGATTTCCTTGACAACTGATACCTAACCAAAAAAGTATAAATACTGGAATACAGCAGAATACAAATCACAATCCAACCATCGCTCAAGCCCCAAGGAGAAAGAGAAGTTCGAGAGAGAGTGAATGAAGAGAATATAAAATCAAAGATACATTGACAGAAAAGAAGGATCTACGGTACTACAAATTGTTTAGTCTCCACGATGTAAGTATACTATGCTTTCCTCATTGTTTAGCGTATATCTTGTTCAAGCTGTTCATTTGAGAGATACTCCATTTATATGTAGTAAATGCATCAAATAATACGTTGTGGAAATAATATCTGTCGGACATATACTCATTATACCGCTGGCATCAAATAAAGTGTTGTCATCACTGACTTAACATATGATACATGTAATACATTTTACATATGTCACTTCATTAATGTAATTACATGGAAGATAAGTAAACAATTTAATCGCAAAGCTTGATAAAATTACCACATCTGCATTTACCACCCCAAAAAGAGTTATTAGGTCTTTAATTGATGTCAAGGTAACTATCATTAATGGCAATAAAGTGACTCTGTACCATCTATTTTTGTACAGATCACGATGAATAAGATGTGGCTAACATTGGCCGCAATTCTTGCACTAGCATTATGCATCAGCTCTGCTCCCGGTGAGTATTCGGAAGTGTCATCATTTCATAAATATACATTTTTTTAATATCTATTTTTTAGTTCAGATTGACAATTTGCTCCATTACCCCCTGTCTCAGTTGTTCATTTACCTTTGTCAGTTGTTCCTCGTATTAAGCATTCAGCAATGCAATTACTTAAAATTCATGTGTGTTTTTTTAAATCAATTACTCTCTTACAGTTTTGAAAACCCTATGATGTCATGTAGAGAACCAAAAAAACTACGTTGCAATATTCTATGATGGATAATTTCAATGCTTTTGCTTGCTTCATCGATGGAATGTCGGAACTGGGGGGGGGGGGGGGGGGAGGGGTGGGGTGGGTACAGGGATGTCACGGGAATGAATTGTATTGATAGACTGTGGGAGTTAATCCCAAGACAGGGGTGGGGTTCATATATCTTGAAATCAACGCGTTTAAGTAGGCTCAAGGCAAGTCTTTTTTTAGTTTTCCCCTTCATTGGTCTTTAACGGGGGGGGGGGGGGGGTGCTAAATATACGAATTATCTGTGCTGGATATACTCAATGACAATATTCTGAATAGTGTGTACCGGTATTGTATGACCATGTAAATGAATATTATAATCATTTTCAATATGTTGATACACTCTTTGTAAAATGAGATATTGTGGAAACCAATAAACTATCTATCTATCTATCGTTAAGATGAAAATACTAATAAAGTGACCCGTGCCCAACGTAGCTACGCCACTGCATAATTATAACCACATTCGATCCCCCCCCCCTCTTTATAATACCACAGCTGGTTGTCCGAGAGGACTGAGCGGGCCCGTTTGTGGTTCTGATGGCCAGACATACTCCGATTTCTGCGATGCCGCCGTGGAAGTAAAAGGCGTTGGTGCATGCGCTGGTGATGGAGATGGTGATGGTGGTGGAGACGGTGGTGATGGTAGTGGTGGTGATGGCGGTGATGGCGGTGATGGTGGTGATGGCGGTGATGGTGATGGTGGCGATGGTGGTGATGGTGATGGCGGTGATGGTGGTGATGGCGATGGTGGTGGTGATGCTGGGGGTTGGGACTGGGGTTGGGGTTTGGGTTACGACTATGCAGCAACAGGTGTGGGATGTGGAGGAGGGGGATGTGGGGGTGACAGCAGTAGTAGCAGTAGTGGGAGTGGGAGTGGGAGTAGTGACAGCGACAGCGGAGATTGTGGTAGTGGTAGCGGTGATTGTGACAGTGACAGTGATAGTGACAGCGATAGTGATAGTGATAGTGACAGTGACAGCTGCGGCAGTGACTCGAATGAATGCGGAAGTTCGAGTTCAGACAGCGACGACGACTCTAGTAGCAGTTCAGAGGAAGATTGTGGGTGTGATGGTGGTGATTGCAATGGTGGTGGTGGTGGTGATTGCGGTGGGGATGGTGGTGACGGTGGTGGTGCTGGCGGTGACGGTGGTGGTGATGGCGGTGACGGTGGTGACGGTGGCGATGGAGATGGTGGTGATGGAGGCGATGGTGATGGAGGTGATGGTAGTGGTGGTGGTGATGGTGGTGATGGCGATGGAGGTGGCGATTGCGGCGGAGACGGAGTTGAAGGCGCTGGGTGTGGTGAACTCAAAGCTGCCCCTTATGCCAAACAAGGCGGTACAGGTCAGTAGACTTCATCATTGAAAAATGTAAGGCATGGCTCTCTTCAATGGCGTAGCAACAGGGAGCATGAGGATTAGCGCCCCTCCCCCATTGAATGGTAAAGCAGGGAATGGAAATAAAGAGAAAATGGGAGGAGAGAAGAGAAAAAAAGGAGAGGAAAGGCCATGTTTAAAAAATGATTGCGCCTTTTCCACACCCCATACAATTTCGCATTTCATTCAACGACAAGTACCCCTCCAAATAAACAAGTGCTCCCTCAATGGCTGGAGCCAGGCTACGCCTCTGACTCTCTTTACACCTCCCAGGATAAGATAAACTTTCACTCTTTTTTTCCTTGGGAGACCTGTCAGGATACCCATGTCAGATATTTTCTCTATTTTTATCACAACGCTGTATTAGAAAACGTAATTCCATTTCTTTTTTTAGAATAACAGCACATACTGTAGGCCAAACTTCAGATAATGACAGTTGAAAATGAAAATTTAATATCAATAATTATTGCTCACAAAGTGTATAATGACTTAGTTTTTCATCGACACTTTGAAAAAACAATCTGGGCCCCGTCTTATAAACAGTTACGATTAATCGCAACTTATTGATAATTGATATCAACTATGTAAATGACAGAAAGGGGACTGAGATTGAATATGGATCAATTGCAACTCTTTATAAGACAGGGCTCTGTAATATCAAATATGTCTAAAAGACCTTCTCATTCAATAGTTTTCTCTCTTTCTTTGCTTCTAATAACAGTGAAAATGACGATGGCGGAGCCTTAGGATATCAGGATCGATACATGCAGAGCTTGGTGTTGCAACTTTATCATCGACGAAGGAAGAGACTGCAGACTCGTTTTAATTCGGCGATTCACCATATCTATTTCTATTGTAATCACCAATGGATCCCATGCATAAAAATGTTGAGGATTCCAAAATCTTAAATTCAATTAGGAATGCTAAATTAGAATGTGAGCTTTTGATGTGACTTGAAAAAAACCCAGGTTGATTTTGAATTATTGTCTTTGCTTTGAGCAATATCTTATATTAGGCAGCAAGACGTTTATGACGAATTTTCTCGTTTATCGTGGCTTACTTTGATATCAAATAGAGAGGATTATTTATTGTAGACTAGAGTTTTTGAATATGTATTCTAATATTATTGAAGTAATCGTAAATTATTATACAATTTAACGTGTACAACATGTATATGTATCATAATTATTGTCTAGAATATATTGAAGCGCCTTGAGCAAATTAATTAAAATGGATAATGGCGCTATATAAATCTCATGTATTAATATTATTATTATTCGAATATTTAACACTCGTGTATTGCTTTACTTGGACACAAAGTACTTATAACCCACACCAGGATTGCGATATTTTAATGCTTTATTTCTTTATTGATTTTATTTGTGAAAAATACAATGTTTGTAAAACGAACAAGTTGGATATTGTTTAGCTTTTATTTGTAATCAAGATGTTTTTGATGTGTTAAATGAAACTGTACAAGGGAGAGAATATGAGAGAGAAAGCAGTTACAGAAGAAATATGGAAAGAAAGTGAGAGAAAACGATTGAGGAAGAAAAGATACAGAAAGAGATAGATATATATATATATATATATAGAGAGAGAGACAGAGAGAGAGAGAACATGGAGAATAAGGATGAGAGAATGAGGGAATGAAAGAGAGGGAGAGACAAATTAGTGATGGGCGACAGAATAAAGACCGAGATTTGCATTGAGAGAAAGAAATAAGAAACATTAAAGAAAATGAGGACAATAAGCTACTCTTTTATAATTATGATAATATTTTAATACCTATACCTTTGGCAGAAAATAAATTGTCTCTGCCATGCTTTGGTAAGTATGGAAAGCATCACACGTATTTGTAAAATATGTTTTAAAAGGTAGAATAATTAATAAGCATCGTCTTCAAAAACTCAGTATTTGAATTCAAATATTACATCATGACCCACACACATGTATACGGAGAAAATCAAATTATACGCATGTCGCTATACAAAAATTTAAAAAAAATCTTTCATACACATAAGCAATACAACTCTTTTGTAGTTACAGTTCTTCATTCATGACTATTAATACTGGCCACACCGATATCTTGAAACCTCCATTAAGACATCAAACTGTTTCAACATGACATGTTAGGTAGGTTGTAGAAGGAATTATTGAGGTAACAAAAACCTTGCATAAAACGATGGCATCTTTATGTACGAGGTGGTTATTTAGGCATATGTGTAATTCGCAAGTTCAAAAGTCGATCCATAAACATGTATTTATAAAATAATATGTACATGTTAAATCTACCAATGATAAATTATTTTAATTCTTTAAAAAACAAAATAATGTTCAGGGTCCACAAATTTCGTCCGATTCTGGGGTATAATTATGGCGCCAAACCAGCCTGACTCTGACCGCCTGACTCATAATACCCTGTACATCACAAGTGGTAGACGTTCCCTGCTGTTGGCCAATCGTAGGTTCCTCAATGATTACACGAGCGTTTTGATATTGACCTGCGGATAAAGCCGATATAAATATTGAAGATGAATAGTTGGAAAGATGAAATGTAAAACATTTGTGCAAGACCAAGGCATACGATCTGAATCTGACATGCAAGGCTGTAAATTCATATTTCATCTGCAAACAAGATCAATAAACAGCGGAATCTTCTGTACCCAAGATGGAATATACTTAGACTTTAGTTCCAGTAGTTTGAACAAAAGATGAGATATCTATCACATAATTTTTGTAATTTCCTTATGTAAGGTAAACTGGAGAGTTACGTATCGCGAAACCTAGATAAGAATGTTACCATATTATACAAACTGCATGTAGTATTGATCATTACATAATTGACCCTTTAAACGGGGGTAGGGGGGGGGGGGCTGAGCCAGCTGAAGACACCACTGTCTATACCCATTGTAACGAATTAAGGCGAAACTGGATTCCTTACCTATGACGCCGTTGACTTCCGGAGATAAACCTACTGGGTTCAACAAGTCGAACGATAGCCCGAGAGGTCGATTCCCTTCCAGGTTGGCATCTAGTCTGCTTCCGGTGATCTCGAAGGAAGTCCCTCTATTCAGGGTCACCACGGCCAACTTCCCGCTCACTTCAACTCGGTGGATGCCGAACTCGATGGAGGACGCCAGATCCCCCGACCATCTAATCTGGGGGTTGGTATCCACGTTCACCCCTCGGGACGTGAAGCGGAGTTCGTGCTCGGCGTTCGATCGCGAGCCCAACGTCACTACGATGTCCTCCATGAAGGTCCGGTCGGAGATGATACCGTCGAAATCGACCTCGTCGCCGCCAATTCTTCCAACGACAAAGACACCTAGTCATCAAAGGTCATCCAGGACAAATGATATAAGATTAACAGGTTCGAGGCATGTGAGTGACACTTGTATAAATATACATTCGTTTTTAGTATTGGTTAAAAACTTTGGACACGCTTTTATGTCTGAAGCAAGTACGAAGAAAAGAACATCAATCAGTTTGTCAAAATTGTTACAAAAAGAGAATTGCCTGAAGTACTTTCCATTTTCACATAGAAACTAATTTCCTAAAGAGAAATTATCGTTTACCATTAACAGTGTCTTCCAAGAGAGTGAGTTCATCGTTCCTCCAAGGGTCTTCCTCGAGGCATACCTTAAGAGCCAGCTCTGGTATGTGGATGGTATTCAACAACGGGCCTTAAAGAAGAAAAAACAAGATCGTTATGATTATGTACTAAAGGGCTTCTAGAATTTATAATGTACATCAACACTCTTCTGGAATTAATCAATCTTCATATCAATAAACATCAACGCTTCACAAAGCTATTTTGCTTCCGAAAGCACAGCTGCGAGTGTCGTGAATGAAGCTACACCATATAGGGTCGTCGTCGGAGGGTGCTATTGGGATGCGACAACCCCATTAACAAAATAGTAAATTAATTAATTAATGTTTGCCCAGCTTGACAGCATGTTTGGCCAAACTTTCTCCATCAAAAGTGGCCTGCGCCAGGTGAAGAACGTCATTACCACGATCCTCAATGACATGCCTGAGACCTACAACAAGAAGTCTTTGTTCCGTTCTATTTTGCCTACTGACCTTCCGTATCTGGGCTCGACGTGCCCGATGGTGTTTCCACTACGAACGCCTGATTGAGGGCCTCGCGGACCGGTCGGGGGAGAGGTGAAGCGATGATCCTCATCGCAAATGGATAGGCATCGTTGGTAGAGACCGCCTGCCCTCTCACTAATAACGCCGTGTATGGATTAAAGAACCTGAAAGTAAGAAATAATAATAACAAACACGATTTTCACTATTTTCGTTGTATTCCATTTTTAATTTTAGGAAGGGGAATATACCGTAATGCAATATCCGCGAATTTTATTTTAACTTCTCGACTTGATTATGATGACGATGAATATTGAAAAAGACAACGCTGCTGATGATGATGGTAATGATGATTATGATGACGACGACGATGAAGATGATGATGGTATTGTAATAAAGATTATGACTTCGACAATAATGATATCTATGGGAATAATTGTGACGACCAATTCTTTTTTTCTCATTCAAATAAGAACTTGGAATCAACACATAACATAATATGTGTCTTTTGTATTGTTTTTCCTTTTTCCCCCATGAATATCAGAAATACATTATTGGACTATATATGTTTTCTGTTAACTCGACAGTTCAACAAATATTTTGTATCTTGTGTATTCAATTTTATTTATATTATAAATATTAGTTACCTTGAATATCATGTTAGTTAATTTGTTGCAAATGAAAATCAATAAAATCCCTATGGAGGGCAACGTATAGAGAAAAAAAATAATAACGTAATATCTAAAATATTGCAGTTTGTAAAATGTCTAGATGCAGAATTGTCGGAGCATTTTAGGTCTGATCATAGATGGGATCGAGTACACATGACCAGGACTACGTATGACAGAGAATCCTGTGTTTGATTTTTGTTGTTGATACTATAAAATTAAAAAAGGGTCTAGAATACGAAATATAGAAATTAAAAAAATAATACATACAATTTCTTTTTCCCGAGGTATTTGGGATCTCTTACCTATACTGAATGGACATATCTCTTATTTCACCATCATCTGTCGTGGTGAATTCTGGTCTTATTTCATTCAGTTTCTGTCTCTGTTGAAGAGACTGGATGATGTGATTAGCCCAAATCCTCTCAATGAGGCCTACCGGAACATCTTCATCGAGCAAGGCTCTGTCAGGCACCTACGAGATAGTGAAAACAATACGTCATGCTATCACATTTTTGTAAAGGAAAAAAAAACACTGATCTAATCATTTTTATAACCCACTCTTATGGTCCTGTTTTATTTAGAAAGAGATTTTGTTTGTTACTCAAGCAATCTTTCCTGTAAAAGAATAAACCTGATAAAATTTTATCAAAAATAGTCTGTAATATATAATAACATGGCGATTGCAGATACTATTTAAGATACTAAATATAAATGTATATCAGGGTCATTCTTAAACGCGTCAATAGCAAACTTTTGAATTTAATACGATATGTCGTTAAGAGAGGACCATGTTAAGATAAACTTAAATGATACTTGACTTCAACATGAGTCACTGTACACCATACAACTAATATCTTTTCAATTTCGCAAGCACTAATTTAAAAAAAAAAAAAAATTGTGTGAAATTTGTATTTTGATAGATGTAAAGTCAATCATTTTGAAAGTGAAAGAAACAATAATATGATATAAATAAAGCCAGAAACACTATCAAATTATTGCATCACATAATTATATTTACCCGCGTATTTCCTCGACTCCTGTAGGTGATGTCATCAGACGATGTTCTCGCATACGTGTATGAAGTCAGTGTACTGTATCGGTAATTGTCCAACAGTTTTCCTACAATCACCAGCTCGGAGCCATTGAAGTAGTTGGAGAATGTCCTATCACTCAGAGAGTTGTATTCTATTCCTCGTGAGTACTGGAACTCTACGTCACGCAGAAGCGGCGTTGCCACCTCGAAGTAGAAGTTCTCTAGGAGCTTTCCTGCATCAGCGCGTTCGGGTATCTGCCTGGCTACGCCGTGATTCTGCAAGTCCAATAATAACGCCCAAATAAACAATAACAAACAAGTAAACAAACAAACAAAGGTATGAATTTCTTTAAGATATTAGGGACTACCAAACTCCTTTTTATTAAATCCGAATTAAGTTCCTTAGTGTTGAATTGGAGTTCGACAATTACAAACCTGGTATGCCATGCGTTCCAGGAACGGGAAATCGAGATCCTCGCCGAATCCCAGATTGAAGAGCGAGAAATCCCCGCGAATGGCCTCCTCCACGTTCCGCTCAATGATTTCCTTGTCGATCTCGCCGTGGTTTGGGTTTCCATCGGATAGGACGATGAGCATGGACACGACGTTTTCATCCGGTCGGACATTCTGGTCGCTCTCGTCTCGGAGCATCCTGACCCCGGCGATAATCGCCTTGTGTAGATTGGTGTCTATGTGAATCGAGGAGGAAGCAGAAGAAGCAAGGAAAGGTCAACATGTTTGGATAGAAACACTCATGGATATATCCCTTCAAGGAGCGTTGTTATTTCCTAGAACTTTGTGTTCCGTACTCATGCCATGATCTTGATTTACAAATCTCCATTGGAAAGAGCGACCTAAAGGATTTATAGTAAATGGTCAGATTGTGACCAGACACTGCATGGTGTAGCTATACAAGTGGGAAAGGGGTAACAGGGTCACATGTCACCTTCCCATTCAAAAGGCATGAAAGAAAAGTTAAGGAGACAAGAAAAAGAAAAGGGATCAGGAACATAAGAATAGGATAACACGACCCTCTCCAACTTTAAACGCTCTTTTTGACAAACTACTTCATCAGAATCGAATTCGACAGCAGGCTATCCTGTATTATTCTAAACATTCAAAAATATTTTAGAACTTACTGTCTCTTTCTTGCAATGATTTGACAAAGCGCTTGGCCCTTCTGACATTTGAGCTCGTCGAGAAAAGCATTTTGTTCCTGTCCAAGAAATTAACGTCATCCGAGAAGGGAATGATGTTGAACTTGTCAGTCTCAGGCATGTCATTGAGGATCGTGGTGAGGGCGTCCTTCACCTGGCGCAGCTTAACTCCTGCCATCGAACCACTGACGTCGATGATGAAGATGACGTTCTTCCGAAGAACAGGGAGGCCGGATGGCGAGAAGAACTGGACGAAGTGGTTGTCTAATATCTAAATATATAACAGCGATATACTTTGATGTGAATATTTGTATTTCTGTACAGATTACAAATTGATCACTTGAGATATTGAAATGCTATGATTATAATTATTTCGGCATAAACTGTGCAGGGGAAGAACAGGATAATTAAATTCCAGGGCCCCGTCTTACAAAGAGTTGATATCAATCGAAAATTATTTGAGATCGATATCAATCGTATATAACTGTGTACATAAGAGATAGGAGACTGCACACTTGCGATTTATTGGATGACTTGCGATTGATTTGGTTCAATCGTAAATGTTGGTAAGACGGGGCCCTGGTCTCGTCTACTTGTTTAACTGATCAGGGAGTGCAGGTGTACCACTTCACCAGGGTTACCAACTTCCTATCCGAGGGACGAGCCAGGCTGGACTCAAACCTACAAGCTAAGGTTTAACAGGAAGACGCGCTACCCACTGAGCTAACTGGTCTATCCATTTATAATCATGAACCTACAGCACAATTCGAAAATTTTATATTAACGAGACCTCACATTTCCCCCCAAACAATGATTACCTGAATATCGCTACCATCTTCTGGGTTGTTGGTATCATACTGGACGGTGTAGTCGCCCATGAAACCGTTTGGATTGGCTGCAGTCTGCTCACGTGGTCCTGGCGCGTAAATCATCTCCCACCTTTCATCCTTGGGTTGTCTGACGAAGTTGTCCAGGGATATTGGCATCGTCGGGTTGGACTGATCGAGGAAGAAGGCTTTGCTGTGGTCGAATCCTCGAGGTTCGATGATCGTTGTACGGAGCGTCATAGAGTCGACGACCTGTAATAAGCATGTTGTTGACGATAACATGGTTGAAAATCGTACAAGAATAGATGCGACCAGAATCATCTGACATAACCATTTTGATGTTAGATGTCATTTAATTTTATAACATACATCAAATGGTTATGAAAACATATATTCGGGGATATCTAGGGTTTTAAGAAACATGATCCGGCGATAGTTGCTCCGCGGTCAATCTCCTGTACTAACCGATATGTACGACCCTTATTTTAACCACGATTTTAACCCTATTCCCAATTGCGATCCTAACCCTATATATAACTTCGGCTGGAGCCTGGAGCAATAAAGTTGTCGAAGAACATGTCAGGTCACCATATAACGTATCGTACCTCTTTTTAATGTATACAATTTTATCAGGGTTTGAAATGAAAGTCTACATTTTTCTCATGATTCCAAGATAAGGATAAAACGGAGGGAATGCAACGTTAACGTCTCGTGTTCCTTTTAAGTTGACAATCCATACATTCCGAGCTGTAAATGGGACAAAGAAGAAGAAGAAGGAAAGAATGTGAGCTAACACTGACCTCTCCGGGGAAGACTCCGATCTTTTGCTCGATGGCGCCCAGTCGTTTGTCTAGCATCTCTTCATAGGTTAGAGTAAATGTAACGGAATTGCTGGGATCAACTGGCACTGATACCACCAAAAGGTTGTTTTCTAGGTCGCTGCAAAATCACACAAAAATAAATTTATTTAAAATTCAGATTTTACAGAGGAATAATTCGAGTATTATGCACGTTCATATCGTTCGTTGACAAATCGATTTATGATGATCTATCGAAAAGTATGCTTGAACAATAGCAGTTTTTAAAATTGTATCATTATTTTGAATTTGATATACTGTGACAAAACGATAAAGATTTCAAGTAACTTGTCAGGTCACATTTCTAGCAATTTTTCTTTTTGTAGCTGCATTGTTAGAAAAAATAATTGAATGCATATTGAGTAGACAATTGATCAACTCCAAAAACATTTACAAATCATTCACAAACTTCTTAACTACTTCTTGACGATACAAGATCCTTGTTGTACTGAATAATTTGTTTTGATACTATCATCAAGAAAGATGACTTGGTCTTACAGAGGTGAAAGTATTCCTCCACTCGGTCCAATCTCTAAGATTCCTAAACCGAGGCCGGCGGTGTCCTGTGGATCAGTTACGTCACTGGTGTACGTCCGACCATTGAGACGCCTGCGAGAAAAGTGAAATTGAGTAACGTTCATAACATCGTACGCAATAGGGAACAAGAATAGGGACAGTAGGGACTTTTAGATTTGCGTGGACTGATAGTACGTGTGACGTCCATTCAAGGCAGTACATTAAAAGGACGTCGACCGTAGCAATCCACATTGTCATCGTGCGAATCTAAAAGTCCCTATTACAAGTTTGACGACATCCTGTGAGTCTTTATGTTAAGGATCAATCCGTCGATTGTGCGCTCTACTACATATTTTCTGTGTTTTCAAAAGACGTAGAAAATTCAGCCTACTGTAGTATGTACAATAATAATCTACAATAATCTACAATAGTACCACTATGCTTCGTTAATCGGCCACTTTAAAGGGAGTGTCCTCAACCACGAAAGCACACTTTCGATGGAACATAATTTAAATTCAAAACGATGAATGAACACAATACGTCTACTTATCATATTCGCGTCTGATCATAACACCATAATTAGATACATTACGACAAAATAAACGAGGAACAAAGAATGGTTTACTTACAGCGCAAGCCCGGTGATGAAAGCATTAGACGGTACCCTCTGTTTGAAGACGGCTTGTCCTGGTGTTGAGGCTTCGTTAAACATCTCGCTCTCGATTGTGGTGGTCGCGTACCGGAGAACGATGACGGAATCGACATCGAAACGTCCAATGATGATGCCGTCCTTTGAAGATATGAGTAATGTAAGTGAATGAATGGTGAGGGGTTTATTTAGTTGACGTGAGCCAGGTCTTTAATGGTAATAGCATGACTTCGAACAAATTGTTTCAACCTAAACAATTCTTCTTTTTCATATCTATGCATTTTCTTCTCCACTCTCTCGTTCACTTAAACTCTCTCAATATCCGTAAGTACGTCAAGCAGACTCTACGGGAGTACTGGACAGAGAAAATCATGTCGATGATATAATATTGCAATTAAAGTCATTATCATTTGTTATAAGTATTGAAGAAGGGGGATTGATTTTGACATTTGGCATTCGAGGAATTCCTTCCTATACCGGGTACCCCGCTACATCACCCAGGTGGAGAGTGGCAAATCTAGATAACTGCCTTGTCAAAGGACATTAGTGCCGCGGCGGGACTCGAATCGCCGACAATGTGATCAATATTCCGGTGACGTATCCACTAAACCCCGACCCATCTACATGATGAAATGATGAATACTTACGTCACTCTCTACTGCCAAAGGAGCATCGTGAATCTTCGGGGCCACATCGGTAGCATCCTTTCCTGAAATCCATTCATATTTGGATACATATAGAAATAAATGACCACATGAAGTCCAAACCAACAATGAAAAGTCTACAATGCTTAAAAAATGATACATTTGAGATATGAATTATGGATTATTTGGGATTATCAAGACATTTATTGCCAATGTACAAAATGATAAACTTTAATTTTGTTTGGGATATCCATTGGAAAGCGGTATCAAATTAGTAATATGTGTTCTCAAGGTAACATGTTGTGTTTTCGGGTATTACTTTTGTATCCATATTGTACGAAATACATATACAGATTTGTCCCCCCCCCCCCCCCCTCCCTTAAAAAAAATCATTACAAAATATCTATTAATGTACTTGTAAACATACCAAATCGCCATCTAATGGAAAGATTCTGTGTATCGGCGGATCCAACCTAGGTTATTAATTCGGGGTGAGAAACGATATTTCTACAATTGCTTTATTAAGATTGATTGTAAATGACACGGGACCATCAACCCATCAAAACCAAAATTCAATGTCACCTACCGATTGCTTCCTCGAGCAAATTTCGCTCTGTATTTGCCCTGCTGTAAGCCGGCAATGGCAGCCAGCCTTCGGTCCCATCTATAGAATCGCCTGTTCCTGAATCTACGATGGTCATTGGTGTCAGAGGGGTCACAAAGTTCTCTTCTTTGGAGAGGGTGATGATACGTTCAGCTATGGTGTATCTTTCATTGGGGTCGGTACTCCTTCCGAAGTCCTTGATCAGGTTCTGTAGGGTCTTCATGGCCCATATTCGGCGGACGACGTCTGGAACTGCTCGGGATTGACTGAGCTCAGGCGAAGTTTGCTGTTTGGGTGTAATATAATGATAATATGGCACAGAGCAATTCTAGAATGTGGGGTCTTTCTGAATTTACTACTTCCTTAGGGATTAGTTCTAAGGTATGTTCGAACGGAATTTACCTGTGTTAGTTTCGATGTCTATGGTTCAAACATCATTTCCCATACGTGTCTTATCCCTACCGTAAGTGTTTGACTTTAAACCTCTTAATGGTCACAAATAATGCCTTTGGGATGTCTCATAGGACTAATACCCAATGATGTAACTCATACCGATTAAATTTCCCGATAATTTATATAAATGGGGGTTAGGGTTGGGATGCTTTCCTACCATTTAAACGTATTAAATGTCAACTTCTTATAGGTGTGAATAGTCACATTTATATACTTTATTGAATGACCTAAACAAGTTACGACCGTCTAGTTAATCTTACTGCAGATATAAAAGTCTTACCGTTGTATCTATGGAGAGATACTGTTTGGTCGGTCCTTGGTCTGACGTGAGATCGATCGTTCCTCTCAAAATCTCCGATGGTGGATCTTCACTCAGTTTTCCCGCCACGACCATTTCGGAGCCGTCATAATAGACAGGAAACGAGCGTTTCGTCACTGTACGCCCGTCTGCTACTCCACCAGGGTAGTCCATTGTGACGTCAAAGAGGAGAGGACGGTAGAGCTCGAAGTAGAACTCACGGAGTTGTTCCGCAGCAGTGGTGCCTTCGTAAATCATCTTCGCGGTGCCGTTGTTTTCGTACGCCAGCTTGACCAGGAGATCGAAATCGACCAGGCGGCCGAAACCGAGGATGTTGAGGGAATGCTTGCCGGCGATGACCTCGCGTGCGTTGTCCAGGATCTCCTGCTGATCTGTGGTTCCAACAGAAGGTCTTCCATCGGTCAGGAGAATCATCATGCTATAGACGCTATCACCAGGACGATTGTAACGCGCTTCACTGTCCAGTAGCTCACCTGCCTTCACAATGGCCTCATTAAGATTGGTTTCTGTTAATCGTGTAAAATCATACATTAGGATTATGTTCGATCTTTCATTTTGATGACACAGGTAGCAGTGTGAGTTTCCTTTTACTTCATGACAAAAGTTTGCGAAATTCATTTTTATTTGAAATACAGTTATTTAATGTTTTCCAAATAAATCATTTAATATCGTCTGTGTAGGATCAGGAAAGCCAGGAAGAAGTTAACGTCTGTACTCTAACACAGAGTCTCAACATACAATATCGTCTATAAATATAAATCATTTAATATCGTCTGTGTAGGATCAGGAAAGCCAGGAAGAAGTTAACGTCTGTACTCTAACACAGAGTCTCAACATACAATATCGTCTATTCTTCTTAAAGAGGATTCATCATCACAATTGACTTCACTTGAATTCAATATCATTTTACCTGAATCGTCCCGTAGACTGTCGACGTATGCCATGGCGTCATCCATATACCGCCTCTGAGCCGGAGCAAGACGGTTGTTCTCGCGCCAATACTGGACACCATCAGAGAAGGTAATTATATTGAAGTAGTCAGTCGGATTGAGGTTGTCTAACATGGTCTTCAGGGCTTCTTTGGTCTGACTCAGCTTGGTGCCGTACATCGAAGCGCTGACGTCGATGACGAAGACGATCTGTTTGCTGATGACGTCCAGTCCGATCGGTGAGAAAAAGTGGACAAAGTAATCATTTTGCACCTGTAGGGATGTTCAAAGAATAAATATATTTAGTACATCTCAAAATTTGCAGGCTGGACATAAGTCGGCCCCAGTGCCGGACTCCGAACTAGTTTGGTACAACTTGCAGAATACTCTAAAACATTCGGAATAGCAAATCGACTGGACAACACGGGACAACGATCTGTCTTCGGTCTACACCAGGGCCCCGTCTTATAAAGAGGTGATATTAATCGCAACTTATTTGCAATTAATATCAATCCCAAATATGTACATAAGATATAGGTGATTGCAAGCTTGTGATTGATGGGAGGACTTGCGATTGATATGGATGAATCGCAACTCTTTATAAGACGGGACATAAAGCTCTGTAAGTAACTTCGGATAGCCCGTAACAAATCGAAACAACTTGCCTATATGCCATGATATTTGTTTAATGATCACAAGTCGGTACGATGTCCTACAGGGTTTGCGGACAATCCGAGCTCTCCTAGAGCTGTGTGGACTTAGCTCGAGGAAAATTTCGGCTCAAGACTTGTCGAAATGTGATAAAAGCTCTGAACATCTATATATGACAGATTATTCAACTTAATAGAATCGTACATTACACTGCGTTAAATAATTTGCATATTGATCATCAAAATCACGAAAAATATTATACCTCGACGAAACAAATCAAGACGTATACGTTTTAAATGAAGAGTTCACCTGTGTATGACTGCCCGTTGGTGCGTCCATCAAGTTGTACGTCAGAACGACGTCCCCGTCAATGCCTTTTTCCGAGAAGTCACTTTGCTCGTCCGGCGTCGGCATATATCGGAACTTATAACGGGAGTTGCTTTCTCGGACTAAATCCCTCGACAGATCGACATCGCTTAATGACGGAACTGGTTTGCCTTGGAAGGCGACGGAGATGTCCTTGATCCTCTGCGGCTCCGTCACTTGGACGTCGACACCCAGATTGTCAACGACCTGCCGAGGATTAACATTGATTCGTTGCTGATATTGACCTCTGACCTTATTCACGAGTTGGTCGTAGATGAGGACAAAGATGACGGGAGTGTCACGTGGTACATCAGGGACAGACATGACAAACGCATCTTTGGCAGGATCTCTGTAGTCAAAGGAAAGGAATGAGAATTGAATTAATACTCCCATTCACACCGCCAAACCTACCGATAACCGACATGCTTCGACATTTAGGGAATGTGTTTGTTTGGTTATGCCTTTATCGGTTCGGTTTTGACCTTGGCGCATAATAGAATGATATCAAATATGTGGCAAATCACATTTAATGTGAGAGGAGGTCTTTAATGCATCATTTGATCAAATTTGGAATAAAGGATGGATATAAAATAAAATAAACGAACCAGATTGTGTCAAAAAACAAACACCTTCTTTCTTAACTGAGGATAAGAGGGGAATGAGGCCTAATGCTCAAAAGGAGAGGAATTGAACCAGGTGCGTCACTAGACAATTTAAAAATGATAAAGGTATCCGATAACATATTTTCGAGGTTCGCCGTTAATTTCCCAACAGGCAAAGAAAAGTATCACATAAATTCTAATTGGATAAAATAAAAGAAATTTGTCCCCAGATTTCTAAATTTTTCTGACAACCTTTAATGTTAATTTTTGTACTTTTGTAAATTTCGAGTGTATTCGTAACATCCAAGGGAAACAATCGTTTTCATTGAGAGGGAATACAGACTCATCCGCGTATGGACACCAGACGACATGACGAGTTGAAAGAAATTTGTTTGTCTTACCGCCGCGCCAGCAGTGCGATGACCTGACCTCTATCACCGTTGCTGGCAAACACTTCTTGCCATTCATCCTCCTGGATGTTCTGCACGACACCTCGGTATCTACGACCACCCACATCCCTGAAAAGTGGAAAAGCAAAAGTGAAAAGAAATTCTTAACTAAATTGATTTTTAGATGCGATGGAACATGAAGGAAAAAAACTCTATGCAGAAATAAAAAGCATGAAATATTTTTTTCTGACGCCCAACTCGTTTCGTCAAAGATACAAAGCTTATGGTGAAAATGCAAATTGCAGAGAGACACAAAATAGTAGAGTTATGTCTACGATTATAGGTGAGGAGAGGGAGACGAATAGAAATGGAGAAAGATAGAGACATGGAAAGAGGATTGATAAGATCATATAAATGAATTTAAATTAGAAAAATTAAGATTTACAGACAAAAAGAAAGAGACAGGAGTAAGAAGAGAAATTTGCCATGTTATGAAGACAGTGGGAGAGATTTAGGATGCACACATTATAAACGAAAGATGTCGAAACAGGGCCGATGAAACGGGGTGCGGGGGGGGGGGATCTACCCCAAGGGAAAGTTCAAAAGCCACGTTCGTGTGACGGGTGGCAAAGATGGGTAAAAATTCGCAAAGGGAGAGACAAGAAAGACTTACACGTAAAAGTTTGATATGAAAGCGTTACTGGGTAACTGCTGACTGAACTCGACGGCCTGATGTTCGGGGTCATCGTGGATGTACGAAGCCGTCACCGAGGTACGGGCGTAGCGTTCAGTCGTATCTGATTCGACGTAGTATCGAGTCAGCGATACAGGTCCTTTCTAAATATGGTTAGAAGTGCATCAAAAAGTAATTTATCTAAGTTTATCTCATTTTTGTTTCTCCTTTATGTCAAGAAGGCCGTAAGACATATGTGTTATCAATGACAGTAATGACCTTTTTATGGGTAGCCAACGTCTAATTAAAAGGAAGGACTAAATCTTGACAGGATAGCTCATGAAAGCAGGAAAGTATATTTCTGACCAAGTCCTGCCAACACCCTCAAGTCATGAAGTTGGTATTAAGGTAATGCTACTGTGGAAGCGTCTTTGATTAAAAATGAATAAACATCTTCTTCTGTTGCGTCACATCACCACTATAACTTTGTCTTCACTCGAGGCACATTCCCTTACTATGCTCAATGTATGTACAATCTTGTGTAACCTAGTATATGGTTAGTTCAGTTCTGTTAAACACAGACCCAATAAAGCTCAAATTTATAAGCCAAGCTCACGTATTTCAAAATTACCAACAAATCATGTTTGACCAATTTCTTGCAATCTTGTGCACAAAGTAAGGAATTTGTTTTAACTGTGTGAAAAGAAATAAGCTTAACTTGATGTCAAAGAGTTTACTTCTAATTGCTACTGTGAAAATGTAAAGCTCCCTTACCGGTCTACGTTGCCTAGGGGTCGTTGTCTCGCTTGGTGTAGTAGTTTGAACAGTTGTTGTGGTTGGCATTGTTGTTGTGGTAGGTGCTTCCGTAGTAGTTGGCAAAGGTGTAGTAGTAGTAGGTATGGGTGTAGTAGTAGTAGGTATGGGTGTGGTAGTTGTAGGCATGGGTGTGGTAGTGGTAGGCATAGGTGTAGTAGTGGTAGGCATAGGTGTAGTTGTAGGTTGTGTGGTGGTAGTGGGGACAGGTGTTGTGGTAGTTGGAATTGGCGTTGTGGTAGTTGGTATAGGTGTTGTTGTAGTTGGCATAGGCGTTGTGGTAGTTGGCATAGGCGTTGTGGTAGTTGGCATAGGCGTTGTGGTAGTTGGCATAGGCGTAGTGGTAGTCGGCATAGTAGTTGTAGTGGGGACTGGAGTGGTCGTCGGTTGGGTTGTGGTGGTAGGTATCGGCGTAGTCGTCGGTGGTGTTGTAGTTGTCGGTGGTGTCGTGGTTGTTGGAGGTGGTGTGGTTGTGGTAGGAGAAGGAGTTGTTGGCATCGACGTTGTTGTCACCACAGGACATGCTGCTCCACCTATTCCAAAAGCGCTATTTGCCTGACCAATGTTGCCGTAGGACGGTCCTAAGATGTCCCACATAAACCCCTCCGGATGACTCTCTGTGATCGTGTTCCCGCCGCTGAGAATGATGGTGCCATCGCCCCTTGCAGTGCTAGCGGGAGCCTTTGAGCGGGTGAGTACCATGGACATGATCGGAGTTTGCAGGTTATACCGCTGTGATATCTCCTGTGTCTTGGCTATGATATCTCCCCGCTCTTGGGCGTCATTCGCCAACGTGAACTTGTCGAAAAGCTCGCGCAATATGAGAAATGCGTACGTGCGTTCCGCAAAGTCCACGGGAATATTGTCACCGCGGAGCAATTGGCGGTCCTGTAAAGATATTATAGGGCAAAAGGGTAGAAATGAATATTAAGTAATAGCGACTGAGGTTTGTTTTGGTGCTACATCAAGTAAGTTTATACTTAAAAATATACATTAGCATCACTATTTAGCAACTATTCTTAAAATGTCTTAAAGCAAAAAGATGAAAGAGCGAGGGATTAAGAACCTTGATGGTGCAGAAAAGGAACATGAGAACTATTTGATGTATTTGTGACGCACACGAATATGATTCGATGAATGTAGTTGATTCTTAAACACAATAATCGGCAAAAGTAATGTGCTATTCATTTTTAATTAATGGCTTCGTGAACGTGGTGAACATGGTATTCGCAAGGAGCCTTGCTTGACATAATCAAATTCTCTCTTGTTTGTGCAAATTAATCGAAATCTTGATGATCATAGCCACGGATGAAAACAGATGTGATGGGTAAATTCTGAATGCAAAGCCCGGCCGGTGAGCACGAGGCGTTATTTCGATAGTGTCATCACCTGCGCCAGTCAAACCTGTAAAGCCATTTAGTCCACACACCTATAATGCAACGCAATCGTTTTTGTAAGGTGTCACCCTCACATGGCATGTCGAAGATCTCACAAGTCGCTGACACCTTCCTACATCAGCAGAATGAAGCTTCGTGTGCAAGAGGCATGAAGGTATTGAAATGAAATGACATACCGGCAGATGATCACCCTTGGACCTCAAAGTGACGCCCTCAACGACCATGGTGCAGATCGGGCTACAGGTTTCTTTTTCTCTATCGAAAACTCATTGCGAAGCGAGTTTATGGCACCTTCACAAGCATCTTAATCAGTTTATGACACCTTTCAAAATACTTGCACTAAAAACTGAAATATTCCTTTTACTCTATTAGCACATTTTGATCACAAATTGCGATCAGAAAACAAAACAAACAAGCCAATAGAATATTCGATAAAGCATGAATCAAAACAAACAAATAAAAAGGTGTGAGCATGATTTTGTGATTGAATCCATGCATATGCTTTGAAAAGGGACAATGTTTCTAAAAGACGACTAAAGGGCTGTAGTGAGAGCCCTGGGATTTTGATTCTCGACGTTTTTTAATAGTACTTGAATATTATTAAGCAAACTCATTCCACAATGGTGAGATGGTTCCAAAACACTTTTTGCATACCTCATTAAATTACATTTTATCTGCTCAAAATACAATCGCAAAGACTTTAATGAAATCAATTAAATGACGATTTCAACATTCTGTTGTCCTGCCCATAGGCTATATAAAGTATGTTCAGATTATGTAACAGAAAATCTTGTTCGCACATTTCAATAGGCGACGCATACATGGCATAAATCTATTGAAGTTGCCTTAAATTCAGTTTTTAGGAAAATATTTGCGATTGTGCCTTCAGTTCGGTTTAGATTACACAATAGCTATTACATTTTTTTTTCTTCTTGATTTGTAAAGTTTGACTGACTCTACATGTTTAAGCGTACCCTTAAATTGACGTCTTCCTCAATAATGACAGGACCATCGGAACCGACAGCCGTGATCCTAATGGGCAGTGTTTGTAGGTCTTCGTTGGTGAAGAGACCGGAGATGACCAGCTCAGAGCCGTTGTAATAGTTGGAGAAGTTGGTTGCTGACAAGGACGTTCCGATCACGGCATTGTTGAGGTATTCGACTACGATGTCGAAGAGGAGTGGGGTGGCGACCTCGTTGTACACACCTATTTGATAAATAGAATGTAATAGCTAGAGATAGATGAATCTTAGATTTACGAATCGCCTATTGTGAATGTGATTCCCGAGTCACTGTTGACCGAATCTTGACCGATTAGCCGACGTCAGTGACTATTGCAATCATCAATCACAAATTCACAATCAATGAGCACATTCTTTCACAAAAATATCTTTACATATTTCAAAATTCCCTCAAAGTTTTGATCATTGCTACTTCCCCCTTATTTAAAATAATAATTGTATTTATTATTAGGTGATGTCGCCTCAACTATAGAGAAGGCCTAAAAGTACTTTGATGACCGATTCCGTTTACGCAGAAAAAAGAAGGTTATCAAACCTTGCAGTTGAACTGTAGCTGACGAAGTCTCATAAATCTTTCGAGCGATCCCTCGATTCTGCAATGCCAGTCGACCCAAGAAATTAAAATCGACCAGCTTGCCGAAGCCGAGTGTGACCAGGGAGCACCTTTTCCTGTTGGCTGCCCGAACGTTGCGTTCGATGACGTTGATGTCGGTGGTACCCGTTGAAGGTTTGCCATCGGTGAGCAAGAAGAGGATGCACACCATGGGGTTCTCACTGCTCGAGTCCATTGATCCTGTTGCCTCCAGGAGGCCAAATCCCTCCAGCATGGCATCATTAAGATTTGTCCCTGCCAACAAAAATACAAATTACCATATATTTATTTCAATCACCACCAGCGACGTGGTGGCTCAGTGGTGTAACGTCGCATCGGTCTCGTAACCAACAGATCCCGGTTTTTGAAAACAAGCTAGATGCGCTCGTACCCTTTGGTAAAGCATTAATCTTCAATGACAATATCCCTCTTAAAACATTCTTGGGTCCCACTAATTGCTCATCTTCTATAATCTTATATGTACAATCCTTATTACAAATATTCAAGGCGATTGTTTAAAACTTTCAATAAATATAATGTATCATACCTCTTTTGTAATTAAAACGTTTGATATAATTCTTCGCTTCGGTGATCGAATCCGGAGAAGCGGGGATCATTGCATTCTCCTTCCACCAGTAGATATCATCGGAGAAAGGCATGATGTTGAACTGGTCGTTCTCGCTCATCTGATCCAAGATGGCGTCCATAGCCGCCTTGGTCTGTCGGAGTTTTCTCGGGTACATGGAGGCGCTGAAGTCCAGAACGAACACCACCCTCTTGTTCACTGGCGCCAACGAACGGGGTGCGAAACTATGGATGAAGTTTGATCCATCCGACTTCGAACGGTAAACAAATAGAAAATATCATACAAATGACAACTTTTAGTTAAAGTTTTGAGCATAGACTACCACTGAACAAGAGTTATGAAGTCTCCATAAAATAAAACTACAAAGGAGTGTGCGCTGTTCTTTAATAATTCAATATAGACTATATAGTGTTTCTCGTCCCACGTTTACCTCCAGATGAGATATATATCTTTCTCTGGGAATGTGAGTTACAAGATGAAGTCGTTTTGATATCTTTATTTCATTTTGGGCCAGGAGATTACTATTTGAGATGATTCCATCACAAAAAACACATTCCTGATTTCCTTTGCAGTTTGGATGCGCATCTGAGGTGCATGCACTATGAACATGACGGACAGAGAAAGAGGACAAAATATACAGCTCCTCATTCTACCCTCAACAATTGCTGTGGTTGACAAAGGAACATCCCTTCATAGCTATTTTGTAAAAATGTGTAGAACAGGTGAATATGCATGCGGCACCTGTTCTATACATTTTTACATAATAGCATCTTTCTTTGTCCGTCATATTCATAATGATGGGAATATCCCTTTTTTAGCTGTAGGCTGTAACTAAACTGAAGTGCTCACATACCTGCACCCATCCGACGCCTCCTCGCGGTGCTACCTGGTACCGGATGATAAAGTCGCCATAGATACCTTCCTTGTTGTAATAATTCCTGGTCTGGTTCTGTTCACCTTCAGTAGGCTCGTAGGTCATCATAAGCCCACGGTGAATTGATGATGATCCCGATGACGATCCTGACGAGGATCCCGATGACGAGGAACTAGATGACGAGGAGCTTGATGAAGACGATGACGACGCGGAACCCAATGCATTTGTCTGGGTGTAGTTCATCAAATTGTACACCCTTCCGCTTGAACTTCTTACGGCTGAAAATGAGACATTGTAAAAACGAAATACAAAATTGCACATCTAGCCTTACCATACACCATCATCATCATAAATAGAATAAATAAATTCTAAATAAATGTGACGTAACTATAGATACAAGTAGATTCTATTATCGTAAATTATATTTCTATCTTAATAGGAATATAAACATGAACAATTATCGGAGTTGATCCGTGGTAGTATGTTTATTTCTAATGTAATTGTGATCCTATATTCTTTATGACTTCTCTATATACGTTTTTTTAAAATGTCTTCTATTTTCTTACTCGAAGCAGATGCAGAGCTGATACTATCGACCGCCAGTGACGTCAGTGAAGCCGCATGAGTTCTTGTATCGATACCAGCCTCTGATTGAATGATACCTTGTGGTTCCGTCACTGAGGCAAAGATTCTCATATTCCGAACATTCTAAAGGACGAGAAAGTCCGAAATTTCATAGCCCATTAATTAAAGTACTGTTTGAAATCCATCCATATATTTGTCTCACCACAATGACGGTCGTTGTCATTGAGCATCATAATTATAAGAGAAAAATGGGTGAACTTAAATCGGTCATCGCGCAAAATATATATATATATATATATATATATATATATATATATATATATAAAGAATGTTTGTATCTCAACAGAGTCATTAATACATGTAAATAAGTAATTTGTTTCATGAAGATGAGAACATTGTCTCTTAAACTTGTAGAGATATAGTTTTTTCTTGATAACTCAAAAACTGTCGTGGTGGACTTTCTTTCTCTCAATTCATTCAATAGTGTTTTCAACTCCAATAATGCCTCTATTATAGGCTGACATAAAGCAGTTTGCGGCCAGTGGATGGATTTTTAAAAAAAATCTACCTGTATGTACTAATCGGTATGTTACGAAAGAAATGTTTTGAGTAAGAATGTACCCCTCACCTGAGTAGGTCTCAGGCTAATCCTTTGTGTGTACCAACCAGACTGTCTTTCAAGAAGCTCCTGATAGACGACGGTCATCTTGACAGACTTCTTCTTAGGGACAGTCACTTTCACCGTGAAGACATTCCGTGTATACTGGCCCCTGATTTCAAAAGGAAAATATAGAATGATTAATGAGCAAATGTATTTGGTTATTTGGAGTCTCATACATTATCAAAAATGTCAAGTTTTGTGTACATCTAAACATAAATTGACGCCGAATATGTATTATCACTATCATTGTTTGTTCTATATGAGCTAAAGCAGGGCTTTCAATATACAGTAAAACCTGCTTTAGTGACCACCTGTATAGAAAGACCATCTGTCTACAAAGAACACAATTTTTTTTCCCCTTGTAAATTGTTTTTCATTGAAACATGTTACAAAACAAACCTGTACATAAAGACTACCTGCCTATAAAGACCACTTTTTCTTTTCTCCATTGGGTGGTCTTTATCGTCAGGTTTCACTGAACAATGATCAGAAATTATAATAGTGAAATCTTAAATTTGTTAGGTGAACAAAAATGGACAAAACAGCTTGGACTTGCCATTTGAAATACAAACAAAAAATTATTTCACGTTGACACACTGTGTAGTCAAGTGGGCAATACAGGCATGCTTCCATTGAGACTAACAATAATAAATGAATTATATTAAATTCATATTTGTAAATGTGATGAATTAAAAACCCAAACAAGGAGTCAATCTATCTTTATAATTGAATGGGTGACGCATACTGTACACTCATTGTTATACCAAAATTATTTAATAGCAATTGCCGCTACCCCTCGGCCTTGAAAAATAGTGTCTACGATTTTAAGTCTATAATTGTCAGACCATTAAACGTTTGGTCACAGTATCGGGTATTTTAACAAATTGTTTGGGAAACATGGAAATACATGTATATCAACAAGCAAATTAATAATAATAACTTTTGACGAGCTTAACAAAAGTTGTATGCACGATACTTAACTTTTTGATTGCTTTATCAAAGAATGCCTTACCCAGCGGTATATTGGTATTTATCGATAGTTGCTATGGCGACTCCGGATGATCTCAAATTCTCCTCGAGGATGCACCTATCCACAGCTTGGCCGGTGTATGTAACGCCGTCAACAACACTGAAAGTAGAAACAAACATAAAATAAGGTACTCTTTCAACTGTTCACATTGGGAATCTGATTTGAAGTAAGATTACCAAGTCTTTCGATCAATTTCTTCAAATAGGGCGCATACTAGATAATCGCCACCTATACATTTTGCATAGTATCCATATATGGTTATCATTCATATTTTCGTTGAATTATCTTTGTTATTCGGTATCACAAATAATGCCAATAAGGCTTCCATATGAAACTAAAGTACATAATGCATGTGAGCTATGACGTGATTTAAAAATGAAATGAGAGAGAGAGAGAGAGAGAGAGAGAAAGAGAGAGAGAGAGAGCGAAAGAAAGAGAGAGGGTGAATAGTGTCGGGGGCGACAGCAGTCTTACAAGGGGCATGAAATACAAGACAAGGTCATCATGTGCCATTATGTAGGGGCGTGGAGGAGTTGTAACATCTTTGTTTGTTCACGATGCATTTCCTCTCATTTTCTTTTTCTAAATTCCCTTCTATTTTGCCGTCATATTTTATGAGGGTGTGGGGGGGGGGGCACTGCCCCTATATCTACGACACTGGCCCACGCCCAAGAACCACTTACATATCAAAGTCTGAGATATATGCTTTGAACGGGAGGAGCAGATCGAATGACATGACTTGGGCTGTTGTTGCCACATTCCTTATGTTGGTCCTAACTGTGGTGCTAGCAAACCGAACAGCGATCCTGGTCTCCACATGGAACATCGTCACTTTAGGACGTACGGGAGACTGGAAAGGAATTGCATTTTAGAGCATCAGATGAATTCTTCAGATGGAATACATTTTCATGAGTATTTGTTATGGTAAATCAGAAATATTACAAGTAATAATGTACGTAACTTGTAATAAAAACCCATCTTAAGATTATTAGAACTTTCAAATAATAATGTTCTGACAAATATTCAAATTTATGGGGAAATTCCGTATCAAAAAGAAATGAAATATGTAATCTTCTCGTTTCAAGCAATAACATCTAATTCGGCAATAAAGTGTAATCATAACACTCCAATAATAATGAATACACAGAGGTAAATTTTTAAAGTTTTATATTTCAAATAAAAAGAGTTTGAATTTACTTTAACTATACATTTGGTATAAATTCTTCCAGTGAAAATAATATTGATAGGTGGGGCGAGAGAAATAAACCTCTTTTATATCTGTACTTTTTGTCGGTTTATCTTATAAATCCACCTACATGACTTTGGAAAATATACCTCAAGATTTCATTTTATACTAAATAATGTTTGATCAAGTTTGCATGGATCGCTTATCTTAGGTCACGTCCCAAAAACGTGGATGGATATTCCAACTTTCCTATGTTTAGACATATGACGTGTTAAATAGTAATTTTCCTTTAAATAATTGCTTAAAACTGCTTTGATCATAAAGCTGTACGAAACTATTTAAATTAACGTGAACTGGATGCTCAAGGCTTCTATACAATGGGACCGTTTACTTCCCCTTTCAACGATAAACTCATTTAAGCTTATACTTTAAAACAAAATTTTACTTACAGTTTGTCTGCGGAAACGACTCAGGAAATTCTCCTAAGATAAGAAAAAAAATTAATACAGTATTGAAAAAAACAGTCATGAACCTACTCGTAAAATTATGAAAGGACTTTTTACCGATATATGATTTTAAACAGAAGTAAATAAGAAAGCGACGAAATGAGGTAATATTATTATTCGTCCAAGGTAGACGGCAAAAGCTTTGACCATAATTATGATTGTGGTTCCATAAACCGGGTTGCAAACTTGTGACACTTTGATGCCCCCAACCCATGCACTCGATCGTCTACTCTTCAGCCCTCCCATATTACCAAGAAATGTGTCTGAAAATAATAATAATAGTGAACATTTGTAATTTTCCATGTCTCTCAAAATTGATACTCCTGCCGCAGTTTTAAAGGCCCACTGCACTACTAGTAGCTACTTGCGCCCTCTATATAACAAACAATGCCTAATCGGTGACCATTGGTCCCCCGTGATCCTTTTTTTCTTATGTTAACTGAGAGCTGAGTTGATGAGATAACCACCTGTCCAGTGACCTTGCAGAGCGGTCTAATCCCTCCTGTAAACTACGGCAGATAAGCTTTAAAACAGTGATATAATTGTGGTCATACATCCATCAAGTAATTCAAGAAAGAAAGATGTTCAATTGATGATACCAAATACTAGTTAAATATCTGGGAGCGTATCTAACAGAGTCTGAAGCCGGTGGACGCCCCTCCTCCTTTGAAGCTCCAGCAGGTGAAAATTAAATACATAACTGCAATGGACATAATACAGTTTATAATGTTCATCGCGCGGGGGCTGCACATACACGCACTCCCATAGGGAGGACTCCACCCACTGTTTATTATTCTGGATACGACGTCGAGTATCGTTTGACAAAATTGAGTTCCATCCTTTTTTTTTCTTCTCCCCAAGTTCAAATGTCACCAATCCTCTGAATTCCACGACCTTTTTTCAGAGAAGTCTTTCACTCAAGCTGCTTGGTAATGACATTAACAGGTGGGAGCCGTTTTCAAGAATAGCCTCACCTGAGATGAATATCATCATTCATACTGAGTAAACATCACCCAACGATATACCCCTGCACGCACACACTGGGTACACCATTTACTTGATGGCACATCCCACGGTGTCTTAGCGAATCAATCAAACTGTCCTACCATGTGGTATAGGGTCCATTTTTTCCATCTCACAACAAAATATTGTCAAAGAAATGCATATAGTACAAGAAAAAACATACACATCTCTTGCTCCTGGTCCATGTGCCACTTGCGTAATATTTGCGCAATATTTTGTTGTGAGATGAAGATTTTTTTTCTCTAACATTCAAGTAACATTTTTTGTCCCACTTTAAACTCCCATCACTTGGATGTAGTCAATAATGTGGAAGAATTACGTTGACTGCAACACTAATCTGTGACTGAGATTTGTATCCACAATTATATGCAAGCAGTATTCTTACATCATTGGCCGGGCCTATTCATGATGCATGAATGAATGCTGAGTGAATAAGATAACAAATTGAAATAACAAAAACGTACCAATATCTGAGACATCTAGCTTTTTAGATGATAACAAATATATATGCATAAAAGAAGAAGAAAAAAACATCAACAAATATATAAATTACATAAAATATTTCTAGGCATAACAAATGACATAAAACAATCCTTGAAATGAGTGAAATCTGGTGTAACCAAGTATTATAAATAAAACCTATCGGAATACCATTAACATGGGGTAATGGTATATTGTTAATGAGTAATACTATTTAAGCCTTTGACACATATTGTCGAGCACAAATTGCCCTTCTGAATGAGGATAGGGAGTTGTTTCCGTCCATTCATTGATACCGGTACACTTGAAAATCAATTAACGAAACCACCATATCCGACCTTAATACGGGTTAACAATCAGGAATAGAGAGCTATTCTGTCTGTACAGTCATGTAAGCGTACACTTGTCAAAACGATGGTAAAATTCTGACATAACGAAAGTATATACACTACAGCTATAGAGCACATAATCAGTGTATGTAATAAAATAATATTCAACCAAACACATTTTGTATACCCCATGCTATCTTAACAAGCGTGACTCTCCTAATTGTATTCTTGATCTAACAAAATATTGAATCATGTCCTTTGGAAATTGAAGTGATGTGGTCGCTCTTTTGATCCTTCGACAATTCAAAGAAGTCTACTAAAGCAAGATGAAAACGAAGAATGTTATGATCATTCTAGACGTTCGATTTTTTAGAACATTTTCTAACATTGTCAACTCTCATTCCAGTCATCATATATAATGCATTCTGGTAAGGAACATCGGAATATTTGAAGGGTCCTCAAGGGTCGTGATGAACATGTGTTTACATGCTTCAGACGTGACGTGGGGTACCATTTGTTGTTGCGAGTTATTTTGAAAACTAGGACGATTCAAACTAAAGTGCATTGACACGATTCTCTACATTTATCAGTCGGCCCTTGAAATTATTTGACAGAGAGAAATTATCACCGGAAAAGTGAGAGAAAGCGACGAGAGAAGAGTTTAGAAAGGAAGTGACCGTGACAGATAATTAGAGAGAATTTAATTTCACTTTTGATTGAGCACTAGAACAGTAACATGAAAGATAACCCAAGGTAAAAGGATTATTTAGTAATTAAAAACAAAAATAAAAATCTATTATCCATTAGTATAACATATACAATTGAAAAGGCTGTGCACCATGTATTGACGTCGTTGTAATATAGGCTCTTTGCTTAGCTTCTACTTAATCTTTTTTTCTTTTTATATGAGTACAGCAGTATAATAAATGTGCGTAATTAAACAGATTTAAGCGATACAGCTCTTAACCGATTGATCCTAAGTTTACAATTAGCGTAGATCACAGCATAGTTAACTCGGCTAGTAAATCAACTTTAGAGCTTTTCTATAAGCTCAATGTCACAAGCCCGTTTTTACAAAGAATTGCTTTTTTTCGAAGTGATTGCAACTTGAACACTTTCGAAATAAATCCCAATTTGTACTTAAGAGATGGGAGATGGATAATTTGCGATTGAATTAGAGGGCTTGCGATCAATTCGGATCAATCGCAACCCTTTATAAATAAATGATGGGGCCCACATCGATTATCTCTTACCACGGACGAGTCATGCCTCATTGGCGTGTCTGCGGCAGCCCTCCATCCTATCCCTCCTGCAGAACATGTCCTAGCCGCGTAGAGACATACCATCATCATCAGACACCAGCACGGGACACCTCTTGTGAATCCCCGCATCTTGTTTCCAAGGCAACCTCTCCGACGTGAGGATCCCCGATCTACCTCCAAAGAGTATATTCCAAACTCCACAAGGTCACGACAGATGAATATCGAAACAGTTATCAACGCATCAACGTATCATCCAACACGAATGAACTGTATAAGCAATTGCTAGCTAAATATCTAAGGTTTGGTAGGAGCTTAAACCATAAAGTTGCGCAATAACACTCCTAATCAAACATGTGTTCTTCTTCCATTATGTTGTGCTAATCCTACATGCTACAGGCACGTGTAAGGCAGCGGTTTAATGGCGACTTTAATAAAAGTCAGTGGTTGACGTGTGATGGCTGCGACAGAATATCTGTAGGCGTGAGCAGATAAAGTAATACACCATCGGTGTTATACGAAATCGGGTGGGAAAGAAGTAATTCGAGGTTTTTATCCGGTTTGTTATCGAGTTAGTTGGAGGTTTTGAGTGTTGCTTCCTCTCCGGAATTTACCTGGTTTGTGTAGGGGTCGGTATGATGATATAATGACCCAGCGATTGGCTTTATAAACACATTGTACAGAGCTGGGGGTGTACAACTGCCCCCTTTGTGGTAGGAAACAAACTCCCACATCTTGACATAAACATTCTACGAGGGATGATCTTTTAACCTATCTCTCATGCAGCACGTGATGATAGTTATTGAAGCCGGTAGACATTGACAGAAAGTACGGAATTTTGTTTGCTACCATGTGAACCATACAGACTCCTAACACCCCTCCCCCGCATCACGTTTACTTAATCACCTAGTGCCAGTGGCGTAGTGGGGGCAACTGGTGTCTGGGGGCGGGAACACCGGTTTAACTTGATCAATTAAAATGCAAGGGAACAAGGCGCTCGAGTGGGGGTGGGGGTGGGGGGGGGGCGGCGGGTGTACGTATAGATTCTTCTTTTCACGATGCCCCTCTCCCCTTTTCTATCTTCCTAATTCCACCCTTTCTTTTCGACATTCAATTGAGCTATAATGAGGGAAATATTCCCCTCCTGGCTACGCTACTGTTATCACCCTACAAAACAAATTTGGGTGAATACATCCGAAGCTGTATGCAAATAGGCAAATGCATAACTCTTATAGGGGCAGATCCTGCATTCTGTGAAGGGGGGGGGGGGCAAGTTAAACAAATATATGAGCAGAAAAAAAGGGGGGCCCGAGGGTACATTTATTGTGTACTTTTGGTGTGCCCCCTGGATCCGCCACTAGCTATGGTACTTCATCCGTTAATACAAATACCATTTTCGACATAAGGTTACCAAAGGATTTAACCTAGTCAAATAAAATCAATATTACAGAAAAACAAGGAAATAGTTGTTATTTCAGCATTTATCGAACCATGGTTGTTTCCATGAGGTTCCATTATAATTGCACGGTGATGCTCATAATATCTGTAAGTTGCTAATTATGGTTTAATTTTCTTCTTCTCATTCCTCTGTTTTATCCCATGTTTTATCATTCATCATCATTTCTGTGTCTTCATGATATGAGTCTATCACGTTTTTACCATCCTTTCTGAATGATTAGGAACCTTCCTACGTTTTTGTTTGTTTGTTTGAAAAAATAATTATGAGCGTAATTTGTCATCTACTAATTTAGACGGATCAAGAGGTAATAAAAAGTAAGACTTCGGAAATGTCCCTGGCAGTTTGCTTTTAAACAGGTATCTCTGTATTTGTCTGAATACTGGAGAATGTATCTCATTCAATTCAGGACAATTGAATCTAGTTTAATTTTTAAAACTATTTTATTTCTCACAAATTTGTTCACTTTTGTCTCCCCCAAATCGTTCGCTCGATCACTTGAGTTTCTCGTGTATTTCTTTGTGTAGACCTTACTGGTATGATTGGTGTTAGGTTCATTGTTTGAGGTAGTTATAATTTGTTCGCGGGTGAGTATGACTTCTAAAAGTTAATGATAAACTAATGTCTCTTCTGAATGAAATCAGTCTCATTGAGTCTGTATTTTTATTGACGAAATCCTTCTCATTATCCCCATATTGATTTGGGTAATTATGTTGTCCTTCTCACAAAGAACAACAGGATCACGACCAACTCACAACCACCAACACCACCACAACCTATACGCATATTTGCAATGATTAATTATAGGGGGATATAGCTCTATGCCCCATCACCTTTAGTAACCAAGTCCAATATTTGTTTTCCTTTTGTTTATTGCTGCTTTGATTTGTTTTGCTTTTTAGAGGACTTTGGAGTTTAAAGACACCGCAACATCCTAATGAACAGTTTTGATTTTGCTTATCAGCAAGTTCTGAGAATATTGTTCCCAATCCGATCAAAGAACAAATACTAGGGAATGAGTTATGAATAAAAGGTTTTCAGGTACACGTGCGTGGTACTGCGTCAAATTGATAAATTCTACGGAAAATGTACGCCTATCTCGATTGTTATGTCTTTATTTCTTTATTTTTTTATCACGTTTGATGTAACTTTTTTTCTTCATACTTTTTCCCTCCGGGATTTTATTGATTTTCATTTGCAACAAATTAACAAACATATATTCAAGGTAATTCATAATTATAACATGAATAAAATTGACTACTCAAGATACAAATATATGTTGAACTGTCGAGTTAACAGAAGACATACATATTTCCAATAATGGATTTCTGATATTCATGAACAACAAAAATGGAAGAAACAATATAAAAGAGACATATCCTTTGATTATTGGCCGTTTGATGTAATGGGGGCGTCCAATCCACTCGATTCAATATTAACGTCAAGCAGTTTGGCAGTACTCTCTTTTTCAGTGGCTCAAATTCTTTCAGAGGTCAAAATGAACTATAGAGGTCGGAAGTGCGATCTTCAACCGCAGTCCAAGAAGAAGGGAGCGGCTCCTGTTGCGAAGAAGGGATGGGGTGTGAGATGTAGGAGGGTGTTCCCTTCCAAAATAATGTACTTTTTTTTTTACAGCTTGGAAATATCGTGACTTTCGGGCACAGGAATTACCTGACTTCTTCACCTTTTAAAAAAATATCTCACTCTCTCTCTCTCTCTCTCTCTCTGTCTGTCTGTCTCTCTATCTGTCTCTCTGTTTGTCTGTCTGTCTCTCTCTCTCTCTCTCTCTCTCTATATATATGTCTGTCTCTTTCTCTCTCTCTATATATATATATATGTCTGTCTCTTTCTCTCTCTCTCTCTCTCTCCCCCCTTCCATGTAGAGTCAAGTTCCGCAATGAGAATTTGAAGTTGACGGGGTGTGGGCAGGGGACGGGGCGTGGTTTGGGCTTTTCAATATATTGCTATACCTATGAGGGAGTTTGTTGGAGATAGCAATCTTAAGTCAGGATGGAAATTTAAAATGAATGAAAATTGGGTCCTTGGGATGCAAAGCTTTGGGTAGGTCCTAGATGACGTCTATTGAGGGAGTTTCAGGCCGCTTGCGCCTCCCCAACACCCATACAGCAGGGTCCCCGTAAAGAATCTGAACTATCAGTCAAATTAAAGGATCAATGAAGGAGAGGCCTGACTATCGTTTCACGAAACCGTCTTGATATAAGTTCGGCGACAAGCCATTTGGAACGCTATACACCCTTTTCGATGGGATGTCGCCGAACTTGTCAGTGGCGGATCCAGGGGGGGGGCACAGGGGGCACGTGTCCCCCCCCCCCCGGCCAAAAAAAAAGAAAAGGAGAAAAGGAGGGGGAAAGAAAAAGGAGAGGAAAAAGAAAAAAAAGGGAAGAGAGAAAGAAGAAGAAAAGAGGGAGGAGAGAAAAGGGGAGAGGAGAAAAGGGAGGGGAAAGGGAAAGAGAGAGGAGAGAAAAGGCGGAAAAAGAAGAAAGGCGGAAAGACGGAGGAGAGAAAAGGGGGGAAAGGAAAATAATGAGAAGGGAAAAGAAAGAAAGGGGGATGATATTATAAGAAGGTGTTTTTTTTTTACCGGGTAAATGACTAATACCAAAGATTTTATCTCCTTTATAACTTCTAACTTCTAACTTATAACTTAGTCTTGAATTAATTTTCCGATATACCTATTCTAAGTGCTCTTTCAGCATGCAGATTGTCCCCGCCATTAATCCTGCCACAGTTGCTGGTTTCATTGTCATATAATTTTCTGTCATCCCTGTGGCCGCGAAGTTTCTTTTCGTTTCGCAAGCACTTTTTTCCATCGCCTACATGTAATGATTATTGCTTCCATTTTGCAAAAGATCCCAGTGGCGGATCTGTGGGGGGGGGGGGGATGGCGGAGGGGTTAGGGGGTTTAACCCCCCCCCCTTGGGCTGCCAAGTTAAAATGTGATGTGAACAGAAAAACGCCATCATGAGTCCAGACCCACACAGTATCCGCATCGTCATCGGGTCAAACCCCCCTTAAACTGTTACTTGATTTAAAAAGACGTTATGGTGCACTGCTGTTTATGGTCTCCATAGTGTTAGTAGATGCCAGGAAAACATCACTTACGGGGGTTCAAAATAGCCCCCCCCCCCCCCCCCCCCCCCCCCAAAAAAAAAAAAAAAAAGTCGCCTTGCAAATGCCTCCTACTCAGGGAGGGGGTTCTGAACCCCTCCCAGACCCACCCCCCGCTTGGTCGCTCCGCTCCCTCGCCGCTGACGCCTCGCTCCATCGTTTTTCATATATTTCACCCCATGCGATTTTGTGCCCCCCGGTAAGAAATTCCTGGATCCGCCACTGCTTGTACTTCAGACGGTCCCGTGAAACAGTTCCCCAAATTAATGACGTACATGCACGTTATCATACATGTATTTATGAATGTCTCATTGGTCTTGTGGGTATTATGTAAATCATATCATTGGTCATCACAAATTAATTTGACCAACCATACCTCGGATGTTAAAGGTCTACATTCTTGGGAATACCAACTTGACTTTATCCATAGTTTAAGGTCAAGTGCGTGATATCTTTGCAGAGGAATGGCCATACCCTTGAACGACGGTCAACGGATATAGACCACTTGATCCGATAATTACGGTGACCCATTTGACCGTGATGATTGTTTGCTGGAATCTTTATGTACTGTATTTTATGGCCGTTTATGGCCAAATCTGACCACTAATTTGTTTAATTTGGGCATTTGACTAGTGACTTGTTCTAATTGAAAATTTTCAGTATCAGTTAAAAATAACTGAGATGAAAGCTATAACGTCACATTTTGCACATACACATAAAAGAAAGGGAAAAAGAGATTTTTGAATTGTACGACTCATGCACCAACGACGAATGCCCAGCGGTCGACACCCTATATAGCCTGAACACCAACCCAGGATCCAGCACTATACCTGAGGCTAAAAACTAAACCGTAAACCTATTAAAACCTAGAATCACAACCCCAACTCCAACCATAATCCTGTCTTTTTGAAGAAATGAACCTTGAGATGTGACCATCACCCTAACAAAACATTACAACATGATCTAGGAAAATAATGTTATCATAGAAATTATATCTCTATAATATTGTAGTATTAATTTATTGCGCAATAACCGCATAACCTTGAATCTAGCTTGGAAAAAATTAATGTTAAACAAACGTTTGATTAATCAATCAAGCACTGTTTACACTAACACTAAAAACAAATGATACGTAATTTATGTCAACATCCGATGTCTAATTATTTGATTAATTCATAATACTTTTCATACCCCCTCACACTCGCAATATACGGTTGGATCTGGGAATTCGAGATCAAATATTACGATGTGTGAACAGTGTGAGGCATTCTGCCATGTTTATTCTGTAATAGCCACTTCTTCCCGTATACGATTACTCTAATCATATTAGCTTAGCGCGCGTGTGATATGGCCGCTGGCTAATCAGAATAATGCTTAAAGTATAATTTCTTATGATTTTGGGACTCCCCCTGAAATCCCTTTGTCGAGAATCCGGATCTGGTTAAACGTTTTCAGAGCCAACAAAGAACGGTTTTCTAGGTAATGCGGAACGATGGATTACTGTCAGCCAAGGTAACCCTTTCTTCGCACGGACACGCAATATGATCTGCAAAATGATTTGGTTACAGATTCAGTCAATTTAGATAAATGCAAATACTATTTGCATTCAAAGTGCAGTTGGAGGTGGGGATAGTGAACAAAAAGAGACAAGCAAATAGTAAAAAAAAAAGAAATAATTCTCACAGAATCAAACGAAACCTACACTGAATGTTCGAGATTACAAATAAATGACATGTGCCAAACAATTTTGGAAGAAAATGTATACTGACTGGGTAATGAGCATAGAAAGACAAGGAAATCAAGGTAGTACTAGCCCCGACACCATGTGTGTTGTCCCATATATAGCTTTCTATGTGAGTGGTTGTTACTTTACCAAGACTCGGTCAAATTTATTATGATTTTGATGACTCCAGAACCTTGCAGTGCACACCAATACTTACATGCTACATGATCAACTGTTTCTGATCCTTTCCACACCTTTTCTTTCACAATGCAATCGCATTACCAGTACTAAAGTTTATCTTTAAATATACAAAATCAATTTAAAAAAAATTATCCAAAAGTTACGATAAATGAAGGGAAATAAAGTGATGATATGGGGAGGAGTCGTCTAGAGTCTCGTACAAAAGATGTGCTCACGTGGTTGATTACTGTCTATGGAAGGTGTAACAATAATGTATTATGTTCATAAATTATCAATCTTGCAAAAGCCTACCCCTTCCCTCCCTATACCTCACGAAAACACGGAAGATGATTGAACATCCCTCATTGTAGCATACTTGCAATACTTTAAAGCCCCACTGTACTATTTGTAGCTACTTGCTCCCTCTATATAGAAAACGATGCCTAATCGGTGACCATTGATGAGATAGCCACATATCAGTGACCACCCTGGGTGGTCTAATCCCTCCTAGCCAAATTAGTAAAGACGGTCTTTAAAAGAAGACTAGTAGAAGATAGTCTGTGACATAAGCCTATTAATCTTATTGATGCATAATTATACAGAGGCGACTTTAGGCCTAAAAGCCCTAGCAACTCGAGACGAGAATGTTTCAACTCAAATCAACATAACATGATGAAATATAATTTACTACAGCCATAGTTAAAATATACATAAGAATAGGGTTAGAGGCTGCCCCCCCCCCCCCTCCCCCACTTTTGAAACGCTCTGCTCATACTTAGTGGTGATCTCTTTATACGGAAGGTGTAACAAATAACTAGTTTATTTCCAGTATTAATTCAATTCATACAGCCTGCATCCCCTCCAAATACGACACAAGGAAAGCAAGGAAAGTATACATTATAAAACGTCTCTTGGCGATAACAGACTTGAAAAGAAGACTTACTATTAAACAGTCTTGTAATGCTATCCTTTAAAAGAGCGGTGAAAAGGTTTCTTATAGTTCATTATTTTTAAATCCACCATCAAAATTTGCTTACCTTCAATCTTCATAATTTCTCCTTGTACGCCCGCAGGCGCGTAGCCAGGGGGGCGGTGGGGGCGGTCGCCCCCCCCCAAAAAAAAAAACGCCGGCCAATAAAAAAAAGAGAGAAAAAGAGAAGGAAAAAAGGAAGAGGACGTAGGAAGAAAAAGGGAAAAGGAGTCGAGAACGGTACAACGCATCGTCTTCTTTCTCTAATAATTTAATGAAACGTCAAACTGAATACAGATAAGGATTAAGGGTCGGGAAATGTACAACGAATCGTCTTCTTTGTCTAATAATACATCAAAGCTTCCGCGCTTCGCGCAGGAGGAGGGGGTGGGTGCTGAATTTAGACAAGGATTAAGAGTCGAGAACGGTACATCGAATCGTCTTCTTTCTCTAATAATGTAATGAAACGTCAAAGCTCCTGCGCTTCGAAAGAGGGGGACTGAATACAGATAAGGATTAAGGGTCGAGAACGGTACATCGAATCGTCTTCTTTCTCTAATAATTTAATAAAACGTCAAATTTCCGCGCTTTGCGCGGGAGGGGAGGAAACTGAATTCAGATATGGATTAAGAGTCGAGAACGGTACAACGAATCGTCTTCTTTGTCTAATAATACGTCAAGGCTTCCGTGCTATGCGCAGGAGAGGCGGACTGAATTCAGACAAGGATTATGAGTCGAGAAAGGTACAACGAATCGTCTTCTTTTAAAGCTGCCGCGCTTCGCGCGGGAGGGGAAAAACTCCCCCCTTCCTGCACCTACCCCCCTAGGGAGCGCGCTACGCGCGCTCTTTAAGTGATTCGCACGCTTTGCGTGCTCACTTCCGCCCCCCCCCCCTAAAATGAAATCCTGGCTACGCGCTTGTACGCCCGTCGTTACAAAACTCGTAAATTATCAGTACTCTTACTTGCTTTGCTTCCATTCATTGAAACGTTGATTATAACCTTCCATGACCTGGTATGAATAAACGTATAAATAAAGAGTGGCCTAGCTACTACTACTACTGACTAAACACTGTTTTGTATACAAACATTTCAAGGCTCCGACTCGTAGGTTTAAAGTCTTTATAAACAAGCTCGCTGATCTCACATTCTTATTCATAATGTCCAGAAACCTCGCGAGTTTTGATTCTATAATATATCCCAAGCTGGCCACCCAATATTCAAATGTGCATCGTCTTTTTCATCTTCATATATCAAGTTGAAATCCAACTACCACATACATCTGTGAATCTTGATGTACACCCCCTCTTTCTTTTTTTCTTGTTCCTCTCTCTCTCTCTTTTCTCCCTTTACCAATATCTTTTCCTCCATATTTGTATTATTATGTATCCATTGAGGATAGTCATGCTATCAAGCTTTGCTTACTTTGTCAACCCTCCTGTTTGAGGTTTCGATTAGTTTACAGCCAGCCTTTATTCTACAAATACTCTTTTGTCATGTAAATAATTTACAATGATTCCTTTTTTAATAAATTTGGAAAACTGCAGAACACAAGAAAAAGAAAATCAAACAGAAATAAATAAATCAATCAAATCAACTTTGGGGCAACTTAAGCCTTCTGGTAAATTTTGTTTCGTTTTCTACAAGGAATTCAAGTAGTGCATGGGGCTTTGAGTGAAAGCCCGGAGTGAAAGAAAAAAATGCTGGATTAAAAGTCACTGTCTATAAGAAGACCTGATAAAAGAAAATGCTGCTCTGCTACCCATGGCGTGATCCTGCAAGGACAAGTGAGGATGTTGGTCCATTAAATACACAATAGGCGCGTCTTCATCATCTCGAGATTACCAAATATCTCGAGATCGCCAAATAGCCCGCTATTTGGGAAATAATCCCGAAGTAACAAATCGCGTCTTGGTTGGTACATCTCTTGTACAGTGCACCCTTGTATAGAACACTTCCCTTGCATTTTAACAACTTGAAGTGTAATTGTGTACTTCTCTTCACTTCAATTGTTTTGAGACGCTTCCTAACACACCTTGGAGATTAGGTAAAAGAGACCAATGCACATTGCACCCTTTTCTTAAAGGTAATACAAAGTTTTGGTATGGGGTCATGAATTTGGTTCAAATGAACATATTGGAAGCATATGCGATCCTACAATATTCATTGATCGATGTCGTGGTTAAAATCGAGTCTAAAGTTATGTAATTTTAAATAATAAACTCTTTATGTTGTATAGCTTCCTCTCAAGGTCAAGATATTAATTAAGCTATAAAAACAATGTTTCTTGACTAAAATCGACCGATTAGCTATTCCCGTTTGGAAATTATATATCACAACTACATATACTGAGATTTTCGTGGTCGCAGCTTTTATTGTACGGCCGTAAGCGCTATTTGAAATTTATCAAAATGTACCGGGAGGACCGGTAAATTTTTATATTCAATTTTTCTCGAAAGCAGAAGTGTTTTAGGGGATAAATTTTCTCGGGCTTATAATTCATCCACAGGGGCATCCAAATATATTAAAATTGTAAAGAATCTCTATCCACCCTACTTTAAAAATTTCCCAAAACTTTGTGTTACCTTTAAAATACATGTGTCATTTCCAGTACCTCAATCAGTCTTATACAGCTTACCCCCCGGTCTGATATAAACCGCATGCAAGCTTTATTATAATAACCCGATTATTCGGCCATAATGAAAGATCAGAGTTCGAAATATGCAACTTTTTCGAATGGTAAGGTGTGTGTAGGGGGTGAGTAGAAGGGAGAGGGGGTGGGGTGTAGGCTGTAAGAATTGAAGTACTAAAAATAAAGCATGTGCCAAATGTATCATTGGGAACGCAGATTGAATCGCGTGACTCGAGAGTGTCGCATTCGTGAAGTAACGGAATCACCACTCATCAAGCAAGCGGAACCCTTTAGATATTAAAGCATATACACATTCACGACTGACTTCGGTTTCTGTGGATCTGGCCTATTGCTTCTGCGTTGACATAAAAACATTGATGTATCCGCCGCCATATACCTGTGAAGTGTCGACAAACTCGCTTATTATTTCGTCATCTGCGTGGAATATGCTCTCTCGCTGGTAGGCAGGACTTCGATTGGACCTTGACCTAGAAGCTTGCTCACACATCACCATTAAAATATTTCGAACTCTGATCTTTCATAATTGCAGAATAATCGGGTAACAATAATAAAGCTTCCACGCGGTCTTTAACAGAAAAAAATAACCAAGCACGTTTTTCCTTTTCTCAGAATCCACACATGCAATGTTGGTTTCATAGATGTACTTGGATCATTATTACCGCACACAGTTTTGGCTATAACTCATTTGCCAGTGGACCATAGCGCCTTATTTTTGGGGGACTAAAGCTTGGGAGAAGAGGTCTTTTCCATACATCTGCTATCATGTCGAGTTATAACGTTCCAACTTGGTTCTGCAGTGTTAACAAGAGTTCTGTGTCACAGCACCAGACAGATGGCACGGTTAACATTAATAGATGCATCACTGACACTATAATCGCAGTTCCACACGTTGCTTTTGTCGTCGTCACCTTGCTGCAACTTACTATACTGAAATACTGGCGACATCTTCGGCAACTTGATTCTTCGAGTTTTCATTTGCGATATCCTGGCCACACCTTGAGATGGATTCTAGCTTTCTTCGTGTTTTTGCTGGGCGCTGCATCCTTTGCAGAGGGGCTGGTGACAGACGGTATCTACCGTAAAAACGATTTCCCCACACAGCCGCATTTTTACCTCCCGGGAATCTTCACGATGGCGGGAATCGTCACAGCTATGACAACCCTAAACTTTGCAGAGGTGTGGCGTTTCAAGCATATGCTATGGACGTTGTTGTGTTACTGGGCCTTGTCACTCGTAACGACCGTTATAGGTCTTCACTTCAATATTAAAGTGCACCAGTCAGTTGAAGATACCACTACGATTTCGATGAATTCATTACTATTACTACTTTTAACTGTGTGCTACGCTGTTCTTGTGCTCGGAGAAACAATCAGCTTATATAAAATCGTGAGTAAAATCATTCTTTTCCCAACAACTATGATAATGCAAAAATCAACACCACTACTATTACCGTACATTTTAATCATATCTCATCTACATTTATATCCGCTTCTACCACGTTTGCATTAATCCTTTAATCTTTAATCCAGGCCTACATATTTTCCACATTATATCTTCAGTTTTTTAATGATAAAGATATTTGGACAGTATTTATAAATTATTTGAGGTTTGTAATACAAATAGGCGTAATTATAATCATTGAATACTCTTCTTGTCTAGAAAATCTGATCCCTAAACCTTTTAAAACGTATATTTGCATAATTGGTCATCTCGGCGGAATGTGAAGAAAAAAGGTTTGTACTAGTAAAGATACGTTGATGATATAGAAGTGATTGATTGACATAAGCACATTGTATTTTTTTGACATACATACTATTGTGACCAAAGACATTAATATTCACGCTTTCGGAAGTTTGCATATCATACTGACCATAAAATAAATCAGGGAGTACAATATGAACTCTCAAATTGTAAGATTTCTTTCTCACTCGTAAAAACGTAATTCAACTTCATTCTGCTAGGTGAAAGAATAAATTCAATTAAAATCTGATGAGTATACGGTAGCATTATGGTCAGTATGATATGCAACAATACAAGGAAGAAAATAAAGCTTAACCAAGCATAACATTGTATTACTCATATGAATTAAATATTTGTATTTTTCCCACGAGTAAAGTAGATCATATCTAAGAAAAAAAAACTAGATTAAGCAAAACACATCGGCAATAAATATATTTTCACTTCCTGCAAAGCTGATGCACGTTTCGATCTGATCGCTTTGTTTTCAACTGTCAGATTGCTAACATGGCTATTTGGTTTTACATGAAATCAAGTTTTGGATAACAAAATATGTCTAAGTTCTCTCTGGATTTTGTACGTTTTGCATTTTTCTTTGGATGAAATTGGAGTAAACAGTGGTGAAAATTAATTAGTTACAATGAACAAACAAAAACAATGTAGTGGTATGCAATGTTAAAAATCAAGAATAACTATTCATTTGGGAAATGCTACTCTTGTTTTCCTAGGTATTTTGCCGCTGTTTAGAACAAAAAAAAGATGACAATTGTACCAAATTCTTGCCGGAGAAACCATGGGCTGAGGAAAGGATGTTCTACCAAGAAAACTTCTCCAATTTTCCCTCCCAATTGACATTCTGGTGGCTCAACTTTCTCTTCGCTACCGGTTTCAAGAGACCAATTATTTATGAAAAACTGGGAACCATTCCCGAAAACCACACCGTCAACCATATCTATGCACGATTCAAGATGATCTACGAAGATGAAAAAGTGAGTATACTACAGTTTAATCTGCATAAAATAATACTCCCTTAGGTTATGTTATATGCAGTGCTATCGCTACAGGGGTATGGGGGACGTGCCCCCAATCGAATAGCGATATAAGGAATAGGGTGAGGCAAGGTAAAAGGATGATGGTCACATCCATTCAACTACCCTCTGCAGAAGGACTTGTTAATTCGTATTTCATCCACTCAGTAAGACTACTTTTAGCCCCACCCCCACGAAGCAGTGTCCCCCCTATACCTGGGCCCATGCTACGCCTCCGCTGGAATGTAAACCATCTTTATCAAATTACTCTTTTTTCTACTACATTTTACAGATCTGTTAAATTAATCAAGATATATTCATACTTTGCGTCTGAGTTTTTAGAATAGCTGTGAAAATTTGAGCTTGATTTGATGAAATTGCGATACTTCCTCATTTTTGTTTCCTTCAGAAAGTACAGTACAAAATTAATGATAATATCTACTTTCGCTCTCTTTATAAGTGAAATTGTAACTTAACAAAACACTTATCTTATTTGTTATTTCTTCAGTGGCAATTCGTGTTTTTTGTTTTGTTTTGTTTTGGTATGAAAGAGTCGGTAAGGTTTCAGCTTTCAACTTCAATATTAGTCTTGCTATAAATAATTTGTTGTCAACATCAAAGGCGCGTTGATGGGAAGGGGGGGGGGGGGGAGAGGGGCCATGACTCTCTCCCGAACGTTTGGAATTTTTATATTTACTAGTATATTTCTTGTGCAACTTTCATTCCTAAGGGATGCGTAACTACACATAGTTAGAGTGCACTCTTTAGGGGCTTTACTAAGGTCAGAAGATTTTTAACCTCAGAAACTTATCATTAATAAGGTGATGAGTCCAGTAATAATTCGCATTTGGTCATAGCTAATCAAATGGAACGTTTTCAGTAATATTTTATCAATTATATTAACTTGTAAATTGAAAGCAGGTTGTATACGATAACACGTTTTATAAAACAGGTCGGGTGGAAAGGACTTCGAATTTTTCCTTATGGTCTATAGAGACATAAATACCGTAAGACAAAGATTAATCGATACTCCCCTTCTCCTCCTCCTCCTCCTCCTCCTCTTCCTCCTCCTCCTCTTCTTCTTCTCCCTCCTCCTCCTTTTCACACTCCTCCCTCACCCCCTCCTCCTCCTCTTCCACCACCGCCTTCTCCTTCTCACACTCCTCCCTCTCCCCTCTTCCACCTCTTCTCCCTTCTCCTTCTAACACTCCTCCCTCTTCCTCTTTCTCTCCTCCTCCTGCCCCTGCTTCTCCTCTTCTTGGATCTATCAGGAGAGGGTTGATGGATCCGACAGACAACCAAGCCTCATGAAGACGATATTTCGTGCCCATTGGCGACGAGTCGGTGCAGCTGGCCTCTTGAAACTCACCGCCGATCTCCTGAGCTACGTCGGGCCGTGTGCTCTGGGCGGGATCACACTCTATGTGACGGGGACATTGAAAGGAGACAAGCATAAGGGAAAGGTACTGTTTCATTTTTCTTCAAATTCTGTTTTATCTCTTAAATCTACGGGATGGGAAACGAAGAGATAACGGGAATTTCCTAAATTAATATTCTACTTTATCATACGATGACTCTCATTGTCACAGAGGAAGGGACCGATCCCAGATTATGTGAAGGAAGAAAGAGAAAGAGAGAGAGAGAGAGAGAGAGAGAGAGAGAGAGAGAGAGAGAGAGAGAGAGAGAGAGAGTAAAAAAGGGGGTGGTGGTATACAGTGTCGATAAATACATGTTATTTAACAGATTAAGGGGTATTTTGTTCTGTATCTGTTAAGCCAGTCGGTTTTCGAACTACAAAAGGAAACACGGACCAGTTTCCTCCCTAAAACCACAGCTAAAGAAAGAAAGGGAGGAAACACAATTTATATGCAGTAAATTACTACAAAATCTAGATAAATTGAGTTATTTAAAGGTCGTTTTCCTAATTTTGCAGATGTATCTGGCAGAACCACAACATCATGACGTCACAATAGCCGAGTTTTTCTCCAACGGATTCATCTTAGTCGCCTGTGTGTTTGCTACATCTATCATCCAACACATTTGCAACCAGACATATAATTATTGGGTGTATGTCGAAGGACTTCATGCCAAGTCTGCTATTCAGGTGAGTATGATGATTCTTCAGTAAATTCCTCAGTTTGAGGGGAAAATGTGATGAATGTTACTATAATGGGATTTCGTAATGGGCCATTAAGCATGGTCCTTATAAAATAAGCGGCTAACGTTGTAAAACATAGGGCTTAGCGCAGTGTTTACAAACCCAATTCAAATAACTGGTTTAATCTTCAAATCGAAAGTAGATCGGATGCCATCCTTTTGCAAAGCTGATTATAAGGCAATTTACCCCTCATTTATATTTCCAGAGGTTGATATATGACAAGTCACTTCGCCTCTCCACATCCACGATGTCAGGTGGTAAGATGTCAATGGGTCAGGTGACCAATCACATGTCTGCAGATGCAAGCAATGTCATGTTCTTATTCATCAATGTCAACGAGATATGGGCAATACCCGTTAAGGTGAGATAAATGTTTACTGTTAATAGCTAGAAGGGTTTTAATACCATTTTAAAATGAAATAGAGTTAAGACCCTTCTGTCTCCCAAGTTCTAGTCAACAAAGTTATCCAGTATACCGATCCTCATACCGAGGAATGTGAAAGCTCTCACGTTTCCCTGCCAAAAATTTAGGAAGAAAATGATCAGACGACGATACCTTTCGTGTTTTTTTTCCGGTTTTGCTGTTTTTCTAAGTGAAAAAAAGAAGAAGAAGAGAGTATAATATCTTATTTCTATTTAAAAAATTTGCTTTAATTCTTTCTCCAATATTATCGAAATCTCTTGTGTATTTTGACCTTTTGCTTCTTTATTTCTTCACTAATTTGATCTTCATGTTTAATTTTCAACTGTAGTGCATCTCTGTAAATTAATTTTTATAATATGAAAATCTGTACAGAGTAGATAAACGGTTATGTTGCATATAAATTTCTTCTTCGTCTTGTAGATAACTCCAATATTATCGAAATCTCTTGTGTATTTTAACCTTTTGCTTCTTTATTTGTTCACTAATTTGATCTTCATGTTTAATTTTCAACTGTAGTGCATCTCTGTAAATTAATTTTTATAATATGAAAATCTGTACAGAGTAGATAAACGGTTATGTTGCATATAAATTTCTTCTTCGTCTTGTAGATAACTGTTGCACTGTATCTCTTGTACTACAAGCTTGGTATTGCTGCCATTATCGCCGCCTCACTCTTTGTAGTCGTCATACCTCTACAAATGATTGTAGCAACAGCGATGGCTAAGATAACAAAATCAGTTTTGGTGAGTAAAAGTTTCTGTTATGAACTTTCCTCTTAAGATATTTCATACTGTACGTTTTCATATTTTAGAGGAAAAAAAGCATATTGCACCAATAGTTTATGTTTTGTGTATAGAGTTTATTAACGCTGATTGGATCTTACAAAGTTCGACAACAGATCTAAAATTTTGAACAAAATATTTCCTATAAGTATATCGCACAGACTATTTCCTTTTTTGTTTGTTTAGAGTTTATGAAGCCTTATAAAATCCCACAAAACTCGATAACAGATCTTAAGTACTGCACGTTTCCACGTTTGCTAAAAACGTATCGCAGAGACTGCTTTCTGTTTTTTGGTGTAGAGTTCATGAACCCTGATAATAATAATAATAATAATAACGTTTTATTTACCCAGGGTAGCCACTTCAGTTATGAAACTGTTCTTCCAGCGGGCCCTGCATAACATAATATGTTATTACTACCCTTCTCCAATCTAATATGCTGAGCGCCTAGCTAGAAGGCAGAAGGTCCCATTGTTATAAGTCTTTGGTATGACTCGGCCGGGGTTCGAACCCACGACCTCCCGTTCATGAAGCGGACGCTCTAACCACTGAGCCATCATGTCCGGTATCGACAATCCTTCAAGTCCGATAACAGATCTACAATACTCAGTGCACGTTTTCATATGTGCAAAAAAAAACTATAGCGTATATATTTCTGTGTTCTGTAGAGTTTATCGCCTCTGATAAAAATCACACACAATTCAATAATAGTAACAGAATTACTAATTGTTCCGACTCAAGATCAATCTTCAATTCAGCAACGAATGCATGCAGTCTTTCTTACCACATTGTAAATAAGCTTTGCTTAGCCGTGAACCTCTAAAATTTGTTTTGAAAATCAATCTAATGATACCGCAATATCCATTACTATTTTCGTGATTGTATCAACGCGTTTAACCTTGTAATTTTATTGCAGAAAACATCGGATAATAGATTACGTGCTTCAAATGAAATGTTTCAAGGGATTCGGTTTCTGAAGATCTATGGATGGGAGCATATATATTATGAAACCGTGAAAGCCGCTAGGAATATGGAATTACATCAACTTATCAAAATTTACGTCTTATTCGCCGTGACCTGTGAGTAAATTCCAAACATCAGTTTTATGATATCCGATAAAACAATCAAACCTGTATGTGCTAGATTTTCCAAATTAATTAATTAGTTTTATCTTGAGATAAAATTGATAAAACTCATTTTTTCCAATTCTTAAAAGTTGATACTTTTGAACGCCTTCTCAGAGAAAGTGTCATAAGATAGAAAGAGGGAAATTTGAAAATAAGGAATGATAAAGTAATCAATGAAGAAAAAAAAGTATACATTTTATATAACGGGAGAAATCGGAGAGGATGTGGGGACTAAATAATCAATAAACAAAGGAAATAGAAGAGAGCAGAAGACAAAAAATGTACCAACGAAATGAAAAGAGGAACTTATAAATGACTTATGAATAAATACTTTGACGTAGAAAATTAGAAATTTTGTTTGCCTTCATTCATTCATAAGAATAAAGTAGTTTTCATTCAATGTCGTTGAAAGGGGGACGGGTCGGGGTGCTGGTTCTTTTACTATAATTTACACAGAGATTGTCAGCCTTTTATTCTCTCCCCCCCCGTTGTCTTGTGCCCGCTGTGTGCTGTGCCTATTGTCGATGTGCTGTAGTCTTTTATTATATCTCATATTTTCTCTCTTTCCTCCCGTCTCGTCTAGTCTAGTCTCCTGATTTTTTTAATACTTCTTGTTTCTTATACCAACGTTTTCTTAAAGTATTCTTAAGTAGTCACAAATATATACTCCCTTCATGTTTATCTTGTTGCTTATTGATCTACCAACCAATTATTGTATCCAGAGGGGACCCTAAAACTTACAAGCTCTGCTTTTACCAGGGTCTCCTTGTCTTTCTTTTATTTCACTTTGTTTTTATCATTGCCATGATTTTGTTTGCATTGTAAATGTGTAATGATCTAATGTTATGCTTAATGTGACACTTGAAAGAAAGACGAATAAATATCTTTCTGTTTGTCTTCATTTTACCCCTACAGTTTCAATCAATTCTGGAACACCGATAATCGTTACTTTAATTGTAAGTCAGTGCCATTTTTTCTTATCTTCTCTGAAATCAAAAGTTACTTTCGATTCAATAATTAACTAATCTCTTAGGTATAAGAACAAAGTACATACTTTATAAGAAATTATTTGAATGTAGGCCAAATGTGGTTGTGGTCACTTTTTTCTGTTTCCTCTAAGGCGAGTCTTCATTCTTACTCTTAATTGGAGATTAACGTCCATTATATGATAAACAAACAAACTGCGTGGTGCAACTCTCTTGCAAACTATAAGACATGCACATACTATTTATAATTATCCTATAAATATTCTCTCCAGGCATTTGCTGTCTATACACCACTGAACTCCACCCCACTGACTCCGGACACAGCTTTCTCCAGCCTAGCCTTGTTCAACCTGATATCCGTTCCACTCATACTCCTTCCCCACGTACTTAACCTGAGCGTTACTTTGAAAGTCAGCGTAAAACGACTGGTAGAATTTCTAGGAAGTCCAGAGGTCAAGCCCCTCGATGATAATATGAAGGTTCGGGGTTCGGGTCCCCCACCGGGGAGGAGATGTGATGGTGACATGAATGGGGGAAGTCGGAGTGAAAGGGTGGTGAAAACGACACCCCTCAGCTCTGTGCTGGAGACAGATGAAGAAGATTTGCAAACAGAAGATGATGTCTTCCTGGTAAGAAAAATAAAAAGGCAGGAATATTCCAAAACGATCGAAAAGACTTTCGAGAAATCTAACCCAGGGGGGGGGGGCAATTTTGAGACCCTTATATGTAAATCCCATGGAAATCGTGTTCGTAATCCATCGTCGTAATGTCCGCACTTTCAAAAGGTGATTGGCCAGTCAATTATCATATTGCCCCAAGTTGATTTTTCGAAAGTCTTTGCAATCGTGATAATAATTAGTAAATAATTATAACAATAACAATACACATGAGTGGGATAGACGCAAGTGTTAGGGACCTGTACAGTAAGGCAAATTTGCACTAACTTAAAAGAAATAACGCAAATCCAAACTTCATTATCTTACTTTGAAATCCGTACACTTGTTATTACTTCATCATATAAAGAGTAGTTTTCTAAAGTCATAAATCGCAAGTTTTGTTTTGACGAACACCATAGGCGAGTGATAACCGGAAAGCCAGGCAAATAGTGAAGATATACAACAATTTGTCTAAATTTGGCTCTGAATACGACGTATATTCTTCGGCATAAACACCGAATATATTACTGCTGCTGCACTGAATATCTTAGTACACTGTATCTCCCATACTTGTCCCATTAGAGTGTTGAGGAGATGAACCAACGGAACGTAGGCCGAAACGGGGTGGCTGGTCCCATTCCGAATGGCACAAAACTCCAAAGTGACCAAGATTGTACAGATGGTCTACGGAGAGACGCACTTCAAAGAGATTTGCCTGATGACATCGCGATAAGAGTAAGTCTGTCAATTTCCTTTGAAGTGCATTTTATTGATTTTCTTATTATTATTAGAATGTGAATGAAAAAAAAAGAAAAGAAGAGAACACGATCCAAGTGTTATCCCTGTCAGGAGATGAAGTTCAAAACATATCGGAAAGGAGGTAGAGTTCTTACAAAGGTAAAGGGATAATTATAAGCATGACAGAAGCAAAACGAGCCAACAAACAAACTAACAAACAAACGAACAAATCAACGACAACAAAAAACAAACAAATACGACCCCCCCCCCTAAAAAAAAAAAAAAAAAAAAAAAAAAAAATGGGACTGGAAGAACGAATTGTGTTTTTTGAAAGGATGTTTTTCTAGATGTGCATACTTATGATGTAAAGTACCGTACATGAAAATGCTCATATGGGTATAGTGCAATTAGTAATGGTCACTTGATACTATTATGGCTCACCTCACCCCTTTGGTAAACACCATCTGATTGTACACGTGTTTAAGGTCCCACGCCTTAGACCGCTGAGGAATATAGCATGTTGGAGAAAAGACAACACTATTATCATTAGGCAAAATTTTGACAGGGATTCGATTTATTATGTATTTGCGTCACACGTGTTTAAACAGCCCAATGATGTACATCATATCGTTTAACACTTCTGTTTAAAGGTATCGACCAGTTTTGGAACCACCCCCTCTCAAAATTGAAATGGAAGCTCTTAAAACCTATACTGTGAAAGAATATGTTTCAACTAATACGTGATGATACAAATTTTGCCGGGAAACCGCCTACTAATAATTGATAGTAAATTATTATATCTATCCGGACTGGATAGATATCGTTCTGTGTACAGTGCTTGTAAATTTACCAAGACTGGGCCAAATTTCTTATCATTATGATGATCACAACCTTTTCTGATTAATTCCACACCGTTTCTTTCACAATGCAATCGCATGACCAGAACTGAACCTTTAAACATCTAATAACACCATAAACATTATCAAAACTTACGATTGTTCATAAAAGAACTCTAACTTTTTATGGTATCCGCAATAAGTTTACGATCAATTCCATATGCGATAATGTGATATAAAAGACATTGCTCATAATATTACAATCGATGTTTAATGCTCCGTTATAAAACAAATGTGGGAAGAAACTCGCCATTCGTGTCTATATATGTTTTCTTTTTTAATACAGGAAGGACCATAATGTAAATGTAGTCGTTCAGATTGTCACTTTGTTGTATAAAAGTTTAAAAAATGAATTAAATACAAAGCCACGCTTTTCTAATTTTAAGGGCACATTTTTGTTTACTGAAGGTGAGCCAGGTTGGGCCTCCGCCGGTGGTGTTGGTGGTGGTGGTAGGGTGGGGGAGGAGGGTAGCGCCCTTATTTTCCTGTGCCCCTGTATCCGCTACTTGTTAAGACAGCCTGAACATCGCATTTACTATCATGACTATAGGGTACTCGAGTATACTGCCGGATTTTCTGTGTTATCACTTTTAAATGTGAATGATAATGTTGCACAAATACAATCATATTCGTCCTGGCAATACAGCACTTTTTCCTCCTTTGCTTTGAAACAGATCCGAAACGGAAACTTTGTATGGGATGCAACGTCTAGCAGCCCGGATGTTAGTAATGTGGATATTACAATACCAGCTGGTGAGTATTGACACGTACGCCCATTATGAAAGTCATAATATTATAGTTTTCGATATCATTCAGTCGCCCCTCATTCTAATTGAAAAAAAGAAACACGACAATTCATTTATTTTCATTCATTCTTTTATTTATTTATTTATCTATTCATTTATTTATATCAGTCTTTACACAGTGTAGCTTTTTCAATATTGAGTATTGATCTTTCAAGTGGCCCTGTCTATATAATTGAAAAACATTAAATTTAAACATGATAAAATAGAGATATTTAACAAATAAAAGAATATATAAAACTATGATAAAGAACAATTATAAAGCAATTAAACTTCGAAAAACATTTTAAAACATATTTATGACAATACAAGTTAATACAATACAAATATGAACATGAATAATCGCTTCTTAGAGGGCATTTACAATATCGTAAAGTATTAACATCGCCTCTTGAGTGATAATAAAGATAATGTTGTACATAAATCAATCATGTCCATGAGAATCCCATGGTCCGAATGAAAGCAAACAATTGAAATGAGGAGATGTGTGTGTTTACCAGGTTCCCGGGCCAATGGTAAAGGAAATATATAATATATGTTATGATTTATGAAGATTAGAAAACCAGTAGCTAATGCACATGTGGTTTAATGTTTCCACCTAGACTTCCTCATAAATACTTGCTGTTGTCTTCGACTTAATTTTTCCTTAGGTAATATGATATGTTAAAATTTGATTTGTTATGTCCTTTCACGTCTGTCCAATAGATTACATGACATGGACATCACCAATATTCCAAATCAAGATTTTAGTACATATTCAGTCATCAACTTTAGAAAATAAAATTGTTGAGTATATTTTAGTTTAAAGTGACTCGGTAACATTGTTGAAGGTCGATGAAAAACTGTGTAGTTTTTGTATGAAATGTTACTTATTATATTCCTTCTACTGTACTTGCCGTCCAACAGGCAAAAATCCTGCGAAAATTCTCAAACCACAGAGATATTAATCGTTTACTTTAAAGGCGTCACCCTGATTAACAGTAAATTCTCCCAACCATTTTTGAATTTTCCCAACCGTTTCTTCATGAAACTAAGACATACAACAGCGTTTTAAAAATCTTTCAACACTTAAATGTTTGGAATGTTATATAGAGCCAATTCATTGCTTTGTGACGATGTACATTTACCTAAAATGTAATTAAATTGTAATGATAAAGTTGGGAGAATTAACGAAGCGATCAGATCATTTTCCCCCAATGTTTATTACTAGTAATATGGTCTGTTTTCACTCAAACTTTCAGATTATCTTTCATTTGACATCTAACATTGAAGTCACTACCTTATAGCATCATTTTCTCTCATCTAAAACCATGTTACTAAGTCCCTTTACTGGTAATACAATTATAAAAAAAAAAATTGTTACGATAAACAAGAGATAATTTGTAATTTCCCCTGTTTATTATGTATATAATAGGTAAGTTAACCATAATTGTTGGAGCGGTAGGAAGTGGGAAATCTTCACTTCTTGGTGCTATGATGGGCGAGATGACGGCACGTAGTGGGATCGTTCAAATTCACAAGTAAGAACGTCGTTTTTCTAGTTTGTAATTTGCTGTATTTTTCGTTACATTTGTTTTAAAATCACTCCAATTTTATTCAATTGATATAACCAAAGATTTGTTTATTTTTTGTGATTACGGTTTTGCACATTTTTGCAAAGCCTTTATGGAAATTAATAAACGTAAACACTGTAATTAGTAACATAAGTTCATCCTTCGTAAATTTGAAGAACATTAGTGTATGGCTCATTGTCACTTTTGGAAAAGAGACAGTCATAGGCACTCCTTAATTGTTTATGTTCAATCAAACGATCCGTAACGGTACAATATCAGCAATGCAATTTCAACATGACTGTTTATTAGACTTACGATTAACTCATCATGGCCATAATTGCATCTCATTCTGTTCGACTTGGGCTGATTTTCTTTCTCTAGGAAGAAAGGCAGGATTGCCTATGCGCCCCAGAAAGCGTGGTTGATTAATACAACAGTCCGAAAGAATATTATATTTGAATTGGACAAGAACATGAATAAATCAAGGTAAGAAAACATAAAAAAAACATTTTTCAAATCTTTTTATTATCTTTAAGAATATTTTGATTGAATAATAAATCATAACTTCAGGTTATGATTGTTAAAAGAACTGAATTGAATGAGCTTCTAAAGCCACACATTTGAATATTTTTTGACGAATGGATTTTCTAGGACATGCAATCCTAGGTATATGCTGTCTTTTCAATATTTCTGAACAATCCTAAATTAGATACATTGTTATAGAGTAATTTAGACTCTGACCCCTTCATTGAACAATCATAACCATAATCTGTGTGATTTTATTATTAATTCCAAATTCTCTCTTGACAGACTATTTGCTGTACACAATGTTGTCCTATGTCAGAATTCTTCATTTTAAAGTTTATTATAACAATAACAAGAAGAATAGATTAATCGGCAGAAGAACTGCCGATTAATCTTACCACTATGATGAAATGTAAAAAATATGTTCATAATTATAATACTAGAAATCCTGATAACTATTTTATTGAAAAATGTCCATCAACAAATTCCTTATTTACTTTTAGACACACTGGCCCGAAAATATGGAATTCCCTCCCCAAAGATATACGTGATACTGCTTTCTTAAACTCTTTTAAATCTAAACTAAAAAATACTTCATCTGTTTTTAAATCTATAATAATATTTGCATGTTAATACGTCTCCTATGTTTTGTGCACTGTTTTGTTATTGTTATACTTTTTATAGCCAATTGTTGGAAGTTGTATATGTATCTTTTAATAACAGGGAGCTGCCTCGACAGAACCTTATGGTTTTATTTGCAGTTTCCCCAATTCATTTCTATTGCTGTTTAACTTTTTATAATTCCGATATATTTGTAGACATGTTTCCATTTTGTGTGTATTTTGTGTTCTCTATATTGTATATAATCTGTATCTTATATGTTTTTTATGGACTTGAATTGAAATAAAGCTTGAACTTGAACTTGAACTTAAATAACACAATTGCGAAGATTTAACAAATCATCTCAGGGCAATTTCAATTGCCAATTCGTCACCTTTTGAAATGTGAGAAGATTACAATTACATCTGGACATGTTGCATAATCGAAACATGCTTTCTTCGGGCAATGCAATATGGTACCTCAATTTGATTTTCAAAGGTTTTTGCATTCGTGTTAATTAATAAAGATATATTTGTTCTCCTCTCTCTTGTCACCAGATACCAGGAAGTGATTCGAGCGTGTTCACTCCTGCCAGACCTGGAGGTCCTCCCCGCCAATGACCGGACAGAGATCGGTGAGAATGGTATCAACCTTAGCGGAGGTCAGAAACAGAGGGTTAGCGTCGCAAGAGCCATGTACTCTGAGAGTGATATCATTATTCTGGTAAGAATGATATTCAGGGTACCATGCATGCTACACGGTTTTTCTAAGTCTGCTGAGAGCCAAAAGGGTTGTAACTTTATGTTTTAGTATGTGAGTCAATGATCTTCTTGCTCCTAGCAGGGGCGGATCTAGGGGGGTTTCGGCGGTTTTAACCCCCCCCCCCTTGGGCGGCCAAGTGAAAAAAAGGGGGGGAGGGAAAAGAAGGGGGGAAGGGGGGAAAAGAAGGGGGAAGGGGGGAAAAGAAGGGAAAAAAGTAAAAGAGTAAAACGGCGCGATTTTTGTAATTTTTTTTTTTGATCCGCCACTTGGTCAACTACCCCCCCCCCCCCTTGGTAAAGAGCGGTTATTACTCGGTGGCGTATCCACTGTATCAAACACTGGGTTTAGCTGGCGTACGCCCTCTCCCAGTTGAAGGCCTATGAAGAAAAAAAAATTCTTGATACACCACCTGAACTTATGTTCGGCCCCAAAGGTAAGGGCTCACAACTTCCCCGGGTACACTCGTCAGGTGTTCTATAATTATAACGCGTGCTATGCTCCAGGATTCTAGCCAGAGAACATTTAAAATAAATCAAAATAATAGTATGTACATGTAATTGAAAGCAAATTATCTTGCAGCGCTGAAACTAAGAACATCTTCATTCCTCAATCACGTTTTTTTTTTAATGGATAGAAAAATTAATAAAAGTCCAAGAATGAGTTCTGACTGCAACTCTATTCTGTTGTTTGTAGGATGATCCACTATCAGCTCTCGATATGCAAGTTGGAAATGATTTATTCGACAAGGGAATCCGAGGTATCTTACGTCATCGCCATCAAACAGTTATATTGGTCACACATCAACTGCAATACTTGCCAAAAGCAGATAAGGTACGTCTTGAAAACCCAAACACACGTTTCTTCAATTATTTTATTGTCTACTTCTAATCCTTTGCTCTGCCGTACCTTTCCTCGTCTTCATTTACTCCCCCCCCCCCGTTCCTCTTTCTCTTGTTCCTTTTCTTATAGTGCATCTCGTTCTTCTGGCCGTTGCTATTGCAATTCTTCGGTTGCTACCTGCTTTTTATTTTGTCATTCACTTCATTTCCCATTTATTTAATTTATGTTCAAATTTATTTCAAGAGTTTTAGGATTACTTTTAAATAGATGCATAAAATAATTTAGTGTACGTTCTGATTTTGCAAATATCGTGTTCATCTTTCGATCCTCAATTATGAATTTCATACAAATGTACGTATTTTTGCCAAATGAGTAGCTTTGATAAACAGACGTGGTGTTTCTATTCTTACAACTCTTCTCTAAAACGTATTCATATCTGTTATGCGTCTATTCCTTCATACATTCAACTATTATTTAGTTTCCGTCATTCCCATACTTTTTAACCATGCATGCGTGACATCCAACTGTCTTTTGTTCCTTGTACAGATCATCATTATGGAGAATGGAAGAGTACAACACCAAGGTTCACCGTACGACATCGCACGGGCTGACCACGATCTGGAGGTGAAATGGAAGGAGGCGGAGAGACGAGCGAGTGTGACAGAGGATGTGCGGACCACTGAAAGCAGTACTGAGATGGAGCGAAAGAGTCTTCGAAGGCAGTGTTCAAGAAAGTTCTCGGTCGTCAGTCACCCCGACTCCGTCATAGGTAAATTAAAACCAAATAAATAGTTTTTACTTACACCGAGTTACCGTGAGACAAACCAATAGAACAGTCACAAATGTCTTGCAAATTAATGGATACTTCTCTCCCACCAAAGCCTAATAATAGACTGTTCCATTTATCTGTTACAATGCATGGTTACAATCAATTATATTTTAGTCTTGAAGTTCTAAATGTAGTTGCACACAGGTGTTACTTTGCCTTTATAATACGCGAAATGGTCAACTACGCGCCACATTAATAATTCTGTGTAATGATTATCTACTTCTAAACGTCTATGTCAGAACTTTTCACTCTTGCGTTGGTTATTATTAGATAAATGAGTTATTGTTATGAGTATGAGTATGATTAATATCAAGTAAATCATATCAAAATAGTGCGTAATGATGTCAGAAAGGTTGACGGTGGAAATCTATAAGTTATCAGTGTATGCCGAAACATAGTCCCAACTCATTACTAAAAACTGATGGATCTTTATGGAAGATCGTAATTTTTAAAGTACAAGTCAAAGCGAATACTTCATTTGATTATTACCCTTTACAAACCATCTCTATTTTTTTCTTTCATCTTAGAGAACGATAGAGGTCGTTTGATCGCGCAGGAGGATCGCCAGTCCGGAGCGGTTGCTATGAGCAACTACGCCCATTACATCGCATCAATGGGATATACGTTATGTGTGCTTATCTTTTGCAGTACCTTTCTGCGCGGTGCTCTCCAAATTGGTACCGATTTCTGGCTCTCTGAGTGGTCTGAGGCTGGACTCAATGACAGTCGTAATCATGTAAGAATGCAAAAGAAAGTAGTCATAGTAATATTGAGTATGCATCATCAAGGAACTATGTCCTTCTTTAGGTCGTTAAACAACTGCAACGGAGAAATTGCTCAGCATTTTTTAAAGAGACATTTGTGTCAAATAACCCCTTTCTTTCTCTCTCTCTCTCTCTCTCTCTCTCTCTCTCTCTCTCTCTCTCTTTACCTTTCTGCTCTATATTATAATCATGGACCTAATATAGGTCCATGATATAATTAACCCTCAATAACTCCCCCTCGATTTTCACACTATTGAACATGTACGCACCTAAACAAGTCATAATCTAACTTTCACTATAACATTCCTTTCAGATATGAACATCTTCCTTGTAACCTATATATATATTTTGTTATTAACGATTTTAATTATCAATATATTTATTTGTTTGTAATTATGGTTATTAATTTGTTGGTTGGCGCTAACTTCGTCATCATGTTTGTCATGTAAAGTACGATCATGTTCTCTTTAGTTGCATAATTCACGAAATGCTTTCCGAAGCTCTTTGGCAGCGCGTAGAGGCTAAGTAGTATGCGCTATACAAGAAAGGACTATCATTATTATTATCATTATTAATGCAAATATAAAAAACTTTAAAATGTTATCATCAATTTTGTCCAGGATGAAGTGCGCCCAACAAGTTTCTACGTCAAGGGATTCGCTGGGTTGTCTGTGGGTACCCTAGTGGGTCAAATCCTCTTCAACTTCCTCGTCAATGCCGGGATGCTGTTAGCTGCTAAGACCATCCACTTTGAGATGCTAGAGAATCTTCTCATGTTACCAGTAAGGTAAGGTATTTCATATCTTAAAAAATATATGTTTTTTTTTACAGAGATTTGCCTTTAAAAAACAAAATTGCTTTTGTTACCTAAGTAGACCCTCTTGAAATAAAAAAGGATGAATGTTTAAAAGGAACAAAAAGAAAACGAGGAAAAGATTCTGAAACAATTAAATTAAATATACGCAGCATGGAAGCATCTGGATCATAATTATGTTTTTATAAACAAGGATACTTGCAAAGTCACACTTAGTTAAAGAAATTATGGTGTCGAAATAATTTGCAAATAGAATCAGTAGTGAAGATCTGCAAAGTTTTCTAAAATTGTTATGTAGCTTTCTACCAATGATTTTTTGATTTAAGATTTAGTCTTCCATTTTTTTAAATTGTTGTTTTTAAAAATTGATTTCATGCTTTTACTCCTCTCTTTCTTTTCTTCTTTTTTCTCTTCATTTTGTTAGGTTCTTCGACGTTACCCCTGTTGGCAGAATTCTTAATCGGTTATCAAGTGATACGTCTTTGATTGACCAGGTAAATAGTTTTTGCAAGATCATTAATTTCTTGGGTCAACACCGTCTTGATACGCCAAAGAATCGTCCTTCATCATGGTCAGAGTAAAGAGGTTTAATTAGTTTCAGATTTAATAGAGCACCGAAGTGCGAACGTCATATTCGCCCGTCGTCCGGGTTACTGGCTCTAAACAACATAGCTGCGCGTGAGGTTCACCGTGAAATCATTCAAGCAACGGGCTGGAGCAGGGCAAATTTAATGTTTGGGGCTGGTGTGAACACCACGCTATTTTTTTAGCACAAAATTGTTTGGAACCAGCAACCTTGACAACTTGGCCAGTATGACGTCACATTTCGTTACTCAATACTGTGAAAGAAATACTGCATTTTGATAAGGAAAACGGTCTTTTCCCATCATTTCTGGATATGTAAAAATATATTTTGACCTATTATCAAAATCACATGGTTCGTTCAACTTTAGCCATTGTACCTAAAACCTAGGTTTATGTGCGTCATATGACGCGTTTCGATGCGTTTCAGACCAAGGTTCAGACAAACCTTGGTCTGAAATGCGTCAAAACGCGTCATATGACGCACATAAACCTAGATTTTTCGACAAACCTCCTTTGTGAATTCGGGCCAATGTGTTTCTTAGTTCTTGTTCACAATTGCCTGGTGTGTAAGCCATTCTGTATTTAAAAAGAAATTAATTTAATAATCATGTATTCTCTTCAAAAATATTTTCTCCATTCTGACAGCGGTTGCTGATTACTATCAACATGCTGATGAATAGCTTTGTCAATATGTTAGCAGCGATCGTGGTCAACACCATAGTCAATCCGTGGTTCCTCGTAATCTTCGTATTTATCGCCTTCCTCTTCGTCGTCATCTTCATGTACTACGTAAGGACATCGAGGTAAGGGTGAAACAACGACTAACGACCGTAGAGGCTAATGGTATAGCATGTCCCTGGTATAATAATTCAGGGGGGAAAGTGCACGGTAGTGGAAACTCCCGTAACAGGACTGGTGTTTGAGCTTCATAGCTTGCAAAATGTTTAATGGAATCGCAAATGCCATATTAACCATTGTGTCTATCTATTTCTATTATAACTTCCACTCGAATTGTGACAGCTTTGCGGACATCGAAGTTGTGTCCTATCTTGTTGGTCTATACACCTATACAACAAACGTTTAATTTGACAATGTTATGAATGAATATATTAATAATAATGGTTTACTTTTATTAAAAAATAATTTATCGCAGCCCAGGGGCTAAATTGTACTTACAAAAGTATTTACATTAAAAAATACACTAAATAGAATAAATATTACAAGTAAGCAATCTTTAGGCAATTGCAAATTATTCATGAAATACACACATGTGAATCAGTATAGTACGTTTTAGACGTGTAGATTACACGATTATTTTGATCTGTTGAAAATTGTATTTCCTTTTTATTTATTTGCATATACATGCAATTTCAGAACGTATGTTATCTTTTTTGTTTTGTTCTAAACATATTTTCCATCTTTTAAAAATCCATTGTCAAAATATAGGGAGTTGCAGAGGATAGAGAGTGTCAGCAGATCACCGGTTTTGGCTCATTTCTCTGAGACACTGGGAGGATTGTCAACTATTAGAGCATTCAAGTGAGTACACCCCCAACACACCCCTCTCTTCCCCCTCTCTTTCTCTTTCCTCTTTATTTCTCTCTTTCCCAATATCTTTGTTTCCTTCTCTTACAGATCTCTATATCTCCATCCTATATATTGAACATAATGAGTGGAGAAGGGAAAAGACAGAGAATCGGGGGGAGAATAAACCATATATAATCATGTGATGATTAGTATAATCATTAGACAATGTGACACAATATAAGAACTTGCAGAATTTACAAAACACATCAATGAGAATGCTTTGTTCAGAACGTTTTACCAACAAATACCAATTCATGAGTTTTTAAATTCTTATCACTCCAATATTTCCTCCCTTAACCATGACTTTTCTTTCGACGTTATACAGGGCAGAAGCGCGTTTCTCTCGGGTTATAACAGAGCATATCGACACCAACATCACGGCGCATCTCTACCTCATAGCGGCTCAGCGATGGATGGGAATCAGATTGGTAAGAACATTTGATATTCTATCTATCACAGTAATTACATGACTCCAGGGGGGCGGGGGAGTGTTTCATAAAAAAAGTTTATTAGGTCGAAATTAACTCTAAGTTGGATTTAAACATTATGGAGAGCCGTTTGTAGCCTTAAAATAAAATATATTCAAAAGCGAAAATTCAAGTGTTTTAGACTTTTTATAAATTCCACATCAAGAACATGAATTCTCCTTGATAATAGAAAATATGAATGAATTGAATCAACATTTTATGCCTTTAACCGAACTTTTACCCCCAAAATAGAAAACTTAGAAATAAGTTTAACTTAGGATATTTGTGAAACACTCCCAATGGTGAGCATTATGTTTACGATGACTAAGAACCAATTTTCCTCACAGCTTCTTACACTCTATTGATTGATGGAATGTGATCAGTGCATCTTAATTCTCAAGAAGGAAAAAGAACTGTGCGTAGATCTAAATATATGCCTATACCGTTTGTGGCTGGTGTTCTGGAAATTCTAACGTATGAAAGATTGGTAGTTACAATTACACAGAAGAATTCAAGTCTTCAACATCACGAACATCTTTTTTTATAAGACAGCATAGTATGTTGAAAATAAATTGCAAACATTGCCGTTTTTTAACGTTGCAAGAAAAAAAAAATTGTAAAAACTAATAAGGACTAGCTAGAAATGATGAATCTCGAGTTGCAGATTTTAACCCGTTCAATCATTTCGAATAAAGCATTAGATGTTGTCATGAGTAACTTCTATCAATTTATTTTGTTCTGTCCAGGACTTTTTAGGTGCATTAGTGGTACTAGTAGCGGGATACTCCTCCCTACTAGGTGCATCCTATAGCGATATTGATGCCAGCCGGGTTGGTCTCGCCATCTCATATTCATTAATGGTAAGAAATGATTGCTCAGTCCAAGTATAATTGTGCACGTTATACGGGAGAAATGCCCATTTTTCCCCTAAAGCCTACTAACAACAGGAACGTGACCCTAGTCGTAGTTTTGTGCTCCCTTCAAAAAATAATGGTCGACCCAAACTGCACCAAAAATATGTGATAACCTTATATTTGCCTAACAGATATTTTCTTAAACTTGTAAAGCAATAATAGTTTTTAAAGCTATTCATATTTTTTCGTTTTCTTTTACCCATTTTTTGATAGAGGAGGCAGAATGGATAAATACAAAAATAGACAGAAAGAGAGAGAGAGAGAGGGGGAGAGGGAGAGAGAGAAAGAAAGAGAGATAGATAGAGAGAGAGAGAGAGAGAGAGAGAGAGAGAGAAATATTGTGTGACCGCAGCATATGAATATTGTTTTATTTTAAAAAAAAGGTTATTTCAATTACGTTATCTGGTGACAACTCTTAATATAAGTAAAATCAGCAAAGGTATCAAAATTATCAACTTTTCAATCCTGTTCCTCATTTCTGAAAGGTGTCCACCTATCTCAACTCTCTGGTCAGGTATTGCTCCGAGTTAGAACTTCACATGAACGCTGTGGAGAGGGTACGGTACTATTCCGAACTCCAAAACGAATGCTACAATGATGGTAAGAAACAAAACCCTCAGCATTTAAATAAATACGCATTAAAGGTAATACAAAGTTTTGGTATGGGGTCATGAATTTGTTTCAAATGAACATATTGGAAGCATATGCGATCCTACAATATTTAGTGATTATTGTCGCGGTTGAAATCGAGTCTTAAGTGATGAAATTGTAAATAATTAACTCTTTATGTTGTATAGCTCCCTCTCAAGGTCAAAATATTTATTTAACTATAAAACAATGTTTCTTGACTATAATCGACCTATTGGCTATTTCCGTTTGGAAATTATATATCAAAACTACATATTCTGAGACTTTAATGGTCGCAGCTACGATTATATGGCCGTAGGCGCTATTTGAAATTTATCAAAATTTACCGGGAGCACCGGTAGATTTTTATATTCATTTTTTCTCGAAAGCAGAAGTGTTTTAGGGGCTAAATTTTCTAGTGCTTATAATACATCTACATGGGCATCCAAATATATAAAAATGGTAAAATATCACTATCCAGCCAATTTTCAAAATTTCCCAAAACTTTGTATTACCTTTAATATCGAGTTGAATTACATGGCTTTTTACATTTACTACCAGCGAGCAATTGGTCCAGTTTGTAACATAACAGGAAGTGTACCACAGTGAATACTCGTGCACAATATAGGGCGAAAATTCAAAAAGCGAGACTTGTTTTGGGAACACCAAGAACAGATCATTGAAAAATAGGGATAGAAAAGGAAATGAAAAAAAGGTAGAAAAGAGAAGAAAATATGGCCCTGTAATGCATAACCCTTTGGCGCATGTGTAACAAATTGACGTAATCCACTTTTCAATATATCATAGTGTGATTTCAGTAAACCGTCTTTTTTCTTTAACAATTAAAATCAAACTTCAATTCAAAATTTTAAATCGAAAAGAGAACGTGAATGAGAACCTACCCATTTCGCTATTGTCAACAGGCGAGATGCCTCCTCCCCAAAAATGGCCGACGAGGGGTAAGATCCTCATGGAGAACATTAGTGCTCGGTATGACAGGGACCTGGACCCAGTACTCCGTGACATCAATATCAACATCCAGCCAGGACAAAAGGTTTTTCTCTTGAATTACTTTTTTAATAATGCAAGCTGCATACGAGACGTCATTTGTCGGACGTAGCATTGCGGCAGAGGATGGCATGGCTTTCAACTGGAAAGTTATAATATGCACAAATAATTGCAAACAGAACAATGCAAATAATATTGCATTGTTTTACTTGCGTATGCACTAATTTGGACTTTAGGAATCGACATCATTCTTCCTATGCAGCGGCAATTAGATGAGTCTTCTTTGTTTAGGGGGAGGGGTCGTCACGAAAAGGGGTGCATACAGTTTGAATGTCTGTGATCTGTTTTATACTCCAACTTTTACAATATTGCAATCATAATTAAATACTGTAGACACCAAACGCTATCAGAATACAACGTATACGGACACCTACCCCCTGGACATCCTTTCCCGGATAACCACCCCCAATCAAATACCCCCTAGGAAAACCACCCCCTAGGGCAACCACCCTCCAGGACGACTACCCCCAGGGACAACTACCCCCGGGCATCTACCCCACAGACAACTATCCCTCAGACAACTACCCCCTACGACAACAATCCTCTAGGACAACTACCCCTGGATAAATATCATATTGAGGGAGTTGTCCGGGGGTAGTTGTCCGGGGTTTAGATGTCCGGGGGTAGTTCCTCTAGGGGGTAGTTGTCCTAGGGGTAGTTTTCTGGGGGTAGTTGTCCGGGGGTAGTTGTCCGGGGGGTAGTTGTCCCGGGGATAGTCGTCCTAGTGGGAGGTTGCCCTAGGGGGTAGTTGTCCTAGGGGGTAGTTAACTGGTGGTAGTTATCCGGGGTGGATGTCCAGGGGGTAGGTGGGCTAGAACCGAATACAACTATGTTCAAAAGAAGAACTTACATTACATCTGGATACCCTTGTATCTAAAATGAAAGTGTTTGAACATATACATTATTATCAGTGATTGTGTTATTCGATGGCTAGAGCAGAAGCCGGATTTCAAATAATATTTTATAATGAAGAATATATCTTAGTTGTTTGAATTACCTATTCTATTGTTTCTCTCTGTTAGATTGGTATATGCGGTAGATCTGGAAGCGGGAAGTCCTCTTTAACCCTAGCTCTCTTCCGGTTCATGCAAATCAAAGGTATCATAATTAAGCTGTTCAACTAACAATGAAAGAATTCTATGATTTGAAATTCACTCGACATAATTATGTTCCTTAAAATATACGTTTGTTTCAATTTGATTTTTATATCAAAGTGGCGTAATGAGTTAAAGAGGAGTTCTAAATGTCCTCTGCAGGAAATTTTCTCCTGATGTGAGAAGAAAAAAAAGAAAAAAGAAACATGTCCATCGTAATAATGACGCGAAACTAAACGTCGACCAAAACAATTATCATCTTTATCATCAATGATCAACTTCGATTAACTATGCAAATGGGTGCACACATTGCAACAAGCAGCTGCGTAGCGTATACATGTAGGTCCGCAACTTGAGGGGGGTACGGGTATGGAGTTCGGGGCACTCAGTGAAGGAAGTGTGAATTAAAAACTTACTGATGAGAGAGAGAGTCTTTACATCATATTTTACATATTTTACATATTTTCCTTCATTCTCCCTCTCCTTTTCTCTCTTTATTTCTATATCTTTTCCCACCGTTCCATGGAAGGCACTTCTGTCGTGTACATTTTTAGCTACCCCCACCAGTTGATTTCAGCACCATTTGAAAAAACAAACATTCATTATTATTTTTATCCTTTCAAGGGCGTCTCATGATCGATGGTATTGACATCACGACAGTGCCTTTAAGAACATTACGTCGGCAGTTATCTATCATCCCACAAGAAGCTATGATGTTCACTGGGACTATCAGGTATGGAATTGTTAATATTTTGGGTGACCTTTTTGGTAGATTCAATCCTTGTTACACATTCCAATATAAGCAGGATAATTCCTTTCATAAGTCAATGCTAGTTTACAAATAACTCTTCACTGCGTTCTAAATTACCTCTCTAATTTATTGAAAAATATTTCATATTCCTTATCTTATTTGTATGCTTCGTACATGTTTATCGTATGATATAATTGTACATGATTTTCTTTTTAAATTACTTTTGTAAACATTTTATTCATTGTATTTGTTATTGTTAGAATTTTTGAATTTGAATTTGTATCTTTTTGAACGCAAAAATAAAATCAATCAAACAAACAAACAAACAAACTTTGTCCATGAATACCTATTTCTCTTCAAATTTAACGACGGGACAAAAATGGATAAGAAACTGCGAAAAATCAAGCAACATCCCAACACGAAAGAATCTATTTATGCAACATTTTGTCAGTGTAACATGTTGGTGCTTCATGAAACTTGGTGACTATTTACAGATCTAACTTAGATATGACAGAGACATGCAAGGATGACAAGCTTTGGCGTTCTCTTGAAATCTCTCAACTCAAGAAAACGGTGGAACAACTGAATGGAGGCCTTGGTGAGAATTATTTGCTTCTTTTCGCTAAATTAAAATCTTTATATGACTGTGTACTCCTATTTATATCGTATAGATAGACGATTAAACATTTATGTGAATTTATCAATTTTTTGATTTTCTCTAATATCTTTAAGGGCTCTTTTATTTGATCTAAATTATTATTATTTGATTATTTGCCTTTATTAATTGATAACCGCGTTAACAAGAAGTTCAGAAATGCAACATGTAAAAAGAGAAGGAACAAGAAATAAAAATTGTATGTAATCAGTGGAGCAAGTAGAAGAGAGAGAAGAAGTACAAAGAAAAAGACAGGCAAGAGAAAGTTAAGTGGGAAATCGAATAGGAATATATGGTGATCATCGTTTACATGATGATTTTGTTAATCTAATCCTCAGATTCGAAGGTGTTAGAAGGAGGAGAGAATTTCAGTGTCGGACAGCGTCAACTCTTTTGTTTAGCACGAGCTTTCTTGAGAGAATCGCGTATTCTAGTTATGGATGAGGCTACAGCTTCCATTGACAAAGAAACGGTAACGAATAATGAAATGTTTAAATAATTTTTATACTGAAACAAGACATGTGTCCCGTCTTATAAGGAGTTGATATTAATCGCAACTTATTTGTAATTGATATCAGTCGCAACTATGTTCATAAAAGATGGGAGACTGCACACTTGCGATTGATTGGAGGACTAATTGCGAATGATTTGGATAAACCACAACTCTCCATAAAACGGGGCCCTGGACTATTTTGTTTTCATGTTTTCCCAAGATGAAAAAAGAAGAATAAATTAGAGGCTGTTTTCAGATTAAGGTAATGAATATATAAATTCCTTAAATATATTATGGAAGAGCACATTTCTGCTAACATGATTCATGTTCTCTTTAAACAGGACAAGATCATACAAGGAGTTGTCCAGGAGGTTTTCAGAGATAGAACAGTACTGACAATAGCGGTAAGAGTTGTTTTATTTAAAGGCTGCTGGTCATTTGCTGAAAGCTCTCAAAAGCGATCAAAAGTCAAGAATAAAAAAGAATTGAGTTACATCTTTATTTTTCTTATTTTTTATATAACATGTTGAATCTTTAAAATTATACATCAACGTCTATAACAAATGGAGCACTACAACTTCAAGTTGAAAAATCATGAAAATCTTTAATCAACAATAATTTTTTAACGCTTACTTGACATTGCAAAATACGATGAGTACTGGTATAATCACATTAATCCAAAAGACAGTAAGTTTCACTGTTTATATTATACATGTATAAACTAACAGGTATATATGGACTAACAATACAAACAATAAAATGACAAGACATGACTAAATATATAATCCCTTTCTCTTTTTATCAGCACCGCATCGATACCCTTCTGAATTCCGACTACATCCTAACTCTAGATGAAGGCAGAGTTGCAGAATTCGACACACCTAGCAATCTCCTACGCCAGGAGAACAGTATCTTTGCATCACTCCTTCGAGCGGGAAGGTGAATGGATATCCATCTACAAAGGAATAAAGATCCTGAATCCTAATGTTTTCAATGGCAGGGACGTCGCTAGACGAAGGCGGGGACGTGACGCTCTCCAATTGTTAATAATTAAAAAATCAATTAAAGATATATTTAAAAATTGTTATCGCCAAATTTTGAGTTGTTATCACCAAATGTTGAGTTGTTATAGGCTGTCCGCAAATCAAAAGCATTAATAGCCTCTTTTTTCAATTAAAAATTTAAGGACTTTTCTTCGTTGTTGTGAAATTTCAAGGTCAGTTGTTGGTATCGCCATTCAAAATGATCTAGCGACGTACATCGATATCATCTGTTGAACATTTGTATCCGTACCTTTATACTATTTATTTATCACGTACACTGTCTTGGTTTTTTAAAACCAGCAAAGTACACTTACTTTGATTGAAGCCTGTATTTCACGTGAAACATTAGAGCTTTCAACTAATGTCCTTTGGCAAGACATTGATCTACATTTGCCACACTCCACCCAGGTAAAGTAACAATATGGATACCTGGTCGGAATTTATTCCTTTAAACACAGCTGCACTGCTAAAGCCAGGGTAACGATGCTGCATTATTGTAAAGCGCTTATATGGTAAAGTAAGTGTTAGGCGCTATATAAGCAAAATATATAATTCAATCGAAATATTTGTCAACGGCACTTTGTGGTCATTACTTGCACCAGATCAAACAAAAAGTACATCGAAAGTGTTAAGAAGTAGCTATAGGTAATAATTCATAGAAATGTAATTTATTTCTAAATGATCGCCATAAATGCATCTTTCGCGTTTTGTGTTTGCGTAAGAATTTGTGGGAAATATATATTTTCTTAACAGGATTCAATAATCTAATGGTTGATGTATGCACGTGGCAGTGTGACCCGGTGGACAGAGATCGGACTTGAAAACTGGTAGGACGCGGGTTCGATACACGGCATGTAATTGTTGTTGGAATGGGGCAAACATCCGAGCTAATGGATAATGTATTTCCCCACGAAAATCACTGTTCTTGATCCCAATTTGCGTGGACCAGAATGGGGGCGTCCCGTCTCGTCTTTTGTAACTTGTATGTCTTTGATTTCGATATGATATGATTTAAAGGATAATAAACAATGATATTTAACGAACGGAGTGAGTGAGTCCAAAAATAGGTGACATACATTTTTATATACAGTTTTAAGACAGGCACATTATTTAGAATGCGTGAATAATAAACATTCTGGTATATTTCAGATTGATTTTAATTTCATAACATACACATAGCGTTCAAGTATTTTTTTTCTTCTCTCAATTAGGCTTTACTTAATACAAATAACATGACCCGAAGAGATACGTTACTCTATACCCCTTCACTTCATTGGAATATTAAACCTCTTGAAATATTACTGGAAAGTACACTATAGTTACAAATATGATCACAATCGAAATTCCAATGTGATATTCGATAATTGATGAAAATTGATGTTCAGAGTGAACAATTGTTTTTTTTTTTTACTTTGTTTATATTTTTTTAGAATATAAGAAGCATATTATTTATTAATAAAGCTCATGCTTGTCTTAACTGGTTCATGTCCGTTGCTGTCTTTGTAGATAACAAATGATACATTCAAGAGAAAGGATATAAAGGGAGGGAAAGATAGAGAGGGAGAGGGAGAGAGAGAGAGAGGGGGAGAGAGAGGGAGGGAGAGAGAGAGAATGAGGGGGAGGGAGGAGGGAGGGAGGGATGGGAAGAAGGGAGGAGGTAGGAGAAAGGAGAGGGAGTTAGATAGATACATTGAGAAAGACAGAGAGACAAAACAATATAGAGAGAGAGAGAGGGAGAGAGAGAAATAAAGAGAGAGACAAATAAAGAGAGAGAGAGAGAGAGAGAGAGAGAGAGAGAGGGGGAAGGGAGGAAGGGAGGGGGAGGGAGTTAGAAAATGATTTAGATATAATTGTGATATACATATATATTACGACAATCGTCGTGAGATAAAATAGTGCAGAGAATTATAAACCAGTGCACAATTCTTTTTGGCGAATTTCTATACACAGTCTATCCGGAATGCTATTCCTAAATTCATCTTATCCAAGATTTATATGGTGTTTTTTTTAGAGTTAATGACACAAAATTCAGTAAGAATAATTATAAATTGATATTCTGAGAATCATTTCACATGTACACAAAAAATGTTACCTTACAAGGTATTGCTGAATTATCGAACTATTCGAGTGTAGATTATGCACTTTAATCGATAAAAGAATCCTCCCCTATTCTTTTATCATTGACTATGGAATTATATGTCCGGAATGAATATGATAGTCATAATATAAAAATTAATGTAAACACAAACACACACGTAAACATAAACATAAACTACACAGTTTACAACAAAAGAGCAAGGCTGGCATGGTATTGACCCATGAGTGTCAATTTGGGGTAATAAGTTAATGTTGTGAAATAGTTGTGCCTGCTCTAACATGGAGAATTTCACTCTCTGATGAAATATCCCACCCAATGGCCTTAGTCCATCCATTGGGGGGGGGGGGGGGGGGCACTAGCATCGAGGGTGTGGCACTTGTTATTTTGATGAATGACATGGCGATCGCTTAGAGGGAATCGAGTGTGGAACTGGGTTTATTCATTTACTGTTTCCCATCCTTTTCCCGTGTCCCTTTCCTTAAAGGTAATACAAAGTTTTGGTATGGGGTCATAAATTTGGTTCAAATGAACATATTGGAAGCATATACGATCCTACAATACTCAGTGATCGTTGTCGCGGTTGAAATCGAGTCTAAAGTTATGAAATTGTAAATAACACTCTCGTTATGTTGTATAGCTCCCTCTCAAGGTCAAGATATTTATTAAGCTATAAAACAATGTGTCTTGACTAAAATCGACCGGTTAGCTATTCCCGTTTGGAAACTATATATCACAACTACATATCCTGAGATTTTCATGGTCGCAGCTACCATTGTACGGCCGTAGGCGCTATTTGAAATTTTATCAAAATTTACCGGGAGCACCGGTAAATTTTTATATTTAATTTTTCTCGAAAGCAGAAGGGTTTTGGGGACTAAAATTTCTAGTGCGTATAATACATCCACAGGGGCATCCAAATATATCCAAATAGTAAAGAATCACTATCCACCCAATTTTCAAAATTTCCCAAAACTTTGTATTACCTTTAATAACATGAATCTTTATAAAAAAAAAACTCGAGGGCAATTTCAATATCCTATCAAACCGTATATTTAATCATGTTTGGATTGTGTACAACCGTCATTGTAATGTTCACAAATTTCAAAAGGTGATCCACGAAGATAATCCTCACCCTACTCTGATTTTTTTTATTTTAAGAAAACCTTGGTGATGTACCCATGTGCCTCTTAAAACTACATCTCTGATTACATCATTTTCCGGCTTTGACGAGCGAGGCGAACACACTGTCGTCTCTCTCTAGGAGCACGGAGGGGGAGTCAAACTCGATGACCGCGCCATCTCGAAGAGTTAGGATGGTATCGGAGTCGAGTATGGTACCAACACGATGCTGATCCAGGAGAAAATGAAAAAAAAGGGAACAACTTGAAAATATCCCAGACTTATTTTACATCTCTCAATTTGACCAGGTTACACAGGCATTTAAGTACATACATTTCAGTTAATCATGAAGATTTTACATTCAATAGTTTTACGTCACATAAGACGAATAAAGATTTAAATGTACAGACGGAAATACACAAAAATTGAAGAAAAAAAAAGTTTTCAAATCAATTTACAAAAACAAATAATCGAAGTCATAGAGAGGTACAATCGTGGTAAAATACATTCATCGCATCTTTAGTTGCGTAAGTTACATGAAACAAGTTTATGCGATGAGGTTGCCGACAGTGCGAGAGAGTAGACGAGAACCGCATGACCTTAGCATTTAATGCTATTTTCTGGTCCCCTTTATCCTTTCAATGTTAAACATTCACATATGATCGTTATATTTAGGTACTTTTTGTTTAGGTAATAAAACATAAAACCCAAACTAAAACTAAAACTAAAACTATAACTAAAACTAAAACTAAAACTAAAACGCATTTCCAGTCAAGTGCTCAAACTACTCGACTTTAAAACACCATTCAAAAATCTAAATATAAATGACTTACCGCTATAGTGAGGACTGTTCTATCCTGGAATATATCGGCCACCGCATCTTGGAGTATCCTATCCTGTAAGATCAACAAAAACAAAAGGCAATAGCTATTGTTATGACCCTTTATACAATAAAGTCAATGATGAAGCGATTCTCTCAGTTGTCATTCTCGTATACAGATGCTGAAGGAATACGTTAAAAAAGATGGGATTACACGTGCGCCATAGACACAGATGATATACATATGACTTAAATGGAGTATTACTGCTTTAAAAGTTATCTCGAGCAAAGTACATAATTTGTCTTTAAAGGTTTATCCCAGTTTTGGAAACGCCCCCTCTCAAAAAATGAAATGGAAGCTCTTATTACCAATCATGTGAAAGATTATGTTTTGACTAATACGTGATGATACAAATTTTGACGGGAAACCGTCTATTATTATATTTGGTAAATTTTCATATCGATCCGGCCTGGATAGACATCGCGAATGCACTTCAACATCGAATATTTGGGCATATATTTCTGCTTGTTTGCAAATTTAGGTTAAAGTAATGCCATCTAAACCTCTAAAGGCAATATTTAAACAATATTGAATTGATATTTTACACCCAAAACCCTTGAACCGCAATCTTACCACTACCGGTCTATATCTTTAAAGGAACATTAGCCACATGTTCCCGGATTTGAATATTAAAGATACCTACCGTTTCGTGGTCTATTGAGGCAGTCGCTTCATCCATGATGACAATCTTGGAGTTTCTCAGGAAAGCTCTGGCAAGGCAGAAGAGTTGACGCTGCCCGACACTGAAGTTATCTCCGCCTTCCGACACCTCGTAGTCTTTAAAAGCACGTTTCACATTAGAGATTCACACAGATTTAGATGAACGAATCATAAAATAAATTCTGAGAACAAAAGTGTCAAAGACTTCTATTTCAATGTTTCCCTCTATTGACGGTTCTTTACAGCTTTTGTTTTGACTTTGCACCTCAACTTGTTTGCGAGAAAACGTCTTCAATTATTCAGACACCTTATTATAAAGAATACAAATCCCTACTTTTGTGTATACTGCTGCCTTGTACATGTATTTCTGTTTATACCATTTGTCTGCCTTTTTTAATGTTTTTAATTTTTTAATTTTTTTTCCTCACTTTATCAAATCTTGTAAATATGTGATTCTCATGGTTTGCTTTAATAAAACACACAAAGAAAAAAAAAGAATACCAATCCATTGATATTATTTATCAAGGTTCTTGAAATAACAATGATGAAAAAAGAAAGAAATCATTGTTCTTACCTAAACCACCTTCTAACTGGTGTACTACATCTTTTAGCTGGGCAATACCAAGGGCTTGCCACAAGTCAGGATCAGCCTTTCCGCTAGTTGGATCCAAATTATTTCTGAGCGAGCAAATGCACAATAAAACGGTTAACCAGTAGTGAACACCACATATTTGTACCATTGTATGGCTATGTAGTGATTTTTTTTCCCCGAAAATAAAGATAAAAAAATGTTTTATTGGCGAATTGCGGATAAATTTCGACGATCAATTGTGCCTCCCGTGTTTCCCGTTTCTGAAAGAGACCTCCAACCATAACAAATACAAAAAACATAAACAAAAACAAGCAACAAACCGAGCAACAACAAAAACAAAACAAAAAAATGCGGGACAATGTGATTTGTGAACAGTAAAAAATAGGTGGCTCTGAGGGTTGCAGAAATGTATATAACAAATAAAACCGTGTGCATAATTGCAATTACCTGAGGTAAACATGAATGATAAAATTAATAAAGTTAACAGAGTATAAAACGAACATAGGAAACAACGATCCTTACTTTCAATTAAAAGAAATGCATCGTGAGCAATGATGGAGAGACAGCAAGAGATGAATGAAGAGGTAGAGAGATGTGGGGGAGAAATGGACAGAAAGTGATACATAACAAAGAAGGAAGAAAGAAAAAGGTAAGGAAAAAGAAGCATTTGTAGTTTGGCTGTTACCTGATAGTTCCAGTAAAGAGGAATGCATCTTGTGGGATGATGGAGAGACGTTGACGAAGGGAGAGAAGTGGAACAGTGGCGATGTCGATCCCGTCGATGACAATACGACCTGTAGAGGGGAATTAACGAATAGAAAGAAGACATATCTTCTGGATTTATATTAGTCCGATATACTTTCTTTTAATTATATATTTGTATCATCTGAGAGTTATCTGATAAATAGTCGATTTGTTTTGCCTCCTGTTCAATCATTAACACGACCGCGAATATTTTAAAAAGAATCAATTTAAGGCAATTTTAATAGCCTTGGGCGTCATCTATTGGGACGTGCGAACATGAAAAATGGCGTATTACGTAATCAAATATTATTTCTATGGGACATACAATAGGGTATTGAAATCGCCCATGATGTTAGTCGATTTTCCAAAATAGATCGTGTTCCTAATAGACAACACAAATGCTAATGGCCCGGTCCCACTGGCCGATGGACACAAAACGTATGCATAAAGGACACAGCGGACGAGCAAAATTCCGGGGATGGCTCCATCCGCTCCAGAAATGGACAAAATTTGCGAAAACAGAACGGAAAATAACGGACATGGGTAGTATGTAGCGGGGATGTTAAACGGATGTTCATCGGAAGCCTAGCGGATAAAAGCGGATGGAAGTGGATGACAGCTTTGAATACTTTACAAACGAGATGCATACGCTTACATCCTTTCTATTTCCGTGCTACTAACGATGTATATACGTTCCATGTACCTTATCTTTCCTCCCTCTATCCGTTTTCAGCTGCAGCGGATGTGAGTTGCGAGGATTCCCAGAGGATGCAGAGAGGATACAGCGGACATAGAACGTTTGTTGCTCGGATTTATGGCGGATTTACATCGTACACGGCGGAAGTTCATCCGTTCTAAAAGTTTCGAGTAGCTCAAAACTTTTTGCGCGGATGAAAACACGTTGGACGGATGCTCGATGGATAGTGCGTATGAAACACGTATGCAATGAGTACACAGCGGATGCATAGCGTTTTCCAACGGATGGCAAGATTTTTTTACGTTTTACATCCTCTTTGCATCCGTAAGTGCAGTGGGACCGGGCCTTAAGATATCATAACGGGTTCCCAATTAAAACATGTGTGAACAGAAGCAACATAAATAAATAATGTTTTACTTAATGACTTACCTTGGCAGGTTTGTATCATACGAAAGAGTGCTAGAGTGAAAGAAGACTTGCCGCTTCCAGTACGTCCACAAATCCCAATCTATAATCATCAGGAGAGATTTTTTTTTAAAGCATGAATAGTATTTTTTTTAAAAAACCCATTGTGTTAGGTTATCAAAGTTGATTTCGAAAGCGAATAATCAAAATTACTGACAAATAGCAAGAAAATGTGAGCATATCTCCGTATTATTTTGTAAATATCGGAGCCTTCGTCTAATGGATAGTTGATAATAGAACCTCCATCCACACACACAAACACACACACAAACGCACACGCACACACACATGGGATCACGGGGGACCAATAGGCACCGATTAGGCATTGTTTGCTATATAGAGGGCACAAGTAGCTATAAGTACAGTAGTACAGTGGGACTTTAAATTGAATATTTTTAAGAGGTTATTACCTTTGCCTGAGAGGGAACGGATAGAGAGATTCCTTTAAGAACTGTAGCTAGCTCTTCTGAATACCTCACGTGTATATTGTCTACTTCAATCTTACCCTCAGTCGGCCAGTCCTCTGGAGGTTCAGTTCCTAGTAGGAAAATAATGAAATTAAATTAATTAAAATCAATCAAAAACAAACAGGAAGTTATTTTGAATAAAAAGAAATCCGGAATTATCTAGTTCGTATAATCATGCATGTTACTATACAGTGTGTCCCGAAAAAAACTATACACTTTTGAAATGGCTGCCGAATAACAAATATATGATTCTAGGGGGGAAAGTTATATATGTATGGAAAGCTCATATACTCAGCTTTCATATGACACCAAAAAGTTGCGAAAATAATTCATGCTCGGGTGAGCACTGCTCACTTTTGTAAAGGGTATGAAAATTTGGTTGCGCAGGAATTAGCCTTCCAATTTGTGAGAGGTAAATCCTTTGGAGCTTACGGAATTGAGGATGATATGACCAATTTATGATCAATTGTGATAAGTTTGGGTTTGCTGAGTGAAATGTTTGGTTTATGGGATTAACATTTTATGCATGACTTAACAGGAATTGCATTTTTTATTGTAGCACTGTAACTTCACTGGTAGACTCAGGTGTGTTTATGGGAGTCAGGATGGGGTGATGGTACATGTTGTAATTTCCATGTTACAAACTGTTATTCTCTTACATCTGTGACTTTGAATAAAAAATTAAATTCCTGTTCCGTGCATAAAAGTTTGGTTTAATAAACCATGAAATTCAATCAGCAAATCATGAATGTATCATATCACCCTCAATGTTGTAAGCTCCAAAGGATTTACCTCTCACAAATTGGAAGGCTAATTCCTGCGCAACCTAATTTCCATACCCTTTACAAAAGAGAGCAGTGCTCACCCAAGCATGAATTATTTTCAAACTTTTTGGTGTCATATGAAAGTTGAGTATATGAGCTTTCCATACGTATATAACTTTTCCCCCTAGAATCATATGTTTGTTATTCGGCAGCCATTTCAAAAGTGTATAGTTTTTTTCGGGACACACTGTATAGTGTTGAAGTGTGACGTCATCAACAAATCTTTTTTAGAATTTCTCATTATTTTTCTTCATTTTCCAAAAGAGCATCGAAACTTGTGTCCAAATGTCGAAAACCAATTGGATATGTTTATTATTGGCTGAGATATGACCATCTGAATAAAGACATTTCCCTTAGAAACTCAGTGTTATTTTTGCTCTGGTTCATAACATTACGAACCAGAGCAAAATAGAACTGAGTTCCTATTATATAGGAAATCCATTTGTTCAGATGGTCATATCTCAGTCAATACTAAACATATTCAATTGCTTTTTGACATTTGGACATTATTTTTTTCTCGTTGCTCTTTCGAAAAATGAAGAAAAAAATGGTGAGAGTCTAAACATAGATTTTTATGATGTCACAGCTTCAGTACTCCATACCCCTAGATAGCACGAAGTTTCTACATCACCTTCCGGCAATGTAATGTAGGTTTAATCATGCATCCCACAGTCTGTTGTTAATATTTTGTACATTATAGTTCATTGCTCGTTTAGTATTCTACTTTCTACTTATCCAATTCAATCTTTTGGATTATATAGGCGATATTGCTTCTCATGTGAAAATATTGATAAGTTCCTTCTTTCAACTTCCTGTTCGCGAATCATAACCTAAAATAGAACTGAGTGGGCACCCCTTTTAGTTCTTACCTGAATAATCTTCTGTAGGTACTTCTATATAGTACTGCACTCTTTCTACAGCGTTCATTTGTAGCTCAATATCCGCAGCAGCCCTGACGTTTCGGTTCAAATATAGCGCAATCTGGAGTGGTACAGAAAGGCCATGGTGGTGGTGGTGGTGGTGATGTTGGTGTTGGTGGTGTTGGTGGTGGTGGTGATGGTGGTGGTGGTGGTGGTGGTAGTAGTGGTGGTGGTGGTGGTGGTGGTGGTGGTGGTGGTTTTGGTGGTGGTGATGATGGTGGTGATGGTGGTGATGGTGGAAGTAGTGGTGGTGGTGGTGGTGGTGATGATGGTGGTGGTGGTGGTGGTGTATGGAGGGAGGGGCAGAAAGAAATTCACAGTTAAGATCGTTACAACTAGTGTGCCTGCTATCCTATTCAAATTTGTTTTTAAAGTACATGTACATTACAAGATGCAAAACAAAATCATCGTTTTTGTTGTAAGTCTATGTTAGTCCAACTAAGACAATTATTATGATCTGCGAAATTAATCATTGACATTCACTTCACCATAACTCACCCAAAAGGTAAAGGTAAGTTTCATTAGGGGTCGAATAATACTGCTCTACATCATGATTCGAATCCGTAATACCTTTCCTGACCTTTACCTGAAATGCTAAATTTACTAGAGATAATAATGGTTCAAATCATATACCTCAAGTGAATATGATATGGCCAGTCCCACATAGCTAGCATCGATGCCAAGATAGAACGCCCCGATGAGGACTGAGAGACTGGAGACGGTGACTATCAGTGCTCCGAGGTAATCCTGGAAGAGAAATGGAAAATATCATCACAAGAATAATTTACCTAATTTATCACAACCGCCTCGGAGGTAGGGAGGTATTCTTATCCGGACACCCGACCCCTGGACATCCACCCCGGATAACCACCCCCAATCAACTACACCCTAGGACAACCACCCCTAGGAAACCTACCCCCTAGGACAACCACCCTCTAGGACGACAATGTCCCCCGGAAAACTTCCCCTGGACAACTACCCCCAGACAACTACCCCTAGGACAACTAGAGGTGTCTGGGATTGTCCGGGTGGATGTCCAGGGGGTAGGTGTCCTAGAACCGGAGGTAATGTACAGTATAATCTATTGATGAACGAGGAGTCAGCATTCACGCGGCTGTTTTTTTGGAAGATGTAACAACTGAAGTGATTATGACATCACTAGTCACGTCGACCGGCTGGCATAAGGGCGTTAGCGCGCGAGCGACTCTTTTATTAGAATTATTCGCATTTAAAGATTTGTTTTATATTTAAAATGATTTCCGTCCTGAAAATTGGTTTAAACTTAAAAGACTAATAGAAATGTTATAGTAGAACATGGCCAAACAATTTTCTCTCGGAAATCAGTCAGTTTTATAAAAGTTTGAGGCGATTTAGTGCTAACGTCCTTCTGCTTAACGCTTCATTCTTGACCTGAAATTCGAGCTAACGCCCTTCTGCCAGCCAGGCGATTTTGTATTACTATTATTATTGTTATTATTATTATCGTTATTATTGTTTTTCTTTTTATAATTATAATTATTGTTATTATTATTGACGATGGATTATTTCACTCTCCTTGGGATGTGGAAAGGGGTATGCTAGGTATAGGGATAGTTTCTTTACTAATGCATTAGTATAATTTTAGCAATGTGGGAGCATTTTCTATCATGGTCTTACAAATACAACCAACGTACACGTAATAATAAGATTATTTGAATAATGATATAAATTGGGCAAAACCTACGTCATGTTAGTTGTCGCACGAAACATACAGTCAGTTTCACTTCGAATTGGGATAGATTATACGACACATTTATGAACAGTCATCATTTATATATTTTCAGTATAAATTGTTACAATAGTTCATGATCCAAGTTCGATTACATAATCATGGAAAAGAGACTTACGAGTCGGATTGCCATCCATCTCTGAGCAGTGACCAGGTAGAGAAACACGCGGTTGTTCACCAAGATGCGATCTTGAGCAATCTTAAAGAATCGCCTCTCGTCCCTGAAGAAGCAGAAAGAGCAGGGCCTCGTTTCACAAAACTTGTCATCAGTGACAAATGACAGTTTTTGTTATAAGCTACTGAAATCCTTGCTTCTGATTGGTTATCAACAGATTTGTCACTGATTTTTGTCATTTGTCATTGAAAAAAGGCTTTGTGAAACCGGTCCCTGGTGTGTGTTGTTCATGTTGTTTAAATTGGAAGTATTTCATTATTTCATCACACACGGTAAAAGGGGGTTTCAAACTGCTTAGAAATAGAATGGAAGGCAAATGGGAAAGAAACATAGAAAGGAGATGACGGAACCCTCTTCCACACCCTCCTCCAATTGAAAGCCTTCCTAATTCGAATTTAATCCATCTCGTAAGACTAGTGTGTCCCCGGGGTGCCAGTGTCCCTCAATGGCTCAAATTACTCTCCGCCATTGGTTATTCAAACTTTATAGCATAATTTCAAGTGCAGTGGGACTTTAAGAAATGCCTTACTGAAATGCTCTGATGGTGGGCAATCCCCCAAGAGTCTCGGAGAAATGGGCGAAGATTGGCGATCGAGTGACGCTCTCACAACGCTGAAGCTCCCTTCAAAAGAGTAAAAAGAAATACTATACTCCTCAAGAACATGGCTGCCTAATTTTGGTTACTAATCATGAAATCGCTAACACGAGCAACGGCATTTTTTTTCCTACAAAATTCATTCGGTTAATGGCAAATACAATATTTTTTCGTTTATATTTTTAACATGATAATGTTTGTGTAGTATGCAAGATCGTAAAGAATTGGCTAACGTCGTCGTTATTATTGTTGTTGATGATATGGTAAATGATGTTGTCCTTTATTCGCAATAATGTATATTTCGGCAACACTTCCAATATATTTATTTTAAAAAATGGGATTGAATTACACGAACAGGAAATATTTATGCTTTTATTCATTGTAAAGGCACAATAAAAGTTTGTAATAATGTAGTTTGTGAGCGTAATTTTGGACTACCGATAAACATACTATCAGGAAAATATACGACAATTGTTGAAAGTTACCTTGAGGTTGTCAAGTAGTAGGCGAGCAGCACGATGAAGGTGATGACGGTGGGGATGACGAAGAGGATGAAATAGATATTGACGACGATGTTGACAACCAGAGAAGATAGAACCATCGACAGGGTATTGATGAACATCCTTATGCTTTGAATGATCCTCTGAGAGAAAAGAGACGATGTTTCAAAATAATTATTTTCTTCGGAATTGGTATATTTTACTTTATTGAAATCATGTTATTGTTTCAGAAAAGTCGAAAACAAACTGCATGTAATCAAATGCATAAAATGCCAATATTTCTCCGGAGTAGTACGTAAACAATGATCAATCTATTTAACTTAAATATTCCATTTACTTTTTTTCTTCTTATCAGTGCACCTGTCTGGATGTGTCTCTGATATTTTCCAATCGGGGAGATTAATGAAAAAAAGAGCTTTGCAAAGCGATACATAATAAACTTTTTGTCATAGATTTCATGAAGTGAAGTCAACTATAACTTTAATCGCCTATAATGAAATTGCATCGCTGGAACATGTATAACTGCAAAATATATATAGAATATCTCTTCTGATTTTTTGTTCAATGACTTCTTACCTGGTCGATCATTTGGGTATCAAATGACAACCTATTCATGAATCTTCCACTTGGTGTCGTATCAAAGAACCTGTGTAGGAAACACGAAACAGATGCTAAAAACAGCTTTTACACATTTTAAGGGGACATAACGTCATGGAATATTATAATGTAGGGTAAATTCAGCGATACATGGACCTTTTTTAAATATATTTTTATCATGGTCTCAGCTGCAATGAGCGTTATCATTCAGTGTAACAGTCGTCACTCATTTAATATAGGATACGTTCATAGTCATAAAAGGAAACCTGAAATACAACAGATATGCTAATTATACTTTCTTCGCGCAAGAAAGATATACATTCTTAGTATCATCATTACTTGATACTTTTATTCGGTGAGGGGGTTACCGTCCCGCCCCTCCCCTAGCTAGGCCCTGAGAATTTTAGGGAATTGCCCTAACCTCATAGGTATAGAGACGATGTTGTCCAGCATGTTGATGTGTAGCGACTTAGCAGCCAGGTAAGCTCCAACAGTAATGAAGACAATCGAAAAGATTCGCATCAGGATGGTCATAAATGACAACACGCTGTAGTACGTGATGTAATAGTTCGTCTGTTCTAGTATTTCCTGTAGAAATGCAGTAACAACATTTAAAGGAGTTAGGCCTGCGGCAATTACGATGGATTTAGCTCTGCAACTTTTTTAATTTTTTTTAAAGACCCCCTGTTTAAACTGTCATTGAATATTTTCTAAAGCTCTTTGGAAGCGCAAAGAGATGTTATTTCATAACAGAACTGAATATTATTATTATTATTATTGGAACGTTTGTAAATGAATATTGAATTTATTTGGAATGTTTCTTATTTTCCTTTGAACTATATGGTGTAGCATGGGTTAAGTAATTGGCCACTAGCATAATAGTGGCACTGGTCTAACTAGGTGAATGAAATACCAACTATCAAGGTCATTGATAAGGGAAGGTGTGTAGGTTGGCTATCATCTTCTTCTTTTCACGTTCCGACTTCCCATGAAATCTTATTGCGACATGTTGCCCCCCCCCCGCCCCGCATCTAAGCCACTACCATTCTTTTTTCTCTCTCAAATAGATAATGTAATCATACCATGACCTACTATAATGGTGTTCAATACTAGGGTGGAGGCGGCTCTGGAAGGTTATTAGTGGTGCTTACCGCTGTAAACTTTCCCTATTTGATGCCCGGCTGCCTTAATTTTCAACTTTTCCATTGTACTACCAATTCCATTATTGCATCTTTGTGTTTTATCTTGCTTTTTGTGTTTTATGATTCATTGTACAAACCTGCCTTGAACCCAAAAAGATTCACGGGCCTGATTAGTATTATTGTTATTTCGTGCAATGCTATAAGTTTCTGTGTTATAAAGAAATGATTACAACAACAACAACAACAACAACAACAACAACGAATACATGATATTATGATCTCTCGATCAACTAATCGTACACCATAACGTACTCAATCCGAGGCGTTTATCTACAGTTGTACCTCTGTATCGTTCGTAGTGACGCTAATCTCAGACCAGTCAGCCAGGAGGAAGTTACTGCCTATCTGGGTGCCTGCCCTGGCCGCCACCGTCACAAGGATACCCAACGTCACCCAGTAGTTCATTGATTTGAAGTAGTAGAAGTAGATCCTGGAATCTACCGACCCGGTCTCTTGGTCTTCTTTGACGATAAGACGTCCTTTATCCGCCTCGGCACCTGTAACTAGATGCAAGAGGTGACTGTGATTCACATGAGCATAAGCCGTAACGGTAACCAGAGACCAACAACATTTTTCTTGGGTGGTTTTATATGTTCAGCTAGATTTCGAATATATTGTTTTGATTCATATCTCCTCTGTTGCAGAACAGTATCTTCATTTATAGATTTCAGTTTGTACAAGTTTGGCTACTGTGATAGTTAAATGAGACATGACGAGCCCGTCTTTAACTTTTCCCAACAACATGGCTTAGATAACACTGCAGGGATAAAATCTATTAGTTTTTACAATGATAACAGATGTCCCATCAACCTGTTGTCATTTGAAGCTTGAATTATCAGCTAACATAATATTTGAAAATAGTAGCATGTTAATACTCAAGCAAAGAGAAAACAAAGATACACTGAATAAGAATTCTCATAACCCTAGTTACTTTCTTGCTGCATGGATTCGGTGGATAAACCTGCCGACTGCTGTAGCTTCGCGATTTGTTTCTTGAGTGACAACCTCTCCTCGTGGACAGCTTCAGACTCCGCCCCTGACAACTCAGCCTCTGATTCGCTGAACACATGCAGAGCTCTCTGCCAATCAGCACACAGTGAAGGGTCAGCCTTGGCAATTTCTTCCGGGTCACCCTGCAGTGCGATCTGCCCATCCTTCATTACGATGATCTAAAATAGTTTTCAGATAATTCCGAGGCTATAATAACATGTTTTCATAGAAGTTGACGATTTGGAAGTTCTTCCTTTCGGATTTTGATCGGTTTCATTTTAGCCGGCAGTTATACGACACCTACTCCGGTGACAACTGAGCGGTTAATATCCTACAGACCTACACTTAACGAATCCCTAATTTCGACCCTAAACTAAACACTATACCCAAATCCTGACCTAAAACCAAAGTACGACCTTAACCGTAATGCTACATATTTGAGAAAAAAAACCTATATAAGCATTTATCGGAGCCCCTAACCGACGTATTCAGTTATATCATAAGAAGAACACAAATATACAGTGCATCTTCAAGACTATAATAGACACGAAATGCATTCATTTCCCTCGTTCATTATTATTTTCTTCACCAGGGATATGACAAACGTAACAATAATTTCAAGTCAACTTACCTTGTTAGCCTCTGGTAAATACTGGAGCTGATGGGTGACGAGAATGATGGTTCGTTTCTGTTTCTTGAGAATCTTCAGAATTCCATTCTCAAAGAGATGAGCTCCTACGTGCATGTCAAGAGCCGACAGAGGGTCGTCCTAAATTAGAGGGAAAAAGAGGTAGATTTTGTATTCATATAGTTTTGTGAAGGAGGTTTGTGAATATTCTGGTGTTTAATCGGAACTCTCATTCCTTATAATGATTGAGTATTAAATTAGGTTTGCTTTGGCTGTTTTATATCGGGATTAATCCTTGATTAAGTCACTTCTACGAAATTAAAGTTTGATACTAAATTACCTTTAACAATTCTAAGGATTTTACGAATTAATATACCAATATGACGATATCTCTGTCTGAATACATGGTCCTCGCTACGCTGACTCTCTGTTTCTGTCCTCCGCTCAAGTTGATACCTTTCTCACCAATCTCTGTATGATCTCCTCCAGGTAACATGGCGATATCTGGACCTAGGGCGCAGGCCTCGATCACTTTCTGGTATCTGAGAAACAGCAAACAAAATCAGGGTTTAAAAAAACTCGAAATGCTGTAAAATCTGGAGATAGAGTGAAGGTCTCTATCAGTGAATGTGTTTGCAAAAAAAACGTTCTGGTTTTAATCTGGACATACAGTTTGGACGGCCTTATAAGATTAATCCATGATTGCCACTCTCCGCCGAGGTGTTCTAGCACGAAGGAATATTCCTTACATGCTGTGAGTACCGAAATCGGTAGCCAGGGTAATATTGGAGTGTCTTGAGCATCTTGCGTGTTGGACATGAGCGCTATACAAATATCAAATTACAAATATTTATGGAAACGAATCTTCTAGTATAACATCTTTAATTTGTTTCTTCACCATTGACATAATCTCTCCGAGGTGCTTTTGCGCTAACATAAAAAAGAAGATACCTGGGCTGTATTCGAATCCTTAATTATTCTCTTGTTCGACAGATAAACAGTTTACCGACAGATCCGACTGTCCTCAAGTGTTTTAATAACTCTACGTTGTGACAAGAGGCATGGCCATACAAAATGACACTTTTGTTAAATGTTATACCATAATCAGAAATATGAGCAAATAGTTCTCAAACAACCGTTCTCGTCTTTAAGAATACTCACTTGCTTTTATCGTTTTGAGTTCCAAACAATATGTTTTCCTTCAGTGAAGCGTTGACTAACCAGGCCTTTTGTGGGCTGAAAGCGGTTTTCGAGTCTTCCCTTCAAATATAAGTTAAAGGGCAAATCAAACAACTTAATAAGACACTAAGCACTTCCTGAAGTTCGTCTCTCAGACTATCAGACTATTCCATTAGGGATAATTCAAAGCATCAATGTGGGTTTATGGCATCACCTCCGAACCGTCTCTTAAAATGTAATATGTGCAGATGTAAACAAAAAAGAAAAAGAAGAAGTAATGAATTTATAATCATTGAAAACTTTAAAAAAAAAATTTAAAAAAAAAACTAAGAAAAACAAAGGACAAGAAGCTTGAACCATGTTGGTTATCATAAAAGTAATATTTTCGTTTCTCCGTATCAGAGCTAGCTTAACAAAAGCGGTTGTGACAACAAGTCAAACTTAACTATTGGAATATGAAATTGTGCAGTTGATGAATTCCGTACCTGATTTCAATGTTGCCGCTCAATGTCGTCATCTCTCCCATAATGGCTTGCAACATGGAGGACTTCCCACTTCCAACAGTTCCTATCACTACTGTTAGTTGACCTAGGGGTGGGGGAGGGGGTTCACAAAGACTATGATCGACTTAAGGTTGGACTTAACTATGGCAGCCATTCACGCCAATGGTTGCTCTCACTATTATGATCTTTAGATTTTATAATAATGAATTATCAACAAATGTCACTTTCTATAGATCTGTGACCATGATTTGTACGTTCCTTGAGAGACAAATGCCAGTAAATGGTGAGAGCAAACAGTGGCATGAACGGCCTGCCATAGTTGAGTCCAACTTAAAGTCGATCTTAGTCTTTGTGAAACACCCCCTTGGTGGGGTTATGAATATGATGATAATACTTTGAATTAGAAGAGCATTAATACACCAAATAACAACAATGGTATAGTATTGTAATCGGACCTCCATCGCATAAGTTTCGCTAGCAGCTGTATAGGGCCTTTGAGGGAGTTTTTAATCCGGGGGTATTAATCCCTTTTAATTACTTAATCCTTTTTAATGACTTCCATAAAACAATAGGGAAGAGGAAATGAAATTTAACGAGGTATTTCCGGTCAGGATGTGTGTTAATTAATGCAGGTATTTCCTGTCAGGATGTGTGTGAATTAATGCAGGTAGTTTTTTCATGGAAAGGGTGGCATCTGGGTCATAAAACTTGAATTATGAGGGTCTTTCCTCTGGAGGAAGTGTTTACATCATGAGTCATCATCATGGGAGAGGTCTGGGGATGGACGTGTTACTGGTAGGACGGGCAATGACCAAATGACCAAAACAATGGGCCTGTGCCAGTTATGTTGTTTGTACGCAGGTACGTATTTCCGACCAATGAGAATGCGAGGATCCTTGTTGGAGTGACGTCACCATTGTGCGTGCTTGTGATTGGATGAGGAAACAGGATGGGGTGACTGAGAGGGGCGGAGCCTAAGGGGTGGGGTAGGGTATAAACGTCGGAGGATTCGCCTCATTTTGTATCATAGACATCAGCGCTAAGACAACATCATTCAAAATGGCCGCCACTACCTCAACCTTTGGAGTAATGACTTCCACCCCAGTATCATCATTCAACATGCTCAATACTCCACCTACGAAGAGAGTACCAGCCAATGACTTTGCCGCTTTAACTAGGCCCTCATACAACGCTAGAGCTGCGGCAGCATCCCCACCACCACCACTGACGCCAGAAGGCCTACCGGGACACATCTTGGCTATGAAGGTATGTGCTTTTGCCGTATGGTTTATTTATTTATTTATTTATCTAAGTATTTTGAATAAATATATTAGTATATATGTATAGCTACATTGAATGCCTGATGGGTGAGTGGATGGGAGGGTTGCATGAAGGTCTTACATCGTGGTAGCATGCATAATGATACTCATTTTTGTCTTTTATTCACAATAGGATCTAAACGGCGAGGGTAAAGAAAATACATACAAGGTGCGTGAAGAGGCAGGTTGTCATCATAGTCATGAAGAAAATTTTGAATTGTTTGAATTTGAATCGGGGTCAGAACCATTTCATTTGGGCGGGCAACGTTATGCGGTGGTAAAAAAATACAGGGGTGTCACATACGTTGCTATTCGGGAATATTACAAGGACAAAAAGAGTCGAAATACTCCAAATAGGATGTTACCGGGAATCAGGGGAATCAATCTCACGGCAGACAATTGGTGGCACATGACAAAATCCATCATGAGCATCAGCGATGCAGTCCGTGCCAAAATCAAAGAAGACAAAGACTAGTTTTGCTTTTCATTTTCATTCTCAACAAAAATTTAAAGAATAATAATAATTATTAAAAAAAAGAAAAAGAAAAAAAAAAAGAAAAAAAAAAAAAAAAATATATATATATATATATATATATACATATTGGCACTTTTTGTACGCTTGCTCTCTCACCCGCACCTTAGGACGCCATCTTTCAACTGGAGCAAGAGTTGGAAAACACATGCCCCTTCGAGCCTACACCTAGCGTGACAGCGCCATCCCCGAGCTGCTGGGCACCAAGAAGAGAGCTGGAAAGACCAAATCATGCAGGCATGGACACCATTAAGAAAGTCCTCAGGTTTGATGACGACGACGTCATCTTTATTTCAGGCGATGAGGAGGAGGAGGAGGCTGTGGAAGAAGGAGAGATCATCTCGGTGGTGCAGCCATCTCAGAGGAGGGATATCAGCGACCAACTACCTGTGGCTCCAGTCCTGATGGCTGTGAAGGCATTATCAGCAAGGATTCATACCCTGGTTGTCGAGGGATGCCAGGGATGTCAGGACGACCAGCCAGGGCAGGAAGCCCACCTGGATTGCCTGTATCAGGAATGGCACGAGAAGGTGGACACACACTTCATCGGGGCCATCAACCGCCTCAACGAAAAAGAATTTTTGGATTTTTTACCGTCCGTCTACAACACATCCATCATGTTCGACGATGAAATGGACGAAGCCTTGGCCGAGGCGGTCGAATTCTTCCACTTTGACTTTCAAAACAACGACGTACAGGAATTTATAAAAACAAAGATGATGAAGCAGTAATGTGAATATGGCTTAGGCACTATGCCTCTGGACTCTTTATTTGATAATACCTATCCAAACACAGTACCGATTTATTTCTTTCATGATTTTATTTTGTCATTTTTCTGTTTTGGTTATTTATGTTGGTTTAATGTTAAATACATTGTTTGCGTTAAACTGAAAAGAATTATTCTGACCTTGTGTGTTTATTTTTTTTCCAGTTGTTTTATAGTTATAAGTGATGGAAAATGGGATGATTGATCATTTTTGAGATTGATGTTGGTTCTGGAATGGTCATTGGTGAGAAAGTGAGGATGGACGAGTACTTGAAAAAGATTTATGGAGATCCTGAGAATGAGGCGGGGTTTGGAGGAGTTGAAAAGTTATATCGTTATGTGAAAAAGGATAGGGTGTATAACCTGACACGTAAACAAGTACGAGAGTGGTTGGCGGGCAATGAGACTTATACTTTACATTACCCCGTTCGAAGAAAGTTTACAAAGAGTCGAGTGATGGCGTATGCGATGGATGAATTATGGCAACTTGATTTGGTGGATATGTCTTCTTTATCACGATACAATTTGGGGTACAAGTACCTTTTGACATGCATCGATGTGTTATCGAAATTTGCTTGGGTAGTTCCTCTCAAAGATAAAAAGGGAAAAACTTTGGTAAAGGCGCTCAAGAAAATACTAGAATCAAAACGAGAGCCCATGAATATTCAAACGGATAAAGGGACTGAATTCACCAACAGGCTATTTCAGTCTTTTTTGAAGAAAAAGGGAATCTATTTCTACACCTCCTATAATACCACCAAAGCATCGGTGATTGAACGGTATAACCGCACATTAAAGGAAAAGATGTACAAATACCTTACCCATCGTGATAGTTCAAAATACATCCACGTGCTTCCCGATTTTGTTAGGGCCTACAATCACTCTTTTCACCGTTCCATCCAAACCAAACCCACACTCGTGACAAAAGCCAATGAAGGTGACATTTGGAAAACCTTGTACATGAAAAAGGGTCTGGATAAAAATCAGAAGAAAAATCCCGGGTATAAAGTGGGGGACCGTGTTCGTATCAGCAGAGCCAAGCACACTTTTGAAAAGGGATACCGACCAAATTGGACTCAAGAAGTGTTTAACGTGAGTCAACGTAAGAAGCGTGATGTTCCCGTGTACGATATAGAGGATGATCTGGGGGAGAAAGTCTTAGGTACTTTTTATCAACAAGAATTACAAAAGGTTCGCAAGGACAAAGAGGGCGTATTCAGAGTTGAAAAAATACTGAAGAGGAGAACACGCAAGGGTAAAAAAGAATACTTGGTCAAATTTTGGGGGTATCCCTCTTCGTTTAATCTTTGGGTCGATAATATTCAAAAATCGTACAACGACCTCTAACTCTGCCATTTCAATGTACCATCATGGAGAGTGAAGACCAAGTTTACGTGACTCTGCCAAGCAACAGTTCATTCGATTATTTTCCAAACAACACGTTGACCAGTTTTACTACCAAGTTAGCAACTCCTTTGGTTTTGCGTGGGGAATACGAAGTGGCTTTGGTGGACGTGATCTATCCTCATTCGTGGTCCAACGTCAACTTTACAAACAACAAATACAGTCTATCCATCACTGATCAGGTCATCACGGTGGGGCGTATTCCCGAGGGACATTACAGAGAAGCGCTAAGCATATGCACGGCATTCAATCAATCCTTGCCACCCCATTTGCGAAACAAGGCTTGTTTCACCATCAATCCATCGACGCTAAAAGTGAGGGCCACGATACAACCAGACACCGGTATTTATCTCAGCGAGGGGATAGGGCAGTTGTTAGGTTTCCCTGAAGGGACACTTCGTGCCAACCAGGAAGCTAAATTCCTCCCCGACATCAATGGAGGTTTATTTGCCATGTACGTTTACACGGACATTATCGAAAATCAGAGAGTGGGGGACACCAGCGCACCTCTGCTCAGGATCGTAGCGGTGGATCACCAACGTGCTGGCGAGGTCGTCGAGCGTACTTATCAAAGTCCCCATTATATCCCTGTCAAGCGCAAATACATCGATAGCATACACATAGATATAAGGAGTGACTTTGGAGACAAGGTGCCATTTCAAAACGGGAAGGTCGTACTGAAACTACATTTTCGTTCCCTTCGGAGACCCACGTTTGGCTTTTAAAATAAAATTGAAAATTGAAGAAAAAAAAAGGGAAAAAAAAAAATCAAAAAAAATCATGGAGTACGGAGGAAGGGGTGGAGGTTTACCCATCTTTAGAGGAGCTCGGATGCAAAGGGGTTACGGTTTGGGCAGTATGTTGAAAGGTCTTCTCCGTTCAGCCATCCCCCTCGTTAAATCGGGAGGAAAAATACTCGGCAAGAAAGCCTTGCAGACAGGCATGAATGTGATGCGTGACGTTGCCAATGGAGAATCTCTGGCATCAGCCACGACGTCCAATCTCAAAAGGTTAGGTCAGCAATTTGCCTCCAAACCCTCGGGCAAAATAAAAAAAAGGGGTAAAAGGAAGCGTGCCAAGAAGAATCCCGTCAGTGTGTCAAATGCCAAGAGACGGAGAACTTCGGACATCTTTGAACGGTAGACCCTACAAAAATGGAGAGAATACATCAGTTGTCGTGCGAATGCTCAAAATCTGAAATTGATTTGTTCAGCATTCCTCCGACCCAAACGACGGTGGAAAAGGGGAAATGGGTTGAATTTTTCCCACTCACAAATATTTCCGACACGGCCCCCATCCAATTTCACCTACAAGGATCCACGGAGGAGTACACGGACCTCTCACAAAGTCTAATCCATCTCCAAGCAAAAGTCGTCAATGGAGACGGCACACCGTTGGCCGACGATGCCCAGGTTGGCCCTACTAACATGTTCTTACACTCCCTGTTTAGTGATGTGGACTTGATGCTGAATGATAGACTCATCACCCCATCGACAAACACCTATGCCTACAGGGCAGCCCTGGAAACGCTGCTCACGTACGGGGCTGAAGCCAAAGAATCTCAGCTCTCGTCCGCTCTATTTTACAAGGACACGGCCGGTCACATGGACGATGGGAACCCCCTACGCAACGATGATGGTAACATGGGTCTGAAAGAAAGGCATCGTTTCATCAAAGGGAGCAATATTGTGGACATGGTAGGCGTTCTTCATCTCGACATGGTGTTTCAGGATAGACTGCTCCTGGGAGGCGTGGATATCAAACTTAAACTCAATCGCAGCAAGAATAGCTTCAGTCTGATGTCATCGGTCGAGAACGCCAATTACAAAGTCCTCATCACCAGCGCCTCGCTACACGTGAGAAGAGTCAAACTGAGCCCAGAGGCAGCCCTTCTCCATGCCAAGACGTTGGAAACACAAACGGCCAAGTATCCCATCCGGCGAGGCGAGGTCAAAACCTTTTCAATACCACGAGGGAACCTGTCTTTTACCAGAGAAAGCCTTATCCTGGGACAACTGCCCAAACGGCTTGTGATTGGATGCGTCAGCAACACGGCCTTCAACGGAGACTACTCCAAAAATCCTTTCAACTTTCATCATTACGATTTGAACTTCTTGGCCCTCTACGCAGACTCGGAGCAAATTCCATGGAAACCCATCCGCCCCAACTTTTCAGCACCTGACCCCAATTACATCTTGGCCTACCAGACACTCTTCTCGGGCATCAACTCCATGTTTCATGACAAGGGAAATCAGATTACCAGAAACGATTATAACAAAGGGTACACGCTCTATGCGTTTGACATGACACCCGATCTTTCCACGGGCGATTGTTTTAACTTGCGTAAACACGGGAATGTTCGACTAGAGTTGCAATTTGCGAGTGCTCTTCCAGAAACTGTGAATGTGTTGGTCTATGCAGAATATGAAAGCGTGATCGAAATTGATAGAAACCGTAACGTCATCGTAGATTTTGGTGGTTGAGAGGTTGTTTGGGTGGGGAGGAAAAAAAAGAAAAAAAGAGTGCACCATGGATACCAAACAGTTGCATCACGTGGGGCAGTCTGATTCAAAATTAAAATCCACGTTTATAGGGGTTTTTCCCTCGGATCAATTACCCTTCATTGAAACTTATCCAGCAGCGTTGATTGCCAATATTGATACTCATGACCAAGATGGAAGCCATTGGGTAGCCATCTATTTGACCAAAACGAAACGAGGTGAATTTTTTGATTCATTTGGGAGGCACCCATCCATGTGTTCTCGTCATTTTAAACCCTTTTTGGAAACCTGGTCGGATGCATGGACTTATAACCAAAGGTCGATGCAATCTTTTTGGTCCGCAGTGTGTGGACAATATTGCTTGTATTATTTGTTACGACGAGTAAGGGGAAATAGCATGGCTAGCATTGTTTCTACCTTCAATCAAAGCCGTGTTGAAAATGATAAAAAGGTTCACGCATTCATCCAACGTCACTCTCCGACCAACAATACACCCATTCACGATCCAACCTTCATTCTCAATCAAATTGCTACGTCATTCAATTAAAATCAACCATGCATGGATGTAAATAGTGTTGTTGTAAATGTTTTATGATCGTTTTAAATTTGATGTGTGCATGAAAAAAGAAAAAAAAAAAATTAAATTAAATTTTAAAAAAAATTAAGTTGAAAAAAAAAAGAAGCTATGTAGAGTGTTTAGAATGTTTTTGTTTTTTTAGAATCTGTGAATATGTGTCAATGTCATTATCATTTCAATCAAAAGTGCATACATTCATTCATTTTGTTTTCTTTCACACTAGCTCACGCAAACAAGAGATAGGCAACAAAAAAAACAAAACATGTAACACATTTATTGTTGTCACGTATATAGAATTGATATCAATTTTTTATTATTGTTACAAATAAAGTTTCAATTACATCGTACAATCACAGTCGTCTTTGTTGTTGTCATTTTATGCGTTGTTACAGAGTTCTTGAATAATAATAATGATCATGATAATCACGGTATGTATTTATGAGAGAAACATTGCAGAAATTGAATCGCACAATAGAGATAAGAGAGAGAGAGAGAGAGAGAGAGAGAAAGAGAATTAAGAGAGGGAGAGAGAAAACAAAAGGAGAAATATAATATATATTTGCAAAATAAAACGGTTTAAAAACGTTCCCATTTTAAAGAAGGTTTTCGCTTCTTTTGGGAAGAAGGAGGCATTGGGTTAGACCTCGTGGTGATGATAGGTGGTGTTTGTGGTAACACTTTTGGGGACTTATTCGCAGGAGTACCTTTCAGTTTAATTTGTTGCAATGTTTCACGTCTGTCTTTGTTCATGATCAACGATTCTGGTACATTAACGTCTCGCAGGACGTGTAAAAAATACTGCCAACCCAAAGGCTTGACCATTTTACGATCTTTCAATACATCATACATTAAATCAATCATGTTAGACCCATCAATGACTCGACCATCAAAAACCAATTCCCCACGTGCATTCCACCTCCAATTGGCATCTTCTGTCTGCTTGAAAATATGATCCATCAATAATTTAGCCTTGTGCTTCAATGTCACGGGTAACATCTTTAAAACATCTTCCCTCATGGAGCCTGTATGCTCTGTCTCACTCTGTGGGTGTGCATCTCCACCCATGCTCTCTGTAGAAGGCTGTTCAGTGACCCTTAGATGAATTGATGTGGGGTTTGCCTCATGCTTATGCAATTGTAAATATTTTTGCAAAGCTTCATGATACTGGACCACTTTATCTTTGTCCGATACACCGCTTGACCCTAGAATGGATTGAATACTCTCGTCCAATTTGGATAACACCCTCTGTGCTGGTTGAGCGCTTCCCATGGATGCCTGCACTGCGCGTGCCATTTCTTCAGGAACCAATGTCATTTTCTTTGTATGCTCCATGTTATCCCATCAACAGCCGTAAGACAGGGCCAAGTATTGCGCCTAAAAATCCTCCCTTTTGTACAAATGTATTTCTCCTTGCTTTATGACTGCTACGTTTGTCAGCAGCTTGGCGTATATACTTTTTATGCCGCGATAAAGTCTTCTTTTGAGAGGATGTTAGAGGTACATTGCCTTTTAAAGTATTTGCGCAGCATTCTGACAGGCAAGTAATCAATGTCTTGTTCGCATGCTGCAATAAAGCTTTCCTCTGCCGAGGAGTGGACTTGAGAAGGACGCGCAGTTCAGGCAAATGGGTCTTCACGCTGTGGGTCATGATGCTCAAATGATAAGTCCTGTACTATCGCATCTTACCTTATACTTTTTGGTACGTACACCGTGGTGAACTCATTTGGAAATACGTGTGTTCTTAACCTATGGGATTCTGGCGTGTTGGCTTTCAAATCTATCAACAAGTACCCGTAAGGATTTTTGGTAGCGTCATTGTAGGCCTCTTGTACATATTTCGTTTGACCTGGGTAGAGTTGACGTCCCAAATGGGTAATTTGAGATTTGTCTCTAGGATTTTTGTAAATGACCAAATACTGAGCGTTTAAACTTATGGTGCGTGTCTCTTTGCCCGCATGAAATAGATTCTGAACGATAAATATGACCGATATATTACGATGATGTGAACCACGTGTAAATAGGGTCGTCATAGTTGCATCTTTGGTGCATTCGGACATCAAATCATCGACAACGATCAAATTACGTACATTGGGATCAACGACATTATCAAAATTGCATGGAAATCCTTCAATAAATTCGATGTGAGGCACTTCAGCCATCATTTCGGTATAGGCTTTTTGATACACGCCATAACACCAAATTATTTTTTGAGGTGGTTGTTCAATCATGTCCTGATTATACTTTAAAAGTTTTCTGACAAATACCGTCTTGCCACTCCCCGTAGGGCCTGCCACAATGCATGTAAAAGGATGAACAAATTTTACACTCATGATGAAAACCGTCTATAAATTGTCAACCCTCCTCGAATCGCACTACCCACCACAAATGACAAAAAAGATGAAGTCCGCGGACTTATGAAGGTGCATGCTCGCTTGATGCGATTCAAAAATTGACTGATGCGAGAATACATACCAATATAAATGCCGACTACCCGATTTTGGTACGGTAACATAAGGTTTACCCCTCTATTCTGACAATGATGCGACCCCATTATCAAATTTGACTGAAATTATACCCCTCTGTAAGATTTGTAAGATCGGATGAGAGATATATTGCTTCTAAGTAAGATGAAGACGATGACAACAACTGATCTTCTAAGTAAATATAGGCAATAAGTGCAATCGTCGTGAGAAAAAGAACTAAAAATCCAACCCACGTTTTAGGTCTCTGCTGCAATGCAGATAGCGTCAAACGCAGAGCCGGAGAAGTTAGCATGCTTCTTGTTTCACAGTTTTCAAACGACTGACGCTTGAGTAAAATGTACGTTTCATTAAATGGAATTGTAATTGGAGGGGGTGGGGGGGGGGGGTGATGATCAATTTGCAGTCATGTACCCAAAAGGAACTGTAAAGAAGTCATCTCGGACCACTCTCTTGTTGTACACGATTCTGTAGTCCTTGCTAGCCACTCGAGTTTCGATACGCTGCCTTTTGTGGACTCGAGTGATCTGATAGGGATTGGTGACCGTGACTTTTTCCTGCTCATCGTCTTCTACTCGCCTTACCATGCGTTTCATGGTCTCAAAGTTGATCACTTGGGAGTTCTTGTAGTTTAGTGTGATGCCCTTCACTTTGCAGGTTGTTTCGCCAGTGTTGAGCTTGTACGCGTAGTTCTTTGGGCCTCCTGAGACGAAGGATGTGATGTGCTTGCCGTCTATTTCATCCGTCAATTCTCCTAGATAGTCGCCGAGAGGAGGACACCATTCTCCGGGCACGTGTAATCTTTCGATGTACAAGATACTGTCTGTGTCGTAGTAAAGTACACGTTCTCCTAATCGATCCAACACGTCGTACAATTTCATTCTTGCTTGCGCCGTTGTAAAGGCAGCAATCACCACGTTTGCTTTGGAGCTCACCTTTTCAAACTCGTCTCTTCTGACAGTACGTACCTCCACCACATCATCGTTGACAAAATTGAGATCGTTGACTTCGACCTCGTCCGACGTCAGGAGCTCGTACAATTGTGCGGGATCGAAGATGATGCTGGTCTCAGGGAGATTGTTTCTCATTCCGAACCTCCCCCAGAATGAATTAAGCATGAGTTTGGCCAGTGATCGTAGGCCTTTGTTTTTCACGATCTTCTCGGGGTCCAGTTCAATTCCTTCGTGTTTCTTATAGTCGCTAATGTATTTTGCTTTCTCCTCCTGCGTGCGACACCAGTCAGGCCAGCCCGATGCCTCTTGTTTGATCTTCAGAAAAGTGTTGACGAATCCTGTAAACAAACCAAAATCCTCCCGTGACCTCTCCAGGAATGGCTTTTCATCGTTGAATTTTGATTTATTGCAAAAATGCCAGACAGATTCAATTTCAGTGACGATGTACCCCTTTTCGACCGCTTTTTCCAATTCGAGGGAGACCCAGGTACTACGAAGCATCCTTTCCCCATCGCTATGGTGACAAGGCGTTTGCTGATTGGTTTCGGCGCAGGTGAGGCACAGTGGAAACATGAGCTTGCCATTCACTTTCAAGGGTAAGACGGGATGAAACAGGTTTTGAGGAGGTAACACCTTACATCTGATGAGACCGTAGTATTCAGACACATCTTCGAAGTTGTCGGTGATCACTCTGGGATGACCCAAGGGATAGGAGCCATATTTGTTGATGCTTGGGTATAGAGAAGTGAAGTCGACGTACTTGATTCGTTCTCCCTCCTGGCACTCGTACAGCATGCAACTCGCATTGGTACGTCCACCGTAAAAAGCTTGACGAGGATCCAGGGGGATGGGATTTGGAAGCCTCCGTTTGATGTGCTGAGGGATGGTCTTTCCTATCTCCTCATCCCAGTGGCATTCCCACATGGTGATGTAATTCCAATCTTTCAGGATATGTTGGACATACTTTTTCTTGGCCAAGGTATCGAGATGCAATTCTCCCATGGTTTTCTGGACGCCTCTTCTCCCACTGTCTGTGTCAAAAGAATAACATCTGGCGCACCCGTGCCAATAGCACCCGTTGAACTCGTAGACCGTTTTGTTTTCTTCGCAGTACCCATCTAACTTGTATTTTCCGACCCTGACCTCTCCTTCATTGCGTGCATGTCGGATGTACACTCGTTCCTCCTCGGCCACGTGAGTAAGCCATCGAATGGCTTTGTTGGATTGGATGTCCTCTGGGGCGTAACCACGAGGAGGAATGATGGCAATGGCATCTTTTTGGAGATAGTTTCTCCGAAAGACGAGATGGCAGGCAGCGGCGATGGTGATGCACTTGGTCAGGGGGTCGACGCCCAGATCAAACTCGCACAGTTTCGTCACTTCTTTAAACAGAGTCCGAAACTGGAGACAGCATCTTCTCAAAATGTCGACGTCGCTGACACAATAGGCATGAATCTCCTCCGACATGATGAACTCCCGCCCAGACGATACTTCTCCATCGTACCATGTCAGAAACTCTTCCCTCTTCTTGCTGGACATACTCTCTGGATAATAGTATTTGGCATCTGGCATGGGTCCCCGATAGTCCATGTTGGCGTCAATGTTAAAAAAATGTGGAAAGAAGCCCTTCTTGACTTCTTCTATTCCAAAGGTGGCTGGCAAGGCAGAGAGAGGCATCGGTAAAAAATTCAAGGAGTCGATGAAACGGATGCCATTGTTGGGCACGGTCATGCTCATAATCTTACCACCAGCCAAGATCAAACGGGGGATGATGCAGTTGCGATAGAGAAATTCCTGAATGAAAATTCCATCGTAACTTTTAAAGTTATGAGCGATGAAAGTAGCACCACGGTTCTCTTCTGTGTCGAACACCCATTCACAAAAATCATCGCCTGTTCTGGGTCCTTGAAACACCCATTGTTTCTTCTCTGCCTTGCCGCAAATCTTACAATCTTGTTCAAATGGAATATCTGCGCAATAACCACAAGCTCTTTGTGCCACGCAATAATTGGGTATATGCTTGCCAGTATCTTGCGTACATTCAAAGTCGAAAAATACAAAATTGGCGTGCTTTTTTGGTCTCTCGTCGTCGTCGTTGTCTTGGGAACGGTTCTCATCTCCTTCACGTTCATCATTTTCATCATTCATGGCCGCTCTTGTGGCGAAAGGATTTTCCGATTGGATGTAGCATTGGTGGCCAGGATCCACATACTTTCTGCATAGTTTGCACACCGTCTGTCCACAGATGTGCTTCCTTTTCTGCTTTTTCAACAGCGCGTTGTTGCAGAGTGTTTCACAGTGTTCGCATTGGAAATATCGTTCGCATACCTTGTTGGACCGATGATTTTGGAAGCAGCGTCGGTTCTTGAAGTTGCGGTTGCAACGTTCGCAGTGTTTATGGTCTTCATCCTCGGAAGGAGGGGGGCACTCTACGCTACGGCACATTTTGCAAGCATTGTAACAAGTGTGCTCATTCTTGGCATTGTAGCCCTTGAAACAGTTCTCGCAGAAATACGACTTGTTATAAAATGCGCTCATAGAGGTTATGAGGTCGTAGTGATCATCGTGCGAGTAGATGTAGATGGTGTGTTCCCTCTCCTCCGGCCCTGCGTAGATGATGAAGTCTAGATGTTCCTTTGAGACAACGACGACGCGATACTTGGCCATGCGCTCTGTACTCTCAAATTTTTTAATTTCTTCGATGCTGCACTTTGTGTTAATGGGTATTCCGGCTTGTCTGTACATGTCCTCCGCATAGGTCCGTTGCTCCTTGTATCCTTTCCGGATGGATTCCCAATTTGGATGCTTCTCAATACGACAGAAGCCTGTCACAATTGCCCTTGGGCAACACATGTTATCTTTATTTTTAATTTGAATGATACTCATTTTACTGAGCAGTCGCTCTTTGAGATTCAAAACAATCCTTCTACTAGTCCTGCCCCCTTCTTGCATAGCCATGTGTAGCACGTTGAAGTCGAGGTTTTCATCGAGGGTAATATCTTCGTGGGACTGAAGCGTGGACTCTAACTTTGAAGCAAAGACTTGGTAATTCATTTGATCCCTCCGGATGAATGGGAGGCTCACTGGTCTATCCAGCTGTGGCGCATTGAGTACAAGTCTGACAAAGTCCCTATCCCTTACACCGACCATCATTTCATCGATGATATTTTCAAACATGTCATTGACCCTAGGCATCATGTCGAGCATGGGTCCCATATTCTCTGCAGGCTGAAAAGCGATATTGTAATCCATGACCCTGGCATTGTACTTTTTAACGTGCCTTTCACTCACTTTTGTTACACGGTGCGTGGGAAGTGGCGTCACTCTTGAGGGGAGTGTTTCTGCTTGGCGTTTTGTTGCCCTGGTTGAAGATCCTCCGACATGGTTCGTGGAGGGGCCAGTTCGGGTATAACTCGTCGATGGCATACTGGATGGTCCAGCGACATCGTGGCTCGTGGAGGGGCCAACTCTGGTGTAACTTGTCGATGGTATACTAGAAGGTCCAGCGACATCGTGGTTCGTGGAGGGACCAGCTCGGGTGTAGCTTGTCGATGGCGTACTGGATGGTCCAGCGACATCGTGGCTCGTGGAGGGACCAGCTCTGGTGTAGCTTGTTGATGGCATAGTAGACGGTCCAAAGCCAAATATATTTTCGCCAATGTCTAAGTTGAAATTTGATGGGGTCGCCCCTCCAGGATTGGCGTGCTCAGCTTCAGGATTTTGGAGGTGATCGTTTGCGAGACCAGAGGTGGGGCTGGGCATATCCACTTCCCAAAGATCTTTTTCGCTAATTTCTAGAAAATATTGAAATACAAAACAAATAAAAGATCTTTAGTCATCTTGAACTACACTCTTTTGCAACCATCATTTGTAAACAAAAAACAAACAAAACAAATTTTTCTTGCAACATCTATTGCATAAAATTTATTGTACAATTTTTTTTTTTTTTTGAAAAAAAGGTAATCATGGTTAAAGAACTAAAACTATGTAGAATTCATCATCACAGAAAAAAAAATCACCCATACAAACAAAACAACAACAACAAAAAAAAATTAGCAAAACACATAAAACAAATTTAAAAAAAACAAAAAAAACACACAATATATTCATAGATTTTAATAATAAAATTTTACCGTACATGATAAACTCGATAGGCACTTACCGTCATCAAATTCTGGATGTATCTGTTCATTGTTCTCTGGTTCCAAACTCAAAAAATAAGTTGTTCTCGCAAAAATCAAAGCATGCTGTTCAGGGTCCAAGTCATCCGAGTACTCCTCACGAAAGTTGGAAACTTCTTCCAGGCATGTGCAGGCCTGTAACATCCTCATTAATTCTACTGTGGTAATCATGGTGAAATCTACAATAGGTTATGGTTGAACTATGTTGTTTTAGCGCTGATGTCTATGATATAAAATGGGGCGAATCCTTCCATGTTTATACTTTACCCCCCCACCCCCCCCCACCCCCCTTAGGCTCCGCCCCTCTCAGTCACCCCATCCTTTTTCCTCATCCAATCACAAGCACGCACAATGGTGACGTCACTCCAACAAGGATCCTCGCATTCTCATTGGTCGGAAATACGTACCTGCGTACAAACAACATAACTGGCACAGGCCCATTGTTTTGGTCATTTGGTCATTGCCCGTCCTACCAGTAACACGTCCATCCCCAGACCTCTCCCATGATGATGACTCATGATGTAAACACTTCCTCCAGAGGAAAGACCCTCATAATTCAAGTTTTATGACCCAGATGCCACCCTTTCCATGAAAAAACTACCTGCATTAATTCACACACATCCTGACAGGAAATACCTGCATTAATTAACACACATCCTGACCGGAAATACCTCGTTAAATTTCATTTCCTCTTCCCTATTGTTTTATGGAAGTCATTAAAAAGGATTAAGTAATTAAAAGGGATTAATACCCCCGGATTAAAAACTCCCTCAAAGGCCCTATACAGCTGCTTTCGCTGAACCTTAGAGTAAGGTACGATTTTATTCGCTCTTTGACCAAGTTCAAGTTAAAAAGATCCGACAATCAAAAGAATATTATCGAAAGAGTATTTAACATAATTAGCCAATTCACTTTCGAATTGTTACTTGCCAATCTTTATCTAAAACAGTCCGGCGCATTCGTTCTCACGAATTTGTGTCTGAAAACCGATTGTTTGTTTGTCAGATTTTTTTCTTCAAGAAACTGCTCCCCATTTACGCTCACCTGCTGGAATATCCACATTTAGGTTTCTGATGACCGGCGCAGTGGAATCCGGATCCCATGTGTAACTTCCATTGGTTATCTAGGAGACGAGAAATCGAACCATTTATATAGATATCAACTAAACCTAGTTATTCCAAAATACATACAAGTCATGTACATCGAAAAAAATGGAATTAAGTGATATTGACGATCAATATACACGTTACCATCTTCAAAACAATTTCTGCCCTCAACCCCTTTGCAAGGAAAGGCATTTGCCCTATATTCCAGGCACCTCGAATATGAGCCATTGTTGTGCTTCCTATTGGTGTTCATACGAAAGAGTGCCAAATTGGATCTTTAAACCTCAGAGCTTTGCAGATAAAGGACAAAAGTATTTGTCATCAAGCAATGCCAACAAATACTGGGCTGCCCAAGATCTAAATATCACAGGTTTTAAAGGAAAACAGTCATCACCAAAGAGGTTGCTTTGAAAGTAGCAAAATAAAAAAATTAAGGGATATTTTGTTTTTTGTAAATTTTTGTATTCATAGCTTTTCATTTTATATAAAAACTTGTGATATATGGAAGAAAAGAATTCTAGTTCCATTATAGGTAGAAACATAAAATACTATTTTCGTCCTCGGTTTAACTTGGACAAAGCCACAAAATAATCACGTTTGTATGGAAAATGAGAACTTTGGGATATTAAAATCATACACCGCAATCATGATAATTGGCTAATAGGGAGTCTATGACGTCACATAGAATAGAGTAACCAATGTATCTCCATTAGATAGCGGTCTCCACAATTATCATTTGAAAGCAACTTATTTGGTGATGACTGCTTTCTTTGAGCGCTTCAAAAATGTTCGACAACGGTAAAAAAAAAAAAGACCCGCCGCGGCACTAATGTCCATTGGCAAGACATTGATCTACATTAATTGCCACACTCAACCCAGGTGATGTAAATGGGTACCTGGCAGAAATTAATTCTTTGAAATGCTAGAGCGCCGCAATGGCAGCACCACTAAAGCCGGGGTAATAGTGATTCTAATAAGCGCTATATAAAAACTGAGTATTATTATTATTATTATAACAATTTTCCAACAAACTTACCCTGATGGCAACATTGGATGGCAAGGAGGATGCCGTCTTCCGCATAGATCCATACTTCAACTCACCATTACCATGGCTACCCATCAGAGCAGACGATTCAATTTCCAGCTCGTCCACCTTAGAACTCGTCCGATCATTAGATCGTCTCCGCCGAACGGAAACAGAAACCTAAAGGTCATTTGTTGAGGTATAGGATTGAGTAAGTAAATAGGTCTTCAGTATAGAGTGAATTTGTATACGTGTTCACGTTCTGATCTTATGACTTTCCAATGGACTTTGGAATATACAGTCAACATAAAAGGAAATGAAAGTATTGCATTGCATGCTTTGCTTATCGAATAACTTTACAAAAGGATATATTTGTACGGTATTTATTATATTAAACTTGTACGATAACGGCTGTATATAAACAGGAAACTGATACATGTACAACGATTCATTGGTAATAACGAGTTTGTTTTCATTGCACCGTATCAACCCTACGTTTTCAAAATCATTTCTGAATTAACTTTAATGTAGGAGCAATTCGGTAATCTAAGAAAAGGTTTATTCGGATAAGTGAAGAACATGGATGTGGAAGTAAAGGAATGCGATGGAGGAAAAGCCGACTTCATCAAATATATCAGATTCTTCAATAGGTCAAATGATATGATAAGGGACAAATCTATAAGTAGCAATGCACGTACAACCAACAAAAAGAATACGAATGAGAAAGAAAAGCTGTAAGATGACAGTTGAATGATTTTTCAAAATGCGTTTTCAAGACAACATACCTTTCTATCATCACCCGTGCTTCCATTGGACCCATGATCACCATCAAGGAAACTCCCCTCGACCTCTGGCCCGCTGAAGTAAGCCTGAAGCCTCTTGGTACTCACGTGCGCGTTCACAAACAGGTTTACGACGTATGGGAAGACGAACATGGGCGATGTGAGATTATTGAAGAATGCGAGAGAGGAGAATGCTACGTCGGGAGCTAAAACGTTTCCCGTGATCGCCGTGTACGTTGTGAACGACTATGATTTCAGAGGAAAGGGGGAAGATTACTCAAATTGGAGGAAAAACACATTGATTACAAAAAAGTATAATGCAATATCTAATTCCAAGTATAGAACTGAAAATGGAATTTAAATTGTCAACATGCTGTGACGGTGGAATGTACCAAGCAGAGTGCTTCTCTATATGAAATGTATATAATCAGATGATAACTAAAAGAAAGGTTGCCGCTAAGACAAATCATTTAGTAATTATGTCTCCTTTTTATCCATTTGCATTCTGATATATCAAAGGAGGCAGCACTTTAAAACAAAGTAAATTGAGAAGTGATAACCCATTGACGAGTGTATGCTTAACAACCTGCCACTGCCCCCTACCCTCTTCAATCACGCAGGGAAGGTGGTAGTGTTTCTTTTCGTTTAATACTCACCAATAAATTGACAAGGATGGGCGTTCCCGAATTTGTCACAACTTGATGCGCACGGGGAAGAAAGACAAAACAATTAAAAATCAACAAAACCTCTAAACAGATTTGTGTTCAAACGTCATTATTGTATATCCAACCTATTTCGTTTTTCTCTCTCCTTGATTACAAATATATCTCCTTAACCTGAGACTTTTCTTCTTTACGTCACCTTCACCTTCCAAGGTTTAATTTATTTGTTCAGGTCTGTTGATCTTTTTCCTTAATATATCTGCCAATATTGTCCATGTCTTGGAGTGAAATCGTTCTCGCAATATACCATGCATCCCTTAAGATTGCAATACAGTGCGTCCCAGAAAAAACGAAACCGAGAATTATCGATGTTTTATCATAACTTAGACACATTTATAATTAATAAATGACACATATTTGGAAAGCTTAGATCCTCCTCTTTTATTTCATGCAACTCATATGATGCATATTTCACGCACGAGTGTTTAAAATGAATTTGAAGAGAGAAAAACTGAAAACTCATTTGGCGGACGGTATCTGAATTTCAAAGAGAAAATCACATTTCTAGAAAGTTGAGTTTCTGCCCTTTCATATGACACCTCAATCACGAAAATTGAGCAAGGATAACAAATTTCTGTTTGTTTAAAGTAGTGCTTGCATTTCCATAATTTTATCAAACGAATTCGTTTTCACTGGCTGCCTGCTGTAGCAACAAGCAGAATTGACAAAAGACTGAACTCCGTTTCGTTGAAAATCAGCCATGCATGAAGTCTTTCGTTTACGGGTTTTTGGTTTCCTCTCTTCAAATTCATTTTAATCACTCATGCGTGAAATATGCATTATAAAAAAGATACATCAGATGAAAGAGGAAGATCTAAGCTTTCCAAATATGTGTCATTTATCAATTATAATTGTGATTAAGTTATGATAAAACATCGATAATTCTTGGTTTCGTTGTTTTCTGGGACGCACTGTATTATGTAATTGCCAATATGCCAAATTATTATGAGGATAATTACTCGTCCTTTCCTATTATCATTACCAATCCATTTAGAAATCACTCTCAATGGGATGTAGCGAACAAAGTATCCGAAATGTGTTCTCATTAACTGGAATTCAATAGAACCATTTCCTCTAATCTTCCACAAGAATATAATTACCCCATCAATTATATGTAAATATTCTCCATTACTTGCGTCATTACTTGCGTCATTACATGCGTCATTAATTGCGTCAATTCTCACAATTCACTGCCGACAGGAAATAGACTTGAAATAGTTTGTCGAGCTCGTACGCCCTCAACTTCTTGATGCCTTCTCCAAACAATCGCTCCCATCCATACAGCTTGAGCACCTTGATGCCTTGAAGTAACTCATTCGAACTTTTCAAACGTTTATCAGAGCGAATCTGAAAAAAAAATAAAGAAACAAGGAGTCGGAACTTATAAGACTACCATCAGTCAACATTATACATAGGCAATGCATTGTGTGTTTCAGGTATACGGTTTAAACTCGATTTGATCATGGAAGAGCCCCCAATAATCAGCTTTAAGCTAAAAACTGAATTTGATCTTGAAATCAATTTTAAGACCGGAGTCTCCGCCTTTCCATCGAATAAACAAAGAGCAAAGCAACTTTGAAATGTTGCACTGAGTCAAGTGCAACGTGGATGCTTTGACTCGAGTAGCATGCAGACAAGATAACGACGACGAGAATCGGTTTCTCAATTCTTCATCTGCTATCACAGCGGCCCTGTTGCCCAATGGATAAGGCATCTGACTACGAATCAGGGGATTCCAGGTTCGAGTCCTGGCAGGGTCGAATATTTTTGTTGTTAGTGCATTAGATCAGTTTGTCTGATTGTTACAATTGACTTTCTCCTTTTCTATAATTCTTATTACCACGAAGTGAGAACAAGTTTTGTACTTTGTTTTGTTTTGTTTTTTGTTAGTTTTTTCCTATTATATGTGGGTGTGTACTTTTTTTCAGAATAGCTTAATTTTTTTCTTCTATTCCACAAAGAACTTATTTAGAAGATGACAAAGAAGTACTAAATGAAAAATTGAAGGGTTATCTTCCTAATGTTGTAAAAGTTAATGAACTTCCGCGCTCAATACATACAAAATAATGGGAGTGTTTCACCACGCCTTTGGATTGATCTATAAGGCCTAACAAACAAAAAGGTTGTATTGCCCTCTAGGTGCCAAAACATGGGTCGGTCGGTCGGAAATCTTTTTTGTTGTTGTTGAATTCCCTCTTTGAACTTATATTTCTCAGTTTTTAATGCTTTAATTCATTTTTTTTCTCTAAAAAACGGTTTAAAAAAAAAACTTTTTTAAAAAGCCGACCGTAGATTTCAGGATTTTGGGGTCGGTCGCAGAGTGACGTTTGTAACCTGAAGTTGATCTGCTAATTTATTAAGCGTCAAGTATCAACCGCTTTGCTCCTGTACACTTAATATAATTCTGACAATGAACAAACGACATGAGTTGGGTCAAGAAAGAAAAATAAGGAATTCATTTCTTGATAGTTTTCTCAAGTGAACATTATTTTCATAATCATGGAAATTTCGGGGACATTTGGCGCTCCATAGATAAAATATTGCTAAGTATATGAACATTTTTTATTTTTTCTTCATAATAAGTTTCAATTTAAAGAGAAGGTTGAGTTCTGGGAAGAGGTGAAAAATAATTTGTGAGCATTACTCATTCTTATTATGCAAGTGTGGAAGAACATCAGTTAAGACATGTTCCCTGAAAAACATGGCTCTTCAAATGCCTTCATATTATAAATATGCATGTAACATCGTAAAAATCGGGGGCCGGCTTTTTACGCCACGTGTTCGTGTAGTCCCATATACATCTTTCTGTGCAAGTGTTTGTAACTTTACCAAGACTTGGCCACATTTCTTATCATTTTGATGATTCCAGAACCTTGCAATACACACAAATTCTTATAATGCTAGATGATCAACCTTTTCTGGTCGGTTCCACACCGTTTCGTTCACAATGCAATCGCATGACCAGAACTCAACTTCATCTTTAATTCAATTACGTTATTTAATATACTCAAGACTATATCATTGTTATAACTTCCGGAGCCTATGACCTACAAGCAATGCTTTCTCTTTAGGCTCCATCATATTTCTTCCTTTATACAACATAGTCTTATGTATTATACAACATGTGAAATATGAATATAAACTGAAACTGAAACTGAAACTGAAACTGAAATGATTGTCTGTTTTACGAACACTGGTCTAACCGAAAGATCGGCGCGGCGCCCCTCTCAAACCGAAATGGGGGCTGCCATTTGTAGAGGGTAGCTATAAATCATGCCTTTGACTAGTGATTTAATCACATATTTGCTTGATTATCTAAATTTTACAATCCTAATGTGCCAGCAAGTGAGTTTCTCAATGTACATGTACAGTTTGCTTCGATAATTGTATGAATCTTATGTGAAAGTAAGATTACATACATTAAATAAGCATATCCCAATGTAATACAGAATATCTTCAGAGACACCTATAACCGACTTTATGATGTATACCTACATTTCAGAGTCCGACAACAAGGAAAAAATCGCCCCATTTACTTTTAATGGGACTCATTAAAAAACAAGATTTGAGGGACATACAACTGACATGGAATGGTTTGGATTTACTAAGAAGCAAATATGATTATATGCGGATCAAAGGTTCAATAGTTTATGATTTCATTATCTGTGGATTTGCTCTGTATTTTTATACAAAACTACAATGTTAGTAAACTCCAATTTGATTACGATCCCCCAAATCTCGATTTACGATGTCATAAAGAAAACTGCGACCTATGGTTTATAGCAATGCTCTGTAGATATACAGGAGTGCCCCCTAATGTACTATAATTATAGCAATTTCCACTGACATGACATGTATCCTAAATAATATTCTTGTTTAAACGAAGTGGGAGGTTTCAATAAAAAGCTAAATTACTTTAGTATTCCAAAATGCATGAAGAAAAAAAAACCGCCGCGATTATTTAAAATTGCATTTATTTATTATATTATATCTATATATATTATATATATCTGCATGGTTATTCATTCATATAAATAAAATGTAATCAATACATTTTCTTTCTTTATTTCGATCTTACCAGGACTTCTTTCATGTATCTAGCAGTAGCCGTCGCTAAAAGTATTTGGATAGGTACGACAATGAAGAACAAGGATGAACCTATCAGGGATGGGCCACCGAGCTGCATGTACAGCAGAATAAGTGTAAGTATGATCTAGAAAGGAAGAAGAAAAGTATGTGTGACTGTAGACAGCCCTGTTAATTTCTATAATTTAATTAATACATTAATCAATTAATATTCTATTAATTGAAACAATGATAGATAATAACACTGAACAAAATAATAATAGTTTCTGCTAATTCACATCAGATAGTAACTTTCACTTAATTAATATTGTTAATAATTGGATTTTACCCTGATTGGTATTATCCAAAGCTCGTTGAAGAAGTTGAAGAAGAATTGGAGATTTGTTGCATCGACTGACATGTGATTGGTCACCTGACCCATTGTCATCATACCACCTGACATGGCGTATGTTGACAGCCGCAGAGACTTCTCGTATACCATACTCTGTAGTTTTATGTTTAAAAAAAAAAAAAAAAAAAAAAAAATCAGATTACTGCGATTCAAATTTACATTGCAATTATAAAAGAACAAAATCTCTTGTCCCCTAACCTATAAAGTGTCAAATACATGTGTGTTTTCACTAAGATGTTCCTGACCCTATTTTGTTATACCAAGAAAAGTAGCTAAATTCGTTGATATAGAGACTTAAAAAACCAATAAAGTCTTGAACATCAATGTCTCCTGATCCTAAGCTCTGTTCCCGTAACAACATTTCCCCGTTCCCGTAACACCCTCTCCCGTTCCCGTAACACGTACCTCTCCCGTTCCCGTAACAACATTTCCCCGTTCCCGTAACACCCTCTCCCGTTCCCGTAACACCTCTCACGTTCCCGTAACAACATTTCCCCGTTCCCGTAACACCTCTCCCGTTCCCGTAACACCCTCTCCCGTTTCCGTAACAACATTTCCCGTTCCCGTAACACCCTTTCCCGTTCCAGATACACCCTTTTCAGTTCCAAAAACACCCTTTCCCGTTCCTGAAAACGCCTCCTTTATTTGGTCAAGAAATGTCCCCTTCTCCATTGTCTCAACTCTTATTGTAACCACGAACCTGGATAGCTGATTTGATATGGACACCTTCTACTGCTGTCCAGTAGTAGTAGGTTTGATCGAAGGTGTGGCGTGTGAAGGCTGATACTGTGATGCAACCTACCAGGACATAGCCATTGGCCAGGAACTCTGTCACCGTCACGTGATGAGGACTTGGGATCTAGACAAAGTTTAGATAAACGTCGATTAAAATTATTTCTTTCAACTAGATAACAAATTAAAGCACCTATCCATGACAGGATTGGAACATATACTTGGAATAAAGTTGTTTTTTTTTTTTTTTTTAGGTGGGGGGGGGGTATTATTAATTTTTAACTATCATTTAATAAAAATGAAACGGTTTTATCCGGGTTTTTTTAAGGAAGTGGAAAGGGGTTTGGCATTTGTGTTACCCTATGGGCGGCTGATGATCAGCCTATTATACTTACGAAAGGGATTTGGTATATAAAATAAGCATGGTTTTAATGGTTAAGTTAAAATTAACGTCTTTGATTAGTTTTTTGTCGTCATTGTTATAAAAATATAACCTTCAGAGTGAGTCATGTTAATTAGACCTATCAGTGATTTCTTGAAACATCTACATTATAATAAGTACCATCCCCATGATCTAAAAATTAGCGATATAAACGTGCCAAGCTTGGGGTGGAGACATTTTGTCGTAGATTCAAGAACATGTGTATGAATGCATCATTATTGGTCATCCGACATTTTGCTCCGAGGTTATTTCGTCAAAGGTATATGGTAAGGGCTGTACATTTGTTTAAGGTTGGGTTTGGGGTTAGCGTCATGGTTATGGTTATATGTTTATGTTTTGTATTGGGTCCAGGGTTAAAGTTAAGAATTTGGTTAGTGTCGTGTAATGCCGCGGGAGATTATTATCGCATGAATATTATCATTCTGATCATTCGTACAACTGACTCAATCATGATGGCTCAATTAACATTTCTCCTTTACAACGTGATAAACAAAACGTCAAGGAACAAGTTGCTCACTTGTACTTTCATGCCAAAGAAAGAAACACTGAAATACCTTCTTTTCACCGGCTGTGACAAAGTTGACAATTCCACTGATACAGAGTGGTCCAACAAATTGCAGCATGTCAGCGGTGAGTTTGAACATGCCTGCTGTCATCATTCGTACTCCGTATGTGCGAATGTAAACGCGCCAGAAGTTCATGTTCTGCCCTTTGACCTGTGCTCTCTTCTGTAACGGTGGAATGTGAAGAAAAAAACATGATTTGTGACATTGTGGGTTCTTTTATGGTAGTGTGGAAGAATATCGTTGAACTTAGAAACGTTCACTGATCTATTATCATTATTTCATTAAAATGTTTTTATTTCAACAGGTGGTCTCATTTTAAGTCTATTTCTGGACCTGCTCTCCCATAGAGCCCTGCAATGATAAAGATTGTTCTTCAAATCATGCCAGCATATTCTTAATGTGACTTCTGGAAATGCTTGGACCAAACTGTTATGCCACAATATTGTGTGTGTAGTTCCATATACACAGTGTGCAGCGTATGAGACTTTCAGTAAGAATGAGTTAATTTCTCATCATTTTGATGATTCTAAAACATGTAAGTAAACAACAATTAATGCTACATAATCAACCATTAATTCCCATAACTTTGTTTCTTTCAAAAGTTTCTTTCAAAATACAATAGCATGGATAGAAATCTTTAATGGGTAACTGCCGCGAATATAATTAATGAAATAATCGTTTATATACTGTATTTATAAGTGTACTTGACTAGTATAACCTAATATAATAAACATTCAACTTCAAAATGTGATTTTGGGAAGGGTAGGGCTGGTGCATTACATATTTCCTAGTTTTACTTGAATTTTTGGCTTGTCAGTGAATACCATAATAAAGAATTAGATGTACTTTTGCATGCACATGATTGTATATTCATTTAATTGTCACAATATGGAGGTCTGCAAAATAACCATAGCATACTAACGTCACGATATTTGATTGTGAAGTATTTGGTTCGCCAATTACAATTGTCCAATTCAATAGAAGGCATGCAACAATTAACAGCGACCACACAAGACAGCTGACCCAGAGTTGCCATTTTGTTCAGGCTGATTGGTTTGTGTAGACTTCTACGTACGCCGTACAGAGGTCTGTACAATTCGGTTTTCTGGCAAATCCGAAAAATTGTGCTAGGACGTCGCACCTTGCTTCGAGGGATTGTACCTGAGGCTGGAGACTGCGCTTGGACATTGTACTGTGCATTAACACGTCATAGCATCCTTCAATGGCAGAGTGGATATAACGCTTCGTGTGCAACGGACTTTAAGTTCTGCATCAATCGGTATGTATTTAATTTTCTCGTTAGATCTACTGACGCAGAATTGCGTCAGTGACTGGCGCAGCCTATTGACACGCCTGATGAGAGTGATAAGGGTTGAATGCAAAATGAACAGCGCAAACAAAAATGGCGTAATACATACACTTAATTTCCTACACAGGCTTGATTAGCGCAAGTATTGACGCAAGAATTGGCGCAAGTAAACTAAATGACGCATTGTGTACAACGGACTTTACCTTCTCGTTGAGGTAGTTCTTTTTGAATATCGCATGGATGGCATCTGCTGTGTGTTTGTCAGGTATACTGCCCAGATCACTCGGTTCAATTGGTTTCCTGTATCCCAGGGTAAAGAGCCAGTCCATCCACCAGTACGTCAAGGACGATGGCAGAGGTTCATAGTCGTGGAAGAAGTTCATGTTCTCTTTCTTGGTGTCATCAGGTTGGTCGGAGTTCTGAAGAACCCCGCATGCCCCACACATCTGAAACAACAGTTGAAGCCGATACAACTTATTGTTGGTCTCGTAGGCCTTCTAAACACTTTTTTTTAGAGTTATAGGATTAATATCCCCCTTTTTAACCTCCATATTCCGCCATTTGATTCACAAAGTTTATAAAACGAAGGTGAAAGTTACGTGGATTTCTTGTGATACATAATATCATGTTGTTTATCTTTCTGTTTTTATTCTCTAACAAATGTAATAATTTAAGAAAGCAGATTTAGATTTGGCTAGAGCCAAAAGATGACCACAATTTCCATATTGTTGGCATTTTACGAAAACGTCGAAAAGGCAACCTCACATACAGGAAACTGTGTCTTTGATCATGCACAATATTATGTTTCTGTGAAGATAAGAACATGATTAAACGTGCACGAAGTATCATGAAAAGAGTACCATATCGGCTGTTCATAGCATGCCCAACTGATTCAATGTATACGTTTATTGTATGGTCGAATTGTATTGATATTATTTTAAAGAATTCCACATGGCAGCCCAGGAGTTTACAAGGTAAAATGACAAAAGACAAAATGTATTACAAATGTATACATATATCATAATAATACAAGTGGAGAAAAGGAGAGAGGGAGATATATATATATATATATATATATAGAGAGAGAGAGAGAGAGAGAGAGAGAGAGAGAAGACACAAAAGAGAGAATGGTCTTGATGATCATTTATTTTTCAATTTTTTTTCCATTTTTTTTATTACGAATATATTGAATTGTTCTATGTTAACTAATGAATCGATGTGCATCATTTTTATGCTTCTATTGAAACGAAAATAAATCAAAGAAATATTTAATGTATTACATACCATACTAGCGCACAGAACTACCTCTATAATGAGCATCATTGACATCAAGACGATAAGCCCTAGCGTCAAGTCAAATCGAAGTCCTGTCCATTCGGCTTCACCACTTCTAACAATATGCATCATATAAACGACCATTGACAACAAAGATGTCATCCAGTATACGAGTAAGAGCCAAACCATGTGCCGTGCACGCCATTTCTCCATCATGTGGTAATAAACAATCGACAGTGTTGCCCCAAGAAACATCACCACTCCTGCAACGTAGAGATGTGGCTGTTGTGGTAAGGAGTTGGCGAGGAAGGTGTCGTTGGTCAGAATACCTTCTGCTATGAAGGAGAGTGTGAGGATAAGAAGGACGTAAGTCAGGAGCCATCTTGGAGTGTGACCCGGGAGACGCAGGAGATACTTGGAGTCCTTGAGACTCTGGCGGGAGGAGCAGGAGGCGAGGAGGACGAGGAACACTGAGGAAAAAAAGATGAAGCCTAGCTGGGGTACAACGATGATACCGTTGATTAAACACGAGTTGTTCAAACCGGTGCCAGAGTCGAGTGTGTAGTTTACACCACAAAACCAGTCCCATTCAGACGACGTCATGATCTGAAGTTAGCCTTTAAAATAAATAGAAAGAAATGGTATGCAATATCTTATTTATGGAAATTCATGTACAGTCAAATAGAATCGCACGTCGTGGGTTAACTAATAATTATTATTTCATTTGCTTCATCTTGAGCCCAGAGATCACGATAAATAGGTGGCTTATCATAACACCAACATTGTGCATGCAGTTGTGTAAAGAAAACTTTGATTATGCTCACATAGAAGACTTGTAACAAACGGAGGCCACTGGCGGTCCATTAACTTTTTCAATAAATGAAATTAACTCATGAAATTGAAGCAGAACTTCACGATCAAATCCATTATCATTTCGTTTGTTTGTATGTATATAAATTATGTTATTGCTGACAAATACCTCGAAAGAGGGTGAGGAAAAAAATCCATTATCATTTGAAAAACTGTTGTTTCTTTTTTCCTAACTTTCTCAATGTGTACACAAACAAGAATTTCTTTTTATCAGCATATCTACCTCTTATATCAGAGCACACCTTGTAGAACTTGTTGAAAAACCTGAGCACCATTCCTCAGAAACACATCTAGAAAGAAAGATATTCTAGGCACAGATAGGGAGTCCAAATATCGTTTAAGACAAAGATTAAGGCATTGCAGATGCAACATATCCAACAAGACAGTGTTCCTTAATCGATCCCAATAACTTAATAGTAGCGGCACTTCTAAAACTTATGTATATTATATTCAAAGACTAGCAACTATCGTGACTGTAACAGAAATGTTTATGAGTCTTAAACTCAGTTCAAAGTCAACATACAGCCATAAATGTTCCAAAGTTGATCGGCAGAGCGAACTCATGCTCACTGCCTTAGGAATATGTCAATACGAATAGTGTGAACATTTGTGCAGCCCTTCAGATAAATGTGTTATAAGGGGAAGTGATCCACATAAATATTCTCCTTGCATTTCTTCTGCAATTTAGACTTTGAACTGTGGTTAAAGTGAAATAATGTCATTTTCCTCCGAGATTGACCCCCACGAACGACTGGATAAATGTTTGCTTGTTTGCTATTATATCATCACTGTCACATGACTATGACCAAGCGCCATGAATCTGGCTTCAGCAGTGGGGCAAGGAAAGAAGGGCGCCTGGATCAAAGGAAGAGGAGGGGAATACGGTGAGGACGAAACGGGCGAGGGGAGGTGGAAGAGGGGAGAACAGGAACGGAGGTGGAGGAGGAGGGGGTAAGATGGGAAGATGGAGAGGAGGAGAGGATGGGGAAGAGAACGGGAGAGGAGGAGGATGGGGGAGGAGGGTGAGGTGGGTGACGGGTGGAGTTATACTGGGCCTGAAACTTAAAGGGATCCGGTAACTTTGTCTCAGATTCTGAAAACATATTCTGGATTTAGCTCATGATGCAATGATAATTATAAACCTTTAGGTCAGTCAGGAACCCCGTGACTTTTACAAGCCGATCGCCTGTCTGATTATCAAGATATTTATGATTGGAATTACAAATTTTGAAAATCGTTCGCCTGACGGTTTTCATAACACTACAGTCTATTGGGGAAAACGAGTATGGTAAAACCGGTCACTCAAAGATTTTTACTTTTTGAGGCACTTCTTGATCATTTTGAAGCGCAATTTTTTTAGGGCTTCAATATTACATCATATCACAGACACTGATAACACGTAGGGCCGTGTATCTCAGATTTAACATTGTTAAACGATCCCTTTAATCCTTATCTTGTATAGGGAGTAAACTCTTAAACTTGTTTACACTTATCAGTGTGAGTGTGACCTTGTAGCAATACATTGTACATGCATGAGCTTTCGAAACTGTTGCTAACTGTTTATATAGGTCAAGTCCAACTATGTCTTTGTTTTGCAAAGTTCGCTCTTAATGTAATTTAGTAAACACAGTTTCTTGTAAATGTGGGGGGTAGGGAGTGGCCTGAAGACTAAGGATAAATCAAATGGATGATAATTACTAGCGGTTATAAGATGGACAAACATACATGTATGTTTCGTTCAAAATATTTCTCAGTCCGGCCATGTCTTTTTTTGTTTCTTTTTTAATCTCGTTATTTATATACATGTAGTGTACCACACTCTAATCTACAGAAGAAAATGTTAACTTCTATAAAAATGCATAATTTCAGCTAACGTTACAGTAGCAGAAACTAATCTGTCCTAATTAAAAAAAATCAACCCTCTAGTCCGGTCATGTTTCACTGGATTTCATATTTGAAGGGCAATCCAATTTGGTTTTTATGGAGATCAGAATCATAGGAAAGGCTGGCATCGTTCCTTGATTTATCTATTCTTTCCTCTTTTTTTTAGAAGTCGGGTGATATAGACCTCCAACGACATAAAAGTCAAAAGGAAAATGTACCCCCTTTTTCATTCTTCTCGTGGTGTAAACAAATTATTCGCTGTCATTGTTTCCACGCTTTGAAAACAAATCACCCCCTCCCCCCAGAACACGGGACATCTATATTTCAAGGTTATTGTCATTGTTCTGAAATAATGACTGTCGAAAAGGAAGAAAATAAATCAGCTTGTATGTGTCAAAGTCTATATGGAATGAAATCAAGTCCAAGAATACATGTGAGCGGTCAGTAACATAGTTCCGAATGGGCGTCAACCCCTATTCTTGTAAATGTGCAGGTCATTTGCTATAAAATAATTGAGACAATTTGATTGTCTTGATAAATACTTAAGAACCTTGTGCATTTGGTAAGTCTACTTTTTATAACTTGATTAATAGCTAGAAACTAAAACATTTCTCTTAAGCGACTGATGATTTAGATTTTTTTGCTTTGATTAATAATAACAGATATATTGTCGCATGCTTTTACAATTATTGTCAGATAACTCAAATAGAGATACGGTATTCTCATTTGTATGTGGTTTGGTATAATTTACGTTGTCTTCTTGATTATTACATTTCTACAGGAAATGGTGTTTTATTTACTATTTCAATGACATGAATTAAACATAATCACTTTGATATTATCATAATGAGATAATTGAGACCAATACTAAGCGACGTCATTTGATCTCTTCATTTTAATTTCGTGAGAGAAGATGTGCTGTTGAAATTACTGTAAAGCATGTAAGTCTGACAACAACTCATGCCCAAAAGAGATAGTATTATGTGGAAACTAGTATTATTGATTTATCAGTAATCGTTTCATTTTAATGTTGAAAACGTGACATGATAGATTAGTGATGCAATACCTCTGTCGAATGTTGTAGCCTTTGTGTACTATCTTTACAATTTACTGTTCTGAATAATACACTGTTGCTCATAACGGTGGAATATTTTTTTTTATCTCAATTTATGGAATTATTTTAAAAATAATTTAAAAATACTAGATCTAGATAATAGTATACAGTCTCAGATTTTATTGAATAATAATTTGCCAATATGTGTTTTGCGTGACTGCTAAAGCATGTATATTATGCTACTATGTTTATTAACTAGGGGACCTATGCCCTTAAGTCATAAATGACAGTAATGAGGATTAATGCCTCACAAAAGGGCACTAATATAGCACATCGACACGGTGTTGATCCTGGGGCCTCACAGTTACGAGGCCATTGCTTTGTCACTGAACCATGACTGTACGCAGCGGGGGCTATGGTAGGGGGCAGTTTCCATAAATAAAAAAAAAAACAGAAAATGCAATAAATTTTCAATAATTTATTGCATTATACCCCGGTCCCCAACATAAAAAAATCTTCTGTGTGCCCATGCCTTGAGCCATAATGCATGGCCGTCCAGAGGATTTTTTTATGTTGGGGACCGGGGTAGAATGCAATAAATTATTGAATATTTATTGCATTTTCTTTTTTTTTTTTAAATTTATGGAAACTGCCCCCTACCCTAGCCCCCGCTGCGTACAGTCATGGTTCAGTGACAAAGCAATGACCTCGTAACTGTGAGGCCCCAGGATCAACACCGTGTCGATGTGCTATATCAGAGCCCTTTTGTGAGGCATTAATCCTCATTACTGTCTTTTATGACTTAAGGGCATAGGTCCCCTAGTTGATAAACATAGTAGCATAATATACATGCTTTAGCAGTCACGCAAAACACATATTGGCAAATTATTACTCAATAAAATCTGAGACTGTATACTATTATCTAGATCTAGTATTTTTAAATTATTTTTAAAATAATTCCATAAATTGGGATAAAAAAAAATATTCCACCGTTATGAGCAACAGTGTAATTATTATCGAGGATGTGGAACAAAAATTATATTTGTATAGAAGAGTAGGATTAGAAGAAAGTAATTTTATCCACATGGTAAAGATTTATTTTTAAACCGAAATCATGTCATTTGTTAGGTTTCAATACACTGATATGGCAGAATTATTGAACGTAGTCAAAACGTTTATGGTATTGCACCAGATTGTGTTATACTCCCCTCTATATGTCACGATGAACTCTGCGCAAGCCTATATTGTGTAAAAGCATGTCTTTTGTTATTGTGCAAGAATCTATATGAATTTCTTTGGCAATGCGGTTTATAAAGGTTAGATTCCAAACTATTCTCAAAGTTAATCACCTGGCGGTGCAAAGCATATTTGCACAAGGTTGCAATGAGGTCCGTAGTATAAAGTGGCGTACTATACGACTATATGTTATCAAATCTGAATAAAATCAGTTTTTCAACACATGATGTTGGTATCTCTCCATACACATTATTGAAGCTCACTGTGTGCAGTGGTGTCAGACTGGCAGAGTTGTAGCTGCAGAATAATTCTTTACAATCGGTAAGTTTAATACAAAATAGCATTTGGGGCAGGAACAACTATAATTAGAATACATTTACATCGGGTAACTTTTGGAAGATGCCGAGGGGTAAATGTCCTGGTGTCATTGAGTGGTGAAATTCGCAATCTCTCATTAGTATTGTATATATCACGATTTGAAGAAATGTGATGGTGGATGATTAATTAGAACTATTTTGTGACTCCCCTATTTCATAAAAGCAGGCACTTTAACAATATTTTGGCATCCGACTAAGGAAATTCGGACTTACATGTAAGTTCAAGGATATTGGACTAATGGTCAAGGATATTGGGGCTTAAGGTCAAGGCTATTCGGACTTAAGGTCAGAATATTTGGAATTAAGGTCAAGGATATTCAAACATAAGGTCCAGGATATTCGGTTTAAGGTTACGATACTTACTGCAGGTGATATTTGGTATTTGCGCGAGACCAGCTACTGTAATTTCTTTCGAAACTAAACGACATGTTTAAAATGGATTCGTAATAAGCCGATTTTGACAGCAGAAAGACAGAGACCTGAGACTTTCGCATCATCTTTTTCTTTACCAGAACAACAATGATACAAATCTCATATAGTTGATTTAACCAATATGAATTTGAGATGTGATGCATCAGGACCCTATTTCATTTTGATGTCATGAACAAGTTACGATATATGTTACAAGCTACGGAAATCCTTGCATCTGATTGGCTGTGGAAGGTGTTATTGATGAAAAGTTTTATTAAACAGGGCCCTTATGTCTTCATAACAACGAGTAGACCACAATTTTACAAATTATTTTGTGTCTCAATCCGTTCTTTGGTTAAAAAGTTAGACATTCAGAATAATGTTTTTCTCATTTTGTTTTTCTCATTGAAACACAAAATAAAACTCATTAACTCCTCACTTTCGTTTCTGGCATTCTTTTTTGTCAAAACTGACAATGTGAAGTTAAACATAATACAAAATATAGTTTCTGTTGAAGCCAGAAGGTCGTTAACTCATATCATTTTACACCACGTTAATGCCCTTCTGGCTCTCAACAGGACGGCAACATATAACAGGTCTATCACTTGACTCTATGTAGTTTTATCAATCAACTAAATTTTGCTTCAGGTCAGCAAAAGTATAGCAAATTTGCAAGTACTTTAGTCACCCCAAGTAGAATTACACGATTTCTTATTTACATAGGCTTCCATATGTTAAGTGTACTAACAAAGTTGACAATTTAATACACTGTATTTACAATCCTAGTTTAAGCCCTCGCATTAGCTCATGGATATAAAAAAGCTACTCCTGGATGGAAAATGTTGCAATTGATTGATTGATCCGCCGATGTCCACTTACCAAAGCAAAAAATAACAACATTAGGTAGCTTAGTAGCTTCAGAGATTCAGACTATCAGACTTTAGACTATGAACCTTAACTTACATCTCCTTCATCCCTCCATTGTTTACTAGGTCTTAAATGCTCACATGTGTAATGATTACGTTTCGAGCACGCAAGGAGGACAGATTTCTTGATATACCAATTAAACCCGTTTCTAGTTGAGCTTGCGAACTTCTATACCGGATGAGGGTCGAATGATATGCTCCACGGTTGAACACGATTTCTTTTCATCTTTCTTTGAAGGTTTAGTATCGACACTACCCCTGGATTTCACTTATGGGGAAACCAGTCAACAAACTCTTGAACACTGAAATACCAGTGTAGGACCTATTCATCTGTCGTTCGGATAGTGAAGGTAAGCTAAATTTGTTTTGAATGTTGAAATGTTGAGGGATACTTGAAGTGATACCTCAATGTGTATAGTATGGAAGCTTAAACCTGCAGCGAGAAGGCGACATGTTTAGCTCGCCAATGCGCAATGTTTAAAGACGAGAAGGCGAAAAGGCAATTTGTTAAAATTCGCTTAGGCGCCATGTTTAAAACAAAAAAGCGTGAAGCCGACTCGTAACAAACTTGCCAAAGCATCATGTTTCAGTTGAGGAGGCGAGAAAGCGACTTATTAAAATTTTCAAAGGCAACATGTTTAGGTCAAGAAGGCGAGAAAGGGACTGGGTGAGTTTGACAAATTGCCTTCTCACGTTCTTGGCGTCTCGACGAGTTAACAATTCGCCTTCTTGCAGCACGTTTAAGCTCAATTAAAATTCAAATTCAAATGATTTTATTTCTCATGCAAAACATAATACAATGAATAAGTATATTACAACAAAAATATACCATGAAACGACAAATATAATAGAAATAGCACGAGAAAAGAGGAACTAACTAGAAATAGAGCTATTTGAAGTGTTGAAGCTTCCGTAGTATAGGCATACGACGTTTGGGCTTTGAATGTCCATACCGTTGGCTCATGGTAAAGAATTAAAACAATGACTTGAATTAATGAACGTAATTGAGTTCAGTGTATCGGGCAGTAATAAAGCCGTCCAAGATTATTGCAGCAACTTCACCCTAACGTTGTATGTCTTGGCAGGTATCCAAACATATCATTATTTAATTTTCACACGAATGCGAACAAACTTTCGTGCTTATTATCAGAAATCTTCAAAGGGTTAGCTGGTAATTGTATGAGGGTCAATGTTTACTGAATGCACTTTGACTTGTTTGTATGATCCAAACACGACACGACTCCATCCTTCATTCTTTATGAAAGAATGCTGTAACCAGTTCTTGAAACACATTGATGTTTTTATTCGCTCACCTGTAACTAAAACACAACAAAACTATGTCAGAACACATGTGCCAGGATGCAGTAAAAAACAAAATTTCCTATTTTTCTTTATCAGGAAAGGACATGATACCCTTCTTCCCCTCCCATACCGCCCCCCTCCCCACTCCCTCCGCCGTCGCCGCCCCCTGCGACCGGGCAATGTTTCGTTTTGCTCAGTAAAAACCAACATGAGATATTCTGTTACAATACATGCTTAATTTTTTTAGGGGAAATATTAATCTATGCCACCGATTAAATAATCCACACGGGGACAAAGATTATCAACTGTTTTGATATAAAGATTTCCTATCGCAAAAACAAAAGATAATGAATATAAATAAAGATATGGAGAAAATGCATTAGATGACGTTCGTTTTTACATTAATGTATATATATATATATATATATATATATTATATATATGCTTAATGCATGTTCATAAATAGCATTTGATATGAACGACTATAATCAGATAATTGTTCAATTCGTCTACTTGAAAAAACACAATATCAAACAAAGATAGAGAGGGAGGGAGAGGGAGAGAGAGAAGAAGAAGATTTTTTTTAGACAAGCCACAGGACTCTTTTTTGCTTCCATAATTCATATCATATCCTCCATTATCCTTTTCTTTTACAAATTTCACAATCAAAAGTGAGCGACCAACTGATAAAAGTTGCCAACACAATCGCTCGGATCACAATAGGGCGACTAGTTTTTTATAGTAAAAATACATACGATTTTATATTTTATTTTTGGTGCATTTGCGTTAAAATTACTCAGACATAGTTTAACTTTACCATGATTGCAATGTAATATTCTTTAAATTCACACTACATGTATACTAACAAAAATTCGATGATTATGTGATTCATGATTAACTAAATATTGTATTATTTGTATCTGCAGGGAAGAACAAAATATGTCTACAGAGCATATAAATTGGTTTTGTGGAATAAACACAACATTGGTTCAAGATGAGGATTTTCTAAACAGCACATGCAAGGTGAACGGAACCATCGTCGTATCCCAGTTAGCCTTCAGCATCATCTTCATCATCACACCCCTCTTCCTGAAATGCTGCACCTCATACGGCAAGCTTCCACCCTCTCCGTTCGTCTTTCGACTACCAGGCCACACCCTCAGATGGATCCTTACCTTCGTGTACTCGGCAATTTCCCTGGCCATGATCGGGGAGGGGGTACTCACCAACGACAGCTACATCGCATACGCGTTGCCAGGGCAACCGCATCTGTACATAACTGGGGTATTCACGATGATATCGGTGGTGGCATCACTGCTGTACTACCACATGATGGAGAAGTGGAGAGCTAGAGCGATGATCTGGTTTCTCTTGGTGTATTGGATGTGGTCTCTCGTTATCTTTGTCATGAAGATAGTGCAACTCGAACACCAAGGACTCGACGATTGGCAGATCTTTACATATGACGTGACTCTTGCGGTGATTGTCCTTTCGGGAGCTCTACTTCTTATTGAATTGACACTCTTCTACAGCTTGGTAAGACATTCAGCATTCTTTTTTATTTTTTTAATCGTTTCATAACGACTGTTCCATCGCAGATGATTAGCGATTACGTATTTTTCTGCATGTTAGGTTTGAAATTCCTATTGATTATTAATATGTTCTAATTGTGTTGAATAAATTTAAAACTTTTTTCTAAAAATGACTAAAGTCACAAACATACTCTGACCAATACTTGATTTCGAAGGAATAACGAGAAAAGATCTTTAACTGTCTAACCGTATCGTTGGAAGGGCTTTCTTCTTCATCTGTCTTCTTTGACATGTCGATCTTATTTAAATTGTCCTCTCTCCCTTTTCCCTTTTCATTTCCTTCTTTCATTTTTTTTTCCATCTTGAACTTCTTCTCCACCATCAATCACCCTTCTACCAGGCGTGCCGTGGATGCGGAGACCCCCTGAACGCCCCCAAACACCAGGACACCCAGAAGGCATTCATGAAATACCGCCAAGAGCATTCCAATCTCCTCTCATCGCTCACCTACTGGTGGATGAACTGGCTTTTCATCCTGGGTTACAAGAGGGCAATTGAGCCCTCAGATCTGGGCAACATCCCGGAGGTTCACACCTCAGAGTACAACCATCGGATTTTCAAGAAAAACTTCGAAAAGGAGAAGGTAAATTTAGAGTAAATGGGATTTCTTGATAGGTTTCAATAAAATGATCATTTTTAGCTAGACATTGAATTCGTCACAGAGGCGAATTAGCTGATCTGTCGCTCAGAATCATATTGCATTGGGAGATTTGGTATTTAAAAAAAATCCCACCCTCCACTCATATAACACGCCTATATTTATCACGTTAGTGCAGCCGCTCTATATACATACACATGTATTTCCTTTACTCTATCAATTATGTACCATGTTCATGAACCTTTTGCACTTTGCTCACGGGCCGGATACTTTTTTGATCACTATTACTTTCATTATTAATACTTACGGGTGAAAAACTATACTGATGTTAATGTAAAGTAGCTACGATTAATTAACCTTTATATTGAATGGTGTGTGTGCAGTGGCGTACGCAGGATTTTTTCAAGGGGGGGGGGGGTTAAAATCGGGCCCAAAATTTCGCAACGACTCAGGAAAATTTGAAAATCGCGCCAGCCGAAAAGTCGCTCGGTGGGGGGGGGGGGGGGGGGGGGGGGGGGGGGGGGGGAGGGGGGGGGGGGGGGGGGGGGGGGGGGGGGGGGGGGGGGGGGGGGGGGGGGGGGGGGGGTAAGCGGAAACTTTTTTTTTTTTTGGTCTCGAAATTTGATAATTTGACATTTTGTTCCGTTGGGGGGGGGGGGTAAGGTCACCTTTTTTTTTAGATCAGCCACTGGCATAATTTTTTTTTTTTTTTTAATAAAAAAAAAAAAAAAAAAAAAGGCTGGGGGTTCACAAAAACATACACAAGACATACACATTAAAAAAACTCAAGGGGGGTTTAACCCCAACCCCCTTGCGTACGCGCCCGTATGTGTGTGTGTGTGTGTGTGTGTGTGGAGGGGGAGGGGTAAGGACTTGACATTTTGAGTTTATCTCTCGCTTGGAAGCAAATTAATTTTGTGCAAGATGGGCCGTCTACGGTAGCTGTTTTGCGTTTGTGCAATATGGTATCTGGTTTAAGTTCACGTTTTACTAAGTACTCTGGAATCAGATATTGACTTGACATCTTCCATAATATCCACTTGAATTTTAATAGAGGACAGAAGATTTGATAAAACTGTCAATGTTTTGTATTCAAGGACCTGTCCTTTGATGGCCTTAATCGGTACTTATCTTTCTATTACAACAAGTTAAGGGGTCGTAATTTTATTTGTCTTGTTGATTAAATTAAAAATTCGACCTTTACTTAACTTGTGTTGGTCTATATGTAGAAATATCACAGACAACTGATCCGACTCAGGCGCAAAATACAATGTACATCGTACATCGTATTTTCACTTACGAAAATTTTCAATCATACATCCACCCTAAATATAAATATTTCAAATATGCTTTTATACAACCCCTGTATGAAACAAACCTATCATCATCAAACACTAAGAAAATTAAAGTTTACAAAATTGTCTGTACAGAGCTAATTGGAGAGGAGCTCGCAAAATACGTCACAGAATTGCTAATATGTGTTTCTATGATGACAACTTCATAAAATCACTATTTTCTATTTTCAATCGGAAATTGCTCAAACTTGTACTTATTTGTTCCTCTCAATGTTCTGCTTTTATTAAAACCAAGTTAATAATACGGTGGAGTTTTCATTTAAGGGGGTAAGAGAGGAAGAGAAGAAGAGAAGAATGTGAGGATAATCATTTTAGGAAAGATGTTGCCTTGAAAAAGACTCGTTTAAACTACTGCACAATGAGGCTATAGGAGATGTAGGAGGGCTCAAACAGGTTACTGATTGCAGGAATTGCAGCACGTTGTAACTTACTTAAAATTGTGTTCTTTTGTGATTTTCTTATCCCTACCTCCTAGGAACGGGCAGCGAGGAGGGGGCAAGAAATCAGTCTGTATCGAGTATACTGGAATACGTACTCGTTTAAAATGGTGGCTGGAGGATTGTTCAAACTTGCTGCAGACTTCTCCAACTACGTAGGACCACTGTGCATCAGCGGCATCATCGTCTACGCAACCACAAGTATTAATACTGGGACACCTAAAACAGAAAAGGTCTAAACTTTTTAAATTTAATTTATCAAACATTCACCCCAAGAAAAAACAAAGAATTATTCTTTTGTAATACAAGAAACAACGCATTTAGACAACGCTAACATCTTTTGGTCCAATGTATTTTGTTTTTCCTCATTTCTCTGAAGTTTACGTGGAATAATTAAAGTGGCAAAGATATAGCATTCCATGCTATTTTCCATTTCCTTTTATTCTTTGATATTATTGTTTATAACTTTGTATACCTTTTGTAATGTACGTATTACTAGATAATAAAGTTCAATTTTAAAGTTCAAGTTCAATGGAAGTATTAATTTTGTAACTCTATTTCTTTGTTACAGGCGGTAAAGGGTAAATGTTAAACAAAAAATTATTCTGTTCGAAATAAGGGAGTATGTCTGTATGAACAAAAATGATGGGCAGAATCGAATATTATAAGAAGAGGCAATCATAGTATAAAACGAGTCGACCCAACGATAGCGCAGTGCTAACTATTTTTCCTCTAAATTGCTTGATATGGTTGTAAAATCTCATTATTATGAGGTCATCAAGTTTTTATCTTTTTTCAATCTCTTTACATCGGCAGGCTATTCCCCATTACACAACCACTAATGAATTCTTCTCCAATGGCTTCATCTTAGTTGGATGTATATTCATTGCAGCCATCATGAAAGGAATATTTGATCAGTGCTACCAATATTTTTGTTTCATCGAAGGTCTCCATGCTAAGTCTGCTATTCAGGTGAGTGCTATAGATAAAAGCAGATGTTAATATATAAATGAATATATATTTATGTATATATCTTAGGCAATTATGCATCTGTATCATGAATGTTTACAAGATTAAGCATAAACAACAATATTATTAGTAATACTACTAATAACAAAAGGTATATTATTAATAGTAGTAGGAGAGTAGTAGTAGTAGTAGTAGTAGTAGTAGTCATGGGCATTTCATTGAAGAACTCCCGTCAGGTACCCACTTAACACCTGGGTGAAGAGAGACAGCCGTACATCAAGTGCCTATTTCTAAGGACATAATTATGCACTGAGCAGAGATTCGAACCCTCAACTTTTTATTCAGCGTCATATACCACGTACCACGATGCCCTTCATGTTAACCTGTTGTAATCACTGTTCTCATAGAGTATGGTGTATGAGAAGTCTCTTCGTCTGTCAACGTATGCGATGTCGGGTGGGATGATGACCCAGGGTCAGATCACCAACCACATGTCCCTCGATGCCACCAATATTCAACAATTCTTCAACTGGGGTAACGAGTTATGGACAACGCCAATTAAGGTATTTCTTCACAATTGAGGCTTTTTGTTAACACCATGTGGTAGGTGTAATGAAAAGGTTTTGTTTTATTATTTTGTCAAAGGGGTCGGCTTTAATATGCACGGGGCGTTAGAGGAATTTACGCAAAATGAGAAGGGGAAAGAGAACATGATGTAAAGAATGAAACTCTTACATGATACTATTTTTGGTATTGTACCACGCGTTTTAATAGGATGTCGTCGAACTTGAACTTACGATTGTTTTGTGAAACGTACATGGCCCCTTCTTACAAAGAGTTGCGATTGACTCAAAACATTCGCAAGTCCTATAATCAATCGCATGTTGGCAGCCCCTATCAGGCCTATCTCGTATTTAACATAGTTGTGATTGATATCAATCGCAAATAAGTTGTAAAATGTGCACTTAAAAAAGATTTGTAAATTAGTATTACATTTGATTACATTACGAAAATGGTCTATTGGCTTGGGTACTCTAATTCAGAGCTTTTATTGTTTATCCTATCAAGGAATGGATGGAAGGAGAGAAAATCTAGTACACTCAAACCAGTCTGTTAAGACCACCAAAGGGAAACAGAGGAAATGGCCACTGTAGACAGATGGTCTTTCTAGACAGGTTCTGCAACACACATTTCTTTCCATAGTGGCCATGATATAGAGATGGCTACTATTAAAGACAGGTTTACCGTACCCCATTCACTTTGTGATGTTTTTTTTGGATATTTTTCAGTTTGGGGTGACTCTGTATCTTCTGTATCTTGAACTTGGAGTACCGTCTCTGATTGGTGGAGCACTCCTCGTCTCTGTCCTTCCAGTACAGCTCATCTTTGCCGGCTTCACATCCAAGTATATCAAACAAGTCTTGGTAAATATTGATACTCAATTGTAAATTAGAGAGAGGGAGAGAAAGAGAGAAAGAGAGAGAGGAGAGGAGTGTGAGAGAGAGAGAGAGAGAGAGAGCACTTGAACTTGGAGTACCGTCTCTGATTGGTGGAGCACTCCTCGTCTCTGTCCTTCCAGTACAGCTCATATTTGCCGGCTTCACATCCAAGTATATCAAACAAGTCTTGGTAAATATTGATACTCAATTGTAAACTAGAGAGAGAGAGAGAAAGAGAGAAAGAGAGAGAGGAGAGGAGTGAGAGAGAGAGAGAGAGAGAGAGAGCACTTGAACTTGGAGTACCGTCTCTGATTGGTGGTGTACTCTTGTCTTTCCAGTACAGCTCATTTTTGCCGACTTCACATCCAATTATATCAAACACGTCTTGGTAAATATTAATATTTGATTCTAAACTAGAAAGAGACAGGGGAGAGAGAGAGAGAGAGAGAGAGAGAGCGAGAGAGAGAGAGAGAAGAGAGAGAGAGAGAGAGGAGAAGGAGGAGGAAAGAGAAAGAGAGTGAGAAACAAAAAGAGGGAGAGAGAGAGAAATAAGGTATCGATGGCCAGTAGCATGGACAGGGGTGGACTAGGACTGAAATTCGGTAGGGTACTTTTCAATGTACCGGCCCACCCAACCTCAGAAATACATATCAACCGGCCCTCAAGTCAAAATATCGAGCGACCCGCGGGAATTACTCCCCCCCCCCCCCAACTTCACATGGCCAGTCCACCCCTGGGTGTAGCGTGGGTCGAGCCATTGACTGGGCACTGCTGTCGTGAGGGTCACCGTATAACAAGGTGGATGAAAATACAAGGAATATGACGTGAACAATCATATTTGTTTAAATTTCCTTTAATATCTTCCTAGCTTTACTCTGATCAGCGAATGAAATACTCAAATGAGATGCTACAGGGAATCAAAATACTGAAACTGTACGGATGGGAGCGCATCTACTGCAAACTGGTCCAAGCAGAGAGAGCGAAGGAGATGAGGGAGCTGGCCAAAGTGTACTTCATCCAAGCTTGGAATTGTAAGACATATTAATATTAATAATAATAATAATAATAATAAAAACAGTGCTTATAAAGCGCTAACCACCGAAGTCTCTAAGCGCTATAACAAACAAAATATAATGATAAACAATTACATATTAAACAAAACAAAAAAGTGCAAATAAACTTACAAATTACAATACATATGAAATATACAGTGTAAGTTAATCATCAAAAGCAATTTTGAATAATGTGTCTTAAGACATAACTAAATTAGTTTTCACGGGGGGGGGGGGTAGTCGGTAATACAAAGTCATGAGGGTGTAATTTATAGATTATATCAATTTAGATTTTCAACCATTTATTAAATCCATCAAATTATCGTTTCGATGAAAACATTCAAAACCTTAAACTGTTTTTTTTTCAATTACACTCTTGTATATAATGTTTTATTTATGGTTTCTCAATTATGTATTCATATTGCATGGAATTGTAATTATGGTAGTAGATAAAGTTAATTGAAGTCAGCTGAACATAAATTGGAAAGGCTCTATGATCAGTGACAATGATATTTTTCCTTAGTAAATTCTGCATGCACTTCTATCTTATTTCAAATTTACAGATTGTTCCTCTCAGTCTTTTTGTATTGATTAAAAAATATATCCAATTCATGTTCATGAAATAATTAAAAAACTTACACTATTTGAGTTGGTCTTGTAGTACCGATCGTGTCGAGTACGATTCTCAGTCACGTATTTTGGTGGTGACGGTTAAAGGTCAATTATACCTGATATAATAATCATGTCTGATTAATAAATGTATGTAAAAAATGAAATAAATACGATACAACTGTACAACCATGACCATTGCATATCATGCTATATGCATATGACTTGCATGTGAAAATATTCCACACCAAAGGTCGTATAATTGTTCTCTTGATATTTTTTATTTTCCTCAGTCGTCATCAACATTGGAATTCCTACCATGGTAAACTTAGTGGTAAGTAGCAAGTATCATTCAGATTTCTTATTGTAACCCCACCCCCCTCTCTCTCTCTCTCTCTCTCTCCCTCTCTATCTCCCTCTCTCTCTCTCTCTCTCTCTCCGTCTCTCTCTCTCTCCCTCTCTCCCTCCCTCATCCTCCTCTCTCTCTCTCGCCCCTCTACCTCTCTCTCTCTCTCCCCCTCTCTATCTCTCTCCCCATTCTATCTCTCTCTCTCTCTCTCTCTCTCTCTCTCTCTCTCTCTCCTCCCCCTCCCTCCCTCCGCGGTATTGTATAATTATATTTACTTCTCATGTATCATTCTTCTCCCCCAGTCCTTCAGTACCTACACACTTATTACCGGTCGACCGTTGAGCCCAGACGTTGCTTTCTCGTCCCTCTACCTCTTCAATTCCCTGGTCGACCCGATGTTCATCTTCCCCTACGTGATCAGTCTCACAGTCAACTCCCACATCAGTACGAAGAGAATCAAGTTCTTCCTGGTCGCACCGGAGATCGAGGGAAAAGAATCCGAGAAGCAAGGCTCCGAGAAGGTGGGTAACCTCAAGGGAAAGGTTGAGTTCTGGGCCCTGTTTCATAAAACTTGATATCAATAACAAGTTACAAGCTACTGTTATAAGCTACTGAAATCAAGGCATCTGATTGGATGAGAGCAAATTTATCATAGAAATTAAGCATTTGTTATAGATAAAAAGTTTTGTGAAACGGGCCCCTGGTCATGCATGGTCCAAGCAATAAGCCAGTTCGTTGATATAATATGCGCACGGGCAGATAAAGGTCGGTCATTCGTACCAAAGTAGTAAAACCCATCGAGACGAATACTGGATTTTCAAGAGGGCAAACGAAAGATAAACATGAAGAACCTCCATGACTTTGGAAGTGATTATAATAAAATGCACCAAGTGGGACGTCTCCATGTGTAAAATATCTGTGGATATTTGGGGGTCGCATGTACCTTAGCTAACTACGATCTAATCTACAGTGCGTCCCAGAAAAAAAATGAAACCGAGAATGATTGATGTTTTATCATAACTTAATCACAATTATAATTAATAAATGACACATATTTGTAAAGCTTAGATCCTCCTCTTTCATTTTTCAGGGGCCTGAAGTGTTTTTTAATTCCGGGTCACTAAAGAGCAGCATTCGTCTGTCGTCAGCAGAAGAGGAGCTAGACTCCACAACGCGTACTCCTCTTATCGATGGGCGTGACAACAAGAAGAAGTACAGTGCTATGGAGGACTCTTCGTTACCTCCTAAGGATGGCCTTCCAGGCGAAGTGGCTATTAGGGTGAGATGTACTCAATTATCTTTGAATGAAATTGACGATTTTCTATAAAATATTTCAGGGCTAATTGCACGAATCCTGTAGACCTCCGTCAAAATAAATGGAATCAACTACACATTAGGCTACAATATTGGATAATGAATGTGTAATTAATTGCATCTTTAATAGCGATTTTACTGTTTTCCGTATTTCTTTACCCTCCCCCCCTCTCTCTCTCTCTCTCTCTCACTCTCTCTCTCTCCCTCTCTCTCTCTCCCTATCACCCTCCATCTGTCTCCATGTGTCTGTCTACCTGCCTCGACCATTTTATGAATCTCCCATCTCGCCCTCTTACTCTCTCTCTCTCTCCCTCCTTCTCTCCATCTCTCTGCCCTACCTCTTCTTCTCTCACCCCCTCTCTATTTCCCCCTCTTCTCCACCTCTCTCTCTCTCTCTCTCTCTCTCTCTTTTCTAGTCTCTCTGTGAGTGAGTTGGTATTATGATCGTTCGTTTTCATACGAATTCAGCCATATCGCCTATGTACACACACCAATAAATACAATGTATGCTTTCAATTGTGTTTTTACAGATAAAAGATGGATGCTTCACATGGGACCCTGACTCCCATGAGGCCATTTTAAAAAACATCAACGTTGACATACCGGCAGGTAAATTCTCCCTAGTCAAATTTGGTTAAGATCGTAAGTCCAAAGTTCACGGGTTTTTTTAAATCACGGTATTGACACTATCAAATGTTAGGAAACTATTACTTACATACAAATGTTTAAAGACGACGATTACAGGCAGATAACTATAATGAAGCAATCATTATTAGTGGCAATTCTTTATTTGTCACGTTTTTATGATAAGGACGTGACCTACTGTACACATGGTATATAATGTATTATGAAGTGGAGTTGTATGACACTGATTTTAAGATTCTTTATAAATGAACACAAATTGGCAATGTGGTTGATTGAGTAGCTTAAAACAATGTGTGCTGGTCATGGAGCATGCCTTTGTATCCTAATATTGTTTCACATCAACTTAACACAAATGATGTTGTCGGTTTTTTTTGGTGGGATGGATTGATGCAAAAAATGAATACGAATGAAATCATATGAGTTGAAATTGTATAGACCAATACCATGTTGCATTCATTTAATATGGTAATCGGCTTTCAACAATGTAGTCCACCTAAAGATAATCAAATGTATATATCGTTTTATACAACACCTACGTGGATCCTTGTCATTTGATTGGACGATTGTTGGTCACATGATATTCAATAGATGGTATATTGCACGGTCGTGCATTTTTGGTTATATGCGCCGTGCATTTTTGGTTATATGCAGACTGCGTACCTCTCTGCCGTGCGCGCGCGTATCCCTGCGTGTATCTGACGCGAAGGCAATCTGAATGTAATCGAGAAGGCTTGAATCCAACTTGAATTTATCTTTAATATAAGGAGTAAAGCATAATTTGTTGATTAAAGTTCTATTAGATCTTCTTCGATGTTGTATAAAACAAATAATGAATGTTTTTCATTCGTTCAATGGTGCGAATATTTTCATTCGTTGAAAGATTAACATTAATTCTATTCAACTCGGCTGACGCCTCGTTGAATAGAATGTTAATCTTTCAACTCATGAAAATATTCGCACTATTGAACTCATAACCATTCATTATTTGTATAATAATCGTTGAAACTTGTTATAGGTGTATATAATTTTGAAACATTCTTTGATCTTCTATACGATCAGGGAAACTGACGATCGTCGTCGGGACGGTTGGCAGTGGGAAGTCATCCGTTTTACAAGCAGTGCTCGGAGAAATGACGACGCTTCAAGGCCGAATACAAATAAGGTAAATAAAAGTTCATGCCCTCTCAGTTCCAATCATGCGCCTATAGATGATTAATATAGCCATACTCAGTCATCTTCTCCATGAAAAATGTTTCTCGTCATATCTTCGATTACCCCTCTCTCGATAATTATGTTGCAACATTGTGTATTTCCGATCCAATATCAGTCATCAAAATGTTTGTTTGACAATGTCAGACACAAATCTGGTATCCTGCCAACCCTCCAGCAATATCATTTCTGCCAAAGTCAATATTTGTTAAGCGTATATCAGATACCACATTCGTGCTTGTTTTTATCATATTATTTACTGTACAGTGCGTCCCAGAAAAAACGAAACCGAGAATGATCCATGTTTTATCATATAGTTAAATAAATGACACATATTTGTAAAGCTTAGATCCTCCTCTATACTAACCGGCCCTCAGACCACATCGACCTCCCTCAAGTTGAGTTTGGGGAAAACTCCCTAACTAGCCGTGGCCGGTCCAGCCCTGGTGAAAACATATCACGGTTATACATCTCATCTGTTATATAAAATGTAATTTTCATAATAATATCTATAACGTTCTCTCGGTAACTGTGTTAATTTATTATGGGCGTTCCCAACTCAAGCTATGCTTTCCGGGTTTTCGCCTCCTTCCGTATCTGAATTATTTACTGTATACTCTATGTTGAAATAATTGTTACATATATCATGTATATATACATTGTGTTTCATATTGTACTATTGAGAAGAAAATAAATGTTAATAAATACAAATACAAATATCATTCCTTTACTATTTTTGTTTATCTTCTTTACAGTAAAGGATCAAAGATCGCATACGCCCCTCAGAAGGCGTGGCTTGTCAACACATCTCTGAGGGAAAATATCCTATTCGGAGAGCGTTATGACCCAGCAAAGTATGAATATTCTATTCTTCTTCATTATGAATAATACTTGTTATTGCATATCGATGAGGTATAGCTTTAAGAATATATAACTATAATATATACAATGTTTCATTATTGTAATGCTCGGAATCTTATTAAAACGAATGAATACAAGAATGGGAGAAGGAAATATTTATATAATATTGACTGGCCTTGAGGGGTATATCAGAAATATTGACCAAGCTCAGATCATATTGCCCCGAGTCGAAAGACGAGGGCAATATTGTCTTAGCGCGGTCAATATTTCTGATATCCCCCGAAAGTAAAGCCAGTCAATATTTTTATTGTTATCCAAATCAGACATCTAGAGCAAATACAGACATCCACCATGACAATCTCAAGAACTGAACAAACTTTATCAAACCAACACTGTGCATCCAGTGCTTGACAAAATTTTCGATACACTGCAAACAGTGTGTATTTGGTGTGATTATTACGTCACAATAGAGTGCGCGCAAAGTGCGCAGGTTCTCGTACGCATAATAGATGCGCAATGAAAATGCGACGCGGTCAATACAAGATGCCGGGATGCGAGACCGTGGAAAATACCAAGGTATATTTTCACTCGTCTCTACACGCAAAATCAATACGCGCAGGGAGACCAAGGAAAATACAAAGAATATACCCCTCCGTTCCCACTGCTAGTGAAAACTAGGGCAATACGGTTTTGTAAATGACCAGCTCAGATGTCTGATACGGGTAATAATAGTTTATATTAGATAGCTTAGACAGATACCGAGGTGTGATTGGTCCAGAGCTTGTCACGTGATATCATTTGTGAGGATCCAAATTGTTATATTTTCCTGGCCGGTCACTTTTTGGTGTTATATTAACCAGCTGGTGAAATGAATATATTTTTAATCAATGCATGTCGCCCTCTTGAGGACTGTATGTCACCAATTACACACATTACACCATTACCGAGGGTCATTTAATTTTTTCAATATTTTTTTTTCATGAATTTTTTTTTCCCTTGAAATTATTTTTTTCCACATTTTCTTTTTTTTTCCCAAAAAATGCTTTTTTAGGTAATTTTTTTTTTTCCCGAAAAATGCTTTTTTGGGTAAAAATTTTTTTTCCCCAAAATTTGTTTGTAATTTTTTTTTTCTTTCTTGAACTATCTCGACAGATTATTTTTCCGTAATTTCCGAAAAAAAGGGGGAAAAAAAAATTTCGGGTAAATTTTTTTTGGCCCCCCCCCCCCCAGACAAAAAAAGGGCTATCTAATATAACAGTTATTGACTGGCAGGGGGTTTATAACATTCTTTGGACCTGAAGGGAGTTATATTTCCCCTCGTGACCATATTTTCCCTCAGCGCTGCGCGCTTCGGGAAAATATAACCACTTGGGAAATATAACTCCCTTCAGCGGTCCAAATAATGTTATATTACACCCCCTGTCAGTCAATAACTGTATAATATTTATCAAAGGGCAAAAAAAGTTACCTTAGGAATAAGGTCGGTCTGATGGGGATTTCATTGTATTATGAGTATTTTGTATTAATATTTCGGATTGAACGAAGCAATTAATGTTATTAGGTAGTTAATTCTTGTAAACAATAATGTCTCCAAACATGGCTTATATAAATACGAGGCTGGCTGTATTCAGTGGCGTTGCATGGGCCCAACCAATGAAGGAGCTCTTGCTTCATCGGGGAAGAGGGAGGGGGCTCAGGCCTTACTAGGTGAAATAATATGCAGTGAAGATGCGACTATTTCTCCTCTCCCTCTCCTTTCCCCCTTTTCTCTTTTATGTCGCCATTTGATGTGTGGACACATGCCCCTGTGCCCCTATAAATACGCCATTTGCAATACCTCTAAATTATCTATATCCCCAGGGGGTGTTTCACAAAGATGCTAAGTCGACCTTATCTCTAAGGTGGACTTAACATTTATGGAAAGTCGTTAGCATCCTTGAAAATATTTTGTAAAAGTTATTTTTAAAGGCTTAAAATGTTGATTCAAATCATTTATATTTTATATTTTCATGAGAGATTTCATGTTCTTGATGTGGAATTTATGAAAAGTCTAAAATACTTGAATTTTTGCATTTGAATATATTTCATTATAAGGCTACAAATGGCTCTCCATAATATTTAAGTCCAACTTAGAGTTAGGTTTGACTTAGGATCTTTGTGAAACACCTCCCAGGTATCGGAAAGTGGTCGAAGCCTGCGCTCTGGCTCCAGATATCGACATGTTACCTGCAGGTGATGCGACAGAGATTGGAGAGAAAGGACTCAACTTGAGCGGTGGTCAGAAGCAACGTGTTAGTGTAGCAAGGACTATGTACTCAGGAAGAGACATCATAATACTGGTAAAAATCAATTTAATCCCACTTGTCATATCTATCATGGTAACTCACACAACATGAAAAACTTCTTCTTTTTTTGAGGGGGGGGGGGATCGGTTGAATATCTGAAATCGTGTTCTTTTGAAAATGTTCTAAAATTTGCATCAAATTTCTGGTACTAGAACTAAAGATTATCTTGAATATCGTAAGTCTGTCTTTTTATTCTTCTTATCTTAACGAATTCATTTAAAGTACTTTGTATTTTACCCTTAAAATGTATATATATTTTCATATAATTTGAAAGATTTATATTGCATGTTCTTTAAACTAATGAATGAATAAAGACTGAAGATTTATCTCTTTTTATTCTAACTTTGCGAATGTTTTTTTTTGTCTTCTTCTTTTTACTGACCAAGACCTCATTTTGCGACCGTTATTTCGCTTTAATTTCGATTATGTTTACGGTTTCATTTTAGGATGACCCCCTGTCAGCCCTGGACATGCATGTTGGTAGTCACCTCTTTGAGAATGGTATCATGAAGATCTTGAAGAAACAGAAGCAGACCATAATACTCGTCACCCATCAGCTACAATACCTTCCAGAGGCCGATAAGGTGAGTGCATGACGTAGCTACAGGGGCATGTGAGGCACGCCCCCCCCCCCACCTCACCCCATGACAAATGGCGGGAAGAAATACTAGAGGGGGAGAAAAAGGGAGGGGAAGGACGAGATAAAACCCCTTTTAAGTTTTACGACTGACATGATCATGAGACAACTTGAAGCAGATTGCTTTTGTAAGAACGTTTTATGATGAAATAATATTACTATACGCGAATTAGTTTGAAGCCAAGGAAGAACAAGTCGCTGTTAACGTGTGTGATGTTTGCTCATAATACAAGAATAAACTGTATCCTCTTTAAAGATATAAACCAGTTTTGGAAATGCCCCCTCTCAAAAGAAGAAATGGAAGCTCTTATTACCAATCATGTGAAAGAATACGTTTTGACTAATACGTGATGATATAAATTTTGCCGGGAAACCGCCTATTGATTGATATATTTGGTATATTATTATATCTATCCAGTCCGGATAGATATAATAATTTATCGCGTAGTCCCATATATATATTTCTGTGTAGTTTCTAGAACCTTGCAATACACACCAATACTTATATGCTAGATGGTCAACCATATCTGATCGATTCCACAACGTTTCTTTCACATTGCAATCGCATGACCAGAACTGGTCTTTACCTTTAAATGAGGAAATAAAATTAATAACCACCTCGCCTTTTCCGTTTTTCTTCAGATCATCATCATGAAAAATGGAAAGATCTTGAGAGAAGGTGAGCCGGATGAAATAGGCCGGGAGGACCCAAGCTTGATGAGAGATTGGCAGCAAGCCATCAGGCAGATGAGCGAGTCAGAAACCGAGATGTCCGAGTCCGAGGCACTGCTGGAGGAAAGGCGCTCGCTCAAGAGACAGATATCCTTTCTCTCTAGTGCATCTACCAAGGAAGTATCTTCGACGCATGACGACAATGGTATGACAATCGTAAAGACAAATGTCCGCAGTTTCGCCGCGGTGTGCAGTGTGTTGATTTGCAGATTAAAAACAGAGTTGGCCCTAATACTGATCCTTGTGGAACACCACATCTTATCTTCTTCCTTTGATATTCCCTGACGTCGTACTTGACTTGGTGGAAATACCATGAACGGGTGTACAAAATCTCGCATACAGCGAATTAGGATGTCCCACCAAGAACCACAATGCAGTCTCTCAGAAAGTCTTCGGGTAGGGGAAGGGGTGGTTTGTGATGATGAAATTTCGTTATGGGCGGTTGGTGGAGGGTGTAGTGCATTACATAAGACACTCCTGCTGATTGATAAAATCTTTGATCTAGTTATTACCTGAATGGTGTTAAATTCATCATGAGAATCCATGCTCACGTGTCTTTAAGCCAAATTAGCCTTATTATAGCCATAATAATAGGACCCACGCTACACAACTATATTACTCGATGCCTAAGGAGCACAAGATCTAATATAAACCCTTAATCTTTTTCCTTTAGCCCCGGGTAAATGAAAACTGTGTTTCCGACACAAATGAGAAAGGGAGAACGATGAAACTGAACTCAGCGAAAAGTGAAAACAAAAAGATATTCATGAAGACCAGAACTATCTCCAAGCTCTTTGTGTAGTCCATACCGTTAATGTCTTTTTTTTTAAATATTAAACCGGCGTCTCTTTCAAAACTTGAATTGCAGATGATGAGCGAGGACGTCTCATTGTGACAGAGGACCAGGAGAAGGGCTCCGTCTCTTACGGTATCTACCTCTACTACTTGAAAGCCGTCGGGTATTTGGTAGCTCTACTGGTCGCATTTGCTTCCATAGCGGGTGCAGCTATAGAAATAGCTACCAATTTCTGGTTGGCTAGATGGTCTGAGGCGAGTCTACAGACCAATAACACCCAGGTAATGCAAAACATTTGGTTGATTTATTTATGAATATGAACAAACACCATCGCACTCATCATCATCATCATCATCATCATCATCATCATCAAAGCCAACGTCATCATCATAGCCACCACCATCATCATATTAAAAAAAAAAAAAGTTGTATGGTGATGGTTCATTAGCTAAGGTCATGCGTAATACGAAAGATCCAACCCATCCTTTGTTCAGTCACTTTAGTTTCAATAGATCTTGTGTTCGCCTTTGTGTCCCCCCGTACCAAGCGGGTTCACTTTAGAAGCTCATTTGTCCCTTATTTTCCATCCACATGTAATAGTAGTAGTAGAAGTAGCAGTAGCAGAAGAAGTAGAAGTAGTAGTATCATTATTATTTTCATTATTCTTGTAATTATTATAATGATTATTATTAATATTATTATTACTATTATTGTTGTATCTATTATTATTGATATTATTATTATTATTATTGTCGTTATTTGTTATTATTATCGTCACCATCATCATTATCATTAACGTCCTGCTGTGTTTAATGCCAATATAGCAAGCCATTGATGACGCGAGTTACTACATTACAAACTACGCCATCCTATCCGCCTTCAACGTACTCTCCAGAATGACGTACGTCGCCTTTATTTGCTTTGGAATGTACTTTGCCGCCAAAAAGCTGCACTATCAGATGTTACTCAACGTTATATCTATCCCATTAAGGTATGTTCTTCACCTTGGTCGTGGTGTATATTGTAGAGATTGATTGATCATCAATGATGGTATATAATTTGTTACCTGACTGCTATTTTTTGTCGGTCATGTCATCGTTTCGTTTCTCTCACTAGCCCCCCCCCCCTCCCCCTTCACTGAGCGAAATATCGGGCGGCGCGATTTTTACATTTGCGGGGGCAAAAAATAATTTAAAAATTGTTGCTCACTATCCCCCCCCCCGCCTCCCCCCTCTCCCCCCTCTGAGAGAAATATCGGTCGGCGCGATTTCCAAATTTTCAAACACCCTCCTTGAAAAAATCCTGCGTACGCCACTGATATACCAACAAGAGACCAAACAAAACTGAAATTACACCAAATGGGAAAGGATTGGCTGGTTTAGAATCGGTCTGGAGTGGGTTTAACGGTTTGCCTAATGTCTCAGACATATTGGCCCGAATTCACAAAGGAGGTTTGTCGACAAACCTTGGTTTTCGTACGTCATGTGACGCATTTTTACACGTTTTTTTTACAAACCTGGTTTGTAAAGAACAAAAGGAGGTTTGGCGAAACAAAAGGAGGTTTGTCGACAAACCTCCTTTGTGAATTCGGGCCAGTGAGTGCATCCGACTTGATTTCAAACCCACGACCGTTCAGTTAGGAAATAAATATGGCATAAATCGAATCTCATCATTGAAAGTGCGTTTAGCATGAAAGTTCATCGTCCCGGGCAAAAACGAAAGTTTGACATCTTGTGTTTGAATTGTTAATGAAATCTTAGGTTTAAGTAGATTAACTTAAGACATGTTTCATGCACATTTTATGGCTTCCTTGGTTTATAAAAAGAAACACGAATCTTTTGTGAAATAATTACTTCGGACAATATCAAAAAGCCTTTCGAAATATCAACATATAAGGCATTTTCAACAGACTTTGCCCCCCGTCCTAATGAAATGTGCAAACATTACAATGATGAATTGTGTAATCCGAACATAAATGTATATGGGATATCTGATGGGGCATTGGAATTTCAATTGTTGATTTCCCGAAAGTCTTTGCGATCGCGTACCTCGCTGATTTGCACTTATTTTGTCAACAGGTTCTTCGATACGACGCCAACTGGCAGAATTCTGAACCGTTTGTCAAGCGACACCCAACTTATCGATCAAGTAAGTTTGGTTTCGTTTAACCCACTGGAACTATGTAATAAGCCTATGGAATGCGAGTTTCAGTAGTCAACAGGTTAAAGTCTACTAATGTTGATAATTCTTCGGAGGAGCGGAATCGTAGCTAATGTGACGTGTAGGAAACTTTCGCTTCCATTTGTCATAAGCAGTTGATTGTGGAGGGAAGGGGGAAAAAAATGGGGGGGGGGGGGTAATAATGTTACTAATTCAATCACGTGGATACAAATAGTACAACATTACCACATTGATTTATGAAAGTTCTTTTTTCGTGATAAACCTTGATGAATCATCAAGAGGTTTATAGAACATTCTTCTGTTCATATACGAGATAAAGACATTAAAAAGAACGTTGAGTTCCGGTCAAGGTGAATATTGATTTGTGAGTTCTTATGTTCTTTTCGTTTCACTTTAGAAGTATATCATTTTAAAAACATTTCCCCTTAAAAGGATTGGTCCTCAACTATTATTCGAAGTATGATGAGAAAAAAGCTTACAATTTTGGAGCAATCTTTCACTCCCCAGTGTATAGTCCCATATACAAATTTCTATGTGCAAGATTGAGTACATTTCTTATCATTTAATGATTCCGTAACTTCACAGTGTTATTATTAACTTTTCCCAATTGCTTCCAGTTTCTGTCACGATGTAATCCCTTGACCAGAACTCTTATTTTCTCCATCTTTAACATGTATATTAAAAATTTAATGTCTGTATCAAATTTTGAAATGATTTTATTTCATTTGACCTCTAGCGACTTGTGCAATCGATGCGTCTCTTTATCAACATTAGCGTGGTGCTCTTGTCTGCATTCGTCATCATCATCTCCGTCAACATCTACTTCATATTCTTCGTGATTCCCATCGCCGTCGTCTTCGTCATCTTGCTGATGTTCTATGTTGTCACATCAAGGTAAGGGATTCAAATCAGTGAGTTGTGTGTACATGTAGCTACAGAGCCCCCCTCTTTGAGTAATGGCAAAAAATGAAAAAAAAGAGAGTAAGGGAAAGGGAGAATGCGAAAATGACGAGAAAGGAATACACCTGGACCACCTCCCGCCCCCCCCGATCTATTAAATCAGAAGCCTTGTAAATTAGCATTTCATTTTCCAAGTAAGACCAGTACCCCCCTTCGTTACAGGGCCCCCTCAATGAGTGGACTTACGCTATGCCACTTTATAGTGAAGGGATGCAGTTCATTTTCCTTTGATATAGTTGAACATTTCATCTTAACGAACTGCCTAATTTTTTTTCATTATATTTTGTTGACTTACATCTTTACAGCTCTTACAAATCAAGGTCTACGCTTGATTGCATAAAATCAGCTCCGAAAAGTTGAGCACCTCCTCAGATAAAAAACATATTTTCTGATCTCAATTATTGATTGATGTAAAAGTAACCAATTCAGTGGCCTATTTGACAAAAGGTCGAATGATAGACAAAAGCTGACATGTCTGAGAAATGAATGTTGGAGCACTTAAAATAATTATGTCAATAAACTTTTTTTTGGTGGTCATTTCTTTCATATTTTTCATGCCGGTTCTATATATTTATGAAGTCTTTCCATATAAAAACCTCTTTACTTGATGTAAAAGAAACTTTTCTTTTTCATCATGCCGGTTTTACTTTTGTTAAATTATATCGCAAGTAAACTAAATGACTACTCTTTTATCATATCTGACTTTTGAACAGGGAGCTCCAGCGTTGTGAGAGTGTCACACGGTCACCAATTTTCGCCCATTTCTCCGAGACACTGGGCGGATTGCCAACTTTAAGAGCCTTCAAGTGAGTGATACACGGTTGGTAAAATCAATCTGACACATAATATACTTCTTTGCCCTTATTTTACATCTTCCTTTTTAAGGATAAATCGAGCTCATTCTTAAAATACTTTCAGTAACAATTCATTTTTCCTGCATCTAACATGAAGGTGGTGAGTAGAAAGGTAATTCATGTTCTGATTTGTTTTCTTTCACCTCCACTCTTACTGGTTAGAGAACCTAACAAATTGTACAGGAAATGTAAGCTACATCTATTAAATATGTCTACTTTAAAAAAAAGATGAACATTTAACTTATGTACTTTTTAATCAACCACCATGTAAAATAACACAACCCTTAGATGCTCCTGAAATGGAAATATTATTTTGTTGAGTTAAAGCCGACGAATAAATTAAGCAGCAAACACTTGTGCAAAGCATTTTTGCAAACTGACAACAACATGATCGCAACGACTTTCAAGTAATCAACTTGAAGGCATTTTGTTTGAAATACCCTATTTCCTGCAAAAATCGTGCTCGGAAAATGCAATATGTCATTCAAATGTTACACATAACTTTCCTGTATCATGACTTTTTTCTTCTTCTTGTAATGAATATATCTTCTTGTAATAAACAGGGATGAGAAACGATTCTTCCAAACGGCATTGGATCGCATCCTCATCAACAACACAGTATTTACATACCTCATCACCGCTCAGAGATGGGTTGGAATAAGACTGGTAAGTAGGAAATGCCGATTTCAAAAATTAATTGAAGCAGCAACAAACAATTTCCAAGATGGTAATAACGTTTGACGACACAATGATGGTACGACAATGATAAAGATGCTGCAGATGGTACTGATTAATAGTATTAACCGTGAATAATGTACAGGTAATTAGGATAGTGATCACTCTTGATGATGACGATGATGATGATGATAAGGAGGAGGAAGAAGAGGCGGATAAAATATGATGAAGACAATGCTTGATAATAATGATGATGATGATGGTGACGATGATGAGATGATGATAATGATGATGATGATGATGGCATTGTATTGATTTTAGACTTACAAGACAACCTTACAGACCTACAAATGTTTCAAAACAGATTGTCAATTCCATATTCTCAGCAAATAACTTCTTTTAGAATATATTAAATAGCAAGAGCATTATCTTTATTACAGGATATGCTGGGTGCCGTCGTGGTTCTGTGTTCAAGTTTACTCTGTCTGCTTGGGGCATTCTACTTTGGTATTGATGTAAGCCTCGTAGGACTGGCTATTTCATATTCACTCGAGGTAGGTCCTAAATTATCTGAATTATTTATATTTAAATATCTTAGTCTATCTTTGTATCTCTGAAAATGCAATCATTTGTCTGCAATCGATTGAATGATTACATATACATGTTATGTAAACGCTTTGAAAGATTGGCGTATAATTTCCAATCTTCACATTATTGTTCTACTCCCTTAGCAGGGTGGGGATGTTGGTTGTGATTTAACTCGTCCTCATCAGACCCTATAAATATAGCTTATTGGAATGCATGACAAATATATTTGCGATATAAGCTTAGAATTCTTGTGAGGTTTTTAGCTATAGATAAAATCGTATTATCTTGTTCTTTGATTATTCACCTCTTTATCATGATGATCGACCTTGTTTAAATCACACTTGATGTGTATTGGCTCAGTGGTCGAGCAGAGGTCTCGTAACCGGGAGATCCCGGGTTCGGAACCAGGCCGTTGTTCTATGCCCTTTGGTTGGGCGTTCATTCGCACTACCCCATCCCTCGGAAATCACTTAATGCCGTAGGTCCCTTGGTTACTTATCTAAAGTCATCTACCTGCTTGTGACAAGTTGAGTAAAATAAAATCATCGATCAATCCCATTTTTTTTCTCGATAGATATCACTTTTCATGAACCTGAGTGTTCGGGCCGCTGCCGAAGTTGAGCTTCAGATGAATGCAGTCGAAAGAGTCAAGTACTATGCAGAGCTGCCAACAGAAGACTACAGTGGTAAGTACTAGTAGTACCATGAGACAGAGACAGAGACAGCGAGAAAGAGAGAGAATAATATGAATTCTTGTATCAAGATTTGCTTCTTCTGACGGGATCGACATCTCCAACGTTCCTCTCCACTCCCTTCGTCAACTTGTTTATGTTTATGATCATTCTTTTTGTGATATAGGACATTTTTTTATTAGGAGTGTCACTTAACCCTTTTCAATATTAGGGCGAAACATCCGAAAACTATTAACAGGCAAAAAAATGTTTTTAAAGGGTTCGTCTGACTTCAGTTTGAGTCTTGAGTTTAAAAAAAAAAAAAATATCAAATTAATTTGCAGATGAAATAATCAGGATGATGATGATAGCTTCGTGAGTAGCGACGGTATCCTCCTCTGTTGGGCACTCGTGGTGCTTGCTCTAGAATGTCTCACAAATGCCACGTTCTTAGTAAGTGTGTAAATGAAAGTTTAAAGTTCATTCGTCTTTGTTAGCAGTCGTAAGCGCGAAAATGTCCAAAAAAGCTCTAATAACAATTTGCTTGTCATCATCTTATGTCTCATTATATACCCTTCTTTCAGGTACTGAACCGCCTCCTTCCTGGCCTGACAAAGGTCTGATTGAGATGGACAATATCAGTGTACGCTACGCTCAGGAACTTGATGCAGTCCTCACGGATGTCGATCTTACTATACCAGTACAAAATAAGGTATGTTGGTTGGAATAATTCTTGTTATAAAGGTTCTACTTATTAATGTATTAGTCATGTTTTTAATGATCGTTAATATTAATGATGTTTGAATCAGAATAGACAAATATTTATCTATTAAATTCTATGTATCAATCAATAAAGCAGAAATATAATTGATCCATTACGTATTTAGAGTAAAGGTGCTCAAAGTATGAATTATAAATTTATGTACAATGCTCTTTACCATTGGCCTATCTTATCTTCTTATTTTTTCATATCTTATATATTACTGATGTGTCATGTACATGTATCTATCCGTTGTAAAAGAATCAGCAATTTGGCCCACAAGCCACGAATAATGTTTTATTTATCTTGTAAAATCAAATAACCGTTTAAAATGAATGAATTAACTCTATAATGTGCTTATACTAGCTGATTGTCAGCTAGATATCGTCGTCACATTTTCTTCCCACTAACTAACGAATGCAGTTTCCCTGGAAACTACATGTTCGTTGAATATAGACAAGATAACAAGTGATATGCGGGAACATTTTGGTTGATTGAAATTTTTGTTTCAACTAATCTCTCTACAGCTTGGGATTTGTGGTAGAACAGGGAGCGGCAAGTCGTCTCTAACCCTCGCCTTGTTTCGTATCATTGATACATTCAAAGGTAAACTTATATTTGTTTTCCTTAGATGTCTTTCACCTTTGTATTAATTATATAAATGAACATTTGAGCATTACATTTTTCTCTTAAATGTCGTATGCTATAGGATTTCCGCGAGTTTGTCATTCAAATTAATTTGTCTTGGGTTCAAATTCGACGGTTTTAGTGCAGTCAGGTATATCTCGGGTTTGTATTCCCTTTTCTAGTTTTCAAATCTATGGAATTTTTGTTAGAATCTACGTATGTTTCATTCAAATTAATGAACAATGTGCTTCTTTCGCTATTTGGTCATTCGATTTGGTGCAACACGATTTTCTGACAACGCGGCGGTGTACTTTTAGCATTCTAATTCATTTGTAGCATTCAAATTAGCACTTTGTGCACTTAAATTGATGGTCAATATACATTTCTCGTTTATTACACACTTTTTATAGCTCGTTCTTTTTCTTTCAAGATTGTGGCTGGTAACTTCTTGGTATTTCATCATATTTCATTTTCTTGCATTTATACACTTATACTTATTAGATTTATCTGATATTCATCAGCATTTAAGTTTGATTGTTAAGAAGAAAAAAACGACTTGCATCTATACGGACCTGATGGTCTCAGTATATTTGTAAATGTTCATGTAAGGAAGTTGTTTGTCTTATGTTTCGTCATAAATTTATCATAATTTCTTCATGGAAGAAGGGTACAATATTGTGACTGGGGTAGGGACTAGAGTTAACAATTTGAACATGATTTATTATATTTAGCCATGTCTTTAGCCATCGATCTGCTGGCGGGCAAGTAAACTATGAAACTCTTTAAGAAAAACAGAGGGGTGTGCTGGGTATAAGAGACGATGTGAATTATTTTTGTAAAATTCCGAGTTTGTAGTAAAAAGGGGCGATTGAGGGTACCCCCACCTTTCCCGGGTATATGAACATGTCCGTGCATAAATGCCATATCCCTTGATTTCGCCCCTTCTTTACTTTATGTCTGACTACACCCATCTGCATTGTCCTGAAAATTAATAAATGGAATAACAGCTTAGACCCCAATGGCAATTCGTGCATTTTAACTGCATTATTTAAAAACTGTAAAAGTTTGTTGCAATTCTTCCCCCTAACATTCCTAACTTGAATAAAAAATATTACGAATACGAATGACAGGTGTTAATTTGAATGATAAAAATTACGCTTCGACAAGTGAATATTAATTTGAATGCTAGTTGAGCAGTTTCTAAATTGAATGACAGATCTATGAAACCCTTCGACCAAAATCCTAAATTAAATACAAAAACTGGACAATTGAATGATAATTGGCATGGCAAAGCCGATCTGCGCTAACTTAAATGCAAAGTAAATGAATTCGAATGACAAACACGCGAATTTGGCCGGGAAATCCTATATCATTGTCTGTTCATCGCCCAGGAGGATCTTTGTTTCAAATGGTAAAGATGAGGCAGTTTGGAAATGATTTTGAATTACACGAGAAGTAGGATCATATAAATTTAAGATTGAAATAATATTTGGTTCTCATCAACGTCCTTAAAGAGTTTTCCGGGGAGTTTTCGTACGTTGGTGTAATAAATACCGTACCATCAGTCAGTTCCATCTGATATAATTAGTATGCATCTTATGTCACTCCTAAATTCATATCACATGAGATTTGTTACAAAATTGGAACAAGGGATGTTTTGGGCCTGATTTTCTAAATTTTGATTCATTTATTGAAGGCCGCATCGTCATTGACGGGATCGACATCGCCACCGTTCCTCTCCTCTCCCTTCGTCAACGTCTCTCCATCATCCCACAAGATGCATTCCTCTTTACTGGAACTATTAGGTAACAATTATTTCTCATTTTTTCTAAACGCTCTTCTCGTCTTTTAATCATTCGTCAACATGCACCCATCTTCTCTGTATTTGGTAGCGTCCTTTTCCCTGGTCTTTTCTTCCCCTCTCCGTATTTGTTTTCCTGTCTCTCTATCGTCCTTAAAAATACCTCCGTAGTAATTAGGATTTTAGGACTATAAAGACCAGAACTTATTTCGTCTCTTTTCGTCGCTCTCATCTTTCTCTTTCTTCTTCTTCTTTCATGTCTATGTCTGTCTTTATCTCTTTCTTTACATCAATTCTCTATATCTTCCCTCCTCTGTCTATATGGCTGTCTTTCTGTCTTTCGATCTGTCTGTCTGTCTCTGTCTCTGTCTCTGTCTCTCTATCTATCTATCTCTTTTTTATTCTACATTTAACTTTAAATAATGACGATTCATGAAAATTAATATTTAAAACAAATAAATCTTGTGTCCATTTCATAGGAGCAACCTCGACCCCACGAGTGATAAGAGTGACGAGCAACTTTGGCAGGCATTAGAGATTGCCCAACTCAAAGATATTGTCACACAACTTGACATGGGATTAGGTTGGTATCCTCGAATGGATTTTGTATTTAAAAAAATATATATTTGGTCGCAGGGAAGTGAATTGTTTTGTTCTTGATACTCTACCGAGTCACATCTAAAATTAAGGATTACGAAGACAACCACGGAGTGATAATGTTGGTGATGTTGATGATGATGATGATGATGTTGATAATTTTGATGTCGATGATGATGATGATGATGATAATTATGATGTTGATGATGTTGATAATGATGATGATGATAATGACGGCGGCAGCGATGATGACGGCGGCAGCGATGATAACGTAATTATCACCTTGAATTCTGACTTAATTATAATTCATTTTGATTTCACACAAATTTTTTTTTTTTTAGATTTTTCATGAAATCTCCATACGTCATCTAATAGTAATATTCATCTGAGCTTCATAGATCATCGCTACTATGTAACCAAGGTATTTATATACAGTAACCACGAAATTCATCTTTGATATATTTTAGACTACCAGGTAACTGAGGGAGGGGACAACTTTAGCGTCGGACAGCGTCAACTCTTCTGCCTTGCCAGAGCTTTCCTGAGAAACTCCAAGATTGTCGTCATGGATGAAGCGACTGCATCAATAGACCAAGAGACAGTATGCGGCCAATTCTTGTATTTTCATTTTATTTTTGTCGATACTAATTTTTTTTTATACGAGTAGGTTAGTATTCATTTTCGATGCAGTTTTAATATGACGATTGAATCAAAAACTCATCAGATATTGAAAAAAACGATTGCAAAACTTATAAGTACCCTGCTGTATTGCTTATAGAAATCATGTCCGGATTATAAAAGTCATTGCCATTTTTGCACATTTCAAGAAGGTAAAGCACAAGGCTACTGAAATTGGCTCGGTTATTTCTTTTAAAGTCTCTGCAATCGTTTCATAATGACAACATCTTTAGAACCGTTGATTTGAATATGGTTTAGATACAAATATTCTATTGATATCATAACATTCTGATGGCAAGTTCTTTTCGTTTGTCTTCTTCTAAAGGATCTGATATTACAAGATGTCGTAGCAGATGTCTTCCAGGATAGGACCGTCTTGACTATCGCAGTAAGTATACTCCTCCTCTTCCCTTTATACACGAAGTACTGACATTGGCAAGCAAATAAAACAGGAGATTATACAATCCTTATTATTTGTGGGGAAAAATACTTTAAGAAGGTACACTCCAAATCTGAGAACATATTGAACAAGATGAAAGCACGAGATCACATAAACATTTAGTAGGACAGAACTACAAGATTATGAATGATTTTAAAAGAGAATCTTAATTTTGATGATGAATAAGTACATGGGACTCTCAAATTGACAAAATGGCCATGTTTGTTATGTAATTGTGGACAGTTCTTCCTTTTGGTTGTACATTTTCTTCTATCCTTGTCGTTCTGATCCTGTTTTGCCCTATATTCTTCATTTCCTTTTGTCTTCATTCACCATTCCCTTCTATCTTTTTCTCTAGTAAGCATTGTCACCATTATGCATTCGTAATCTTTCCAGCTGTCTTCATTTTGTACATATTCATGAATATTTAAATGTATGTTAGAGGCGGAGTCAGATTTGGTGAAGGGGAACTTTAATATACCACCCAAGCATGCCCTTACAAAAAAGTGCAGCATTACAGGTATTTTCCCTCATATTTTAGAATTACCTGAGTTATTGTGTGAGTGATCGTTTAATTATCTAAACCCCTCTAAGCATTATCGTCTTCTCGTTTTCTTTTTCTTTCACGCAGCATCGAGTGTCGACTATCCTGAACGCGGATTCGATCTTAACGCTACAGGACGGAAAGGTGATCGAGTACGACTCGCCAAATAACCTCCTCGACGACGACACCAGCATGTTTGCTTCTCTTGTCAAGGCAGGGAAGTAATGGCTCAGGTGCAAACCCTAAGCGAAGGGTGATAGAATCGCGAAAAATATTAAACAAATAAAGAGAAAAGAAAATGGAGAAATAGAAAAGTAATGGGAAAAAGATGATTAGACAACTTCATCACCCTTTTCTAATCTTAGGCCATGTTAATTCGTATTTCATCCATATTGAAAGACCGGTGCCGAGTGCAAGTACAACCTCAATGTCTAAGCCCATGTGACGACATCGAAGAAGGTTGTTTTTTCCAAATAAGGAAGGTGAAATAAGATGATAGATGATGATGATGATAGTGGTCATGTTGATGATGATAATCATGATTGTGTATGATAAAACGTTGTCAGCCATTACAGGATATGGGCTGCGTTATGGCGTTGATACAGAATTGCTTTGTTTTTCATCTTTAATATACTAGTAACTAAAATTCTGATGAATAGAAAATACTTAAAGACACCCAGTCTCAAAGTAATTTCCGAATGAACAGGTAAATGAGGAAAGTCCAGTGACAAAAATAGGGAATTATGTGTTAATGATATATGCATTAATTTCTTTTTCATATATTCTATTTCTCCGGAGCATCTCTGCTCTCTGCCCCCCCCCCCCCCCCAAAAAAAAAAAAAATAAAAAATAAAAATAAAAATCCTCCTCTCAATCTCTCTCTCTCTCTCTCTTTCTCTGTCTCTCCCCTCTCTCTATATTCATCCTTTTTTTCTCTCTCTTTCTCAACCTATCTATCTATTTAACTCCCTCCCCTCCCCCTCCCCTCTCTTCCTCCTATCCTTCCCCTCTCTTTCTCTCTCTCTCTCTCTCTCTCTCTCTCTCTCCCTCCTTCTTTATCTCTCCCTCCCTTTATATCCTTACTCTTACTTTTTTCATTGTTTATCTACAAAACAGCAACGGACATGAGCTAGTTTAGACAAGCATGAGCTTTATTAATAAATAACATGCTTCTTATATTTTAAAAAATGTATAAAAAAAAGTTGTTATTGTTCACCCTGAACTTATCTATATAATTCAGTTAGCATTCAGTTTTCATCAATTATCTAATATCACATTGGAATTTCGATTGTGTTCATATTTGTAACGAAATTGTACTTTCCAGTAATATTTTAAGAGTTTAATATTTCAATGAAGTGAAGGGGTTACTAGGCTCAGTAACTCTTCTTGTCATGCTATTTGTAATATGTAAAGCCTAATTGAGAAGACAAAAATACTTGAACGCTGTATGTTTGTTATGAAATTAAAATCTATTTGAAATATACTTAAATGTTTATTATTCACGCATTCTAAATAATGTGCCTGTCTTAAAACTGTATATAAAAATGTATGTCGCCTATGCTTGAGCTCATTCGCTTTGTTCGTCAATATATCATCGTTTATTATCCTTAAAACCATATCATATCGAAATCAAAGACATCCAAATCACAAAAGAAAAAAGAAAAGATGGGAAAGAGGAAAGTTCATCTAAACGCAAATTGGGGTCAAGAAATATAATGTTTGTGCTGAAATACATTGATCACCATTAGCTCGGATGTTTGCATTGTTTGATTGTAAAGTGTTGCCATCACTGCCATACACCGATGTTCAAGCTAATTCCCCCCCCCCCCCTTAAGTGTGTATATGCGTGTGTGTGAAACTTCTAAGAGAAAGGGTCCGGTCAGAAATTTTTAATAAATAAAAACCTTGAGTATTTTCCGGCATTTTATGAGAAGCACTGTTCTAATTAATTTTGTTACTCATTTTCTCACTGTAGATTAGATGCCAAAGTTGCAAAGCCTAGCTACTTCTTAACACTTTCGCTGTACTTTTTATTCGGTCTGGTGCAAGTTATGACCACAAATTTTGCCGTACATTTTATGTACCGGTCTCCCAAATGGATTTTCTTGAAGACATTGACATATACTTCGATTGAAAGTTGTAACGTTTACCATAAAATACAGACTTTAATCTAAATAAGTGTAATTTGCTGGTTTTAAAAACCAAGACAGTGTACGTCAGTACGTGATAAATAAAGTGCATATAGGTATGGAAGCAACCGATCGACAGATATCGATGTACAAGAGCGTCGCTAACTAATTTTGAATGGCGATACCAACAATAATTGACCTAAAACAAACAACGATACGGTGCTGATAAAAAGAGAAATTCATTATATTTTTAATCATGTATTGCCATGTTATTGTTTGTAAGTCCATACATGTTAGTGTATACGTGTATTTTATAAACAGTAAAACTGTCTTTTGGATTAATGTGATCATACCAGTACTCATCGTATTTTGCAATGTCAAATAAGCGTGAAAAAATGATTGTTGAATAGAGATTTGCATGATTTTCAACTTGAATTTGTATTGCTCCATACTCCATAATTATAGACGTTGATGTAAATTTTAAAATTAAAAAATTTAAAATTTAAAATGTAACTCAATTCTTTGTGATTCTTGACTTTTGATCGCTTTTGAGAGCTTTCAGCAAATGAACAGCAGCCTTAGTTTAAATAAAACAAGTCTTACCGCTATCGTCAGTACTGTTCTATCTCTAAAAACCTCCTGTACAACTCCTTGTATGATCTTGTCCTATTTAAAGGTAATACAAAGTTTTGGTATGGGGTCTCGAATTTGGTTCAAATGAACATTAGACAGTGGCGGATCCAGGAATTTCTTACCGGGGGGCACAAAATCGCATGGGGTGAAATATATGAAAAACGATGGAGCGAGGCGTCAGCGGCGAGGGAGCGGAGCGACCAAGCGGGGGTGGGTCTGGGAGGGGTTCAGAACCCCCTCCCTGAGTAGGAGGCATTTGCAATTTTAGAACCACATTAGGTGCATTTTCAGGCACTTCCTGGAGTAATATGACGTAAAATTGCTTTTTCCTACCCCCTCAAAGAGTAGGGATACAGGGGCGGATGATGGGATCTGGCTTTTTGCTAAGGGGGGGGGGGGATTGACCCAATGAGGACACGGAGCATCGTCCACGAGCCGCGAAGCGGCGAGGCGATTTTTGTTGTTGTTGCTATTTTGAACCCCCGTAAGTGATGTTTTCCTGGCATCTACTAACACTATGGAGACCATAAACAGCAGTGCACCATAACGCCTTTTTAAATCAAGTAACAGTTTAAGGGGGGTTTGACCCGATGACGATGCGGATACTGTGTGGGTCTGGACTCATGTTCACATCACATTTTAACTTGGCAGCCCAAGGGGGGGGGGGGGGGGTTAAACCCCCTAACCCCTCCGCCATCCCCCCACAGATCCGCCACTGGGATCTTTTGCAAAATGGAAGCAAGAATCATTACATGTAGGCGATGGAAAAAAGTGCTTGCGAAACGGAAAGAAACTTCGCGGCCACAGGGATGACAGAAAATAATATGACAATGAAACCAGCAACTGTGGCAGGATTAATGGCGGGGACAATCTGCATGCTGAAAGAGCACTTATAATAGGTATATCGGAAAATTAATTCAAGACTAAGTTATAAGTTATAAGTTAGAAGTTATAAGGGAGATAAAATCTTTGGTATTAGTCATTTACCCGGTAAAAAAAAACACCTTCTTATAATATCATCCCCCTTTCTTTCTTTTCCCTTCTCATTATTTTCCTTTTCCCCCTTTTCTCTCCTCCGTCTTTCCGCCTTTCTTCTTATTCCGCCTTTTGTCTTCTCTCTCTTTCCCTTTCCCCTCCCTTTTCTCCTCTCCCCTTTTCTCTCCTCCCTCTTTTCTTCTTCTTTCTCTCTTCCCTTTTTTTCTTTTTCCTCTCCTTTTTCTTTCCCCCTCCTTTTCTCCTTTTCTTTTTTTTTGGCCAGGGGGGGGGGGGGGGGGAGGGCACGTGCCCCCTGTGCCCCCCTGGATCCGCCACTGTTAGAAGCTATGTGACCCTACAATATTCAGTGATCGTTGTCGCGGTTGAAATCGATTCTAAAGTTATGAAATTATAAATAATAAACTCTTTATGTTGTATAGCTCCCTCTCAAGGTCAAGATATTAATTAACATGTTGATTGTGAGATGTGAGAGCGAAAACCAAATACCCAAACTGTTGGAATTAACCCAGTTGGCGGGCATTAATGTGAAAGTTACACGATACGATGGGAGCCAATCAACCACTAAAGGAGTTATTCACAAGATTGATCCCCAAATCAGTAACGAGGAAATAGAGGAAGTTTTGAAAGAACAGAATGTAGTGAACGCTAAAAGATTTATGAAGAAGATCAAAGGAGAAATGGTAGCAACCCCTTCCGTTCTCCTCACTTTCAAGGGTAAAAACTTACCCGAGTCCATACATTTTCTGTATGAGGTAAAGCAAGTGGATGACTATATCCCTCCTGTGCCGCGATGCCATAAATGTCAGTTATTCGGACACATTAGGCAAACTTGTAAAGGCAATATCCGATGTGTTAGATGCGGGGGAGAACATGAGTTCGAAGATTGCCCTAATAAGGAGAACCCTAAATGCCTCAGATGTGGTGAAAACCACTCTGCAGCTTACCAAGGTTGTAAATTTTATGCAGAGGCGAAGCAAATTCAAAAAATAAAATTACAGGAAAACCTCACTTATGCCCAAGCGGCCAAGGCCCATCGTGCACAGATACATGAAAATGCCGTTACTGACATGGATAATCAGAAAGACATGGGTAGTGCAAATCTAAACAAACCTGCCAAAAAACATAACACAGAATCAAGGCCAAATAACCCTCAGAGAGCCAATCCGAATCCTCAGAGAGCCAATCCGAACCCTCAGGCCCATACCCCACACACAGTACGAGAAAGAAAGGGACAGGAAGAAAGGGACAGGGCAATACCCAGATCTCATTCCCAGATCCCAATTCCAGTACGAAAAACAAAGAAGGAAACTGCAACCCAAACTCCAGTAAATATGACATCTATTGATTTGATTATGTTTATTCTGTTTGTGGTACGACAGTTGCCTCAGTCCAGTAATGATGATAATTTCTTGGAAGCGGTAGTTAGAGCAGGCAAAGAAATTTTGAAGGTAGACATTACCATGGAAATGGTAAAAAGTCGCCTCATATAACTAATAAGTCCATATCAGACCTATTGATTGTACAATGGAACGCACAAGGCTTGACGGCGCATGGCGCAAACTTTTTATCTTCCCTTATTGATAACAATTTGTTAGGTATTCACCCAGATATAATGTGCATCCAAGAAACTTGGTTTAACGATTTTAATGTTTTGTCTATACCGAATTACGTTTGTGTTTGTAAAAACAGGCCGGACGGCAGAAGAGGTGGTTTGGTGATGTATTTAAAAAACGACATCACTTTTCAGGCGATGGATACACCCAGGAACGCCGAATACCAAAAAGTTGATATTTTTTGTAAAAACGGAGTTATCTCAATCTTCAACTATTATAATCCGTGTAAAAAGATTGAACTGATAGATCTAAATAACATGATAAGAAATGTGCCGGGGAAGTATTTGATTCTAGGCGACTTTAATAGTCACAATCCTCTATGGGGGAGCAACAAATTAGACACAAACGGTAGAACTGTGGAGTCTTTTATAGAAAATAATGATTTGGTTTTATTAAATGATGGATCTCCTACAAGGTTAGACCCATATTATGGTACATACTCAAATCTGGATTT